TTTTCTACCATATTTTCCGCCATAGTGCAACTGTCTTTTTACCACTAGATGTAGCTTTTCATTCAGGGAAAAACCTTTTCTTATGTCACAAATCGTACTCTTTTTGACACCTGGAATACGTTTCATGATTACAGAATATGAACAACCTGATTGCAATAAAAATTTGATGTTATTTTGCTTATCTTGTGAAAGTGAACGAGCCATAACGATGTAATAATGTAATTTAAAGTGTAAATATAATAATCCAAAAAGAAACACGCAATATTGATTATAGAAAATAACTTTTTTTATACTTTTTTATGAAATTAAGTTGCCCAGTATTCATTAATTCTGATTGAATATTATAAATGACAATTTATCACTCATCACAGGTCATCAAACTGTGGATTCTCATTTTTCGGATGCACCCTAAACAATGGTCCGGATGTACACTACAACTTCAACCTCCGATTTTAATATATTTTAACCAATCATATTTCTTGAAATCCATAAATAAAACTGGGCAATTTTCTCTTTTAAATAGATTTTGTTCTGTGTTATTTGCTTTATTTGTTCTTTAGTTATAAGTGTTTTTGTCATTTTTGTCAAAACATCCGGACCATTTTTCCGTCTACTGCATAATATGTATTACTCATGAATAATTATGTCATAGAATACACGAGTGATAATCCTGTTTGAACTATGTATATTTATAATTATTATTAGTACTCGAACATTCTAACAATGACTATTATTAAAACTGCGTGTAGAATGAATATTATGCTGCGAAGTGCAATATACTAGTTTTATTTGAATAACCTCTTTATTATATAATAAATGATGGTTTATTTCTATTAACTTAGTTATAAAGACAACTACAATCATAACAATGTGTATACAGAATTTTGCTGATGATACTGTTATTGCTAGTGTTATAGAACAAGCTCTGGATATAAGCATAAGTAATATTATAATAGATGAATACATAATATAGGATAAACTATAAGCCTGAATATAAAATAAAACTCTGTATATAATATCTTGTAAATAATATAAAACTTATTGACATCCAATTGTCTAGATGTATCAATTATAAGACATCGTATCATTTCTAAATATTTATTTTTATAACCTTGATAAAGGATTCAGGTCGTCTTTGATCCAATAAAATAAAACATAAAAGATATCAGGAACATATACTCAGATTAAACAATAAATTTTTTATTTAAAACTTGATCAGATCATTATAACACCCAATAGATAATCCATAGATCAGTCTCTTGAATCAACAAGACGTATATCCGAATACTAACACTGTTTTATGACTCATGTTATTTGACGGTTATTTTTATTTCTTTGATTCAGGATTCATTAATATAAATACAAGCATTTGTGTAGACACAAAATAATCTTTAACTTCTTTCTTTAACTTTCTTTTAACCTTCTTTATTTTTAATTGAATAAAAACAGTCTCAAACTATACTTCCTTTTGTTCCTTTTCTCCCTTTTCTATTTTCTATTTTCTATTTTCTATTTTCTCTTTTATCTTTTATTTACATTCCATCACAGCTAGTGAGAGTTTAGAGCAACATGTCAAGTATGTTCGATTAGTTTTTGAACAACTGAATAGTTCCAACCCCATACTAAATATAACGAAATATGCTCATGGGCTCAACAAAGTGTAAATCTCTTAGGTTTTATTGTTGACTCGAATGGAACGAGAGTCGATAAAAACAAATTAACGAATGTACAGACATTTAGAAAAGCTAAAGCAGCTAAAGAATTACAATTCACATTAGGATGGATTGGCTTGATGTAAGGTATTTTAGAGAATAGATTCCTAAGATGGCTGAAGTAGCTGCTTCCCCTCACTCATATCAATCATGCACCTAACATAATGGATTTACAGTGAGATGTTCAAGATAAAGCATTTGAAGCTATAGAAAATATATTGCAATCTAATTTAGTTAGTTTTAATCCATGTCTACACATGTAAAATATTTTACTGTGCTACAGACGCTAGTCAGTTTGCAGTTTCTGCAGGGTATTATTTCAAAAGGGAAAATATGGTCATGATAAACACATTAGTTTTGTCTCGTGTTTTCTTTCACCTTCGCGACATAATTGGAATACAATTAGAAGAGAGATGTTATACACCGTCATAGTGGTATTGAGGAAATTTAGAAAATACCTGTTTAATAATCCTTTGACATTATATACCAATCATAAAGCATTTGTTGAATAGACATGATAATTACTAATACTTGATGAATAAACATCCCATCTTATTTTAAATATAAATTTGATATGATCTTTATTTGGTATACACTTATATTAGAGAAGAGAGTTTATCATAGAGGTATATAATTTACATTTTATATTTAATATTTCCTAAAGCTAGTTTTTGTTACATCATGCAGGCAAATAAAAGCTATACGAAGCTTGTTCTTGTTCAATATAGAGATAGCTTAATATGAGTCTTTTGTGTTAATGATATTGTCTACTATTATTTGTTATTTTATATCATAATGGATAAGCTTAAATAACGTGATATTCAAAACTTAATACAAGCAAACAGTACTACACAATTAAGCATATGTAATTAGAATAGCTATGTATAAAATTTAGTCATTAATATTATTGTCAGCATCTGATTAATAATAGCTATCGCCTGTTATTTTATCAGACTAATCATAGAACGTTATAGTAAATTTTAGCAAAAGAAGAAAATTAAACTAATTGTGTCAAGACATAGTGCCTGGAAAAAAAATTGTATCATATAATATTGTACACTAGTGTTTAATTCGGCTGAATCATGGTTATACCTTAGATATTAAATACGGCTTCGTTACAATCATTTCCTTTGCATTAAATATTCTTAATATAAGATCAAGATATCGATAAAAGATGCCTGTTAAAAAAAAAACTTTAAAAGGTGCTGATGATTCTGAGAAAAACTTCGATTGTCGCATATTTGAATCTCTTTCTAAAAAAAATAAAATAAAAATAGTATAACAGATTCTCACAGAATTTCTTCTATCTATTATTTTTCTTTCTTTTTTCTTTTACCTTTCACCAATCTAACAGTATAAATCGCATAACGCAATCAGGAGCACAGGTTAGTTTATCTACTGTATGACTATAGTTGTCTTTATAACTAAGCTGGTAGGAAATAAACCATCATTTATTAAATGATAAAAAGGCTATTCAAATAAAACTAGTATATTGCACTTTGCAGCATGATATATTCATTCTGTACTCAGTTTTAATAACAGTCATTGTTAGAGTATTCGAGCATTAAAAGTAATTATATACATTATATTATGTAATAATAATAATTCAATAGGATCATGACTGTTATATTCAATTACATAATTATTTATACAAGTTATACATATTAATGTATACATCTATCATGTTGAATATTGTTATGTAATAATATATCAGAGGATGATACTAATAGTAGCACATTAATAGTTGGTATTATTATAGCTGGAATATTCACTGTGAATTAATATTGACGCGTTACTTATCCCAGGAATAATAATTGGTTATATTTTCGGTAACAACGACAGCTCATGAAGAAACAAAAAGAATAAAAATATATCTTATTGCATGCATAATTATTCGGAGACAATATTTATGCATAATGCTTTATTATACCAGTATTTGCTTGTCCAAATCATACCTCCATTAATATCATTTACCTTATAAAAACATATAAACAGCCCTTGTCATATTTCCATATTATTTTCTCTTTGCAAAATTTTTGTATTCTTCTTCTTCTTCTTCAATAAACTATACAGAGTTTTCACAAACTTGTATTTTGTTGTATTCTCTTTCTTTATCTTTTTGCATACTTAAATATCCTAATAAAAAAAAAAAAACTGAGGTAACATGTATTTATTATATCTATTACTGTGCTGTCTACATAAAATCTGAGGGATATACTAACGATGGTGTCCCATTTGAAAAAGTTTTCTCGTAGCAATATTTTGAAATATACGCTCAATTTTTATTCATTTATCACTGAGTCCTAATGTATACCTAGTATAGTTATATAATGTTTATTAATAGCTAGAAAAACAAAACTAAACAATTCTTTTTTTTTTATTTAAGCTTTGTAAATTTGATATAAAGCTCTTAATAGATCCATAAAGATTCATAAAGATGGCTTTGTGAGATTTGATTACATGCTCCTACTACTATAGGAATTTGTAACGTTTCTTCCTCAAGAAACTCATATATTTTAAGCTTACTTTCAGCAACTGACCCTTTAGTTATTCTATGGAATTGTATTTATAACAATAAAATAGTAGATTCATATTTATGTCCTCTCTTTTAAACTAGTTTTGTAATATCAACTCATTTAGGAGTAAATACATTATCCATAATAAAATACGAATTATGCATATAATATCCATAGTTTCTTTCAAATAAGTTATATAATAATCCATAGTAAATCCTTTTTTTAATTCAAACTTATAAATCGCTTTATTTAATCTTACCAATATGTATATATGTATATATATATTTTTCTATATATACTCATTAATCATGTATATAGTAGCGGCTTCCATTTTCTCAGTAAAGGTATTTACAGCTACTGTCATCATTGTTTCATTTTGAATCATTTCAACGAGATCCACAATGCTGCATTTAATGACTGTAATTTCAAAATCCATCTCATCAGCACTTTCATCTAATAAATAAATTGTAATAATGAAGAAAGTCCATTATATATTTTAATTTTAAAGCTTAAATGATATTATTTGTTAATGAATAGCTCTAGCTCTACAAAGTAAAGAGTTTAGATCTGATTGTAGTTTCCTTTGTTTGAAATAGAAAGGTATGAAGCACTAATGTTGATAAAACAACGACTAAAAATGTGATGCATAATCTACCTTGTATCTCTTACAAGAGTTTCTACTCTTATTTTGTTGAGCTGATCTTGGTAATCCTAGTATATTATTTGCTCATAAAAACCAAAAAAAAAAAAAAAATTAATTATGTAATAGAATTTTTATTATTTAATCACATGTAACCAATTATTTGAATCAATTAATTTTATTTATTTATTTATTTTGATTTATTTTGTTTTATTTTTTTTTTTATTTTATTTTACTTTATTTTATTTTATTTTAATTGAAAAAACAAAAGAACAAAAAAATGGAATCAAAACGTACATCAAGCTACTTATCAACTTTACTCTACCAATATGAACTTCAAACTGCTCTTTACATGTTAGAACCTTGGGAAAAGGCTTTATTTAGTAAGTATATAAACTTTTGGAAAAAAAAAAACTTGGGAATCCAAATTCTAATCAAAACAATTTTTATATAACTTTTTAGACACCATTCTTTTGAGCATTATTTTACTTTCCTTTGTTACAATGTATCAATATACACCTGTCCTCTTCAAGTTCATTCACAATTAATAGCAAAAAAAAAAAAAAAGCATCTTAATCTTTTAGCTCGAATTTTATACATACTTGTCTTTTTTGTTTTTGTTTTGTATTAGTCCTTTCATTTATACATTTATATTTATACTTTAATACTAATGATACTTTTGTTTCTTATTTGTAAACGAAATATTATAATTGGTAATAATATTACAACTTAATAAATATGACCTTATTTATATTTTATATTTTTGCTTCTGTAAATTTATTCATTTTTAAAATGGCTAAGTTCAAAAAAAAAAAAAACAGGTAATTCTACCTGATACTCTATTATTAAAAACTCCTCTCTATTTCTTTTTCTTTTTTTTTTTTTTTTTTTTTTTTTTTTTTTTTTGGATTTATAAAGTCTTTCTTTTTTTTTTATATACATATACATATTTCCCTTTTTTTTTCATTGTCATCTATAATGACGGATAATACTTCCGTAATGAATGTCGATGGAGCATCCGTATCAGAAGCATTGCTTGCTTCTAATGAAACTCGCGATATTGTTTTACCAAACCAAAACGAACATGTTGCTCACATTGCTGTTGATGTAAATATTCATCACACACACGCATTCTGACATGATCTCAACTTTTTATTTACATGCATATACAAATATATATATATATGCATGTTATGTTATAGATTGGTGGTTCACTGGCTAAAATAGTTTATTTCACTTCATCAGCTGATCGTGCAGGCGGTAGACTTCATTTTAAAAAAATAGAAACAGAGAAGATTGATGAATGTATCGATTTTTTGGCAGATTTGATGGATGATGCACGATTGTTAGCACCTAAAAATACTCCATTAGTACTAAAGGCGACAGGTGGCGGTGCTTATCTATTTTTTGATAAACTAAAGAATAAGTTGCCAGGTGTTATTATTCAAAAAGAAGATGAAATGGACTGCCTCATTACCGGTATTTATTATCTTGAAAAGATATTGACTATGCAAGTATAATTAATATTATGTTTTTTTTTTACTTTTATATATGCATATAGGGTTAAATTTCTTCATTACTGAAATACCTTTTGAAGTATTTACTTATAATGAGCAAGAGCAAGATCCAATGCAATTTGAAGAAAAGACAAGAGATATTTATCCGTATATGGTATTGAAATCCTTTTATTTTATTTTATTTTATTTAAAAAAAATATAAATCTAAGTTAGTTTATTATTATAGCTGGTAAACATTGGATCTGGTGTAAGGTAAAGAGAGGAAGAGTCTTTATGTTATAGGCTATTTCTTATATAATATATGCGTATAATATAGTATTCTAAAAGTGACAGGTCCAGATGAATTTTCTCGAATTAGTGGTACTTCGGTAAGTTCAGAGTAAAATTCTATTTATACTCTTATTTATTTATTTATTACACATATAGCTTGGTGGAGGAACTTTATGGGGATTAATGTCATTATTAACAAATGCAACTTCTTTTGATGGTAAAGTTAGTTTGTATATACATAATAAAGACAACGACTTAATTCTTCTTTAGAAATGCTTGAAATATCAAAAGATGGAGATAATAGAAATATAGATTTATTAGTTGGAGATATTTATGGTACAGACTATACTAAATTAGGATTAAAGGCTACCAAAATAGCTTCTAGTTTTGGAAAAGTGTTCAAGAAGGGTGTACGACAATCTCAAGATAATTTTAGAGCAAGTGATATAGCAAAAAGTTTACTATTCATGGTGAGGTAAATCAGTGAAAAATTAAATGTATTTCAGGAAAATTAAGCTAAATTTCTCGCTTTCATTGAAGTAACAATATCGGTCAAATTGCTTATTTAAATGCAAAACAACATAATTTAAAACGTATTTATTTTGGTGGTTGCTTTATTCGTGGACATCCAATAACGATGAATACACTTTCCTACGCTATTAATTTTTGGTCAAATGGTGATATGAAAGCTTTATTCCTTAGACATGAAGGGCATTTAGGCGCTACAGGAGCGGTAAAGCATATAAAAAAAAAGCTTGATTCTATTAGCATTCAAAATAACCTTATATTTATATACATATTTATATAGTTTTTAAAACATTCAGTTATTCGTAGAGCAAGACATTCATTTTCATTTTCAGAGAATAATTTTATACCAGAAGTCAATCCTGATCCAAAGAATGTGTATGGTGTTTTAGAAGAAACAAACGTTGAGCTGCGTTCTTCAGAAAAATAAAATAAATATATAACACATTTATACAAAGAACTTTATTTTTGTCATACAAGTGTATACACATATAAAATATACTGTGCTTTATTTATTGCTTTTAGCTTTCTTGGCTTCAGTTCCTAATTTACCAGCTTTTCTCTTCTTTGAATCGACATTATTACTCTCCTGTTTATCTGAAGTAGAATCACTATGTATAATGTATTTGATTACGCTTTCACTGTAATCTATGTATATATATATGTTTATAACTTACTTTTTTCTTGTGGAGTTCTAGATATATTTCTGGGTGATCTTCTTGTAGGCTCGGTAGGTCTATAATAAATAGTTTTAGTAATAATATTCACCTATTATACGAAAAGAAAGAATATACATAAACTTTACTGCTTAGTTACTCTCTTTCTAGGTGTATTTCTTGATACTTTTGGGGCCTGTTTGATTGTCTTTGCTTTCTTATTCTCTTCATTTTGCTTACTATATATTTACACGTATCAGATTAGAAGGTGCCAAAGATGAATAATTTATGCAAAAAAAAAAAAAAAAATCATACCCCTCATCTATAGATTTTCTTTTTTCATTCTTTGAAGAAAGTCTGTATGGTAAAATATAAATATTACATATCAAGTTGTGTGTGTGTGTGCGTGTGTGTTTTAATTTCCAATTTATTATTGCAACTTACTTATCTTCATCCTTTTCATCAGTCTTTTCCTCCTTATCTTTACTTTTTTCAGAATAAGACTCAGGTTGTTCATTATCAGGAACATGACCTTCTTCCCAAGTACGACGTATACGTTCTTGATCCTCTTCTCTAATTTCATCGAATCCTTTAATTTCTTCAGGAGATGAAACAGCCTTTTTCATATTACTAACTACTGTCTCAGTGATACATGTCCTTCATTTTTTTTTTAAAAAAAAAGAAAAAATAACTTATTGATAAATAGGTTGAACTATACGTACATACACACACACATATATATATATATATATATATATATATATGTATGTATGTGTGTGTGTGTGTGCGTGTGTGTGTATGTTTATATTTGTATTTATATATTCATTTACCAGTGCCTCCAAGTAACACCATGAAGGTGAGGAACTTCTACACCAAAACGCAGTTCTCCTTTCTAAATGTGAAGAATTAAATAAATAAATAAATAAATATATCCAAATAAAATATGTATATTCATATATTTATGTATTTGTATATAAAACTAACATCAATGGTTTTATCCTTGGCTGGACAAATATCTTTTGGTCCAGCGCATGAACTTCTATCACTCTTTTTATAATTATTATTATTTAGAGAAATGATATCGCGTAAGTAGCAAAAAAAAAAAAGGTTATTTTGTTACCTTTGCGTACTAGTAAAGTTTTCACAAATAACGTTTAAAGATTAGTTTATATGTATTCAAAATAGTTAAACTTGTATACTTTACTTCGATATGATAAGACATTATTTTTGTCCAAAAGAAATAGTAGAAAAAAAAAAAGAAAGAAGGAAAGAAGGAAAGAAGGAAAGAAGGAAAGAAAGTGAAAAAAAATGTATCTGTTTGATGTATTCTCAATAAAGTTTGTTTTGCGTCACTAGTATTTATGCATTGATATAACCAATTTGCCAATCGAAATTCATAATTATTCAAATAAGCATTTCTTTTTTATTTTATTTTTCAATATAAGGTAACAGTGGTAATTTGACATGACAACATCACTGTTTTGGATACAAATGTAAATACTATGAGTTTTTTTTTTTTTTTTTTTTTTTTTTTCCTAGTTCGCTCATTAAAGTTTTCGTGTCCTTCACTCCTACTAATATAAAATTTGGCAGAAGCAAACTAACAAAAAAAAGGGATTCTTTTTCATAATCATATTTTTATAATTATAATTAGAATAAATGAGGCTTAGTCATGTATATTTGTGTAAGGTTTTATATGCTGTAACCGATTATAGTATTTTACCGGCTTTTAGTCACATTTATTGAAATACACATTTATAAGCATTAGGTTTTAAAGCATAATAAAATGATATCGTATTGCTTGGGGTCAGATCAAAAAAGGAGAAAAATAAAGAGAAACAAAGATGAGTATCTGAAAATACTAGAGTGAATTGCTGTATAACCAGTTAACTAAATCAGTATCAAAGAAACTAGAGAATTTCATGCGGGTTTTTACCATGATGAAGATAATCCAGTTCGAAAAGTGGAAAGAAATTTTATATGCCAGGGAGGCTTTTGTAAAAGAATGGATGGAAAAAGAGGAAGAGTTTTTTTTTTTTTTTTTTTTTTTTTTTTTTTTTTTTTGTACTGATGAAGCAAACTTTAATTTTCACACAATTAGAAGCGTAGGCCTGGTCCAAAGTAGACCAAAATGCCAACGCACTTATCCACACTGAAAAGGGTGGAACTATGACCTTTTTTTTTTAGAGCAATCTGTTTACGTGGAGTAGTCAGTATGTCTGCAAGGCTCTTCACCCAAATTAAAAGAAAAACCAACGAGACAGGTCGTGAAAAGAAGTTTAATAATGGTAGACAAAGAAGTATCAACAGTAAACATTTATGAAATCTTTGTTTCTGGAATCTTGGATATCCTTGCTAGAAATGGCATGAAAGGATTCAATTTAGTCACGAATAATGCCTTAGTTAGTCACTTTAAAGAATTTAAACAATACATTTAGAGTTGAAGCTATTGCTGTATCTATCTCCCACCTTACTCCCAAATGCTTAATCCAATTAAGGAATGCTAGTCCAAGATAAAGGGTATATATCGACGTAGTTACTTGGCACCTACCGAGACTGTTTCTAGCAAAGTAACGGAAACCACAAAGAAAATCAGCTTTAAGGATCTAAATGCGTGGATAAAGCATATTATGAATAGTTTTCAAAGATGAAAGGATAGTGTAACTAACCTTTTTTTTTTTTTTAAAAAAAATGTACCAATAAACTGTTTTAATTCGAAAGTTTTTAATATCACTTTATTAAAAAGTAATCATTTTGAGCTTCATATTTAAAAAGTTCTGGTAATTTAAAAGCGGTTTTGGTTTAAAAGGAATAACGACAATATATCTTTTGTAAAACTGACTTTAATTCTTTCACAAAACTGACATAGTTTATTGGATAAGCTGACCCTAATCACTATTACCCGACAAACTTTTCCGAAAACACTATATTTATTGTTAATACTGTTGCTAGTAGGACAACCTAGTCAAATATAAAAATCCAAATTCTTATTTCTCCCCCCCTTTATTCTTTTGATATTTTCAAAATAAAACTATGCCAAGTCATTCGATTAGCATTTTTTTTGTCCTTATCTCTTATATAGCTTATCAACTCTTAAATAAAGAGTGCTTTAAACATTCACTTTGTGCTCTTACTTATGATTTAGTTGGCCCTTGTTTACGTTCAACAAAAGATGTACCTATTCATGGCACTATTGTAGACCCTGAATTTCAATTTATTCGCGATATATTTGTCAACAGTATTCTCAAGGGGTATGAAGTAGGTGCTGGCTTTACTGTTTACGTAGATGGACAAAAAGTGATTAGTCTTCAGGGAGGATGGCAAGATCTTGAAAAGAATATCGAATACACGAATGAAACACTCCAAATGGTCTTTTCCAGCACAAAAGCATTGGTATATATGTGTATATTGTTTTTACTTTCTAGAAAATATACATATATGTGTATTTATCATTCAATCATATAGAGCGCTATTGTAATTGCTCAGATGGTGGATCAGGGCCTTTTATCCTATGATGAACGAATTTCTACTTATTGGCCAGAGTTTGCACAAGGAAATAAGGAAAATGTAACCTTAATGGATTTGGTAAAGTGAATACATGTACACATGTGTATTTATATATATATATTAAAATCCAGTATATATGACTGATCAAGTTTTATAGATGCGTCATACATCGGGAATAGGTGCTTTAGATAAGCCTCTCTCCTATGAAAACGTGACTGATCCAGTTGTCTTTTCCAATATTCTTGCAAGTCAACCGCATAACTTTAATGGAAGACGTTATCATAGTTACCATGCAATCACACAAGGATGGTATCAAAATGAAATACTTAAGCGTGTTGCTAATTGTACCATTGATGAATATATTCAAAATGTCCTCAATAAACAATATAAGGATATCGAGTTCTATTTAAAGCCAGATGCCATGCCTAACGCTGATCAATTAATCCCACGTATTGCAACCTTTTATGATGAATCAGAGCTACAAAAATTGTATTCTTTGATTAAAACCTATCTTGATCCACGTCAAGACAAGACCTTTATTCGCAGCATGTTTGATAAAAATAGTTTATTTACAAGGACAATCATTCATCCCAATATAGATCAAATGAAGGGCGTGATGAATAATAAAGATCCAAAACATAGAGCCATTGAAGGTCCCTCTTATTCTGCACATACAAATGCGGATTCAGTAAGATATATACATATACATATAAACTCTCATAAAAAGTAATAGATCTTTAACTCACACACACCCTCATTTTTTTTTCTCCTTCCAAAATAGTTGGCCAAATTAGCAGCCATGATGGCTAACAAAGGACAAGCCATTGTGCCTGGAGAGCCCGACCTTTTTCAACACGAGTCCACTTATGAGGAGGCAACTTATTTTAATGAAAGTTGGAGAGATGAACCTGATCTAATTCTCCCATTCTTCCCTTTAAATAATCAAAAAGGTGGATTTTTGATATATCCTCATGACCGATTTTTTGGTATTGAAGACCCAGATGGTGATTTTGAAGGAGGTTCAGGCGCAGGGGGTTCCCTCTTTCTGTATAACAGAAAATACAAAATTGGATTAGCTTATGTAATGAATGGATATGTTGGAATTGGTATCCCTGATCCAAAAAGAACGATCCCACTTGTCAAAGGTGTATTTGAACAAGTGAAAAAGATGAGCAAAAAATAAAAAAATATTGCCTATTTATTCTAATAAGGAAGCTGTGTCTGTGTTTTCTTATCTTGGTTTCAGGTTCTGGCAGGATAAGAAAAAAAAAAAAAAGTAGAATCTGTTAATAAATTTTTTGTTTTTCTTTTTTTTTTTCTGGATTATTAATATAAAGATCGATAAATGATGTCTAATAAACCAGAGGAAGGTGATAAAATAAGAGGAGCCAAGCTTTTTAAAGTACGCTGTGGCCTCTGTCACACCACTGAAGAAGTAAAATATAACTTTATTTTCATCAATCAAAATTAGAGAATTCTTATTCATATACATCTATTTTTATATAGGGAGGACCTAATAAGGTAGGACCTAATCTTCATGGCATTTTTGGTAGGAAATCAGGACAAGTGATAGGTTATCAATATTCGAATGCTATTATTGAAAAGAATCATATTTGGGATGAACAGGCTTTACATGATGTACGGCAGTAGTAATAAATCCATAATAATGACTAATCATAATATATGCAAATAGTTTCTTGAGAAACCAAAAAAATATATTCCTGGAACAAAAATGGCGTTTGCTGGCTTTAAAAGTCCAAAGGATCGAGCTGATGTTATAGAATATTTAAAGGTAGTCATTATTTTTGTGTCTGCATATACCTAAAGCTCAACTGCCTTAACATAGGATGTCACTAAATAAATAACAAAAAAAAAAAAAAAAGAAAAAAAAAGAAATATTACATATTTATTGAGACTGTTCTATACCAAGCGTCTCTTATATACACATATATGTATATATATATTTATGTGTATATATTCGTATATATATAATTATTCATTAAATGCATCAGATATTTGCTTTTCTCGAAGTGCATTATTTGCCTTTTGTGCGGCTCGTTGTTCTAGACATGAAATAATTAGTAACTATACATTTTCATTGCATGCCTTTAAATACCTCTTGCTGCTCGTAATAATTCTCTTTCTGCCTGTCTTTGTTCTGCCGTCTTTACTGTTCGAACTCCTAATGCATTATGCACTAACCTTTTTGCTACCATATCTGTTGTAACCGGACGACGAGGTATAGGACCAGAAGCTACAAATAATTTTAATAATTATCATCATATATATCTCTATTTCATCCTTTTTTCTTTTCTTTACGTGTTTTTTGTATTTGTCCTTTATAGGGTCGAATTTTTAATAGTTGACTATTTAACAGACTAATATATGCTTTTTTGGCTATTATCATATATTCATTTATAAGTAATGCATTTCTTTCGTTCTTTTTCTTTCTTTTTCCCGGGTCTTACCTGTCTCAGGATGCTCAAATATAATTAAAGCTCGGGTATCATCTATCCATTTTATGCTATATCCACCTTTCATTGTTTCAAACTCTTTAAATATATCTTGCAAATGATATGTTTTAAATGAACTTGGAAAATCATAACAATCTAATACTGTTGTCATTGTTTGATCATCATTTACTATTGAAATTAGATTAACTTTGATGTCGTTTTTTTTTCTCTCTTTCTCTCTCTAATATGAATTGTTTTTATTTACGCAAAGTATCCACTTTCTTTGATTCCTGTGAAGGTGATGTCGTTTCTGTTTTCTTTTCTATTGCTATCGACGAGAGTTCCCATTCTTCTTCCCAATCTTCTTTTTCTTCGTCTGAGCTTTCTATAGAAAGCTTCTCTACTTTTGAAATTAACTTTTCCATGTGTTCCTAAATAAAATTTTAATTGGTATTTCTACTTTTCTCTGTATTTCTTACTTTTTCTTTCCTCGAATCGTCAATGTCAGTTTTAATCATCTTTTCATTATTTAAATTACTATTGTCATTAGAGCATTCTACTTGAATGTTGTTATTACATTGACGAAGATCATTAAAGGATGGGGCTCTAAATTGCCCTCTTCCACGTCGTTTTATTCCTTCCTCTCCTCCCGACGAAGAACTCATCGTTGAGACACTTGGTCGGACATTATTGATAACTTGTTGTTGTTGTTGTTGTTGATTTCGTCTATGAATTGGAACGTAGGGTTGGAGAAGGGGCTTTTTTGGTTTAGTGGCTGTTATGCTGTCCATTATTATTATATATGTATATAAAAAATGAATAAAAAAAAAAAATACAAATAAAAAAGATAAAATATGTTGTTATACTGACATTTTTTTTAATATAACATGATTGGACGATCAATTTGAATGAATGCGGCGTTACGATTAATTGACTATGTCCTTTCAAATAATTGAAGACCTAAAAAAAAAAAACCCAAGATATTGCATGTTTAATTGATTATCAGCGATTGTTATTCTTGTAAAAGTAAGTTCCTCTTTTTAATAATGAGAGTAGTTTCTTTCATGCAAGGTAATAAGAAACTTTTTTTTTTTATTTATCTAGTAATTTAGTAACAAAGGCAATAAATTACCAAACAAGCTGAATAATTATCAGCAATAATAAACGAAGAAACATGTAATATATACATATAATATTATTTTAAATGGAACTCTTCCATAAGGATATCTTGTGAGTATGATTCTATTAAGGAAGGGGAATGGGAAGATAGAAATAAGGCGGTAAGTATAAAGAATTATTCACGCTATACGATTTGCGATTTTAGTTGAATCGTTTCTTGCTGCTGGGCGATGGGTTTTTAAATAAAGGTTACATTCATCTTACAGGAAGTTTTTAACACAGGCTTCTTTTAATGTAAACTCTTCAAATTTCTTAATAAGTAAAGCAACTGCATCTAGAACCTGAGCTTTAGGATTATCATCGTAAATTCTACCTCAAAACTCAAGACATGATGGACCAGCACTATATTCGCAAGTACTATCATAAATACTGCATTTGCTTCAAGTCAGAGAGCCCTATAGAATCTCTATAAAAACCTGTTATTATTGCAAGCATTGAAAAAAAAAAACATTTACAAGAAACTAAAACTCCAAGGTACTAATTCTACAAAACATTTTCATTTATTGATTAATTAATATAGATGTAAAAAGATTGAAGCTTTTTTTAGTTCTCAAAATAAGTATATACTTATAATGATTAACAGGACCAACCACAAGAAGGTAGAAGTTCATCTGATCCCAAAAAAAAGTAACGACACCAAAAAAGATGCTGTTATCGACACCCACTTTTACGTTATTGACAAAAAAGGACTGTGGTGAGCCATTTAAGCTGTGCAAAAGGAGCGTTCGAACATGTCTCCCGACCCCAATGCCGATGTCCCTTTTGCAAAGTAGCTTCAAGACCACATTACTAGGCTCAGGCTACGCTAACTGGCTACTCACGGGCGTAACGCTAACGTACTACGCACTATGTGATAGACCTCGGCGCAACAAAGGAAATGGAAAAAAGGAGAGGGAATTTTTTTTTTTTTCAACGACATTTACTCTGCGAAAAGAAAAGCATCTCCAAAAAAAAAACTTCATTCTCTTCCTCTATTACATCCACTTCCATATATTTACGTACACATGATAGAAAGTCGTCCCCAAATCGCCTTATTTTCTCCATCCATTCTTCACTCAAATTGAAATGCTCATTTTCCATTTCCTCCTGCTCGTCATCTTCCATATAATAGTCAGATGAAGTATCCATATCGTTATCTAAAATAATTTCTCTATCAACAATAACGTTTTGCATAAACTAAATAAAAGAAAAAAGGAGTCAAATCCTTTACGATATTTTAGATTATTTATATTTATTTTTTGCTCTAATCTCTTGGCGCAAAATTTATTACTAAGCAACGCAGAACTATTTTTACCTTGACGCAAATATTCTTTAATTTTTATCTCAACGCAAACTCATATTCAAAAAAAAACAGTAATCAGGCTCTATTTAACAGTCACATTATACTGCCCCAATCACATGGCTCCTTTAATGATTCTTACTATTTTTCAATCCACCTTTTCTTTCAAACAAATTGAAAATGTCGCATAACTTTGAAGATGATTTATATAATATATATAATAGGGGAGGAGAAGAGAATGCATATAATGATGAGGACTTATATGGTGATGATCCAGTTGTAGAAGATAAAGATGGAAGCGTCAATGAAAGTGAATCGTTTGGATTGAATGAACAACAGTTCGAGTCTACACAACAACAACAACATTCAAATGATAAATTAGATGAATTCAATCAGTCACAACAACAACAACAACAAAAGAAATCATATCAAAGACAACAACAATATTATCAAACAGGTGGAGCTAATTGGGTGTACAATCCATTTTTGTATCAGCAATATATGGCAATGTATCAAAGAAACTTACAACAACAAATGGCATTTAGTCCATATCAAATGTTTCAAAACAATACAAGACCCTATATGTCTCAACCAACTGGAAATATGAACAACAATGAAAAAATGGCTGATGACGAATCAGATGAAGGGTACGTATACACTTTGGAATAGATTACCTTTCATATATTGAAATTGCATATAAATATATAATAGAAAAATATTTGTTGGAGGACTTAGCTGGGATACCACTGATGGTAAGAATATACACATACATACATACATACACACACACATACATACATACATACACACACACATACATACACACATATATATACATATATACATACATACATATATACAGATTACAACTGCTATACACTAGTAATAGTAAATTAGCAGAAATATGACTATTATTATATTGTATATTTATTGTTGATATTGCTACTATTGTTATAATAATAAAAAAAATAATAATAATGATAATATACTCTAGAAAGTTTGCGTCAATACTTTTCTCAATTTGGTGAAGTAGTTAAATGTACAATCATGCGTGATCCAATGACTCAACGCTCGAAAGGTTATGCCTTTTTAACAATGAGTGACAAATCTGCAGTTGAAAACATTATGAATCAAGATCAACATTACTTAGATGGCAAGAAGGTATATACATATATATATATATATACATATATACATATTCATACATATACACATATGTATGCATAAATAGACTACACATACCAAGTTATTAACTATTATCTAGATTGATCCAAAAAAAGCTATTTCTCGAGAAGAACAAGAAAAAACAGAAAAGATTTTTGTAGGAGGCATCTCACCTGAAGTAACTGAAGAAGAATTCCGTAATTTTTTTGCACAATTTGGTACAGTGCTTAATGCCACTTTAATCATGGAACGTGATACAGGCAGACCACGTGGGTTTGGATTCGTCACATTTCAAAGCAGTGAAGACGTTGATGAAGTCTTAAAGAATCCAAATTTATCAATTAAAGATAAGACGGTAAAATTCATAATAAATGCCCTATTTTATAACAAGTGTGTCTAATATTCATCCAACATATAGATTGACATCAGGAGAGCCACGCCAAAAGGGAAACAGAATAGAATAACAACAAACTTCAGGCCTTCCGTCTTTGTACCAAATATGACTTATTATAATAACATGCCATCTCCATCCAACTATCGTCGACAAGGTTAGTGAAATTTAAACAGTCAACTTTAAATATTAAAAAAAATCCTTCTATTATTTCCAGATAATACACGTGCTACTACTGATAATAAAAGGAATCCAAAGGAGCGTTATAACGGTGGTGCCTCATATCCTTCTCCTCAATCAAGAAATCCACAACACTACCGACCTTATTAGTGTCGGAGTATGAATTGTATGTATATCGTGACTTTAACCCGCGGTTCAGCCATTCTAATTGATCGCGTTCCATTTAATTGAGCGAATAAAAATTAATAAAAAAATTTAGGAAACAGGAGTACGAGGTTTCTTTCCTTTTCTTTTAATTAAGCACCTTTTTTTTTTTTTTTTTTTTTTTCTTGTAAAGTTTGAATACACACATATAACATTTATATACATATTTTATTTTTTGTATAGACTATTTTTTTTTTAACTACATATTTATTATACATACATAATGAGAGAAATTATTCACTTACAAGCTGGTAAGGAAAAAAAAAAAACTTTTTTCTTAGTTCGGTAAATTTGACATGCTTATTTTAAATACTATATAAATCTAGGTCAATGTGGTAATCAGGTATGTACTTAGATGTAACCATCATGTGTAAGTAATCTGTCTAAATATGTATATATATTTTTTATATGTATATAGATTGGTCAAAAATTTTGGGAAACTATTTCAGAAGAACATGGCATTAATACCAATGGTAATTACTGTGGTGATAATGACCTTCAATTAGAACGTATCAATGTATTTTATAATGAAGGTTCCGAAGGCAAATACGTCCCAAGGTAGGCAAAAGAAAATATTTTTTATTTTTATTTTTTTTATTTTTTTTTTTTTATATAAAAACGAAATAAGCCGTTGACATAAATCTTTTTTTTTTTTTTTTTTTTTTTTTTTTTTTCATAGAGCTGTTTTAGTTGATCTTGAACCTGCTACCATGGATAGCATTCGTGCTAGCCCTTATGGTAAGATCTTTAGACCTGATAATTTTGTAAATGCTCAATCTGGTGCTGGTAATTCTTGGGCTAAAGGGTATTACACCGAAGGTGCTGAATTAGTCGAGTCCATTATGGACGTTGTTCGTAAGGAGGCAGAAAATACAGATTGTCTCCAAGGTTTCCAATTGGCCCATTCTCTTGGTGGCGGTACTGGTTCTGGTCTTGGTTCCCTTTTGTTATCAAAGATTCGTGAAGAATACCCTGATCGTATCTTGAGTACTTACTCTGTTGTTCCATCCCCTAAAGTCTCTGATACCGTTGTCGAACCCTATAATGCTGTTTTATCTGTTCATCAACTTGTCGAGAACTGTGACGCGACTTTCTGTATCGATAACGAAGCTCTCTATGATATTTGTTTCCGTACACTTAAATTGACCAGTCCTAACTATGGTGATTTGAACCAATTGGTCTCTGCTGTCATGTCTGGTGTCTCTACTAGTTTGCGTTTCCCTGGTCAATTAAACAGTGATTTGCGTAAGCTTTGTGTTAACATGGTTCCCTTCCCTCGTCTTCATTTCTTCATGGTCGGTGTCGCTCCTCTTACTGCCTCTGGCTCTCAACAATATCGTAACTTGAGTGTCTCTGAATTGACTGCTCAAATGTTTGACGCTCGTAACATGATGGCTGCATCTGATCCTCGTCATGGTCGTTACTTGACAGCCGCTACTATCTTCCGTGGACGTCTGTCGACAAAGGAAGTTGAAAACCAAATGTTGGCTGTTCAACAAAAGAACTCCTCCTACTTTGTTGAATGGATTCCTAATAGTGTTAAGACCTCTCTTTGTGATATTCCTCCTGTTGGCTTAAAGATGTCTGGTACCTTTATCGGTAATAGCACAGCTATTCAAGACTTATTCAAGCGTGTCAATGAACAATTCACGGCTATGTTCAGAAGAAAGGCTTTCTTGCATTGGTATACAGGTGAAGGCATGGATGAAATGGAATTTACTGAAGCTGAATCCAACATGAATGACCTTGTTTCTGAATACCAACAATACCAAGATGCCACTATTGATGAAGAATATGATGAAGAATATGCTGATGAAGAAATGGAAGAAGAAGAACCTATGGAAGAATAGATAACATGCATGCATAATATTATAACAAACAAAACAAGAACAACAAAAAAGTTAAATTAATAAAATGTTTATTTTTGCATAATTAGAGTAAATACATACATAATTGGGGGGAGGGGGTTTATTTACAAATAATACATATTGCAAAGAAAAGAAAAAGGAAAAGAAAAAGTATTGACGTGTAAATAGGGTATATATATACATATATTTATTTATATATATTCTGTCTGCTTACAGACTTGATTGTTCCTCTTCTTCTTCTTCCTTTAATATACCTGACCAAATACTGTGGTTCATTGAATCCATTAAACCTTGTGAAATCTCTATTGGCATTTCAAGGTTACCATCAATAAGTGCCCAATTTAGTCTAGTAGAGGGACTTGGATGATGAGTAACAGGAGAAGGCGATAATCCTCCACTAAAAGGACTACGATAAATACTATCGAATTCTGTATTTGGTGAAGAAGGGCTACTGTTTGTTCCAAAAGTAGTAGTTATCATGAGAGGATAAATTCCATTAGAAACGGGTGAATCATACTGATTCTCCATAGAGAAAGCCGATTGAGGTGAGACAGGTAAACTTGTTGTACCAGTAGTACTAGCAGTTGAATAATCCATACTATTGATGACAATACGAGGCACTAATTGTTATCTAATGTTAATAAAATCTTCTTTATGTTTATTATCATTATTATTATTTTTTTCCCCCCCTTTTCACTCACCTGGAGGCGACATCTTTTTAACACTACATATATAATTATCTGGATTTTCAGGCACATGCTGAATATAATTGTCCTGTTCAATAGATTTGAAATCAAGAGGATTAGGGTTTGCTACACCTAACTTCTTCACTTCATCTTCATCACGCTTTTTCCATAATTCATGAATAAATCTTCTTTTTTGAATTTGTGAAAAAAAGAAACCAGCCGCTTTTTCTAAATGATATTCTTGAGTTAATTGATCGATTTTTTCTAATCGAGCTATTAATGGATCTAGACTATATAAATGAATTAAAACTTTTTGTCTTGAAATATCCCTCGTTTATTTTTGTCATCTCTTACGTCAAAGATGTAGTGATATCAATAAATCTATAAGACATAATGGTAAGCACGCTAGCAAACGGTATGCCTTTTGGTGTTTCTGATCTCAAAATTTCCTATTTTTTTTAAAAAAAAAATAAATAAATAAATAAATGATATAATAAAAGAAACGCATATTCATTATCTAAAGCTAACCTTGTAATACAGATTGTATTCCATTCTTCTTTTCCTCACTTCTTCTTTATCCATCTTATTTAAACATTTGTTTATTTCCTTCAAATTTATATCTTGTTGTTTACCAGTATAATTACTGGTTGTTTCAGGTGATTTAGGACTAGCATGAGCAGAGTATGAATAAAGTTTATCCGCACTTATTTTACTAGCTTTTATAATATTATCAATCGAGTGAATATCATCGTATATTCTAAATCTAAATCGTCCTGTCAATTTTCGTAATAGTTTTGATATATCTTCTTTCTGTATATAGCCTGTTCCATCCGGGTCAATTTCTGCCCACGCTTGTTTAAACCTATATAGACCATGTTTAATAACACTTGTGTTTATAGATGATATATATTTATATATATAATTTTTTTTAAAGAAAAAAAAAAAATTACATTCGTAAATCAGCCTTTGTAATTTTTGTAAAACGTGTTCTAGTCTCGTATGTGTATTCAAAGTTACTGATAATAACCTAAAGATAAAGATGAGTATATTCCTAGAATTAACATTGTTTTTTTTTTTTTTTTTTTTTTTCGATACTTACAGCAGTAAACAAATTCAAAAAGATGTGTGTACAAACAACATAAAATAAATCAAACAGAAAATATGCCCAAAATGGAGATCCACAGTCATTTTGAAGATAATTATTTGAATAGTTACAATTTGGATATTGTACAGCATAATCAATAATAATAGCATTCTATATCAGTTTAAAGAGTATTAGTTTGTCCTTCTTAAACTTTTTTTTTTTCGTTTACAAAGAAAAGAAATAAAACTTACCCAAGCTTCACCAGTAGTTGCTCGAACAAGTAATAATAATGCATTCCCATAGTCTCTGAAATTAGAATGTGCAGTACCATAAATACCGTATTTTGTCAAACCAAAAAACTCCATAAACAACATGGCAAACAAACACATAGTAACCATAAAAACAGCAGATACTTGAATAATAGATGGGATTGATTTCCTTTTTTTTTTTTTTTGAAAAAAAAAAATCGTTAGTATATTTAACTTATAATAAATTTAATTTACTTACGCAATTGCATGATAAAGGGTTTGAAGAGCATCAATACCTTCACCTAAACGAAAAGCGGCTAATACTAAACAGTATCTTTCGGCTCGAACCGTCCATAAATCAGGAAATGCAAAACGAATAATTAAAAGGATTAGTGCACTAAGTGCGATTAAGCAATCAAACCAGTTCCATTTGCTACGTATCCACTATAATATTGTATTGTTAAAGAAATAGTCATCCTTTTTTTTTTTTTTTTTTTTTTTTTTTTATTATTTATTTATTTATTTCCCTCAATAATTACCTTTTTCCATCCAAGTCCTAATAACTTTATAGCACACTCTACCACATAAATAATAGTAAAACCCAAATATGAAAATTCTTGAAAAAAAAAAAAAAAAAATTAAAATACGCTAAAATAAAATTGTATAAATTCATAATTTACCTTGAAGTTCTCCAAGCCAATGTGGTTCATTTTGAAACTCACTAGCGATAGTAGCAATATTCAAGAAAATAAAAAACATCATTAGTCGATTTAGTTTCCCATGTTTTTTAATCACCATGTCATAACAAAGCCTTCTAATCTTTGACTTTGGCCGAAATACTTTGATTGTAGGTTTTACAGAGGCAAGTAATCGTTGAAGATCAGAATATTGTCGTTGAGCAGTTGTAAGGGTTGTAATACCATTTCTTTCTTTGAACTTTTCAATAATAACCTATGAATAATATTATAAATATCCTTTTTTTTTTTCTTCTTCTCCTTTTTCTTTTACTTACACCCACAAATAATTGAATTGTGCCCTGAGAGATAATCATGAAAATAATATAAAAAATACCATTATAGACTTTTGATGAATCCCAGTTAAAGGTGGGTTGTAAATCAGGCACCTTTGGAACGCTCATGGAACTAAACATAGAATCAACCCAACCTTCAGTAGATGTAAGAGAGAAGAGATGCTGAAGTGCAAGAGGAAAATTATCAAAGGTAATAAATCCATTTTGAGGGTTTTGCCATATGCGTGGTGCCAATATATTTACAACACTATTATCATCGCTACTGATATTTATGTTAAATTCACCTACACATTCGCCTTTGGTGGAAACATCTGTATCATTACACATCCACATAAGTCCTCCAAAGAGATTAACACCATAGACTGCAAACGGAATCAATACCAAAAAGGTAAATACCAGAGCATCGAACATGAGAGGGAAAGCATAAAAGAGAGAAACAAAGATATCACGAACACCATCAAAGTATCGAATGAGACGTAAGATACGTAGACTACGAAATGTACTAAGTCCTCGTGGTGCTTCCTCTGTGCCCATGAAGATGGTGATAATATTTAATAAAATGACACATAAATCGAGTTGATTCCAATGGTTTCGAAGGTATGCATGAGGCGTTAATAAAAGTCCATCGGCTATAATACGAATACTGACTTCTACAATAAAGACAATACTAAGCGTGATTTCAATCGCATTAAATGTGCTTTGTTTGGCCGTATCTTTTCGCATTAATCTTGTAGAAGGCTCATCAAGAATTACCATAATAATACTAACAAGTACACATGCCATCACAATCCAATTGAAAATATTTTGTTTTTCTGTTTGCCCATTATCACTTGATCCAACTAATTTCTTACAATAGTATCGAATTTTACTTCGATTAGAAAAAATAAGTAAAGAATTCACAACAGGCATTATTTTTCTCATTGCTTCCCGATTTTCTTCAGCAACAATTATATCATAATCTTCATACGTATCTTCAGTATCTTGTATAAAAGGATTGCTACACCGTCCATATACATATATTACATAAATAAATAAATAAATAAATAAAGAAAAAAAAAGGGGGGGGAGGGGAAAACGAATTATATAATATAATAGTTAATCTTACATAGGTGCAGATTTAATACTTGTTTTTTTTCGAAGAAACGGTATTTGTTGACGAATATTCAAAAAGAATAGAGCCAACTTTCTTTCAATCCAAGATGGTTGCTTTAATTCTTCTGGTTCTTGATTTTTCGGCAAGTCACTCATTAATTCGACCAAGTCATTTTTCGTTAATGGTGCAGTCAAGTTGGCAGGTAGTTTAGAGACTTGAATATTTTTCCTATCATTGAGATAATAAAACGGTTTAAATAATTTCAAAAGAATTGTCTCTGTTCGGTGCTTGTCTTTAAAACGATGTCGATGAATAAAATCTTTAATTTGATAGTGTCGAATATAATCATCACTCAGCTCAAAATTTTCTAGTACAACTGCAATATAAAGGCCAGACATGATATATCGACCAAAGGCAAAGTAGATAGATACAGCAATTGCTGCATAAATTGAACCTTGACCTGATTGACTTTCCATTGCATTATACAGTAAAGTCTATATATGTATATACAAATAGGAGAGAGAGATAAATAAAAATAGTTAGCACACTACAGATAGTAATAATTATTATCTTTATATAGCATTACAGTCCATGTTTCGCTAGTATAAACCACAATAAGTGAGACAAAAGATTCCCAGAATGTATCAAATTTATTTGCAGGATCAGTATTTGTCACAATTTCTCCATAATCACCACCAAACATTTGCATAAAGACAGTCGAACAAAGTGCAGTTGCTAATATTAAAAATATCATAACATAAATAACGCTTTCACCTGTACCTAAAGCTAAAAACTTTAAAACAAATAAATTATCATTAAATGTTCCTCAAGTATGTATATATGTATGTATGTATATATTTGCTTCTTACCAAGAGCCTTCGAACTCGAGGAATACAAATAAATAAACGATAGAGTCGAAGAATTTGAAATACTGTTAAATATTTATATTCCCAGGAGTCTTGAATCATTGGTAATTGAATAACACATGTACTTATAACTAGAAATAAATCAAATAAATTTGTTTTTGTTGACCAAAAACTTATCCAACTTGTCGCTCCCACTATACGAAGTATAATTTCGAAAGCAAAAATAAACGTAAAAGCAGTTTCCGCATTATCTAATTCAAAAAAAAAAAAAAAAAGAAAAAATAATAATAATTAAAAAATATACATACATACCTACATATATATATAAACAAATTCATATGTTTATACTATACCAATAAGTGAAAGTGTCTTTTCAGAAGCATAAAATGATCTTAGACACATAAAAATGAAATTAAAGAAGACCAAAAATCCACCAAAATAGAAAAATAATTTACTTCTCACAAGTTGAACAATCCACCATCTTAATTTGACTCGAGTAACACCCTTACCAAGATCATCAGGAGGATTATCAAACATCCATATATTTTCATTATCTAATCCTTCAGCATCACGTAAAATGGGGTATCCCTTCTTTTTTGCAGTAAAAGCACTGACTGCACTTTCTTCGCGAACTCGTGCAAATGCAGATGTAATAACAGCTAAATATTAAACAAGGTTAGAAATTGTCTTTTTTTCTTCATAAAACTAAACATATAAAAATTCATTACATAATTTTTACCAAACAGTAAAAATGTTAAAACAAATGCAATAATGTATACACCCAGACAGTAATATAAAGCAGCTACATTAGAATCACCATCTTGTGTTTGATACATCAACGTTGTCCATAATTCCAGAGAAACAAAAGTATAAACATTTAAAAAGGAATTAAAAATGGTATCATAATTTACAAATCCATAGTTAGGGTTATTTGATGGTGTTTCTATACAAATTTGGCCAGCAGCACATAGATAGCCTTGATAACCTGGATAAGTTGTGCTATTTGTTTCTGTATTAAAGGGGCCTACAATAGTTGTACCATTCATGTAACCTGAACAATATAAAGCAGGTTCCACTAATTGAACTAAATATAATGTCAAACACATTAGTTTCATATGTATACAAATAATACATGTGTTAAAATGGAAACTTACGATTATTCTCCGAGTCAGTAAAATAGCATCTACGTGAGAGAACGCCTTGATACGAAATAAGACCAAACAGGGCAAAAATAATCAAGAAGAATAAAATAAGGCCTGAAACAGCTAATAGAATATCCCAACTTGTTTCCAGTGATTTAAGGATAACCTTAATACAAATAAACAAATAAATAAGCAAATATAACGTAATGTTTCATATATATATATATATGTATATGTATGTATATATATATAAATGTATGTATATATGTATACACGTATATACATATATACACGCAATATATACATTTATAAATTAATTCACTTTACAGCTGTACCCGGCAAAATAGATAATAGTCGAATTGGCCTAATAGCACCTAATGATTTAAATAAAGATAAATATGGGTATCGGTATATCATTAAAGTAAAGTCTATCCAGTAAGAGATAATAGAAATCGTATCGAAACAGTTTCCAAAACTATTCAAGTAAGCACAATGATTTCGTTTAACATCCACTATTTTCTTGTCTTCGTCAATATTTGAAACTTTATCATCCTCTATTATCCTATTGTTACTTTTTTCCTCCTTTAAAGAAACAATTGAATTTCTTTTCCCTTTTGATAGTAAAAATAGATTCATAAAATTATATTTCTTTCGTGACATTGAGGTATGAGGCGGTATAATTAAACCATAAGCAATTATTTTGCATAAAGTTTCAATACTTTATCAATTTTATATGAGTGAGGGTAAAGATAAATAACTATAAATAGTAAAATTTACCTATAAAAGCATTGTATGCATAATATTGGATAATGAGTCCATTGTCCTCCAAATACAGATTTTTGTTCATTTGACGTAATAGGTACACATGCAAGTAAAAACCAATGTAAAATCATTAAGAAACAAATGAAAACTTCGACATTTCTAATAAATACAAATAAAAATGAATATAAATTCAATATAATATGATATAATATAAAACCTTTGTCGAACGAATCTCCAAAGCATAATACGAATTGGATTATTGGGGCCAAAGATGAAAAGTGAATAACCTTGCAATGGGCTATTTTTATTTTCTTTTAATACAGTTTTTTGAACTTCATTATGTAATATCTCCTTCTCTGAAATATTATTATTGGGAGAATTAGTTGCTGCTTCTGCTGTTACTGCTGCTGTTGCTGTTGCTGTTGCTGTTGCTGCTACTGCTACTGCTGCTGCTGCTGCTGTTGTTGTTGTTGTTGTTGTTGTTGCTGGAGATAATGCATAATCAAAATCTAAGCTTGTATTTGTTGTAGAAGATAAAAAAGATAATCTGTTCCCATTATTAGGTGGAGATAGTTCTACAGTATGTTTTTCATTAGATTCGTTTATATTAGTAGATAAAGGCTGAATTTGGGTATGATCTTCTACAGTTATTACTTGATTATTTATATTATTATTATTGTATAGTGATGATGATATAGAATTGAAATTAAATAGTTCTTTATCAGCTATCTCTTTTGATTCAGGTGCTCTTGAATTGACAACACGTATAACGGCTTGGTATATTAGATCTAAAAAATAAGATTCATTTTGATTTTTATGTATTTCTTGACTTGAATATTTTAAATGCTGCTGATGACGATAATAATGATTGTCAGTATGTGTATCCATATATCGATGTTGAGCAGTTATAGCAGCTGTAGTTGTAGCATGATATGGTTTTATAGAGATGTTATGTTGAATAGATGATCCACTAAAAGAAGTTCTCGAATATGGGTGACTATGTCTATGATGTCCCTTTGATGAACAAGAAGTGGTTGATTTATATCCATCTAAATCATAACTCCATTCGCTATGTTGATTAGAGGAGGGGCTAAAGGCTAATATTGACTTCTCTGGTTCACTTTGATTTGAGGAAGATAAACGAGACGAGCTGAATCGACGTGATCGCAAGCCTAAAGATGATATATTGCTTTCTCTATAACGATTATTATTTGGCGTAGATATACCCAATCCTGCAGTGACTCTTTCATCAATGGCGGTACTAGTTGAAAATCCTTTAGCAGAATAATGATACTTTTCTTTCTGAAATAGAAACCGATCTAGTTTATTTTTTCGTCGTAATAAATCTTTTGTAAGAGGTAAAGGCTGAGGAGATGGTAATGATGGTAGTTGTGAGGGAGGACTAATTTTAGGGGGTGAAAGAGAATTAGAACAATTATTGTTGTCATTATTTATAATTGATAATTCATATTCTGATGTAGTAGGTTTAGTTAAAATAATTTGTGGAATGGCTGTCAATGAGGCTTCATTTTGTGGCGTTAATGTAGATGGTGTTTTCCTTCCAATGTCTTTTTGATCAGACAAAGTGTCGGACTTGACCATACTTTTGTATTTAACTTTATTATCTTTTCTTTATTATTTCCTTTTTTAAGAATTAAAAAAAAAAAAAGAAGAAGAAAGATAAAAAAGATGGAAGACTTTTTTTCGTAGACCAATTATCTTATCCATATTTATAAGAACTAAAATCTGGCAGGCAATGACTTTTTTTATGTCCTACAATGGGAAAAAGGTTTCAAATTATTCATATTAACTTTTTTTTTCCGACTAATTTGCGTATGAGATTTTATGTTCTTGTACTCCAATATTTCCATTTTTGAACATTTAATTTTTTTTTGTTTTCACATGTTGATAATTTTAATTTTGCATATTATTATTTCTTAATTTTGCGCACCCACTTTTCATTTTTGCCTACAAGTTCAAGTCCAAAGTACAACTTTTCGTATCTCAATTGACAGTTTCTTTCTTTCGAAAATCAGCTATGTTTTTTTTTATACCTTAGCATAAAATGAATACAAGGAAGAAACAAACTGTACTAAGCAGCATTTATACGCTAAAATCAAATTTTAAACTGAATCAAGGTGGTGCCTTAGTTGTTTAATTTAGATTGATTAATGTAATATCCTTTGGATCAAATATTTTTAATATAGGATCACGATATAGATAAAGGATACTTGTTAGAAAAAACTATAAAAGGAACTGATAATTTTGAAATTGTCAGATTTAATTCTAAAATAAAAATATGTATACACATATATAACAATTTTTCACATAGTCTTCTTCTGTATTGATTTTCTTTACTGATCCAACACTATATATATCGTTAATCAATTAGATAAATATCTTTTTTTTTTGAAAGATATATAGTATACGTGCCCACAACATGCAAAGCAATTCCACTGATATCATTTATACTTTGAATGTTCAGAGTATTGTAGATTAGGCTGTCTAGTACATCCTTTGATTCTATAAGAAGCCTATCATTATCTTTATGTATTTTCATAATGGAAAGTGTAGCATTCGCTATTTCCATACAAACAGTATCCTTGTCCTTACCATTCAAGTTGACCATAAATCTTAGAGCTATTTTCATCTCTTTTACATTCTTAGAATCATCATATAGAATTTGTTTCATGTATTAAATATAGGGGTTAACTGTTTCAGTTTTTTTTTTTTTTTCTTTTTACTACCAAAATATATAACATGTTATGCAAGAAATGGTGAATTTTCTAATAAGTACAACAGAGGGAAAAAATACAAAAAAGAATAGAAAAGAAAGAAGAATAAGAAAAATGATGTAAAGAATAAGAACCCCTATGAAGCCTTACAAGTTATAAAAGAAAGAATGTAAAATAAACGCAAGTTCTTTGTAAACGATAATGTACACATTGTGTAGCGGGCAAAGAGGTATTATGTATTGAGTACCAACTATATATACATTTATATATATATATCAAGATATAATGAAAATTCCAGTTATAGCCTTTAGAAATGGAATATTGAATAAAAATGCTGTCATATTCAAAGGTATCCGAATAGAAGCCACTAACGTATTGTGAAAGTATTAAATAGACAAAAACGTCGTGATTTAATTATAGTTACTATAGCTGAATATAGAATTTTCAAAGTAATTAATTATTACTGCTCTATTTACATATTTGCTTTTACATAAAGCAGACTTGCCATTTATGCTTTGAAAGAAATTTTATGCCTGTAATAATGAGCTGTTATGATGTCTAAGCTTGTAAAAGTTGCGGGATGTCGTGTCAATGTGATTTCAATACTGCAAAAAAGATTCATTGAATCTCTAATGAGATACTAACCGGTCGAGATTGCCCCCTCCATATTCTCTGTCTAAATACTAATTAGATTTCGTCTAAATCTATTTTTACTTCTTAAATTTATATTATTTGATCTTTTTTTTGACTAGTTTCAATTTTATTCAAAAATATTGTAATTACAATGAATAACAGGCTTTAAGATGGTTTATAGTTTCATTAAAGAAATACAGTGAAAGAATATGACTGTATTGTTTAATAATACGAATAAACAGATAGGTTTTTACTACTAAATCAGAGATATAATAATTTAAAAGTAAGAATTATGCTGAAGATGACGTATGGATTTTTTTTTTTGTAGCTTTATTATTATTATTATTCTTTCTTTTTCTTTTTTTTTTTTTTGAATTATTTATACTTTTTGAATATACATACCTTTTTAAAAATGAGAATGGCCATTTATGGCTGTGTTTCCTCCATACTGGCTATTGGAGTGATACTTTCAGCAATGCATCAACGTTCAAACTTTTATGCTGCCTGTATATATCTTTCAAAATCAAGTGCATGCATGATGGTAAATATAGGCAATTCAAATAAAAAAAAAATACAGTGTAATAATTGACTTGCTTTACCATAAAGATACTATTAAATATGGGACTTATATTATGTATTTTGTTCGGCAAAACTTTACAAGCCATCTTCTTTGGCAGATTAAGAGCAATTGAAGTTGAAGTATGTATAATATGAAATTATGCATTTTAATTTAAACAATTAATCATAAAAATATCAATTTTTTTTTTAGCATTTATATGAAAGGTCTTGGTATGCGGTAACCGAAACATGTTTAGCAATGACTATATTTCGAGAAGAATTCGATTTACAATTCATTGTTGTTTTCACTACTTTATTATTCTTGAAGATATTTCATTGGCTATGCCAAGATCGTGTTGAATTTGTAAGTTTTATTTATTATTCATAAGAATTCAAGTTAAAGTTTATACAATGTGTATAGATGGAGCAAACACCTACAAATGGAATCAGTTTTCATGTTAGAATTGTAAACCTATTAAATATTTTATTGCTCGTAGATTTACTTTTAGCCAATCATGCTATCAATGTTACACTTGTAAAAGGACCTAATATGATGATTATGTTTGGTTTTGAGGTACAAATATATAATTCTATTTTATGTGCACTCTTATTAATATTAGCATAGTATACCATTTTATTATGTACTATAGTATCAACTATTGGCAAGTATATAATTAATGTAATTGACATGCGAAGTGAACAAACTTGGGAAGGAAAATCAATGTGGGTCTTTTATGTAGACCTGATTACAGGTATAAATTAGATTTATTAATAGGTCTTTTTTTTTTTCTAACTTTTTGTTTAATCATAGAATTTCTCAAGTTAGTCACTTATCTTATTTTCTTCTTGTATATTTGCTTAAACTATCAGTTACCTTTACATATTATAAGAGACGTCTATATTACATTTAGATCATTCATTCAGAAATGTAGAGATTTATATCGTTATAGACGCGCAACTCGAAATATGAATGAACTTTATCCTAATGCGACTGCAGAAGACTTTACTCGTTCAAGTGATAGTACTTGTATTATTTGTAGAGAAGAGATGCAAGTGACTGACTCCTATTCAAATGGAAATAATAACACCAATCATGCAGATATAGCTACTAATAGAAATGATAATGAGCATAATCTTGATCAGCCTAAAAAGCTTCCTTGTGGGCATATTTTCCATTTCCATTGTTTACGTAGCTGGCTTGAAAGACAACAGACTTGCCCTACATGGTAATATATAAAATACACTATGATATAATATAATCAAACTTTTTCTATTTATTTATATCTTATTTCTTTTCTTAGTCGTCGTTCTGTATTAGTTGATGGTAACATATAATTTATTATAGATACGTTATTTGATAAATTACTAATATTGCTATTTGTACAGCTAATAACCAAAATCAGCAATCACAGCAACCACAACCACAACCACAACAGCAACAGCAACAGCAACAGCAACAGCAACAGCAACCACAATTACTTCAGCAACTACCACAACAACAGCAGCCATTGCAAGGACTAGGAAGTCAATGGAATCAAACATTTACTCCTTATCAGCAATCATCTTCTTTTGGAATTCTTACTCCCGATCCTTCTTATGTAAATTCAAATGGATGGACGCGTTTAGTCCCTATAAGTACTTTAAACACTAATTCAACCGAATACATTAATGATCATACAATACCATCTCTTCCTTCGAATTTAACAGAAGAAGATCAACGTATTTTAGCTACATCAACAAGAGAAGCTATTGAAAGAAAATTAAAGATTTTAGAAACAGTTCAAAATCAGATCTTTCAGTCAATGCAAATCCTTACTCAAGTTTTGAGTATTACTCCTGCTACAACAACCACTACTAACAATGAAGCGAGCGAATCAACAAAATCAGTAGAGGCAGAAATATCAAGTAACAAGGAAAGGATATCCACTCCAATAAAGTCAAATACGAGTACGACTACTACAATAGAAGAAGTGAATGAAGATACTCCAAAAATTGAATTAAGTGATAGACAAAAAGGAAAGTTACCAGACTATAGTGCTTCTTCTTCATTAGATAACAATAGCTATGATGATATGTGACAGTCATTATAACCTTCTTCTATTGTGTATTCCATAATATATAAACATATGTTGTTTTATATACATCATAAATCAATTAAAATAAACTAGTAGTGCTTAATTTGTGACGGGTGGCATAAATGAATTTTTATTTTTTATTTTTTATTTTATTTTATTTTATTTCCACTTGTACATACACATATCCTATTTACATCCAATGAGCTCACTAAATGATAATGAATCTACTTCAATGCAACAACCACAAGTTTCAGATGACAATAATGATAAAACATCGGCTATATTATCTTCTTCATCAAATTCATCTTCTTCACTTTCAACCAGTTTAGACAGTAACAATCTAATTTCACAAGGCCCTAATCCGATTCGTTCACAGTCAGCTACTACATTTACTATTCAATCACCTCCGAGTGGCAATGAAAGCCAACTAAAACGTCATAGCATACGATCTAATTCTGTTACTCATCAATATTCACCTCGTCAACAAACAACTATTTCAACCAATTTGGATAAATCTCTTTCACCCATCTACCCTCCTTCCATACATAAATCACTCACATCTTTAGATGCTAAATTAATTGCTCGAGATATGGAAAAGTCATCTATTCACTTAAGAGGAGATGATGTCACTTCACCTACTTCACCTATAAATAATAATAATTTTTTTCTATCAAATAGCATGAATGGAGGCAATAACATGTCATTTCAAACCATTGCTGCTCCCTCTACAACTGCAGTAGCCTATTCATATCATCGACAAAATAGTATGAGTAGCACTATAACGTTACCAACCAATTACCATACTACTACCACGGCACAAGGAGATACCTGGCAGACGTTATGTGTTCGAGTACTGCCTCTATTTAATGGTGAAGGAGTCCAAAGCTCTATTGAAGATTTAAATGAATTATTAAGGTAAAAATTTATATACAAGAAGTTGAATAGATTTAATAAGGAGAAGTTTTATGCATTGATACATATTGGCTTATACAGATGCTGTTTGACAGATCCGATTTCACCCACCCTTTATCGAGATATCGAAGCGTTGTTAAGAGATGGCATGTTTACGTTGAATGCAAAAATGTTTGGTGTTACTGACGAAAAGTTACTTGACAGACTTGTTGAACAATGGTCCTTTTTTTTCACTTATGCATTACCATATTTTGAAGCTGTCTTTCTACCTTTAAGAACAGATATTCGCTATCGTTCAGCTGATGAAGCTGAGATGTGGAATGTACGTAATATGGCTTTGAGAAGTTTTAGAGATAATGTTATTTTATTGCAAACAAAGAGATTAGAAGGTAACAGTAATTCCCGTCTGAAAAGTTGTTGGTTTATAATTAATCTAGATTTTTTTTTTTCAATCATGGCTTTATTTAGATGTCTTTAATAAATTATTTACTGATTTTGGATCATCACAAAATCCTGCAGCTACAGCAGCAAAAATGCTTCAAATGACTTCACTCTTAGCTTCATCACCTGATCATAATGAAGAGATTGAAAGAGTCTTATCAAATCTGAAAGCAAACTGGAAAATAATGATGACTAAGGGAGATAGACGAGGCTTTGCAGGCGTAATAAAAGCTAGACCTATGCAGTCTGATACAACCAATCATAATATATTCAGTACTTTAAAATAGTAAATAAAATTATTTTCATGAATTCTATTTCTTTTTTCTTTTTCTTTTTCTTTTTTTTTTTTTTTTTTTTATCCTTTTTCTTTATGGAAGATAAGTTTTATATATGAAAGTCAGAATTACTCCTTGCACTGGTAAAATAAAACGTTGTTCTAATATGAATATATATTTTTATAATACTTTTTTTTTTTTTTTTTTTTTTTTTTTTTTTTTTGTTAGAATGTCGTAAATATCGTCGAAAATGTATACGTGATAATCTAAGCAATCGATGTACAAGATGTATAAAGTTCGATAAAGCATGTGTTCAGCCTATAAAGAATGGAAATGGAAACTCTTCTCTTTTAGATGATAAAGATGATCTTGATCTAGTAGATTTAAAACATAATGTACAACAATTAGAACAAGCAATTCAACAATTTGAAAATCAATTAAATCACCTTCGTATGATTCGCAATAACGATAATTCGAAGAGACATGATGCTTTATTAGCAGATCCTATGATACAAAACTTATTTTATCAATGGAAGTTCAAGATCAAAAATGGTATCTTTGAAATTGAGACAGGCATTCGAAATGTGGGTGATCTATTATCTTATAACAAACAATCTATTTCATATCTATCTCCTCTCAGCAGCAGCGGCAGCAGGAGTAGTAGTAGCAACAGTAATGATACTTCTTCATTAAGTAGTAAAACGGACATATATTGTGGCGAATCAACTCTGTTATTGAATTTCAGCTTAAACAATAAAGAAGGCACAACACCCTTTATGTTTCGTTTGTTTGCTCAATTTTTTAAACATAGTAATTTCAAAACTAAAGATTCCAACGCATTTTTACTGCCAAGAGCATTTATATTCGAACCTTTCTTAGTTGTAAATCAACTTGTTGAAATCTATTTCAAATGTCTCAATGTTTATCACCCATTTCTTCATGAAGCAACATTCCGAGCTAGATTCCTTAAACTACAAAATCCTCTGGCTGATATAGTGACTCTTTGTATTTGTTGTAACGTTTGTTCCTCTGTTTGTAGGCATGTACCTTACGATGCACGTGACAAACGAAGCTTAGCCGATTTCTTCTATTCTAATGCAAAATCCATTCTTTTGGATCAATTTGATCAAATTGAAAAGCGATTAGAAAATGTGATATGTATCAACTTACTTAGTCAATACTTGCACATGACTATAAGGTATTTCGAATATCGACGGTTGATTTCCATGGCCTATCAAATCTGTCTTGATTTAAAGGATTACTACAACTTGAGCTCTGAACGTGTTTCGGAGAACAATGATCATTCTTCTATAGCTGAGAATGCAAAACAGTTTACAACCAATATTGATAAAACTTTATTTATTCGTCATTTGACAATAATTAGTATGCAACTACAATTAATAAATTACATTACAGGTGAAGCTATTGATGCATTCAGTCTTTGCTTTCCAAGTTGGAAATTTTTATCAGATGAACCAGAATTCACCCAAAAGCTAATGCAATCACGAAATTGGGTATTAACTCTATTTAATCATCCTTTCATTAGTAAGTTTATGGTAAATAAACCAAATAAATAAAAAGAGGAAAGAGAGAGAGATGATCATCATTTTATCAATTTAATAGACAGTATGTATTAAATACTTAGGAACAACTATGTAATATACACTTTGGGAAAACGTGTACACTTAGCTTTGAATCAATTGTTAGATTAGAAGCTATATTTAAGGAGTGGGCATCAACATTACCAGACGATTTTCGTATATGTGATGATTTGAAAGATTTTGACAAGTGTAAAAAAGCCATAGATGAAACATCTGATTTAATTTTATTAATAACATTTCTTGGATTCCATTCATTTCATATAAACTTTTATGCCTATCTTTTACAACCTATTGCACACGGACCTAACGAGCAAATACTCAATTATGTAGAACAATATTCACTTAATCAATCCCTTCAGAGTTGTTATTTATTAAATTATACAATTCAACGAATTTTTGCTTTGAAAAGAAATCAATCAGCATGTAAATTCTTGTATATTCTACTATATATATTTGTATATCCTAAATCATAATTATTATATAGGCGTTTATGAATGTATTACTAGTCACTTTATATTTAGAGCAATAGATATACTAGGAATATTAGCATTATCTTCTAATCCAAACGTTACAAAAGCAGCAAGAGAAACTATGAAAATCTGTTTAAATATTATTGAAACCTTTAAATTTATACATGATCTTCATGCATCCTCAAAAGTTCAGTTAATAACAACAACAGGTATACATGAATTTATTAATGGCAGTGTAGTCGATCTAGATCATTATAGTCAATACCCATATCCATGGATTGCACTAATATATGATGTGAGTTATTTTATCGGTACGACATAAGAAATAGGTGTATATGTATGTGTATTTGTATTTGTATAAAAGAAGAGTCTAAAAAAAAAAGCAATTTCATTGTCATTACAAGCAAAATTATAAAGATAAAAGCAACTTTTTGAACTAGGAATTTATTAAAATTTGGTTATTCTTGTCAATATATAAACTCCATCACTTTGTATATAGCAGCAGAATAATCGCCTCCTTCTCTCCCCTATTGTTTAATAATAATAAATCAGTTTTTTTTTTTTTTTTTTTTTTTTTTTTTTTTTTTTTTTTTGTTCCCCTTTCAACAAGAGTAAGGATAATTACTATCATAAAAAGTAGCTTATTCCATATAATACGGTATTCTATCTTATCAGAGAGGATTCATATTACCATCGAGTTAAGGGGCCTGCTTTTTTTTTTTTTTTTTTTTTTTTTTTTTTTTTTTTTTTTTTTTTTTTTTTTTTTTGTCTTTATGACAAGTTATCTCAGCCTGAAAGAGGAGGGAAAGGGCAACTATTGTTAACATAGATACAGTGTCCAGTGATATATATATATATATATATATGTATAGAAATATTAAAATTTCTTTATTTATTTACTTTTTTATTTATTTTTTTATTCAGTCTTTTTTATCAAGTGGAGGAGTAGGTGGGCGAGCACGCTGAGAGATAGCGATTTCTTCTCGCTTCTTTTGGTATCGTTTAAAAGAAGGATACGTTAAGCGCCAAAGAGCATAACCGGCAAAGCCAACCAAATAATGAACATAATAAATTTGGGACCAAGCTCTAATGACTGGTTTCCAATAGAGTAGATTGAAAGCAACCGAGAGTATGTTGACGATTGTCATGGTTACAATACAAGTAATGATATCATAAAAGAATTTAAGCATAGGTTTAGGATTCTTTGTACCTGGAATAAAGACGAGTGGACGGAATGTTCTTCTAAAGTTACGTGCCAACAATTGGAAAGGAGTAACAGATAAGAAGAATACTTTTTTTTTTTAAAAAAAAAATAGACATTAATACGTGAATAATAACACTAATAATAAATAATATACATATCTACTTACGATAATAACCAGGATAAAATCCGTGCCAAAGAGCAGAGACAGCATAAGTAATAAATGCGCTCATAGCACCACCGGTTTGACCTGGGGGAGTAACACGCAAGTATACATAATAACGTAACCAACGATTAGCACCCATATTCCAATGATCAATCATTTCCTTAATAGATTGAGCAAGCTCACATTTAAATACATAAAGGTTTGTAAATCGATCCCAACGTGGTTTACCATTTGAATCAAACCCATTAAATCCAAAACCACACAATACACTTGCTCCTTCTGATAAATACCAAGCAACATAATATTTACAACGGGATGTGAAAGCGGCTACCTGAAGATAAATGAGTCTAAAAAGGGGAAAGAAAAAAAATTTTTTTTTTTTAATATCTCAGTTAATTCCCTTCATGTAATACATATAAACATATAAGAATAATACTTTACTTTTTTACAAACGATAAACTTCTCCATGCATCAGAATCAATATTGGCAGAACTATAATAAGGAGAAATAACGACGACAGCAGCTATAAATAATAAACTCTTGATAATTAAAAAGAGAGTTTGTTTAATAGGAACAGGAACCTTAGTTTTGCCCTTGACTTGAAACATTTGCATTGTTACGAAACGCATATAATCCATAAATTCTGAAGTAGGTCCTACTAAAAATCCACCAAAGAAGAACATCCAACCGAAAAATTCAATTAGAGTAGGGTATCTTTCAATTTTCATGCGCTGGTTGTAACTTGACAGTATAGTTTGATCTTTTGTGCGACCATCAGCCACATTAAATCCAAATGAAGTTAATTTAATAGTGGCAATCATGAGCATACCAGAATAATCATTTGAATTATCAGCATCAAAACCAACTAATTGGCGAGATAAATGGCTAGTTATCATAATAAATTAGCTTCTTGGTATTAAATAGAATAGAATAGAATATATATATCTCACCTGTATGACATACTAATCATGATGATTACAAAGTTAATCCAAGGCCCATTCTTACGTTTATAATATTTCATAAAGATAAAAGTAAAGAAACATGACAAAGTAATATGTATAAATCCTGCATATGAATGAAGTACTGAAATCATAATAAATGATGTGATAAAGATAGAGAATAAATGCTTCACTAATGTTTGTTGATCAGGAATTAATTTGAATAAGATAGCACATGGATAGGATGATAAAATAGAGGCAACAATTTTTAATTGTTCTGCTGTTGGCGTTCCACCCATTTTAGCAGATGCCTGTTCAAAGAAGGCATCCATCTTTTTTTTTTTATTTAAAAAATAAATAAAAAATAAATAAATAAATAAAATAAAATAAAATAAAATAAAGGTATACATATATAATGCACATATTTATATTATATGGAACCTTTTTTTTTTTTTTTGGTTGACGTGACAATTTTTTTTTCCCCTTTTCTTGGGATCATATAGTATAATCGTCGGCAAATTAATAAAACTTGTTATGTAATGTAGAAGCTATTTTATGAACTAGAATATACGATAAAGCATAGAAAGAAGCTATTTGAATAAATACCAATCGACATTTATATAAAAGATGTGCTGCTCTACCGAAATATAATTAAGCATGTATTATTTGCTTGCTTGCTTGCTTGCTTGCTTGCTTGCTTGCTTGCTTGCTTGCTTGCTTATTTATTTATTTATTTTGAAAAGAAAACCCTAATTTATAAACTTAATTCAAATTATGAAACAATGTAGATTAACTATCAGATTATACTCTCTTGATCAACTATGTCGGAAAATAAAAGTAAAAAAAATTAAGACATTGAATTTTTTTAAACAATAGATTAAGAAACAGATAGAATAGCTTTCGTCGTTCAACATGTTCCTAGTAATGTTCATGGAAAAAATAAGTTATGGAATAAAATATACAAACATGGTAAAGTGAAAAACTTCTTTGCCACATAAAAAAAAAGCTTGGAAGAAAACAACAGCAGTTTCACAACCTCAGTACATAATTTTTATTTTTGACTTGTTGAAATAGAAATTCAGCAATAAGCATCAGAGCTGTTGCTACATAATACTGGGGGGGGTTTAAGTATTAGTTCTAGACACATAAATAGAGATACTAAAAGTCAAGTATACTTGAGGTACAAATATGATGATGATTTCGCCATCAAGCAGTATTTGATGCTGTATCGTTCTGAGTAAAGAATAGCATTGTCTCCTTGCTCTTCTGTAGGCTTTTACGTTATTTCTTTTAGCTTTTGATCCCAATCTTTTTCCATTCTTTATGGAAATATAGGCGATGTTGAAAAAAATAAAAATAAAATAAAAAGACACCTCAAGACAATGATTACAACGTTTAACGGGGGTAGTGTTTTACAAACTCTCTGCTTGTAGTAATACATTGATGATTGTTCCCTATCCTTTGGTTGCCTATTATAACACAATATGATCAAAGTCAATGTCTCTACTAGCGTCTTGGCTAATTACCCCCACCTGTTGTCCTTCGTATTATCCTTTTCACCCCTAATTAACTATTGAATAGAAATTATTCAATATATTGCCTCCACATCCACTACAGATCGCAAATGCCACAAACAATTGATGATCCTTTTTTTTTCCTTCCTTCTCAACAAACTTCCTTTCAAAGAAAACCTTCTAGTACAATCATGTCTGCCTCTCCATGGTTTGGTCCGTTGGCCCTTGATCTGATCCATATTACATAATATAGATTATCTAACTTATACCACTATTTCTCTACCTTTTTTCCAATCCAAGATTACTCCTGATAGACCAGTGCATCAAGCCCTCCCTCCCTTTCCTAACATTTTATTTATTTTTTCATAATGTGGTTGATCTTTTACTTTTGCCTTTAATTTTTTTTTTCATACTTTTTTATAATCATAATAGAAAAAATAGAAGGGATTTATTTATTTATTTGCATACATAGAAAATCCATTATTGATGCAAGTAATTTTTTAATGATGTAGAACTGCAGTGATTACTACTACGTGATTTAAACACAAAGAATACACAACAAGAGCAATAAGAGTTTCTTTTGTCAGATGGAAACATCATCTACAAAATGTAAATCTGAAAAGGTTACTGAAGGACAAGCTGTTCTATTCAAATAGTAAAATGGGTGTTTCAGTTCCTCAAAAAAAACAAAAAAAAAAAAAAAAAAAAAAAAAAAAAAAAAAAAAAAACCTACTATTAAAAACTGTTACAGGTTTAAATAAACAAAGTTAAAAAAATAAACTATGAGCTCTACGACTTTTAATACTATCCATGGTAGGAGTAACTTCATATATTTGGATAATAATATTTACCAGGAAATAATGGTTTACTATTTAACATATCCTAATAAATCAGAACCATTTGTTAATTGCTTTTATATAAATTAATCTACTTTCTAGTGACTCTACACTGTCTATAAATTTACTATTTTCATCTACTGAATTAGATAGCTTTTTTTTTTCTTTATATGAAGCAAATTTAATTTTCTCTTTATTAGGTTTTTTATTTATTCATATACATACATATAGTTGCTATACACAACGTTCAGTTATATAAGAATAATATCAGTATATGAAAAAAAAAGGGAAAACTATTTTCCCCCCTTTCCTTTTTGCTTTGTGATTTAGAAACATGGGTCGTCAAAGAATAAACAATTACCAAATGATGCAGCACTTTCTACTGTATCCTTTACACAACGGAATCCAATAGTAGCAGATCGATCAATAGAAGGAGCCATTAATAGATACTTTCCATGTTCATAATTACTGTATGCTTGTGAAAAGTATCTTTCACCATTCTTTGGTTGATAATAAGAGCCACCTCGAATGATAGCTTTTTTTTAAAAAAAAAAAAAGAAATTAACATAATCATTCAACTATACACACATATACATATACAAATATATATATATGTATATATTTAGTTTACCTGATCTTGTATGAGAATCTTGATACACATCTGTCCATTGCCAAACATTACCTACAAGATCATAAACACCCAAAGGAGAACGACCGGAAGGATGGGCATCAACATCTGCAGGTGGGTGGTCAGGATAAAGTCGTTCTCGACCATTATAAACTTTAGGAACCATGGTTTCATCCCATTCATTACCCCAAGGATATTTTCGATATTCAGTACCACCTTGAGCCACGAACTGCCATTCCCATTCATGTGGAAGTCTATGATGGATGATAATGAGGAATTTTGCTTAATTTTCAAATTTAAGTATATATAAAACCTCGCAATTTTTTTTTTTTTTTTTTTTTTTTTTTTTTTTTTTTTTTTTTTTTACCGTTTGCCTGCCCATTTAGCATATGCTCTGGCATCTTCAATAGAGACATGAATAATTGGTTTATTAGCTCTGTCAGCAGGATAACATCCTCCAATCCAATGTTTTAAAAAGTTGGTAGGATCAGTTGGTTTATATCCACTTTCATCAAGAAAATTTTTAAATTGACTTTCAGTTACAGGATAGGCATCCATATAGAAGGTATTGATCTTCATCCGATAAGGAGCATGTGTTCGAGATGGCTGAAATCTAATATTGATATTAATTAGTTTAGTTTATGTATGTATATATGTATATCTAAAATTAAATAAAATGAATGAATGAATAGTTTACTCCCAAGGATATTTGATATCAATGCTAAGAATAGTAAATAAATTAATAATCGAGCTCATTAATTTCATATTGAATTCAAAAAATTTTGCAAGTGTATTTACCCAGTATATTCGGATGGGCCATTAGGATGAGAACATAGGCCATTCACACGGAAATTAAATATATCACCTTCAATTCGAACCATGCCACAGTATCGATCGTCGTTATACTTACTAACGACGACTTCATCCAATTCTTGCCATAGAATAGAGTTACAGATAGGATGTTGGTAAAGGGGGGTCCTTGAACGATGATTCAGAGATTTCAAAAGTGCATCCAAGCCTTTTGGTAAAGGAGAAACATCACAAGCAGCAAAGATACATCCATAACCATAGGGCTCAATATCAAAACTAAGAGTAGCAAGACCATCTACGATATCCGTAGGATACATCTCACTTCCAAGCCATACGTTGTAAAATTGCAAACCAATATGATAGTTGACTACAATCTGATGACCCTTAACATGAATAGGTCCACGATTGATGAAGGTCCAAACAGTTTGTTCTTTGACAGATTGACTAGGGAATTTACTAGCAAAGACGGTTTCATAGTGAACACAAGGACAATGAGGTTCCCATTCAGGGGAAGAAAAGAAATCAGGTCCAAAACATCGAAGTATACTTGAGGTTCTACGTATGGCTTCTGAATCACGTGGAGAAAGTGCATTCCAGGTACCAAAGATGTTTTCCCACAGTTCGATACCTAAGCCTATATTTTATAATAGTAAATCGTTATATTGTCTCTCTCTGTTTCGTTCTTTTTTTTTTTTTTTTTTTTTTTTTTTTTTTTTTTTTTGCATACCATTAAAGAAAGCATGTTGAATCATAAATGTCTTGTTTCTAGACCATTTGTCAGAGGTATGTGTCATGTGTCTTGGTTCAACAAACTTTCTTGTTGCAACAGTAGGAATATGCCTATATTTGATTATGTGAGTATTTAGGTTCAAACGCTTAAACAATGTATACATACAATTTTGTATCATATTTTGCTGTCATTTTTTTTTTTAAAAAAAAGAATGTAAATGTGGGTTAAATCAGTATATTACATCAATGAGATATTGATTAGATAATATATATATATTTTTATATACTAACCCATATCCATAGTATTCCATTGCATAATCTATATAAAAGTTAAATAAGAAAAAAATATTTACATGTAACAACCTGCCATATATGTATATTTACACGGTTGTTATCCTCATCTTCAGCTCCATCCATTCTGTTGCTACTGTTAGCTTCAGATTGGAAGACCAAAGGATGTCCAATAGCAAGAGAAGTTGTCCAATAATCTTGCGTAAAATATGCAACTTCACTTGACATACCATCCACATTGTATTCCTCTAGAATAATAATAATAATAATAATAAAATAAGGTCAGCAATGTATTACAACTGATGATACAGAACTATATAGTTTGTATGCGTATTTGACAAGTTACTAAATAATCGAGGTAAAATATAACTCCAACTTGCTTGTGGATCACGCTAAAATAAGGGGAGGGGGAAAATAAGTTAAAAAAAAAATGCCGGTTAATTTTATTTTATAGTATATTAAACTTACAGTTCCATTATCCCAATTGAGAATAGGGAAAATCACCTTTATATTTTTCATGTGAAATTCTTCAACTAGGCCACGAATAGCAGTGGTACCTTTTTTTTTTTTTTTTTTTTTTTTTTTTTTTTTTTAAGAAAAAGAAATAAAGTAAATATTAAAAATTTCCACCTAATCATTTCAGTTATATTAACCTCCAGGCAAACATCTAAAATAATCCTCAGAATTACGACTATCACAGCCAAGATTAGGAAAAGCTGGCCAAACCTATGTAAAAGCATGTAAGAAATTCCTTCTCTCTCTCTTTTTTTTTCCTTTCAGAATTCAAAACAAAGTTCACTCACAACAACAGAATCAACTTTCCCATAACGTTCTTCAATATCTATGTAGTAAGTATGTAAATCATAAATTATGCATGGAAATCTCTTTATATAAATATCCCTCTTACCATTAACGAATTTGTCTACAGTAAACTTATTTGTTTTAGGATCGAATAAGAACAAATCATTCATCATAACATGAGGCTGAACATAACTTGCTTGAACCCACTTGGATCATAAATTATTTTTTTTTTTAAAAAAAAGGTTAAATAATAAATAAATGAACGAAACTTTTTTTTTCTCGCATTTTACCTGAAGTTTAGAGATATCATAACTAGATGTCGTAAGGTTTTCCTTTTTATTATGTTGTTCGAGTCGCCATTTTTTTAAATGTGAAATCCATTCCATATAATCTCTAGGTGAGGCAGGACCTTCAACTTGATGAGATCTAAACTTGAGTTCATATTTGCCAGAAAAGGATTTTACAAGCATTATAAATATTCAAAATAAGAAGTAAAAAGCAAAAAAAAAAAAAAAAAAAAAAAAAAAAAAAAAAAAAAAAAGAGGAGTAAGATGAGAGATTATAGGTTATCTTCCTTATATATGGTGATGTTATGTTTTTATTTCATTGTTTTAGGGTTTATTCATATATTTGGCTACATTAATACAAACAATGTAGGATGGTTTCCTATTAGTGGATTGTATAATAATCTAAAAAAAAAAAACTTGTAGGACAATGGAGGCTATCGTAGTACATTTAAATAACTATTTTGTAAATGACCTAAGCACGAGATAAAATTATTTCAAAGTGGCAGGACTGATGTTGACCAACAAGAATCTTTCTGTTAAAAAAAAAAAAAGAAAAACAATTTGATTTGATCCAAAAAAGAAAAAGCTGTGACACAAACATGGTCCTTGTCACTTAGAGATTACAATTAATATTTCTTTGTATTTTAATTTTATTATTATTATTATTGAAAGAAGGAATCAGATCATGAACATATCCTTTGGAAGAAGCATAAGGAAGAAAAAAATAAATAAATGGATGAGAATCATTTTTGCTATGTTAAAACTAATAAAGTAATAGTAAAATTTAACACAAAACTCCATAAAACCTTAACATGGCTTAAAGTATAACTTACGATTTCATGACGACACTCAGTACAGCTTTTTCTTTTTTTTTTTTTTCATTAAGCAGACACAATATCATCCTATGGAAAGGAAACAGCAATGAAGAAAGAATTTAGCAAAGATATATATTAAGGAGGAGTGTGGGTGGAAGGGAAGTGGCTCAAAAAACAAAAAGTGTGATAGCAAGCTGGCTTTAACTTTTATCATGACCAAGTGTCTTTCTAAATGAACATTAGTCTTTTCATATTAATTTTTGAAACAAAGTATAGTTGTGTTCAAAGAAGAGCACACTTATCATAGTTACAGCAGCGCCAATAACTAACGCTAGAGCAGTGTCTATTTTAGGCGCTATTTCTAATTCTGATTTGGTTAACGTCAGTACAAGTTAGAGCATAAATAAAATAATATTTGGAGTTGCGATTAAAGCTTATAGTAGAGGCTAATGAAACAAGTCATTATCTGAGCTTTTTTTTTTTCTTTAAAGGACATTTACTTGATCTAGTTAAATACTGTTTTCTGATAGTTATTGTTCTTATATATTTTGATCTGGAAAGTACTTGTGCGACTCTTAATGATGCGTCTTAATATCATTTAAAGAAAACTGCTATATATATTTATTAATATGTCTATGTCTAACTAAATAGACCCAGGTATGAGTACTGGATTATTATATAAACGCATTGATCATGTTTATTGTTGTAATCAAAGTTATTACAATAGTTTGAGGTACAATATACTCCTTTTATTATCTGCCTGTAAACTTCAATATAATTTTGAATATCTTATTTTCATGATCGTCGAGTTATCATTTAATATCAAATAGCAACAGCTATTTTAGTTATGCATACATGTTGGATTACTGAAGAAAATCTGTAAAGATTTGTTAATAAAGAATAAAGTTCAAAACTCAAAGTTTCTTCAATTCTTTTTATAGTTTTTTTTAAAAAAAACAAGTATCCTTTATCGCTATCTTGATCCTATATTAGATATAGTTAATCCAAAGGATATAACATTAACCAATCTAAATTGGACATTTAAAGGTACAGCTTTGCTTTGACTTAATAGTGGTTTCTTCAGGCATTATTTGCTGTAATCACTAGCTATCTTCATTTACTAGAATCCACTATATTATTCGAAGATTAGTATGATAAAAATAATGTGATGTTGACGGTAATGTTAGTGGTTAAAATAATATGGTATTTGACGTTGTATAAATCGAGAAATATAGGGCAAAAAAAAAAAAAAAGATTTACTAAATTAGGCAAAAATACTGCTCTATTTAATTATTTTATTACTTTGTTTTATTTTTCATTTTTTTTTAAAAAAAAATCTTTCTACAACTTATGCAAATAAAGAATGTTACATACTTTTATTATACTTGATGGTCACCCAGATGCATTTGCACCTTTAACAAGAGTAAATGATCAATCCATAGATCCAACACGTACGTTGAATGAAATCCTAATTATATAACAAATGAAGCTCATTATGCTTTTTTTTTTTTTTTTTTCTTACCCCACCCCACCCCTCCAGATCAGATTCCTACTTATCCTTTATGGACTAGTATGGTACAAAGTTCTTTAGATTTTTGTCGCATAGTTTGGGATATACAACAAACCAAAAGATATATTGTAATGTCAATTCGTTTCATTATAATTTATATTCATTTATTAACTGAAGCTTTCTCTCCCTCTCTTTCTCTTTATTTTTTTTTTTTTTTTTCATAGATCAACGTGCTAGTTGCAGGGAAAACACCTATTTTACTTAATAATACCTCAGAGCAAGATATTAGAATATTACAACAAAAATTTCCTCATGTCCAACCTAGACAATCTTATTCACATGACCGAATACAGGCTACAATTGAAAATGCACTTCAATTATATCAAGAACAATCTCATGAATACATTTTAAGTCGATGTCGTATCATTCTTGTTATTGTTGCAAAAGATCAATCTGAAAAACAGTTCGAGTATGTTACTATTCCTTTCTCTCTGAAAAAAAAAATATATCCTAAAGTATTAACTATTGTTTAGATTTCGAAATAATCCACAAGATCCTGTCCGCGATTTACAAGCCATTGTTTATGAATCACTCAATAAAGTAAATAACGCGAACCCTTCAAAAAGGTATGTATATACTACGATGATTATGAATAGTATTTACTTTGGTTGTTAATAATAATAATATAAAAAAAAGTATAAGTCATGTACAAGTAGACGTACTACGATCATTATCGTTTTCTGATACACCTGAGCATCTTATACAAGACAAAATTATATCTAAGAAAGTGACACATCAAATAACAATGTCAGCTTATAATATTCCAAACGGACAAGATGACTTAAAATATGCAATGCGTCATCTTGCACAATTATATTATAACATTAATATATTGCACATATCAAATATACCAATGAAGGTAAGGTAAAAAAAAAAAAAAAAAAAAAAAAAGATAATAATTGGAATTGATTTGTATTTGTATTTTGTATAGTCTGCAGCAGAACAAATACAACAGCAATCAACACGTACAGTTACATTATATTACCAAGCAAATGGACATCATTTAATTAATCAACAGGAACCACTAAGAAACTCACTTATTCATGATCCAGCCTATTTAAAATATAGAGAGCTAAAGTTAATCTATTCTAAACGTAGTAAAAGATCTTTATCAGGTAATAAACAGGCAGGCAAAAAAAAAAAAAAAAAAAAAAATTAATTAAAAAGACCTTTATTTACATATTTCGTGTCAGAATCTGAATGGTGCTCTTGCATACACACTATTTCGCCATTAAAAGTAAGCATGTCCTTTAAACTAGTGTTATTATTAGTATTATTAAAATGGCTATTATTTGATTTAGTTACATGATGGTGTAACTCAAGTTTATTTAGATATGATATTTAAAGGTATAAAGAAGAAGGATAAGAGTAAGAAAAGAAACTGATAAAGTTTGTTTGTTTATCTTAGGTAGTGTTTCTTATCTTGTATTGCCTGAGCTTAGTCATACCAAATCATGGACTCATACATTAATGGTTGAAGATGGTAAAAAAGGAAGGAGTAAAGACAGTTATCTTTTTTTTTATTAATACATGTTTGAAAAAGGTACCATCTTTTTATGTTGCTTTAATAATCAACTTCAACAGCAATTCACAGAAGCAAAAGACGATATAATTTCATTATCAAAAGTAGTAAAGATAGAAGGATTTGTTGAGCATCATGAGACTAAGGGTATGATACCCAAAACAACAGAATTGGTAGATACAATAATTCGTCCTAATTTATTTGATAATATGAAACAACTATTACATGAAACGTCTACAAATCCATTATGTAGAACTGTATCTTTTAATCCTTTCCTCTTTTCACATCATCTTCCTATTATAACTCATTCAAAATTAGTTACATCTCGTTCAATCGAAAAGGCTACTCGTTGGCGTACTTGTTTCCGTGATTGCGAAGGTACAAATCTCTTCCCTGTAACTCTTCATCATAGATCGATTGAAGATCTTGCTATGGATGTACTGAATGGTGTTCCTATTAGTTCTGGATTTGGTATTGCTTTAGGACTTATTCATGATTTATTTGAACAGCTTCAAGATATTTTCTTTAAAGATATAATTTCATCAAAGGATGTATCGATGACAAAGGAATTAATCAATATGATTGTGTCTGAATTGAAAAGTGGAATGGAGGGAGCTGGCAAAAAACTCTTTGTAAAAGGATTAGGAAAAGAACATACCAAGCTTTTATCTAAAAAACTTCTTGTTGCACTTTATCTTATTGGAAAAAGATTTCAAAAGGATTCAGATAAACATAAAATGGTAATAATAATTAAAAGAAAAGAAAAAAAAAAAAAGAGCAAGCCTTTTTTTTATCTTATTATTCTTACTTGCTTACTTTTTTTCTATATAAAGTTATGTAATTATATAGTTACTACTATTAAAGAGAAAATAGATGTTTTATCTACTCAAATAACTGACTATACGAAAAATACAACGACGGAAATCAAAGCAGAGGATGTAGCATGGAATCAATTTCATCATTATGAGAATATGTCTCTCAGAGAACGAGAGGATGCTGCACAAGGTTTATTACCAGAAACAAAAAACTTGAAAACAGTTCAAAATGATAATACTATGTTTAAGGGACAATCAGTGCCCCTTTATCAAATAAAGAATGAAAAAGGAATTCAACAGCAAACTTCAGTAAAATATAATCCTAATTTTAGATCTCGACGTGGACAGCAGACTATGGCTACCACTCATACTACAATTCCTGCTACTGTTACTGCTGCTACTGCTACTGCTACTGCTACTACTACTGCCACTATGACTACGACCACGACTACAAGTAGGGATATAAAGGATCAAACAAGTCCATTAAATCAATATCCTAATCCCTCTGCCGCTATACCTTATTTAACCTTTATTGCCCCTACAATTGAAGAGAAAGAACAAGAAGAAAAGGAAGAAGAAGCAAGTTTAGGAAAGCCAGGGAATTTGCTTTGGCTTTATTGGATGAATGATAAACTAAAGAAGAGAGGACATCATGAAGAAGGAGATATTAGCAGTGATGCTGAATTAGTTTATAAAGATCATCAATGGAAACGGGTTAAGAAAGAGTTCTTGGGTCGTTTAGCTCAGCCTGGAGAAAAAGGAGAAACATCTTGATGATATATAACATATACATATTTATTAATTATATATGGCATTTTTTTTTTTTGATACAAATGCCATATAATACTTCTTATCTGGATATGATATATATTTATATGAATTTTTTTTTTTTTAATAAACTATCTGATTAAATTCATTGGACATGGCCTGAATACCCCATTGAATATTATCATAACCTTCATTCTCATAATGCTTTTGCTGCTGCATCTCACCTGCTTGCTCTTTAACATGTCTTTTCATGATCTTTGTAAATAACCATGAAAAAACCGTCAAAGCTACAGTCGCTAAAGAAAAGAAAATATAACCAAAATTTTGAGCAGCAGTAATATCAGCATTTGTATATGTAATGATCACTTTGATAATAAAGCCTATGATGAGCGTTATACCCCAACAAGCAGTTAATATTCTTAAATCTGTTCTAAACTTGGACATATGATTATAAATCCAATTGAGTCTACTCTGTTTATCCGTCGTACTACTTGACGTAGACTGCTGTTGTGTTCGTTCTTGATCGATCGTTTCTAATTCTTCACTCTCTGCTGTACGAGGCATGATTTGATTTGCAACTTGAAAGATAAGAGGACGTAATTGAAACGAACCCATTTTGATAGGAAATAAAGATAATAAACAAAATATACCGACTAAAAGAGGTACAATGGATTCACAAACAGTAGAAACTTGAGGCGATGGTTGTGCAATAGACTTTTAGAAACAAATAAATAAATATGTATATCAAAAACAATATCTAATAAAGGAAAAAAAAAAAGATACTTACAATTATGCCAGATATTAAAAAACTAATACCTGCCACAAAGCCTAATACATCCATTGTTTTGGTTTTAATCATTCGACTAACATTAAAAAAATGAGTAGAAAAAAAAAAGCAAAGAAATAAAATAAAATTACATATTTTATATGGCTTACGAGACTACGATAATTAAAGGAGGACAAGAAGCAATGATCATAGCTAATACTTGTCCTAAATGATGTTTCAATAAATGGTATAATAATATAGGTAAACCAATACTCCAAAGTATGGCTAAAATAAAATTCGTTATAGGTCTCCCCTCAATAAATTGAAATGTGAAAATGTCTTGAAGACTTCCAAGATCCATTGGTAGATCTTCATTTTGTTGTTGTAATCTATTTGAGTCACGTTGCTGCTCAATTTCTTGGTATTGATGTTCTGTCATAATTTAGTGAAACATACATAAACAATTGACAATAATTATAATTTTTCTGCTTCACATCATCTTATTATTTAATTGGATGACGTATTTCTTTAACAGCAAATCAAATTCAAATTCAAAAAAAAACATGTATTGAACAGTTTGGTGAGTGTACTGCCTTTATTGGATATTTATGCTCTTAATGAATTATGCATAATTCATCATTCATATATTAAACACATACATGTATACTACAATTATATTCAAAGTTGGTATATTTAAAATTAATGTATCGGCAGACACATGATAACTTTTGGTAAATGACGTAGTGAATATCTATTATTATCAAAAACAATCATTAAATACTTGAAGGATGAACGAATTCAAGCAGGGTCCATTATTATGATCTTTGTTGTTATTAATCCAAATCACCCATCATTTTTTTATAGAAAATATTTTACCAGTTTAATAAAATAATGTACTCGCTTACTTAATTTCATTTGAATGTAGTTTTAATCTAATGTAAGTTAAAATGCCTATCTTTTATTTCCATGAGAAAATAAGTAAAAGTAATTACTACAAAAGTAAGCGAGGTAATCATCAAAAAAAAAAAAGACAGAAACTATCAAGAGTATTAGAAAGATTGCCCTTATTGTAAATAGTAGAAATTGTTAAGAAACATGGAATTTATAGTGAAAAATTGTGACTGTTTATTCATTTCTTCTTGATTGAAACAATCAACGACATCTTTTAAAAAGTACAACAAAAGTAGCATAAAAGTAAACGGTAATAAGTTTGCATGAATGAACGCCGTAAGTGGTGGTGGTAGTGGGGAGGAAATAGTGTTGTCCTACTATCAAATGCATATTATTGAAATTACAGTAGTCTGCTGCTTTTGTGTTCCTATTACTACTTTAGGCCATCGTTGTTACTACAAATATCATCATCTTTTTTTTCCTTATTAGATGGGTTTTTAACGGAGCTTACTAAATATGAATCATTATTTTTTTTTTTTTTTTCTTTTTATAAAATCCCTCTTTTTTCCTTTTCCTTTTCCCATACCGTTTCCTTTTTCTTCTTTTAAATAATGCCAAGCTTATTTTCACTCACAAAGACGGCTATTTTAGTCTCTTGTGTATTTAGTTTTACTGCCTTTGCTGAACCAGCTATTTTCAAACAACAAGATGCTACAGTCGATTTTGGTGATAAAGCATGGAGTGACGTTCAACATGTCTTTCAAGGTGCTGCTGATAGGGTCCATAGTATTACAGATAAAGTAAAAGAAGTTTTTAACCATGAAGATAGGCATCAATTCACTTCATTCTCTCATCCTGCTTTCCCTCAATATGCTATGAGATATAAACAACCTAAACTTTGTGACCCTGATGTGAAACAAGTAAAGAATGATAATTTTATAGATACACATACACATTACACATTGGACTTATAAAATGTTTAGATTTCAGGTTATTTAGATGTTCAAGGTGATAAACACTTTTTCTTTTGGTTCTTTGAGTCAAGAGATAAGCCCAAGGAAGATCCTCTTGTTTTATGGTTAAATGGTGGTCCTGGTTGTTCATCTTTAACTGGTCTTTTTATGGAACTGGGGTAATTATGAATCATCTCTTTTATTTTCTTTCTTTTTTAACATATTTTACATAATATAGTCCTTGTACTGTTAATGCTGAAGGTAATGATACTTTAATCAATAAATATTCTTGGAATGAAAATGCCAACGTTATTTTCTTGGATCAGGTAATAAATAAAGAAAACTTGAACTACTTTTTTTTTTCTTATTTTAAATTCTTCTTCTATTAGCCATTGAACGTTGGTTATTCTTATGGTAAAAATGGCGCTTCTAATACAGATGCTGCTGCAGAAGATGTGTATGCTTTCCTTCAACTCTTTTTCAAAGAATTCCCTCGTATGTATTATTTTTTTTTTATTGACATAGAATACATATAACTAATCTATATATTTACATACTGCAATAGAATATGCTGACCTTGATTTCCACGTTTCAGGAGAATCTTGTAAGTATTTTTATTTTATTTTATTTATTCTATTTTACAAATTTCACTTATATTATTATTAGATGCTGGACATTATATTCCTGCTATTGGTGGTGTTATCAATAGGAACAATAAAGGTCATTTCCAATCTATGGAGCTCTTGAAAAAGAAAAATACTTTAGCCGATATTAACTTGAAGAGTTTATTGATCGGCAATGGTTTGACCGATCCTTTAATTCAATATAAATATTATGCTCAAATGGCTTGTAAAAACTCTTATAAACCTGTGTTGAGTGAATCTGTTTGTAGAAATATGGAGGCTCAATTCCCTGCTTGCGAACGATTGATAAAGAATTGTTATGAAAGTCAAAACGTCTTTGCTTGTTTACCTGCTGCTATGAAATGTAATAAGGATCAAATTCAACCTTATCAACAAACGGGTATGAATCCTTATGATGTTCGTGAGAAATGTAAAGGCGGTAACCTTTGTTATGATATCCTTGAATCTGTTCAAAAATATTTGAATCTCCCTGCTATTAAAGAAGAAGTAGGCGCTGAAGTGAAAGAGTATGAGAGCTGTAATATGCAAATTAACTTTAGATTTCAAATGGCTGGTGATTGGATGCGTCCTTACGTTCGTGAAATTCCTACACTTTTAGAAGATGATATTAGAATTTTAATTTATGCTGGTGACGCTGACTTTATTTGTAATTGGATGGGTAATAAAGCATGGACTCTTGAATTACCTTGGTCTGGTCAGGAAGAATTTGTTGCTGCTAATGATACTGAATGGTATTCAGAGATTGCTGGTAAACATGCAGGTGAACTTCGTAAGACTGAGGATGGTCGTTTTGCTTTCTTGCGTGTCTTTGGTGCTGGTCACATGGTTCCTTATGATCAACCTGAAAGCGGTTTAGATATGTTACAACAATGGGTTCGTGGTGAACTTAACTAAAATCCCTTCGATGTTTAATAAAACTAGCCTCATTATTGATAACAAATACTATAATAATAATAATAAAAAAACGTAAATACGGCAAATGTTATATGATGAATTCTAATTTATATACATGTTTATTTTGACTGGTGGTGTAATAAATAGTCTTATTTTGCTACTTAATAAATAGAAAAGGCCTTGTTATACTATGTTATGTTTAACTTATTCATAACCCTCTATTGATGGAAATATTTACTTTTTGTACCAAATCTATTATTTTTCAATATCACTGGAGACTTTATTATCATTTCATGCTTTTTTTTTTCTCTAATTAACAAAAGTTATAGGCCTGTACACAATGTTAACTCAATAATACCATCATCATATAACTGCTCAACAATAAAATAAAAATTATGTACAAATTCAGGAAAAATGATCTCTTCAAATTAAAAGTTCTCTAATACACAAATTAGAAAAAAAAAATTTATACACTAACAAAAGCTCGTTTTAAATGTGCGCACTTTGCTCGATTTTTTTTTCTTATTTTTTATTTATTTATTTATTTTATTTTATTTTTTTTTATTTTTTTTTTTTTTTTTTCTTCAACATAAATCATGGTTTTAGCTGATTTAGGTCGTAAAATCAATTCAGCTTTTGCTGAATTGACAAAGGCACCTGTTATTGATGAAAAAGTAAAATAATCAACAATAACTCGAGAAGGATAATATTAAAATATAGATATCGATTTTTTTTTTGTTTTGTTTTATAGGTTCTTGATTCTTTAATAAAAGAAATTTGTGCTGCATTACTATCATCAGATGTTAATGTTCGACTTGTTCAAAAATTACGTACAAATATTAAAAAGAGCGTAAATTTGAATGAATTAGCCAATGGTACAAATAAGAAAAGAATGATTGAAAAGGTAAAAAATAAAAAAAATAAAAATAAAAATAAAATAAAGCATAGGATTCTCAATTGACAGATTGCTTTATAAATAATAATAAACGTAGGCTGTCATGGATGAATTATGTCATTTAGTTGATCCTGAAGCACAACCCTATAAGCCTGTTAAACGCCGAACCAATATTTTTATGATGGTGGGTCTTCAAGGTGCTGGTAAAACCACAACCTGTACCAAGATTGCTTCATTTTATCAACGTAAAGGTTGGAAAGTGGCCTTAGTTTGTGCCGATACCTTTCGTGCTGGTGCCTTTGATCAATTAAAACAAAATGCTACAAAGGCTAAAATTCCTTACTATGGTAGTTATACGGAAACAGATCCTGTTGCAATTGCTTTAGAAGGTGTAGAAAAATTTAAGGCCGAGAAATTCGAAATTATCATTGTGGATACCTCTGGTCGTCATAAACAAGAAATTGAATTATTTGAAGAAATGAAACAAATCTCTAATGCAGTTGTAAAGTAGAAAAAAAAAAACTATGATATTCATGTAATTTTTTTTTTGTCTAAAACCTTATTATTATTGTCCTTTGTTAGAAACCAGATACAACTATCTTTGTTATGGATGGTACAATTGGTCAAGCTGCTGAATCTCAAGCCAAGGCTTTCAAAGAAGCTGCTGATTTTGGTTCGATTATTATCACTAAAATGGATGGTCATGCTAAAGGTGGTGGTGCCATCTCTGCGTAAGCTGTCATCTTTATTTCTTTCTCACGTCATTATTATTTACTTTTTTATTATAGTGTTGCTGCAACACATAGTCCTATCATTTTTATTGGTACAGGTGAACATCTTCAGGACATGGAACGATTTGAACCCAAATCATTCATTCGTAAAGTACTTGGTATGCATGATATGCGTGATGTGATTGAACAAGTTCAAGATACGATGCAAACAACTGAAAGTAAAAAATTGATGAAAAACATTGAAAAGGGCCAATATTCTCTTCGCGATATGTATGATCAATTCCAGCAAGTAGCAAAGATGGGTCCTCTTTCAAAATTAATGGGAAGTATACCTGGAATGTCTCCTGAAATGATGGCAGGAACTGAACAAGAAAGCTCAAAGCGTATGAAGCGTATGATGTGTATTATGGATAGTATGACTGATGAAGGTATATATATATATATATATATATGATCTATCCGCATAACATCAAAGAATGAGATTATTTACATTATATATATATATACATATATACATAGAGCTTGATGGAGATCATAAACCTTTTGATGATATAAATAGAGTTATTCGTGTTGCTCGTGGATCTGGTACAACAGTTCACGAAGTCCAAGAAATCTTGAGTCAATATAAGAAATTTGCAGATATGGTAAAGACAATGGGAGGTAAGAATGGTCTCATGCAAAACATGCCTACAGATCCTAGAAAGATGAGTCCTGCTCAAATGGCACAGATGGGTAGAATGCAACAACAAATGGCAAATATGGTCCCTCCTCATTTATTACAACAAATGGGTGGTATGGAAGGCCTACAAAGAATGGCAAGACAAATGGGTGGCTTATTTGGTCGTGGAGGTGGATTAGGTGGTGGTGGTGGAATGCCTGATATGGCACAATTAATGAAAGCTATGAATCTTGGCTAAAATTGATATTCATATATTCCTTTTCTTTCTTTCTTTCTTTTTAATTACGCAAATACATTTATATATATATTAAAATTTTTTATTATGTATTAGATAATACATTTTTTTTTCCCTTCTTCTTCTTCCAAGTAAAAATAGTATATCAATTTTGTTTTAATGGTATTTATTACATTTGTATATACTTTAATGAACAATAACTAATGGTTACAGAGAGTTGGAATATTTCCATGCTTTTACATCAAATGTATTCACAAATTTGTTATTACTATTAATAGTAATAAAATCTTTTAATTCTCCAAATAATTCAACTGAGGTAGTTTCCTCAAAATAAGCTGGTTTCCAGCCATTTGTTTGTCCATTCTCTTCCCTTAATTTTCGAAGTGCTCTTTGCTTATTTTCAATAAGAGATTTTTCATTAGAGGCTGTCACATAATCACCTTCCTTTAATGCCTTCGAGACCTTCTCCCACACCTTACGGGATTCAAGTGAGGATTGTTCAGATAGAGGCTTTATTTCGACAGGAGGGCGTTCAAGTTTACCAAGTTCAATGAATGGTTGCTTCTTAGGACTGTTATGCTTTTTAATAGTTGCCTTTGATGTCCATTGACCTTCGATTAGAGTGGGACCCTCTTTAAGCAAAGTTCTATGTTGTATGGTGGCTTTAAAATGATGAAATTCTCCAGAAATCCAACCCTTTGTAGAATATTCAATGGTAGTATAAAATCCTGTAGAAGACTGAACATACGATTTACCATGTAACTCAAGATAAGGAGCTATAAAAGAAAAAATAATGAAAATGAAAATTATCATCATGTTAAACAATATACATATATATATATTTATATGTATACATGTGTATTACTTTTATTATTATTAAATATGAATTACCTGCATACCAAAGACCATTTACAGAAACAGGAGGTAAAGAAAATAAATACTTTTCACCATGTTGCTTCATTTCCAACATACAAAAACCGATTTGATCAATCAAGAGTTGGGTACCAGAGAAGCGAGATCTTTGTGCACTATTGCCCGTGATAGAGACACCAGATGGTTTATGCTCAATATAAAAGGCCGTAATAGGTGGATGATGGCTCACTTGTTCGCAAATAGCTTGAGTTGTCCCATCCTTCCAACTACAAAAGAACTGCTCTCCTAAAATAGGATTAAAAGGCTTCTTTTCCCATTCTCCCTTAGGTACACGACTTGAGAATGTTCCATTTAAAGCAGTAATGAACCATTTCATAACCCTATAAAAACGCTCTTCTTCTGTTTCACCTTCAGTTGTATCTGCTAACTTTAAAAATAATAATTATACATAAATAGTATATTAAAATATATATGTATATGTATAATAAATAAAAAGTCAGGTAATTAAAAAAAAAATATAAATATATATTTATATAAATATGTATAAAATAAAAAATAAAAGAATTTTACAACATCAGGACATTCATTCCAAAAGGCACTAATAATACGGATAAATAATATATACCAAATGTAAGTAATTGAACCAAAGAAAACAAGATAATAATATGTCAAAATATATGTAATAATAAAAACTTACGTATATTCAAGAAGTGATTCTGGAGCCAAAAGAAAACTGGGGCATGTCAAACTAGATAAATCGCCAGTGAATGAACTAAGTGTTTTTAGAAAAGTAGTAAAGCTACTTTTTTGATCTTCTGGGATACTGTCCAATCTATTTTCAGCTGTAACCATTCTAAAGAAGTCAAATACCTTTGAATTCCCTTTTTTTTTTAAAAAAAAAAATGAAATGAAATAAAAAATATATGAAATCCAAGAAAAAAAAATTACTGTAATATATTGACAGCTGGTTACAAAAATAAGCAACTGATATTAAAAAAGTAACACAGACAGAATTGGCTGACTTAATAACGTAATCTGGAGAATAAAATAATTTTGCATGAGCACGTACATGTATATATATTTCGGTTAATATTAGAATTAAACCTTTTTTAGAATATTGGTATTAATAAATAAATATTTATTTTACATTAAGGAAAGATAGTGAGTATACCTCATTAAAATGTGGATTTGAATAAATGCTATACAAATGAGTTTATCATATTTTTTTTCTAGTTGATGTAAAATTATGTATAAAAGTCCTTTAGAAAATATTAAAATATCGAAGCTTATCTCTTTATATTCATATACATATACGTATAAATATATTTCTATTTACATTTATATTTATGCATTCGTTTCCTTGTGCATGAAGATATAATATTTACTTTTTCTTTCCTCTAATTTTAGAGAAAATGAAGATACTTTTTATAATTGCTATATTAACAGTAACTTCAACTGCACTTGTAAATGATGTTAATGAAGATTGTACAGGTATATATATACAAGAAAGAAAAAATGAATATTCCTTATGTATAACATTATTTATCTTCACATTCTTTTTTTTAGTCATAAATCCTATAGGTAATACCATTATTATGGCTGGCGATAAAATGAAAATTGCCTGGTAAAATAGATAAAATGATAACTTATAATTCTTTTTTAACCAAATGATAATATTCTAATTTAAAAGGGTGAATTCTCATGTATCAAATTTCTCAAATATTTCCTTGGTTCAAGCAGATGGAAATAGGACTCCTATCATTATTGCTGAAAATGTTCCTACTGCACCTGGTCAAATCGTAGTTAATCTTCCAAGAACACTTATTCCTTCGAATGCATGTAAAAGAATTTACATTTTATATATATATATACAAGACACTAATTTATTTATATTAAAGATTATATGACACTTGGAACAAAACCATATCAATGCCAGTCTGGTAATCTTCGAATTATAGGAGCAGCTGCCAGTAAGTTTACATATACATATTTACTTTTGTTATACATATACACATATAAATCTTTTTTTATTTTTTATTTTTCTTTAGGTGTTCCTGATCCTAAGGTACCTGAAACGTTTAATAATCAAATCTCTTCTGGTAGATTTCCAAAGAGTTTAGATGAATCAAATGCATCTTATATTGCTACAACAACTATAGCTACAGTGCTACTCATTATAGGCTCTATGCTTATACTCAGATAATATCTTTAAATCTGATCCATTAAAAAAAAAAAAAAGAAAACTTCCTTTGTAGTTTTACATGTAAATAAATAATAATATTTTATCCTTTTTATAATGTAGTTAAAATATTAAGTAAACTATTTACTAACCACATTGTATATAAGTCTATCCTATTCATAGGTTGATCATATATAGCCTTAAAAAAAGTATGTTTTTATTGCATTGTGTACTTTAACAAAAAAAAAAAAGATTAGATTTGTATAATATTCTACAATACCTACCACATCTTTATCCTCATCAAACTTGAATTAAACTAATCTATTCTAGTCTTGTCTTAACAGCCATACTTTTTTTTTCATTAACATAATTATTACTAGACCAATCCTTATCTCTGGAATAAATCAGAACATATATTTCTGTTACTAATAACTTACTTTACATTATTTATTATATCTGTTGAACAATAATAAAAAGAACTTGTTGGTTATATTTAGCGAAAGATTATTTTTACTATTCATAAAATTTATAAATCTCACTATAACCAAACTCTATTTTTTTTTCTTTTTTAGAGATAAGGCAAAAGAGTCACCATTTGTTACACTATTCTTTATCATTTCTTTCCTGTATTTTGTGATAATAAGTTTTTATTGCGTGTAGTAGAATTATTTGATTCACTCCTTAATTTATGAAGCAATATCTTATCTATTTTGTTATCAGAAAAAAGATAAATAAATGTATATCTTTACAATAAATATAGAATTATATATTCATATATTATTTAGTTTTTTTTTTTCTTCCTTTCTCTCTTCTCCCCTTTTTTTTCTTCTTATTTTTGTTTAAAATAGAGAATGTACTCTTCGAAACCTGATACAGTCCGGCTGGTGGATATTGTCAGTTACAAAAAAAAGTAGTTGTCGGTCACAGAGAAATGAAATTGTCGGTCAAATATGAATAAAACATAATAAGAGGAAAAGATACTGCTAAGTTTAATTTATAGTGCTTAACCATGTTTCAGTTAATAGAATCATATAGTGTTTCTGTTCTCGTAACATTTCAGTTGATTTGTAGCTAGAATTAGTAGATATATATTTAATGAAAAGCTTTAGAATGGAGTTCGTTTATAGCAATTTATAATTTGACGTTTGGAATGAAGGCAAAAGCTATAAAGATTACTAAAACGAACGTCATTACATGCATCACCAATACTAGAAGATAATGTCTCTTCTTTCATCAAGCGATGGCGCTTCATTTTTCCTTTCACTAAAGCCCAGAATTGTTCAATAGGATTTAGCTCAGGCGAGTAAGGGGGAGGAGATACATTACTCTATAACCTCTAGCTTCAATTTTTCGAATCATCAGTTTCGACTTATGGATACTAGCATTATCCATCACTAAATAACTACCCTTTAAAGATTCATCCTTATCCATAATATCAAGGAGCTCATTGACAAACTTAATAAAATGAGCAGTTGTTGTACCTTTTGGAACTGATTTTACATCAACTGCACTGGTGTCATCCTCCTGAGTTCTTTCATCATCGTTAGTCTTAGATACAGCCCTTTTCTTTCCACTGCTACCCTTTCTCTTCTTTTTGGCAACAGTGTCTATTTCAGGTTTGGGAAGTTTTTTTTTTTTTTTTTTTTTTTTTTTTTTTTGGAAAAGGTTGACTTAATTTTAGACGTGTCAATAAAAGTTTTAAGATGTCAAGATAAATTTTCTAGGCGAAGATGGTTATTAAATATGTATTTGATAGATAAAATTATATATAACGCAACAGTTACTGTATTTGAATATTATCTTTAATTATCAAAGAATGTTTTTATGTTATTTGAATTTACCCCACAATATTTAACTACCATTTAATATAGAATGGAACTTTGCTAAATATTTTGGTAAGTGTCTCAGCAAGAAAAATTATAGAGCCTCTAAATTTGGACTGATGAAAGTGATGGTAAAAAAAAAAGCAGTGTGCTGGAACGATGGACGATGGACTATGAATGTTGCAAAGAGCTCAAAGTCCATCGTCCATTATGTCATACCAGATCTATTACCACCACCTAATATAATATAGAGTTAGATTAGCGGTTTTTAATAAGAAATATAGCAATAACATGTAATCTAATTTGATTTAATAAGAACAAGTATGCCCAAATACGACATATGTATCATAGAATACGTTCTTTTTATTTAATACAATATAATATATGGACATAGAAGAAAATACTGCTGTACGAGGTAGAAATGGAAAAAAATATAAAACTAAAACTTTGTAAAGGATGTAGTTACGGATTGTTTGGCTGATTTATTTGCTTTTACAATCGATGTAATCAATGATTCCGCAATATTTTGTAAGATATTATTTAGTTCTTTGTTGTCAATAATCTCGAGTAAATCGCAGTTGAATAGTTTGGCAATTGCCTTGAAGTAATTCTGCATAACCTTATCAGATTTCAGCCTTGCCATCAACCTTAAAAATTTGTCCTTAGATAATGTCGCTGAGTGTCCATTCTGTATAACACTCATTGCAATGTCTTGTAATAATTTGGATCCAACTCGGTAATCGGTATCGTCAGCACCATTGTCCCAGTCTGCAAGAGTAAAAACAGTGTATGGCCGACTTCTAATATCATCAACATCATCATTAAATGCCCGGCACATGAGATAAGTGGAAAGATGATGGAAACGTGTGCGCAATTGACGTAGCTGATATACGACATCATATGGAGTAATGGAGCAAATTCTCTCAGCTTTTGACAACTTAATGGCAGCGTCCCAAGCGGTTTTCTTGATAAATATACGGGCATTTTTTGACTTTTCTATTGTGTCAAGTAAAATTGATGTTGTATTAGGGCCAATTTCTGGTTCAGCGGATGTATCCAATAGAAGGCTTGAGGTCACTAGAGCATTAAATATCTTAGTACCAATCACCAGCTTCAACCCATCAACGGTGGAGAGGGTGGTAGGAAAAACATTCCAATATCGAATGTTATTAGGAGAAAGGGATGATGGAGTGAGATGTCCATTAGAGGTCTTGAACGATTCTCTATGAGAATCAATGGAGCGTCGATGACCATAAATCTCGATGCAGTTGACAAGTAAAGCTTTATTCATCGACGGATCTAGAATAATTGCACCTACCAAGGCACGGCTACAAACAAATCGAAGATTCGGAAACAAGGACCAGTCTTGATTTAAAAAATTAGCCATGTTATGATCCAATTCAAAGTAATTAGAGTCCATGACGTAGTTTCACAGATATGGTGGACCACAACTAACAGCACTATACAGACAGACATGATGATGCACTGGGTATAGATACAAATGTTTGATTATATTTTCGTTTTGCAGGAACAATCGCTGAAACCTTCATTGAATTCCCTTTATGTTTGTTCAAATATTTTTCATTCGTGAGTGCATTTAACTCCATATTTTCTTCACTGAGCATGGACAAGGGTCGAAGGTTATATAAATCCATGAAACCGAGAATCCGCTTTTTCTCGTCATTACTCCACTTATTTGCGCCACATGCATTCAAAACTGCTTCGTCATAGGTTCTTTCTGTAGACTCAATAGTAGTTTTCAGAAGTAAATCTGGGATATCAACATCCTTTTTGGCTACAACATATGATTCAATATCTTCATCACTTTCACATGCATCATTTTCCTCAAACAATAAAGGGTCTACTGACACAGTTAGTTAAATATATGACTATGTATTGATAGGTATCTTACTAAACGAAATTGATTGTAAAACAGAGCACTTGGAGTTTCGAACGTGTTTTTGAAAACCATTAATCGTGTTAAAGATTTTACAGTCATCACACAGGCATTGGAAGCTTTCACCATTTCTTTTCAAGCACATTTCGTTTCCTGTTAAAAAAAATGAAAGGTTTGATCATTATTGTATTACATTGCTAGCATTGAAATATACCTTCCAGATCAATTGCTAGAGCATACTGGCGATGTCTTTCCAACATATGACCATTCAATTTGACGTCGCTTTTAAAATGACACGAACATTTTCTGCAGGAAAGTGCCATAATGAAAATTGAGAGAGGAAAGTCAGGGAGGGTGTCTGCCAAAAAAAAAAGCTGATTCTTGTTGAACGACTTTCCACCCCTTGTTACACTAACTCAAAAAATGATTTCAATGTTTTCACTTTATGGAATTTATGACGACGATATTACTTAGAAAACGGACAAGAGCTGTAGAGTTAATAGATAATAATCTTTAACTAATAAGGCAATAATATACAAAAAAGGGGCACAGTCACATGAGCTACTATTACGTAATCGCAGTTTTAAATGAGCGATCCATTGAAATCATTTTTTGAGTATAATATAATTTTTGTTTTTCCTCCTTTAGCTTTTATGACTGCTTTAATACGATCGGGTATACTATCAATGTACTTAAGACACATCTCTTTCGTTACTTTTTTGTACCAAATATTGGCTACACGTTCCCATAATTCCTGCATACTTTTAGGAGGTTCTTCAAAACTATATAATTCGCGTTTTAAAAAATACCAGAAATTTTCTATAGGATTCAAATCTGTTGAATATGCTGTCCAATTGAGTACTTCAACATGATGATATTGAAGCCATTTGGTAGTCATTTTGGATGTATGCTTTGTATCATTATCATGTTGAAAAACAACGTCCTTAACTTTAAGCCCATAATCTTTTAGTGTTTTGAGAAAATCGCCTTCAAGGATTTCACAATAAAACTTGGAATCCATACCACCCTCAATTTTAGTGATAAAGCCGGATCCCTGACTAGTAATACAACTCCAAAGAAATATACTTCCTCCGTCATGCTTGTATTTATAGTTCAGATTATGGTCCCGCAGAGGCTCTCCTTTTTTTAACTCAGGTCCATATCTTGCCGTCGGACCCCAAACGATTCACTTTTGTTTCATCACTAAATACAACCCTTCTCCAGTCATATACAGTCCAATGACGATACGTTTTTGCAAACTGAAGTCGTTCTTTTTTTCGCTCAGATGTCAATGGTAGAGATGACCACTTGACAACAGATTCGAAATTTCCATCTTTCAAGAGATTACGAATAGTTTGGGCACTTACTTTCTTACCTTCTCCTTGAAGTTTCCTAACTGCTTGTGCTGCTGTAGTAAACTGACTAGTTGCAAACTTTCGTAATATTAATCTACCCTCATTAGTGCTGAATGTTCCATTACGACCATGATGGGCATTTCGAGTAATGCCGATTTCTTTCGAAATACGACTAATTGTTGCAACTGAGGCACCTGTACGCTTACTAATGTCACTATATTGAACGCCATCACGAAGAAGACATTCAATGTTTTGCTTAATTTCAACAGAAATGGGCTTCATGTTTTTTTATAGATTGCAATTCCTAATTGAAGGAAAATGAATAAATGAACAAACAATAAAATACCTACAAGGTCCCTCATACTCATAGTACTTACTTTCTCAATAGCAGTCACATACATGAAATTAGTGTAATACTCTGAAGTATTGAATAACCGATAAAGCCACATTTGTACTACCTGACAATTACTGCGTTGCCAAGACCGCAGCATACATTACTTATTCTAACTATATATATTACCTCATGAGGTATCCGCAGCTACTATCAAATAACTATAAATATCCCAAAGAATTATTATTGAATAAAGGACATCATTATTAGATCTTAAATTTATTATAACTTTGTGTTGAGTTATTTCTCTTTTCTATTTTATTAATTAATATCCCGAACGTCCGAATATTACAATTAGTAAATTTATGAGAAAAAAATAGAAAACTCGAAAAATGGTTTCAATGGAGTGATCATTTTTCAAAACCAGTTAGTTGACCATATAGCACGTGACTATGAGGAAAGTTTTACCAAAAATGGAAATATATGTGTACTATTATTATGTTCTATTTTTAGCCGTTTCAGTTTAAGGATGTTGTTATGATTGTAGTCGTATTTACAACCAAGTTAATAGAAATAAACTATCATTTATTTAAATAATAAAGAGTTTATTCAAATAAAACTAGTGTATTGTACTTCACAGTATAATATTCATTCTACATTCAGCTTTAATAATAGTCATTGTTAGAGTATTCGAGCATTAAAAATAATTATATGCATCGTATTATATAATAATTAGAATTCAATAGATTTATGACTGTTATATTGAATTACATGATTATTTATGTTTTGATACGCAAAAAGTTAAAGAAAGAGAAAAGACAAAAGACAAGTCTGTGAAAACTTCGTGTAGTTTTTTATTAAGCAAAATAATACAAAAATTGTACAAGGAAAAATTATGTGAAAATGTAAAGGGTTATTTATATGTTTTTGCAAGGTAAGTGATATTAATAGAACTATGATTTGGATAAGCACATATTGCTATAATAAAGCATTAGTCATAAATATTTTCTCCGAATAATTCTGCCTACAATAAAATCTATTTTTATTCTTTTCTGCCTGAGCTGTCGCTGTTACTAAAAATATTAAATTATTATTTCTGGGGTAAGCGACGCGTCAATATTAATTCACAGTGAATATGTCAGCTATAGCAATACCAATTATTTATATGCTACTATTATTATTATCCTATAAGATCTTATTACATAACCATATTCATCTTTATAGCTATCTATATATAATATGTATGACTTATAAATAATTATGTAATTGAATATAACAATCATAATCCTATTGAATTATTATTATTACATAATATAATGTATATAATTATTTTTAATGCTCGAATACTCAAACAATGACTATTATCAAAACTGAGAGTAGAATGAATATTATGCTGTGAAGCGCGATATATTAGTTTAATTTGAATAACCTCTTTATTATGTAATAAATGATGGTTTATTTCTATTAACTTAATTATAAAGGCTACTACAATCACAACAATTTATATAAGTCATACATATTATATACACACCCATAATGTTGAATATTGTTATAGAGGGAATATTCACTGCAAAGTAATATTAACGCGTTGCTTATCCCAAAGGCAATAATCGGGTATATTTTTAATAACAGCAACAACACATGCAGAAACATGCATACTGCATGCAGAATTATTCGGAGACAATATTTGTGCATATTCGTGCATATTTGTGCATTAAGGCTTTATTATAGCAGTATTCACTTATCTAAATCACACTCCTATTAATATTACTTACCTTACAAAAACCTATAAATAGCCCTTGTCATTTTTCCATATTATTTTCTTCTTGTACAATTTCTGTATTATTAATCTTTAATAAACTATACAAAGTTTTCACAGACTTGTCTTTTCTTTTTTTTCTCTTTCCTTATCTTTGTATTCAAAACATTTTTTTTCTGTGAACTACTCTAACATTTCAAATATTACTACGATGAACTCTTCTGTTGCTTCTGCTTCTGGTTTGACTGTGGACTCTATATTGAATTCTGGTTTGGATGCTCTCCTCGGAAATGGGACTCCTCTTTCATCGGTTGCTGGTGAGTTCTCGAATACTACGGGTTTGGATGGTTCTTCCATGATGGTAGATGATGCTGGTTTAAGTGTTGCTACTGGTGGTTCCATGTTGCCATTCGCCGCCGAAAAGGCAGGACAAGATGGGCAATTGTTGGGGGACAATCTTCATCAGTTGAGAGCAGAGATGTCTGCTCGTTTACGAGAATTTGCACAAGCCCGCAGTAAGAACGAAGAGGTTGCAATTCAAAACACTCTCAGGTCCATTGAACTCATCAAACAAAGTATGAAAAGTTTGAGAGAATATCAAGAGATGTTGAACGAGGTTAATCCTCGTCGAAGAGTTAATGAAGACATGTCACTTCCCAGAGGATTTGCATTTAGTAGAAAGGACTTACCAAAGTTCCAACTCGCCACTAGTCTGGTTAGACCTTTTCCCAATGAAGAGGCTTTCGAGTCAGTTGAGCATTTCTTGAGAACATTTGAAAAGGTCATAGAATCGTCTGGTCGACAGATAGAACTCGTTTGGAGAACTTTCTTCCCCTTGTGCCTACCAAACTCTGAAGATGCTTGGTACGAGACTAATATGAGGAACACTCACTCATGGGTGGAGGCTAGAAAAGTTTTCAAGAATGGTCATAGTTCAAAAAATGCAGTACGTTAATACACAGATAAGGTCTTCACAATGGAGATGAACCCTGGAGAACCTCTATTAGATTATTCTAGAAGGTTTCTACAAGCTGTGTACTATGCTGGACTTTCCAAGGATAATGAACGTATTGCTGATAGGTTCTTGGCATCACTTACACGACCGGTACAGACAGTGATTAGGATATTCATGGTAAACGCCAGAGATGATTTTGGTTGGACCGTCGAACGTATGACACAAGTCGGTAGAGATGTTCTTGGTGATGATCCGCAAACTTATGCAGAGTATACCCAATATATCATGAGGAATACAGATGGTGTTCGCGGAGAGAAGATGCTCAAGAAAAGAAGTGCTTCCTCGGAGAAACAGATGGATTATCATCGTTTGAACGACAAAAGATACCATAAAAAGGCAAAGAAGATAAAGGAAACCAAATCATTCTTTTGCACTCATCATAGCCGTAACAGTACTCATGACACCAAGGATTGCTTCATCTTGAATAAACGTGCCGCTACTATGACATCTAGGAACAAGGATGCTAAGATAGCAGGAGGACAAAATAACTTATGCTGGAAATGCAAAGAAGAACCATGGAGCCCGAACCATTTTTGCAAGGTCAATAAGCCCAAAAAGGTCTTCGCTGCTAAGAAAACCCCAGAAACTGTTGAGACTTCTGAGTTGGAGCCAGAAGAAAAGGCCCGGATTGAAGCTGAACAAGATTTCCAGGAGGCTATTTCCACAGATATCGATTCCCTAATGAAGGAAATTAGTTATGATTAGAACACAAAGCTCATCGGGTTAGTCGACACCGGCAGTGAAGCTAGTTTTATAAATATAAATAGTTTATATAATAAATTAAAAATAAATAATTTAAATAATTTAAATAATGGCTTTATCTATAATTTCTTGTCTAATGATAATAATGTTTCTTGTATTGGTTCTACTGATATGTTAAATTTTAAATATGCAAATGGTATCACTTTTAAACATTCATTAGATTTAATGAAGTTTAACAAAGGATATGACTTTGATATTTTGTTGGTCACTGATATTTTACCAAAGATGAATATTGGTTTAACTGGAGTAGCATACAAAATTGATGGTGAATTCACACATTCTGATGTAGCTGCCAATGATGAAAGAATTTTTGATAATATAAATATTGACTATGATGGAAAATTTAAACCTGATGAATCGCCTGCCGGTACTCCTGAGCAAAGAGTAGAATTCATGAATTATATTAAAAAGGCTATTGACAGAAATCAGAGTATTCCTATTACCTCATTTTGTCCTATGCCCGAATCAATTGTTCGTTTGCCCACTAAAGAAGGAGCTACAGCTTTCAGAAGACAGTACCCAATTCCATTTGCATTGAGAGATACATTGGATAAACAAATTAAAGAATGGCTTGATAATAATGTGATCATTAAGTCCAAAACTAATACCTCATTTAATAGTCCTCTTTTATTAGTTCCTAAGAGAAACAAAAATGGAGAGATTGTTAAGCACAGAGTATGTTTAGACGTAAGACTTTTGAATCAAATTTTACCTCCAACATTTAATTATCCATTGCCTTTAGTTCGTGATATATTTAACAATTCAGCGGGAAAGAAATATTTTATCACGCTTGATTTATCCAATGCTTATCATCGTTTCAAAGTTGCTCCAGAAGATGTACATAAACTAAGTTTTACCTATGGAGGCACACAATATTCGTTCATCAGAGCGCCATTTGGTATTTCGATGTTAACAAGTCAGTTCTCTTTTTGCCTTTCAATACTATTTAATGGATTAGATTGTGTACAGAATTTTTTGGACGACTGTATTATTGCATCTGAGACGATTGAACAGCATATGAAGGACGTAAAATTGGTAATTGATAAGCTTTCATCAGTAAATTTGATCTTGAATCCTGAGAAATGCGTATGGATGCAACATTCTGTTCGTCTGCTTGGTTTCGTATTTGATGCTACAGGAACATGAGTAGATAGAAATAAACTAACAAATGTTCAAAACTGGCCACTTCCCAATAAAAGTCCTAAACAAGTGCAACAATTTATGGGTTTGATTAACTATTTTAGGGAATACATTCCTATGATTGCACGAGTAGCTGAGCCGATCACTAGATTGAGCAACGCTAAAAATGTTTAAGAGTTGTGGACCGAAGAACAAACAAAGAGTTTTAATGCCTTGAAAGAAATTTTGCAATCCAAAGTCATATTACACTATCCTAATTGGCGAGAAAAAATTTACAGTAAACTTAAAGGTTAGAATACCAAAAGTAACAGCATCCAAAAAAAGAAAGCTTGGAAAGAAGAAAGAAGAAAGAAGAAAAAAACAGTTCTGTCGACACAGTTACAGGCCATTACTTCAACTTTATCGCCGATACTATTGATATCTTGGATCAGTATGAGGAATTTAAAGGGAATTATCTTGTTATGAATAATGTCCCAATCCACAAGCACCAGGATATAAGGAACTATATCAAAAGTCGCGGTTACTTTTGTTTGTATCTGCCCCCATGCTCTCCTGAACTGAACCCGATTGAACAGTATTGGTCTGTCTGTAAAAGCAAGCTCAAGAGAGAGCCGCTCTTGGAGAGCGAAACCCTTACCAGTCGCATAAGGGATGCATGCAACAGCGTACTTCTAAATGATCTGAGAGGGTTCTGCAGGTATTCGATCTAGAAGTTTGATGATTGCTTGGAACGTAAGCCACTTTAAAAACTTAACACATTTCGTACATTTGGTACAATAAAAAAAAACATTATACTTGAAATTTTATTTTGTCCGTGATTGAAATTTTGTTTTTTAACTGCTTGATTTTTATTTTTGTAGTACGGAATTTTTTTTTAAAGTGTACGAATAATTTCCGGAAAAAGTGTATAGTAAAAATATACATGTTTTTATTTATTTATTTATTTATTTATTTATTTATTTTTTGCTTATTTATACACATATATAACACCAACAACATCTATAAATATCCATTCTTATAAAATTACATTATATAAGCAAGCCTAAACTAAGCTACTTTTTTTTTCATTTATACAATCATAATTTATTTTGTTTCAGGATGAATCTCTTCTTGATAGTTCATCTATCTTGGCAATGACTTGATGAATATTAGGTCTATCCGCAGGATTACCAGTTAACATCCATCGAATCATATCATTAAATTCTTTTGTATATTCAGAGCTCTCGGGAAATTTATATTGATTATTTAAGACAGCTAAAGCAACTGATCCGCCTTGATCTGTCGTATTGATTTCAAAAGGTGACTGACCATAAGCCATAGCATATAATGTACATCCTAGTGACCAAATATCTACTTTTTCATCTAATGTACTATCCGTTTTTACATCAAATAATTCAGGCGCTCTATAAGGCATAGTACAATGTTCAGCTGCTAAATCTTGTTGTTGTAATGCTTCTTGTCTCGTGTTAATATGAATTCTCGCCGCACAAGCAGATCCAAAATCCATCAAAATAGGCGTCTCCCCATCATCTGACATTAAAACATTTCTAATCATATCATTGTTATTAGTGTCTTCTTTTCACACAAAATACAATATATGTATATATATATTTACCCAGGCTTAATATCTCGATGTGCCCAAGGAACGATTTCACCTCGTTTACCATCCATCTTTGTTACACCAGAAGGTTGTTCCTGTTGATGACTCAGTAAGGCTTGTTGATCTTGTTTGTTTTCTTCTTCTGGAGAAATTGCTTGGCTTGGTTCATACATGACTCTTGCTCCACCCTGCGCCTTATAGGTATGTAATACTTCAACTGCTTCACAAATCTCTCTAAATATTTGAATCATATTCATTTCAGAAAAGTGAGTTTTATTTAGATTATTTTTATTGATAGCATCCTGTAAGTTGCCTCTCTAAAAAAGAAAAAAAATATGATAAAAATCGATAAGATGAAAAGAAAAAAAAAAGAATATATAAACTTACTTTATAATAAGGTAAAACTATATAAATCGTTTTACTACCATCTGATTCAGTTATTGTACTTGAATCCTAGTTCCAATATACATTAAATGATATCACTCAAAAAATTGTGTTGCCTCTTACAATCATTTTTATAATATTTTTATGTGAAAACATTTGATATATATCAACTTCTCTTTGTGCTAGCTCTGCTTCCTCAGTACCTAAAGTACAACGTATTTTTTTTAAAGCAAATAACTCGCCTGATCCATCTTGAGCAAGGTAAACAAATGAGAATCCTCTTTTATAAAAAAAAATTAGTGTATATTATAAACCACTGTATAGATCTATATATACCCTTCTCCTAATAGTTTAATAATACGATATGCTCTTCCATTTATACTAAGGTTAGAATTAGGTATACAACATCCAACGAATGATGAAAGTAGTTCATGAATAGATGATAGGAATGACATGCTATGTATAGTGTAAATTGAATAGCTACTTTTTTTTTGACTTTATACTATTTATCTAATATATATATCTTATGTATATATGGAATTGAGATTTAGAAGAAGTAGAAGAAGAAGAGAAGTTTTATAGTGTCAAGTATTGGCTGAGGTGAATAATAAATATATTATTACTTTCCGCTTAATAAGGATATTCGTGTTCAGCCACAACAGCAACAAGAGTTTCTGTGCTTTAAAAAAAAAACGCATAGACTTGATTGATGGTAATTTTGCATGCAATACTACTGCTTGATTTGAAGCTAGATAAGTCACTTCGTTTCCTGTTTCTCTCTCTTTATTTTATTTTATTTTATTTTTGACGAATGCAAATGCTTTGTCTAGCTATGTATTGTTTCTCATATTATAGTCAACAATAATTTAAAGTTTCCTCAATTACATAGATTGCGAATAGGTAGTATCAAACTTTATTTATCCAACTTGAGCTAAGTAATGACAACCTTTAACGCAAATAAAAAAAAAAGTCACTAGGAATAGTTATGACAAGCACCTTTCCACAAGTAATATGATTACACTGAATGACCCACATTTTTACTATATGTGATATCTCTATTAAATGAAAAGTAAAGTAAACGAGACTGAACAATTATTCTAAAAGCCTGTCTTTGTTTATTATTTATAATTTTAAAAGACAAGTATTTATACAAGAATATTTGAGAAGAGAGAGAGGAATAAGTAACGTATTAGTTACGATAGAATAATATTTAATACTGTTATTGACGTTAAATACATAAATTATGGGAAAGTATATAATTAAGTTGAAATTTATTCTTTGACATTGTTTGTCTAAATCAATCTGGAACAATTAACTCTGATTACCTTAGATTGTTGACTGTCAAATTATTATAAAAAGTTACTGGATGTCAAATCGTAACAAACATTGGCATTATCAGGAACATTAAAATAAAAGAGTTTCAAAAAGGTTGTTATTTGGATCTCATCATGGAAATTGTCAATTAATTTTGATCAAATTTGCTGATTAGGATTTAAAATTATGTTGTTAGGTTTAAAAAATTTGTCATTTGTTTTATTTTATTTTATTTTTTTAAAAAAAAAAAAAAACTGTCATTTGGCATCATGAGCACTGTATAAGTACAAAATAAGACATCATAGCAATGCAGAATGCCATGGTAATATTAAAATGTAAGAAAAAAAAAAAAAAAAAAAAAAAAACTACATAATCTTGCACCATTTTTTTTAAAAAAATTCTCAGGGGAAAATATACTGTAGTGTCTTAGTGTCTTAGGGGTGAGAAAGGCAAAAAAAAAAAAAGAGGTTTTCCGAACCGGACCTATGTACCTTTACGCACATGAAAAATGCTAGACTTGTATTCTTAAAAGCGCGTTTACAATATACTTATTCCGCGTTTTTTCGTTTCTTTCTTTTTCCTTTTCCTTTTCTTTCTTTGTTTATTTATTTTTTTTTTTTTCATTTGCAAATTCCATAATACATAAATGTCCCTTGTTAATATTTTAAATATTCAAGTTTTGGATAATCCTACTAATTTCAAAAATCCTTTTCAATTCGAAATTACATTTGAATGTAATGCCCCACTTAAAGACGGTAAAATAAGCTATAATACAAATATGCAATGTCAGCCTCCCTTTTTAATTCCGTTTTTTTTTAAAAATGATTGAATGTATATATAGATCTTGAATGGAGAATGATTTATGTTGGATCAGCTGAAAGTTCAGAATATGATCAAGTTCTTGATTCTATTATGGTTGGTCCGATACCTGTTGGCGTCAATAAATTTATTTTTTCGGTAAGTTTTTTCAAGTCGATTCAAAGATTTTTATTCAGTTTCTAATTCTCTATACAAATATTTATATATATAAAAGGCTGATGCACCGAAAATTGAATTATTACCTAAAAAAGATTTATTAGAAGTTACAGTCGTCTTGTTAAGTTGCCTTTATAATGACAAAGAATTTGTTCGTGTTGGATATTATGTTAATAATGAATATATTGATGGGGAATTACGTGAAAACCCTCCTGAACAGGTTATTGTTGATAAATTACAGAGAAATATTTTGGCAGATAAGCCAAAGGTTACAAGGTAAAAAAAAATAAATAAATAAATAAACTGATCGTGGATTTTTATGATTTGACTAAATTTTATCTTGGCTTAAGATATACAATTGACTGGATTAATCCTGAAAACACTTTTCCTATGAAGATCGAACAATCTGATAGCATGGATCAACAAGTAAGTTAAATGATATTGTGTAAAGTGAACAACTATCGTTAATTGTTATTTTATAGGATACCATGATGGTATAATGTGATGTACTATAATTAAAAAATAAAATAAAATAAAAAAAAAAGCTGCTATTTTATTACATAAAAATAAGCATAATTTATAATAAACAACATCGTACATAAATATAATTAACATAGAAAAAAAATTTCTTTACTCGGCTATAATAGTTTGAATAGGTTTTCTTTTGCTTGTTTCATTACAAATAACATCAAAGAAATTATAGCGACGAATATATCTTGTTGTGTTTTCAATAGTTTCAGCATTAATTCGGTTTTCGTCGTTTTCTTCTTCGGAATCAGAAAGATCTTCACATGAAATTCCTCGGGATGTTTGTTTCGCCTTTTGTCGACTGCCATCTAATCGAATCATTGCAACTTTTTCTTCCAATTCATTAATGTCATTATTTTTATGAGTGATACCTCTTTCTATGTCTCGAATTGAGCGATGAACGGAATATAATGAAAGTTGACTATAGTAATAATAATAAAAAAATAAGCAAATAATATTAATAAAAAAGAGGTTATATAGTATATTTTACCCTGCAAGATGATCATTTCTTAACTTATTTCGTTTCGCTTTATCTTGTAACCTCAATTCCAATTTCTCAAGTGTATTAACACAGGCCTCTGATTTAGTCTCAAGAGCCACTAGTGATGTCTTTGTTTCAATATCCAATTCTCTGTTATCCATAATATCTACAATAATTGGGTCGAATTCTGTTTTTAAAAGATGTTTGATATCCTCCTTTTTATCCATCGCTGTACATAATTTCGTAAATAAATTTTGACATTACATGTATATTTATACATAATCTTTTTTTTTTTACCTTTTTTACAGTTTTCTAAAGCTATCTCTATAGCCTCTTTCAATTTCTGAACTTCCAGTTGTCCTTCAATAATTTTTCCAACAAGCTCATCAGTTATAGTACCTAACTGAGTTACATCATTTAAATTCCATGATTTATCAGTATCTGTAATATTATTCTTTGATTTGGGTTCAAGTTGTAACGTGTTCGCTTTCATTCCAACCATCACTTTTTCATGATGCTTTTTTAACTATTAATTAGTAAAATTAGTCAAATGTTTCTTTTCTTTTAGTTGGTTTTCATTACTTGTTCAATATCTTTAGTAACAGTCACATAGAGATTTTCATATTCTTTCGCCATACTATCTTGTACCACTGACTGTACTTTTGTTTCTGAAGATACATTGGCTGTTGTTGCTTTAGTTGAGGGAGTTGATGTAATAGCAGGCTTTACATTATTAGTACTCATTGTTGGTAGTGATGATTTGTCATCTGCTTTTGAAGTAGTAGTAGTAGTAGTAGTAGATGTTGTAGAAACAGCAGTACTTGTAGCTGGGGTAGTTGTTGTTCCAAATCCAAGTTTGGATGTAGAGCCAAAGGTGGGTGTAGTAGTAGTAGTAGTAGTAGTAGTAGAAGTAGGAACTGTATTCTTTGACAAAGCACCGAATCCGCCACTACCTAATGTAGAGGTGGAACCAAAAGCAGGCGTTGAAGAAGCAGTAGTTGATGATGTTTTGGCAGAAGATCCAAATAATCCACCACCAAGAGTTGAGGTAGAGCCAAAGGCAGGAGCTGAGGAGGGTGATTTTGCACCAGGGACTGTATTCTTTGCCAAGGCACCAAATCCATTACTGCCCAAGGTAGAGGTAGACCCAAAAGCAGAAGTTGTGGGGGCTGAAGTTTTAGTTGAATCATTAACAAGAGCTGATGTGGATCCAAAGGTCGGTGCTGAGGAGAGAGATTTTGCATTAGGAACAGTATTCTTGGCTAAAGCACCAAATCCGCCACTACCAAGAGTTGATGTAGATCCAAAAGTAGAGGTACCTTGATTCTTAGCAAATGATGAACCAAAAGCAGTTGGAGACGCCGCTGGTTTTGCTTCTGTTGTACTTAATGATCCAAATGCACTTGTAGGAGGCTCATTCGACTTTATAGATCCAAAAAGACCACCAGCTGCCTTACTTTCTGAAGTAATGGATTGTTCTTTTTTCTCTTCATTAGATGAAGAAGTTGAACCCAATGTAGAAGTGGTTGTAGGCTTACTTAACGTTGATCCAAAGCTTGTAGACCCGAAAGAAGGTGCAGTAGATGTATTTGATGTAGATAAATTTCCGAATCCAGAAGATATTTTGGGCGCTGAGCCTAAGCTTGAGAAGGAGGGTATATTTCCTCCAGTTGTAGAACCAAAGCCGAAACCTGTAAATCCACTTGACATTGAAGAAGCAGGTTTTGAGGTATTCTTACCAGATAAAAGGTCTGCAAAAGAACTATTATTAGCCAAGCTTGCTGTAACACCGAAAGCAGAAGGTGCAGCAGGTGCGGAAGATGTAGTAGATTCGTTATGTGCTGAAGAAGAAGTAGAAGCAGCTGTAGGTACTGTAGCTGGATTTGCAGCCGTTTTATATGATTCACCTCTACGAGCTAATTCAAAATTAAAACAGTGATATGCACCGATACGTCCTTCATCATTCATATAATAAAGAACAGGGAATGGTTCAACCTCAATATCACTTTCGCTTGGATCTAATGGAGGTAATTTCTCATCTGCAGAAAAATCCAATGCTAAACCGACAGGATATGTGTCCATAGCTGACTCTTCAGTTAGTGGCAAATTGGCTAAACCATTCTCTGGTAATTGCCAAGTTGCCCATTCTCCATCTTCTCCTTCTCCAACAACAGATATATCACTCGAAGCAGCATTAGCAATAACAACAAGATGTTTAATTTCTTTTCCAAGTCCACGAATAATTTCCATGTAGAAATGATTTCCACGCCCTTCAGTTGTAAAAATAGGTGTAATTTCTGCAAGTCGAATATATTCTGGGCTTGTGCCTGATTTTGGTTTTCTGTTGATAATATATCCATCATTGATATAATCATCCTCTTCATTTGTTCGTTTACGAGCATAAATTGTAAGAAAGATATGATTTTCAATCCATAACACATCCTGGACTATAAATAAGTATAAATTAATTTACATGAATATATACGTAGATTATGTTTATTTTTTTTTATTTTTTTGCTTCAATTAATGACATTTACCATATCTGTTTTCAGTTTCTTCACCATGACCAGCACTCATAGCCTCTGGAATAGATAATGCATCTTTACTAGCACCAGTGGTATCAAAATGTTGAAGACTACCATCCAGTTTACCACAAACAATTTGTTTTCCTTTAGGTGACCAACAGATTGCTGAGATATCGCTACTAGGAATTTCACATACTACATCTCCATTTGTAATATTGATAATTTTACACTGATTATTCTCAAATAAAACTGCAGCTAATTCAAGAAGAGCTTCAGGATTGGGTCTTAAGTCAAGGATTTTGTTTGTTAAATTAAATGTATGTATAGGCTTTACTTCTGTCTTCTAAATGAAAAAAAAATAAGAATATATAAAACAAAAAAAAAAGGATTTATTGAACTGCTGTTTTATTCTTACATCTTTTTTAATATCATCAACATTGTACACTAACAATTCTGCACCTTCAGTAGCAACTAATATTTGTTTTTCGTCTCCTGTAATTCTTATTTGGCGAATAGGATTTAAAAGTGAAATAGCTATTTTGTCTCCTTCAAATTGTACAGTAGAACTTTTTTCAGCGCCATAAAATGCTTTTCTAAGAGCTTTTGTAGAGCTAAAGATAAAGCCTTAAAAAAGGGGAGAAAAGTGCTTTGTCAGTAACATTTTAAAATTGACAACAAATCATAATTTGAATACCATTTATAGTAGCTGAAACAAAATATCCAAACTTGCTTGAACACGCCATTAATGAAACTGAAGCATCATATTTTGAAATTTCAAAAGATCCTTCTTGTATTGAAACTTTAGCGTCTGGAACAAGACTTGTAAATTTGAAGAACTAATATTTAGCAATTATTAATGAATAATGGTATATAGTTTTAGTAAATAAAACAATTACTTCAACATCAGTAGGATCAATAGGATCGTTTGGATCAGCTAAGGCACTAAATGAATTCATGTGATGTATATAAGTAGTACTTGTATGATAAATATGTATATCTAATATGTAGTTTCTTTTTTTTTTTTAAAGAAAAATAAAAAAAATAAAAAATAAAAAAGCAAAGAGTTAAATTAACGCGTCACGTAGCCTTTTTTTTAATAAAAATAAAAAAGACAGAATGTTTACATAACTTGACAGAATAATTTTCAAATAAATAGAAGCAACACAATATATTTACTATTATCCTATAGATATGCATTTAATATTACTTGTATGATATTTATGTTTACTAAAAAATAAACTCTATATTTTTCTTTAATATGTGTATACGCGAATTATGCAACATGAATAATTCCTGAGTATAAATTTATACTGGATAGAAAGTACCGTAATGGGACAATATTAAAGAAAGAAGAAGTTATAGTAAAATCATTTATTAGTTTCATGTTCTCTAATAAACGTATACTGTAAAGGGCCTTAAAGTTGTATATACGTATAAACTAATAGTACCTTAATAGTTGTAAATAAATTTTTAAAGGCTACTATGTATTGGGAAAAATTACAGAACATACAGCCGTAAGAAAAACAACTAAAGCAGTCATATAATGAAGCTATAGTGTTTTCTTTGACGATTCTATAACTATATACTAACGAATATGACACAATTTACCTTTATTGTATAAACCAAGTGAATAATAAATATTCTTATAGATAATGAACAATTATTAAATAAAGGAATATAGGACTTATAGGAATATATACACACATACAAATGTATACACGCACATACACACACACACACACACACTCACGCAAACATATATATATACACTATGCTCATACGTTGGCATTAATATCTGTAATATGATATATCGCTTCTACTTATTAGTCATTATAACGGTTCATTTGAACTATTAGCCAGTGTAAATCTTACTCTAAATAAGATATATTTTATCAGATCCAGTGGTATAATATCAAGCAGTTACATATTTAAAAGTAGTATATAAATAGTGAAGATTTTATATAACAAATGTACAAACAATCTATTCTTATTATTCTTATAAACAACGTTTTTTTCACCACAAGTAGTCATTTTATATAATTCGACAGAATAGATATGTTTGTACACTTGCATCTTATACACTACTTTATATAATCTATTTAAAGTATATACTGGGACTGCTAAAGAGTCCAAACAAGGGTGAGGGTTATGAGCATTCGAAAATTATTACCTTTTTTTTTTAATTTTTGGTAACTAGAAAAATGATATTATCCTTTGGCAATTCTATTAGAATTGCTACTAAAAGCTTTAGAGGAAAGCGTCTAATAATAAGGCCTACAACTGTGGCCAGTTATCATGAATCAAAAAGATTATTAAAAAAGGCTACTAAACTTGAAGAGATTGACGATTCCCCATTTGATAAATTAGCTCAAGGAATGAACGCTATTAAGTCAACCATCTTGAATGTACCACCACTTCGTAAAGTAACTCGACCTAATATTGAGTCACTTCCATTTACTGGACAACCCAAGTCATGGGATGAGGCTGTAAAGGAAGCACAAGGCTTAGTCATTTCATCACCAAATCAGGAACGTATACTTGACCCTATTAAATTATTGGGTAAAGATATATGGGAATTAAAAGGAAACATTACTAGTCTATTAGGTTCAGGACATCCATTTATTAAAACGATTGGAAAACATTATTTTAAAAATGATACAAATCGTATAAGACCATTACTAGTACTTTTGATGGCTAAAGCTACTTGTCAAGCATCAAAGATAACAACTTCAACAGAGGAAGAAAAGATAGAGGTTACTTCCTTAGAAATGCCTATTTCAAAGACTCAAAGACATTTAGCAGAAATCTCAGAAATGATTTATACAGCTTCTTTACTTCATTATGATGTGATTGATCATGCTGAACAAGTCAAAAAACCAGGATTTGGTAATAAAATGGCCATACTTGCAGGTGATTTCTTATTAGCACGTGCTTCCCTTGCTTTATCTACCTTGAGAAATGCAGAATGTATTGAGTTAATAGCGACCTGTATAGCAAACCTTGTTGAAGGTGAATTTATGCAAATACAGGATCTTCAAGAAAAAAACCCCGACGAAAAAAGAGCATTTGATTACTATCTTGAAAAATATATATGAAAACGGGTAGTTTAATTGCTCAAAGTTGTAAGGCATCTTCTGTATTAGCTGGTTGTACTAGTGATATTCATCAAATTGCCTATACATATGGAAAACATTTTGGTATTGCTTTACAGGTAAATTACGTTATAAAATAGAATTTATAATAACATGATAGTAATAGATATATATACTTGTATAGCTAATTGATGATGTACATATTTTTACGAAAAGCCCTTCAAAAATTGAAGCCAAATTACATAGTTCAGAATATATAACAGCACCTCTTTTATTAGCTTGGGAAGAATTTCCTGAACTAGGATCCTTAATTGAGCGACAATTTAAACAAGAAGGAGATATTGAAAAGGTAAAATATATATTAGTAAGATAGGATTTAAAGAAGACAAAAAAAAATTAAGCTTTTTTATGTATTAGGCACGCATTTTAATATATAAAAGTAATGGGTTAAAGAAAACCTTATTGTTAGCAAAAGAACATATAGAATTAGCTACTACAGCAATTGAAAAACTAGCGCCTTCTGACGCTCAAACAGCATTGATTCAATTAGCAAAAAATTTACCATCTAGAAACAACTAAAATTTGTAGAATAATACAAGACCGTTTCTTTTCTATATTTACTATAATTTTTTTTAAAGCATTCATACAGCATACACGTTCTCTTCACTGTATATATTTATATAGATAGATAGATAGATAAATATCAAATAAAATCATTTTACAGCTTTTTAAATATAGAAAGCGAATTTCAAAAAAAAAAAAAATAGTCGGTTAAAAAACCTATAAATAAATTATTTATTAAGGATCGAGATCAAATTTATAATAATGGTTCCTCAAGTCAGATTATTATAGAGAAATTTGGATACAATTAATATCCTTATTTCCTGCTAATAAATATATTAAATGTAACTTTCTCCTTTTATCCTTAACATGACGTTTATTATATATTTTCTGCTAATTTAATAACCTTAATATGGCTCTCTCTCTTTTTTTTTTTTTTTTTTTTTTTTAAGTCTAAAAAAAGAATTTTACAACGGCTGTGGGCATACTTTCTATTGGTAATTTTAGCTGTCAAAATCAGGTTTCACAAAAAAATTTTGAGACTATCAGTCCAAACAGCAAACGAATTTAGAAAAAAGAAATTGTTACTTATTCTACTGAGTTTTTATTATGTTGGCTCAACAATTATTCTGCTACATTGTTATTGCTATAGAACTTGCATGCAGCACAAAGGAATGGCAGATTTTGACTTTTTCTTTTTTTAATAATATCTGTATATGTATACATGTATATGTATTTTACGTAATAATAGCAATAAAAAAAAAGAAAAAAAAAGAAAAAAGAGAAATGTGTTAAATCATTTTATAAAAGAGCGAATCAATAACATGCTACGATATCAGATAAAAAAGAAATGTCAAACATTTTTTTTTAATTAATTTTTTTTTTTTTTTTTTTTTTTTTTTTTTTTTATTTATTTATTTATTTTTGTCGTATCTTGTTTAATCAATAATTTTTCTTTTTACATTCTTTCTAAATTTCTTTCTTTCTTTTTTTTTCCATACATATTATTAAAGTATATACATATAATAGTTGTCTAACAAAATTTATGCTCTAAGAGCATCATGGATAAGCTTTTTAGAAAGAATACTGGAAAAAAGAATAAAAATCAACACTATGATAAAGATGAAACGAGTAGTAGAAGCAGTAGTGGGATTAATGAGGAAATAGAGTTTACTATGACACCCGCTTCTCCTACTAGCAAATCTAGTTTTCATAGCAACTTACATACTTCTTCAACTTGGCCAAAATTACCAGAATTAGCTTTAACTTCAAGTACAAATTCTCATGACTTTAAACCTGTGGAAATTCCACAATCACCTACCCTCTCCTCTTCTTCATCACACAAAGTGATGCTCAATAATACTCAGTCAAATTTACTTGACGTAAAAATAGATCACGATAAAAGACAATCAATTTATAGTAATATTAGTTCCGATTCTGATACGGGCACTGATACGGACTTGAATCATCAAGAGACCCCCTTTGATGATGTATCTTCAGTAGGCTCTCTAAGCAAATTGGGCTCCCTTACTAATGATCATCATAAAACGGATTATATGTTAAATGATTCAGCAGTAAATACATTAGCAGAAGCTGCTTTAGATAAGGAAGAGGCAAAAGATCGTCACGTGACTTTTCAGGATCATGTCGTCGAATCTGCTGCTTTAGTTCAACGTATGTTAAGTGTCAGAATGGGTCAACATCATCGTATCGAAGATCCTATTGGAACAATGATGGCAGCAAGACATAACCGACGTAAACTTGATGAAGAAGCAGTTGAATTACAATCTCCTCAAGCTGTTGTAGGTGGGGGAAGTGTTCTGGCTAGTTTGATGAAATTAGAAGCACAAAGTCATGTAGATGTACCAAGAAAAAAGAAAAAGAAACATACAAAAGTATATATACATACATATATATATATATTCTATTTCATTATATATTAATCTTAATTTTGATTTAGGAACGAAAAAATTTACATATCAAATCTTCCAACAAGAAGAAACATAAATCCGCTTCCTTAATTAATTATCCTATGCATTCAAATACGGATCCACTTCCTGAACATGTAGAAAATACGCTCACTACACCTCGTCCTCGAAGACCTCTTTTAGTCAATCGACCTACAAGTTGGTTATCTGAAGTTGCTTCTAGTAAATATGTAGTACCCAGTTTAGAGAAGAGAAAGAAAGCAGTTACTCCTTCATTTTCTCGAAGATCTTCAAATGATAGTATGTTCACTACTGCTTCTCAATTTGAGCCTATCACTCTTGAAGACCGTATTCGTATCACCTTTGAAATTGCAAATATCTTACAGAAGCAAGAGTTTCTACGAAAGTTATGTAAATCTTTAATGTTATATGGCTGTCCTGCTCATCGTCTAGAATATGTCATGCGCGAAGTCTCTCGAACTTTAGGTGTGGATGCTGAATATATTTATATACCCAACGTCATGTTAGTCACCTTTATCGACTCTACTACTCATACAACTGAAACTCATTTTATTCGTCAGGCTCAAACTTTTGAAATGCATCGTTTATCGGATATCTATCGTTTGGAAAAGTTAATTTCTCATGGTGAAGTGACTGTAGATGAAGCGTTAGAGTTTATTGATAAAGTGTATGATCAGCCTCCCATTTATCCTATTTGGTTACATCCTTTTGTTTATGCACTCGCTGCCTTTTCTGGTTGTGTTCTATTTTATGGTGGTCGATGGAGAGAAGCTGGCATTGCAGCTGCTCTTGGGAGTAAGTAAATTAATAATATATACATACATATATATATATATATATATATATATATTTTTGACGATTGTATATGCAATATATGTATGTATTAATGAACCTATTTTTTTTCTTTTAAACACACATAGTGATTTTCGCTTCTAATGAAATTTTCTCTACTTTTATTTCGAGTTTTCAACCTATTTGGGAAATTACAGTGTGTATATTAATTGGGTTTGTAGCTCAAGGTATACAGAAATATGATTTCTGTTTTACACCTATTGCATTTTCATCTTTTATTATTGTACTACCTGGATATCCTATGACGGTAGCTATTATTGAGCTTGTCTCTCGACAACTTGTGAGTGGTGTGGTTAGGATGGTGTATGCCATCATTTATTCATTCTTACTAGGTTATGGCGTTACAATGGGGTCTGAATTGTATCTTACGATTGATAAAAGTAGTGATAACGTTCAAACTGATGTATGTAAATTAGCTTCAAATGCAACCACATGTATTTCCAGTGAATCTCAATGGTTTAACTTTATGCTGGTGCCCATGTTTGCCTTTGCCTATTGTGTTTACCTCAAGGCACGTCCCCCTCGTTGGCCTACTATGGTGATTGTAGCTTCCTGTGGCTATGTTATTAATTATGCTTTAGCCTGTTGGGCTCATGCTCCATCCCAAATCCTTCAAGTAGTCCCTGCTTTTGGTTTAGGCTTAATTGGTAATTGTTTGACAAAGTTTACTGGTAAAATGTCCTTTGATGCAGTTCTACTGAGTGTATTCTATCTGGTGCCTAGTAGTTTGGGTATCAAAGCTGCTTATGGTTTATTTAGTCGTTCCGATGATACAGGGACTCAAGGCGCAGGTTTAGCCTTAGCTATGATTGAATCTGCTATTGGTAAGTTTATAAACCAATATTACAATATCCTTTTTTTTCTTTCTTTCTTTCTCTTTTAACTCACTAAAATATGCAATCAACATTAGGTATTACACTTGGTTTATTCCTTGCCACATTGATTATATACCCTAAAGGAACTCAACATACACCCCTAATGAATTTATAGTCTTTTCTTTTTTTCTTTTTTTTTTTTATTTATTTATTTCTTTTCTTTTCTTTTTTTTTTTTTTTTTTTTTTTCTTTTTTTTCTGTCTCCCTTTTACATAGCGACATATAGATACGTAAACAATAATAATAATAATAAAAATTTTTGAAACAAAAATTACTATTTATTAGATGAGTATTCTACATATAAAAGTAAAATATATATGTATCTATTGATAACGAATAAAAAAGCCCGGAATACATCATAGACATACAAAAAAAAAAAAAAAAAAAAATACAATAAAAACAGTTTCTTTTCTTCTCTACCAAGATAGTTTTGCAAGAACTGGACGATGGTCACTAATAATTAAGCCATCATCAAATTGATTGGATAAAATAGCCACTTGATGCACAATAAATTTCAGAGAATTATTTTGAAGAGTCATAATGAAATCAATACGAATCGGTGCCCTCTTAAACTCTTCTCCCACACCAAAACTAGTAAAAGTGTTTCTAAATCCATAGGGCCCACTTAAAGCATCTGATGTCCCCCTCTCTGATTTTAATCGCGTGATTAATTCATAATATGTATCCTGAAAATATTCTTTTTCTATCTGCTGCTGCTGCTGTTGTTGTTTTCTAAAATTGGCAAGAATTTGGCCCGGTCGGATGACACGATGTGTAGGCAGAGTAATATGATTTTGAGCAGTATGAACAGGTTCACCTGTCATTGAAGAATAAACAGATGCACAATGCTGATTTAATTCTTGAAGGTTGGCGAGAGTGTCATTCTTACGTTCTGCATCTTTATACATATTACCGGTCAAGATACGATAGGCTGGATCTGTCTCTGTTGAATTTAAATCGCCCAATAAAATGACAGCACCAAATTCATTTGCTTCTCGTGCTCTTTCTAATAACAGCTTGGATGACTCCTCTCTCGATATATCACCTTTATGATCTAAATGGACATTGAAAACAGTAAACTTTACTTGTTCATCCTTCTTTAAAAACCTATAATCTCATACACACACACACACACATACGAAGAATAACAAGATAATGCATAGATTATTATTATTATTTTGCATAAAGTTATTATCTTACTTACATTGCTTGAGTTGCAATACGAGGATGTGTAGCGTCCCAGCCTTTACTTCCTGCTATTTCAGGCTCCTAAATAGTAGTGTAACAATATAATAAATATGCATTCATTCATAAAATAAATAAATAAATAAAAAATATCCCACGATATACCTCAGATAACCAAATTGTTTTCCATTTCTCGACTGTCAAAATGTTTCTAAAAAAAAAAAAAAAAAAAAAAAAAAAAAAAAAAATCTCTTTAATACATGATAGTTTTTTTTTTTTTTTTTTTTTTTTTTTTTGTAGTGTACTTTTTATAAAATATAGCCGAGAATTCACCTACTTTATCACCATCATTTCGGCCTACACCTATCCAACTATACTCATTATTTAAAAGTGTTTCGAGATCTAATAATTGATGATGTACAGGTTCCTTTCATAAAGTTTAAAAGTTATTTCATATATTCTCTCTTTATCAAAACACACATACAAGCCATTATAATTTATGTATATATATATACCTGTAATGCTACTATATCAGGTGAATATAAAAGTATCGTATCTGCTATTTTCCATTTTCTAATAGTCCAAGGCTGTTCTTCTGCAAATTGACTAACGTCAAAAGCATTCTCTTTAATAGGCGGGGCAGCAAAAGGAGTTGTTGGTGAGTTTATATGATGGTCATGACGAATATTAAATGTCATGAATTTTAATGCTCCTACCATCTTGACACTATGTATATCTATATATTATGTACGTTTATGTATGTAAAAGGTTATTAAAAGGAAAAAAAAAAAAAAAAAGAAAAGAAAAAGAAGAAAAAGGCTTTAATTTTCTTTTCGGAAGCTGAAATTTTTATTATAACTTTATAATAAAAAAAAAAAAATGTTACTTTACTATGATGAAACAAAACTTTTAAAAAAATTAAACGATGAGTGCATTACCTCTTAAATATATGTCATATTGTCCCAGCCAATCCTAAAAAAAAAGAAAAGAATCTAAGAAAAAATCCCTTCATGTCTTTATAAGTGGTAATAGGTATGAAAAAAAAAATCAAACAAGTCAAAAGTAACATATTAAAATACTAATACTGAACATACAAGCAAATATCCAAATGGAGTGGAGGGAAAGTGGGGGGGGGAATGAGGAACCATACAAACAGAATGAATATTTTATTTCATTGAAAAGTACGTACATAATAAACTCTCTTAATAGATCAGAGAGAAGTGATCTGAGTGGCCTTAGGCTTCTTTTATAGTTAAAGTATTATCTTCACTGTTCAATAGATAGCAATGTGAATGTAAATCTTCAATATTAGAAATGTAAAGGACATAAAACTATGCTTACCATGAGGTAAACAGTCAAGATACTGACTACGATTAAAGTGGAATACGAGTAACTAGAGAATAGAATTTTGTGTGATGGATAAATGATAGACCACCAAGAATTTACTCTACTGTATAAAATAGCAGCTAAATAAAGTTTTTTTTTTATGACAAAGTAGTAGAAATAGTATCTAGATAATTTAACATAAAATCATAGAATTAATTCAGACAATGCAATGGTTTGATTTAGAATAGGAGAGAAAATACTATTGATTATTATGAATAATAATAATAAAGGGAAAAGAATTAGCTTTCAATAAAAAAAAATATCCCAAATTCCATAGATCTCAAAACGTTGCGCAAACCTGGAGAAGGTGCTTGAACACATTTACCGGCTTACATGACAGTACGACGGTTTAATTCTTTAAGTAGACAAAATCTTGAAGCCGCCTTTGCATGAGTAACAGCAATATGGCTTATAAATACAAAAAATTTCTCCCTTTTTTTTTTTGTTAGGGCATCCCATTAAACTACAATGCTTACTAAAACACGTATATCTTATGAAAATGACACAATAATAACAACGCAATCAATTACCAATTTGTTATGGATAAGCATTGCACTCCAATGGAGTTTGAGTCTTTTAATTTTGATGAAGAAGGCCGTTAATTGATAATATACTTTATACGCGTGCTACGATGGATTTGTCAGGTAATTCTGATACTAGGAGTACTTTTATTCTGCTTATTTTGGAGAATCACGAGCCTGCAGCTAGGGCAGTTGACGAATCAAAGACGATATTAAGCAAGACACTGGTTCAGAACAGTCTGTACGGTGCCAAGCTCTTTAAAATTAAAAGTATACTGAGACACAAAATGAATGGTCTTTTTTTACATAATGTCCCGGTCGATGGGAACTTTGCTGCTAATACCACTCTTCAACAAGCAAACAAAAGAAAAAGAAAAGAATGCTCACCTGGAACATAAAAGCGGAAACGAATGGGGGCTCGTACCTCCCATCATCTGCAGTTTCTCAATACTATGATAATGGATACAGATATGTTTTCTTCAGTTCATACTTATACCTATACTTTTTAACACTCAATTTATTATGCCTCTTCTTTTTTTTTTTTTTTTAATAAATTATGTATGCTGTTGTTCGAATTCTTCTATATAAAGCAAATTTATCCTTTCGTACAAGTTAATAAATGTAGCTGAGGTATGCTTATGCAGATTTCTTGTACAGGAATTAAATGAGGAAGCCAACTACATGGGGGACTTTTTACTAAGTGCCTTTGTAATGGCAAAACTACACTTTTTTTTAAACAAAAACAAAAAAAAAACACTTGTCTAACTGTGTGAGTTGCAAGTCAACAGCTGTTAATTGTAAGGTCAAAGAATACTAATTAAATCTCAAAGAACACTAAAGATATGGAAAAAAAAACCCCCAGTATCTTCCTAAGAGAATGACATGTAAAGTAGGAAACAATTATGATAAAAAAAAAACGATACAGCCTATTTCGGACTTGAAAATTCTATAGTTATGATTACTTCTTACCTCTATAAAAATGATATTTGACATAGTCATACCAAGCTTTTTATGTCTCAAACTTATTAAATAAATCGTCTCATAATTAATCTTAAACTATTTTTAAAAGAGAAAAAGGTAAATTTATCTAAAAAAAAAAAAATAAAAATAAAATAAAATAAAATAAAATAATAATCATAAAATAAATAAAAACCCTCGTAAATAAATGATACAAACATTTTATTTCTTTTGTATGTGTAAATGCTTCCTCTTATACTAGAACAAAAAACCACACTACAAAATCAAGTAAAATACTTGAAGATGTAGTATTTTCGTTTCGATTTCTTTCCACTTTATTCAGTTTTCTTGTCCTCAAAAGTATCTCCATATAATAATTCATATCTCTTTTTTGTTTCTTCATCTAATTGTTGTGCTCTACCTCTACGTTCGTAATTTACCATATATCTATCTGATTTATATGCACCTCCACCTAATCCAAAACACATAACAATGTAAAACTAAATAAACAAAAAAAAGGTATGACCCCACACACACATATATATATGTATATACATGTATACAATGTACATAACTTGTAAATAAAAAGTTTTTTTTCTTTTCTTCCTTTCTTTTTAGCTAAAAATATTACCTTATTGACAGTTTGAGTTTTACGATACCAAGGCATAAAAGCATAAAGTAAACCAGATGCAAAGAGACCAACACCTGCCCATTGTGCTGCCCCAATAGCAAAGCCTTTCATGGCATAACGAGAAGCATTTTCTTGTTCAGTATTAGTAACAAGTCTCATCTTTCTAATAGAGTATTTATTTCTTTCTTTCTTTTTTTTTTTTAAAAAAAAAAAATATAGATATTTATTTATAAAAGAAAATAAATAAAACAGAATGGAAAGAGGATCCCCTATTGTGTGTTGCGGAACCTTAAATATATGAATACTACGGAGAAATCGTGTCATTTTTTTTTTTTTTTTAACCGGGACAGTAGTATTTTTTTTTTTCTTCTCTAAAATTTAAATATGTATTTTTTTTTTATGGAAATGACTGATTCATATTACTTTTTTGAGGAAGAAAAAATTTATTAACGTATATTGAAAATAAGTTTGCTTTGTATCATTTAAAGATTATATGTACATTGAAAGAGAAAGAATATAATCAACCAAGCTATATACATATATATATATATATATATATAAAGATATATGTGTATATATAATCATATCTTATTATACATTCAAGTAAATTATAAGCAAATATGAACTTTTCTATCAAAAATTTTAATTACTTGATTCGTAATAATTATAAATGTGAGTATGGTATTTTTTTTTTCTTTTAAAAAAAAAGAAGGTGAGGAGTCTAATTAGGATAATAATAGATTGGATATGGAGATGGTAGTGGAGGAGGAGGAGGAGGAGAAGAAGATAGTTGATTTGAAGGTGGTGGTGGTGGAGGCATAAAACCTCCTGCAAAATGGGGTTGTGGACAAGGGAATTCCATCATAGTGTTATTATCAGGAAATAATGGTGTCTGTTGAGGATAATGATTAGTATATGTATAAGGTGAAAATGACTGTTGTTGTGGAATAGGCAGCATGGGACTATTATTATAGAATGGTAAAGGATAAGAAGGTTGTGGCATAGGTATATTCGTGGTAGCTTGATTAATTACATTAGGCATTGATACCCCATTATTCATAACAGGACAAGTAGTAGGAAAGCTTGAAGGAATGATGATAGGGGAAGAAACAGCAGCTGGTGTAGGTACATCTTGATTCCTTACTATCCATCGAACGGATTCACGTCTACCTAATTGTTGACCATGATAAGAACTAGCAGTACGATGAAGACTCTCGTTTCTTTGTAAATCCGCATGTGTGGGTGCTGTAGGTGATACGATAGGCTGATAATCGTTATAAATTTCAGATGGACTTAATTTTAAATTTGAATTATAATAATTTGATGATTGTTCAGAGGATATAGTAGTAGTAGTAGTAGTAGTAGTAGTATTAGCTGGTAAGTTTGTCATTGGTGAAGTTTGATTATTTATAACTGGAGAAGCTGTATCATTCTTACTCTCCTTTTCGGTTTGTTGTGGATTAGTTTCTGCTAACTGAGGTATATTATAAAGTTTATCTGTGGGTGGTGAAATAATTTCTATATTATATGAGGGATTTGTAGCTGATGTTGAAGAAAGAGATTGATTTGGTTTGTATGTACTACTCGTGGATGAATTTATCGACTCTACTTCTTCTGAGGCCTTGGTAGGAGAGGATAAAGTAGGATCAATTCGAGTAATTGTACTTTTATGATGCAAATGTGGGTTTATGCTAGTTTTCGTATTTGCAGATTCTTCATCTTGCTGTATTATTTCAGGAGCAGAGTTACTTAATTCCTCTAAATCTAATTCCTTCATTTTCTCGGCTATTTGTTCATAATCAGCTATTTCATCCTCTTTTTGATCATTCAAACTAGTGTCATAATCATCATCATCGATACTAAAAGCAAGTCGAGGATATGTACCAATGGTAAATGGTATATTAAAGATAACTATATCACTTTGTGTTTCAACTTGAAGGGGATTTTGTTCGTTTAAATTTACAGATATACGTATAGTATAGTCAATTTTAAATGAGTGTCCTGATTTATCAACAGTTGGACATACATTAGAAGGAATCGGCAATTGTATATTAAATGTTTTTGTGAAACTTGTTGGACCTGAAATATCAATATTTGAAGTGACTTCTTTTATAGATTTCGGACCAAACAATTCATTGCTATGGATAATAAAGTAAAAGTAAATAAATAAATAAATAAATAAATAAAAGTATACTAATAGTATCTTTACGTATTTTTGCCATAATAAACTGATCTTAATAACTGTACCAAGATTGCTTTGTCTCGTACAAAAACACCGATATGCTCAATAGTTATAGATATTGGAATAATATCGCCTAGTTAAGAATAAGACATTCAATTTAAATTTCCTATTGCATAAATTTATTTATTTATAGATAGATACCTTTCACAGCAGCACGTTTCCCAACTAGTGTCGAAACCTTTACAGTACGAGTTTCCCCAGTTAATACAAGTTCCTTATTTATCTTTTGTTCTCCCATCAATTTTGAGCTTTCAACATTAATATCTTCCAAGATATTAACATCAACTGAGGTTATAGGACAAAGTCTCTCGACATACAAAGGTTTATTATAAATAGCAATGAGTTTATATTTTACTTTTAATAAATTACCAATCTAAAAATAATAGTAATAAAAAAAAAGAAAAAGTTAAACTTATATATATATACACACACACATACACACAGATATATATATATATATATATATGTATATACATATTTAAGCAAAAAAAAAGTATATTATACCTGTAATGTACTTGGTACTTTGTATTGTTTAGAAGATGGTATAGTTATTTTAAAAGGAAATCGATGTGTATGTGGTTCAAGATAATATGATTTTTCTCCATCTGGTGACTCGGCAATAAACACAGACTTTGAAAATAAAATCAAACTTCTTCCTCCAATTTCAACTGTTCCTTCCAATGTTACTTTAATATTTAATGTTTTACTTGCTTTTTTCAAGTCGAGAATAACATCGCCTATTATAATAATAAACAAAAAGGTTACCTACCTTATTTGTTTCTCCTCCCCTTCCCCCCCTTTTTTTTTTCTTTTTATTACCTAATATGTTTTCTCCAGGGAAATAATATCTTTCTTCTTTAAGTTCAATATAAAATTCATTTTCTTTAGCTTTAAATAAATCTGTCATAATTATTCAATGTACGTTAAGCAGAATAGCGAGAAAAAAAAAAAAAAAGATAAATTTAATATAATTTATTTATTCTCAAAAAAAAAAAAAAAAAAATGTGTGTGTAAGGGAGAAGTAGCAGTTACAGTTTGTCCGGAAAGACTGACGACTGGGTTTTTTTTATTTTGGGCCGGAAATAGATTATATCAAGTTGACATCTTTATTCTTTTTATTTAAAAGGCCGTTCAACACATTTATTTTTATCTATTTCTTGATTAAGTCTTTCAAAATCAAATCTTAGAAAGGTCTTTTCTTTTTTTGTTTATTAAAGTAAATGGGATTCACAAGGTCAAGGCTATGGTTATTTGTTTCTATGTAACTGAATTTATCAGCATGGCTATGACGATTGTATGCGTGTACAATCATTCATATAACAGTCCTCTACACCAACAAGATAGATATCAATATATTAAATGAACAACAACAATTCCTGGTAAAGTTGATCAGTCTCTATTCACTGCTTAGTAGCAGCTCATGATAGTAAAGAATGATCACAAGAAGCGAGTGAGTGAGTGAGTGAGTGAGTGAGTGAGTGGAAGGTGATTTTAATAAGTCTGCCCTTTTTCTATAAGAAGATATATAAAGTCGTTAAGTGACTTGTTACTGAGTTTTTTTTTTTTTTTTTTTTTTTTTTTTTTTTTGTATAAACTATGTACAAACATGAAATAAACACCTGTCATACTACCCCGCCTTCACTTTTTTTTTTATTATTTTATTTTATTTTTTTTCAAAAAAATAATGACAAGCATTCTTAACCCACAACAACGTCGATATTTCTTTAGTTTACCAAAAATTCTTAGTTCAAGGAAACAATATTCTGAAAGGAAATTATTAAAGTAAGTAAACATAAACTTGAATATAAATAATAATAATAATAATAATAAATAGTTTTTCACAAAACCAGCTATATGATGTTGTCTCAAATGTAGAAGACTATCATTTATTTGTACCTTTTTGTACACATTCTCATGTTTATACAAATTCATCTATGGGGAATGGAATTCATGTTATGAAAGCAGAACTAGGCGTTGGATTCAAGCTATTTAAAGAAACTTACATGTCAAAAGTAACTTGCCAAAAACCTACTTTAGTCAAGGTAAAAAAAAAAATAAAAATAAAAGGAAGAAGGAGCAATATATATATACAGATAAATATAGTATTGTTACCATCTTTCTTACCTGTATTTATATATATATATATATACGTATGTATTTTAATATTTATAGGCAGTTGCAGCAGATGCTACTCTATTCAATGACATGACTACAACTTGGAAATTTACTCCCAATGTGCCTAAATCACAATTAAATTCTCCTTCTGCAAGTGATCATCCAACTTGTTGGGTTGATTTTGATATAACATTTGATTTTGCTTCCCCTCTTCATGCACAAGCCTCTACTGTCTTTTTTGATCAAGTTTCAAAAATGATGCTTCAAGCATTTGTGAATCGATGTCAAACTGTTTATGAAAAGAACAAAAATTGAATAATAAAGAACAAAGAGGTAAAAAGAAGAAAGGAAGAAAAGAAAAGAAAAAAAAAACTTTTATTATATACAGTTATAACTGACTTTTAACTATATAGCTTTATTTATTGACTGATATAAACATGTATATTTTCAGTATTCGATAATGCCACCATTTTTTTCATATTTTTGTATATATGAATTCAGTATTAGACTTAATGAAATAGTAAAATAAAAGAAAAGAAAGAATACCCAAACTTCATTTAATCTTTCAAGCTATGCCTATTAGCATATCTTCTTAAACAAAGGTATATTACTATTGAAGAGAGTTCTTTTTTTCAAAGATATCATTCTTTGTAAAGACTGATAGAGAATATATCTATATTCTACCCAATCATAGATGAGACCTATTACTTGATATCTTTTATATGAATCATAAGCATTTCCTTGGCTTTAATAAAATTCTATAGGTGCGATTATTTACATCATCTAAAAGATATGAAATAAAGTAACGATATACAATGGGTATTATTGAATTCAGATGAATGTCGTTTAATGCACATGTATCATGAGTAGTAAGAACAATTATTTCTGGACTCTGTTTATAAATATTGACCTCCAACACTTATGAAACCTGTACTCGACTCTATTTAATTGTGTACAGTACAAGGAGTTTCTTTTCTTTCAACTTTATAGTGTCTCGTATATTCATCATCTTCTTTAAAATGAGATATATGACGTAAAGACATCTTGAACGGTGGAGGAATGGATGATCAGAGGCAACAGCAGGTCCGTGGCCCCATTAATTTAAACTCAGCATGGTTACTTAACAGCTAGCCATTTGTGCCGTCACAAGGTACGCGCGTATAATATTCTATTCCTTAATAAAAAAAAAAAAAGTAAAGCTTTCCCTTTTTATTTATTATACTCTTAATTAATAATGTTCTTAACGCGTTCTGAATATGATCGTGGTGTAAATACTTTTTCACCCGAAGGTCGTCTTTTCCAAGTTGAATATGCCATTGAAGCAATCAAGGTATGAATGAATGAATGAATACATGTTGAAAGCTCTTTTTTTTTTTTCTTTTTTTTTTTTTTTTTTTTTTCCTTTACTCATTTTTTATTATAAGCTTGGTACAACTGCTATTGGTGTTCAAACATCTGAAGGAGTTGTTTTAGCTGTAGAAAAGCGTGTGTCCTCTACTTTATTAGAACCTAGTTCAATTGAAAAAATTATGGAAATTGACGAACATTTAGGCTGTGCAGTAAGTGGTATGACAGCTGATGCAAGAACTATGATTGAACATGCTCGAGTTGCTGCCCAGGTAATTAATAAGAGAAAGAAAGCAAAAGTTGCAGATTCAGTGTATCACTCATATTTTTTTTCCCTCTTTCTCTCTTTATATATCTGTGTGTGGCGTATTTGATTATATAGAACCATAAATTTACATATGATGAGAAACTTAAAGTCGAGAGTGTCACTCAAAGCGTATGTGATTTAGCATTACGATTTGGTGAAGGTGCTGAAGGTGAAGAATCTATTATGGTAAATAAGTGCTTTAAATAGTAAAGATAAAAGATAAGAATAGTTTAATAATATTGTATCGTAAAAAAAAATAATAATAATAGAGTCGTCCATTTGGTGTTGCATTACTTATTGCAGGTGTTGATGAAAATGGACCTCAGCTGTAAGTAATCTGACTACCATGAAAGACATCAATGATTGACAATTAATTTGCATTGTATAGTTTCCATGCTGATCCTTCAGGAACATTTATGAAATATCAAGCAAAAGCTATCGGTTCAGGTTCTGAAGGTGCTCAAACTGAATTACAAAAAGAATACCACAAGGTAAATAGATGCTAAAAAAAAGAAAAAAAAAAACTCTAAAAATTAACATACAACATTTAGTCAATGACTTTGAAGGAAGCTGAAACTCTTGCTTTAAGAGTATTAAAATCTGTTATGGAAGAAAAATTAAATAAGACCAACGTTCAACTTGCAGCTGTCACACCAGAACAAAACTTTAGAATTTATTCAGAAGAGGAATTACAACATGTTATTGAAAGATTGTAAATCATCGTTCATTTGACACCCTCTTTCCCCCTCCCCCCTCTCCTTTTTTTTGTGCATATTATTAAAATAAAGATATTTGGAAGAAGCAGTTTTAAATAAGAAAGAAGAGAAGATATTTTATTTAAAGAAATGCAAATTATACAAACACATGTGATTTGGTTAATTTATATAAATGAATTTTGTTAACTATATAAAAAAAAAATCGAGCATTTTCTATTCTAGATATCGGTTAGCAAAGTTAATTAAGATAGTCCTAAAAGTGAAGCAGTCTATGATATGACATGTACTATCTATTGTCTTTACAACAACAACAACATGTGAAAGGGAACTAATTGGATAGATCGATATTGCTCATAATGATGATAATATCAGAATCATCATCAGTCAAGTTTCGACAAATAGCTGTTTCTAGTACTTCCACTTCCATTAAATCAAGAGCATTTGGTGTCTTTTTAATAAAGGAAGCCTCATATTCTAGTGCATCAAATACTTGTCCATCAAAAGGATCTATAGAAACAGCCTGTTCATTTGCAAGAAACTCTTCTGTACAATATTCATTATCCATGTTTTATACAATTAAGAAATAAAAAAATAAAATAAAATAAAATAACAAAAGTAACATAAATAAAGCGATTTCTTTTTATACGCGTAAATAAATTCGAAGTTTTTTCAGTTTCAACTAAACGTCTTCTACATTGAAAATTGAAACGAAACAAAAACAAAAAAAAAAAGACGTTATAATTAGGTTGCATAAAGTTTATTAATCCATTTTGTATTTATTATACATGAAGATGTACACAATATAAACATAGGCGGAGATTTAAACATGCTGATAAAATAGTTAGTTATCCAATCAGATCAGAATGAAATGCATGATATGATGTCATATTTCATTTTAAACCATCAAATCCTTGCTGTGAAACTTTCTTGGTAGCTAAATTACATGCAAACTCTAAAGCATTTCCTAGTGACTGTTGTGATGATGATGATAGATAATGAATGACACCAGCATTGAATGTATCACCTGCACCTACACTATCGACGGCTTTCTCTATTGATAATGGAGAATATTGAAAGATTTGGTTTGTTTCATTATCCAATGCAGAAGCTTCTTCTGAACCCCAAGTACAAAATGCCTTTGCACTTTTAAATAATCAAACCAAATCAAATCAACAGTCAATTAAAAAAGAGAAGTTTGACATGATGGACTTACTACTCGACTTACTTGGATTTCAGATTTTGTTGTAATAAAGTAGATTCAGTCAAGAAGGATTTTGAACTATGATGGTTATGATGTTGAGCAAATACCTTTGAGAGAAACACAACGTCACCCTAACCATGATAAAGCTGGAATTATTAAAGACATTACCGTAATACTTTTATTTATTTATTTATTTATTTATTTTTTACTCGTCTAATAAGTTGCTCCATATCTGCTCTTTCAGGCTTCTCTGCTTCAACTGAAATAGTTAATTGATGTCTCCAATTTTCTGAAATGGCTTTTTCATTCAGCCAATCAATTTGTTGAAGGGTTTCTGCTATATTACGTCCTTCAAAGTGAACCCACCACGATGAAGAGCGTTGATATATTTTTTCAAATAATTGAACAAATTCTTTAAAGGTTATACTTTCTAGTCTATTATATTCAATCAATCAATCAATACAGATATGAACAGCAAGTAAAATGATTTATCTTTGTCTCTTACTGATGATTGGATATAATCGTTCTTGATCCAGTCTTTTCACTATGAATGATAGTTGAAGAAGGTGTTATTTTATCATGTCTATAAATGATTGTATCATCTGTTTGGATAGATTGATGGCGTAATGCTTCTATAATATGACTTTGTATATAGATAAGTGTGATTTAGCTCTATTTTATGTTTCATTAAAGAATCCCTACTTCTATTACCCTGATGTTTCACGAGATCCAACAGCCGACATATAATAGATATTGTTTTGCTTCTGAAATTGGACTAGTACTTTTGCTGTATTGCATGTGTTCCCCCCTGTTCGTTGTTCTGCATAGTTGGCTCGAACTTTTAAGTCTTCCTTGGGAAATTCATTCACATGCAATATATAATCCAAATAAAGTTGTCCAACAAGTAAAATACATGATTTACATTTTTCATTGAATGGATCATTAGTTGGTATTGATGACATTGCTGCTTCTTTTTTTCCTTGTTGTTCTTGTCTTTTAGTAATAGTCGTTAATAGTACTTTTATGCCAATGAGGAAAATATGCAGTAATGATAATAAAAAAGGAAAAAAAAAAAAAAAAAAAAGAAAAGTACCACGTGTGTCATCAAGTCACAGGTTCAAAGAAGAAGAGAAAAAAAAAATGCGCTTCTTTAATTATTACTGTTGTATATCGTTTATAAATAAACAGACTCGTTTTTTATTAAACTTATACCTTTTCTCTCTTCCTCTCTTTCTCCTTCTCTTCTCTCTCTTTCTCTCTCTCTCTCTCTCTCTATACATATATTTATACAGCGAATAATGGAACATAATAGTAAAGAAGAAAAAGCATCTACTACTAGTTTTTATTATTATACAGTAGATGCTATTCCACTTTATCAATCCTCAAAAAGACCCTTTCATTTAGAAAACCGATTAAAAAAGCGACGTAGCTTATCATTCATGTCTTCTAATGACCAAAAGAACTCCTCGAGTTCTCATGAAAAGAGTAATAAGAGAGAGGCTATCTTGGAAGAAAGAAGAAAGAAATTAAACGAGCATTCGCTTAAAGTTCAAAAAATCGCCAAGGAACAAGAAGATCGTATCCAGAGGAAAAATTTTCTTTTATCAAAATCAATGGAATTGGCTGAATTAAATAGAAATCTTTATATCGAACAAAGAAAGGCTCAATCCAAGAAATCAGTGGAAAGGGCAAAAAGAATTGCACTTCAAAATCAACATCGATCTTTGCAAGAGCAAGGTAAAATAGACCTAAAATACAGATAGACATGTATTACCGTATCCTATAGACTGAATTGATTTGTCATTCTCTATTTAGAGCGACGAAGAGCTGAGCTTGAAAAAAGACTAGAAAGAACTGAAGAAAGGCGATTGGCTTATTTGAATAAATATCAAAAATCAAAAAATAAAATGATGACTACTTCTTCTTGTTTAATTCAAACAACAACATCATCTACCATTACAGACACTACTATGCTAACATCATCCACTAAAAAGGCAGATATTTCAACAGCAACAGCAACAACAACATCATCGTCGTCATCATCATTATCTCCATCAATAACAGCACTACCACCACCTAAAAAGAAGCCTTCTTCATGGTCTATTATCTTGAAGGCTTTTAGGGAATTAGGTTTACCATCCCCTTCTGACACAAATACTTGGTTGGAATTTAATACCTTGAGCCAACTTCTTCATGAAGCAAAAGTCATTGTTGTAACAACAAAAGTACTTAATACAGCATTAAAGATAAAAGATGAAGAGAGTAAACATCGTGCTCGTATTCTTTTAACTTCTTATATGATGCTTATATGTCCAAAGGAAGTATTACAAAATGTTCATGGTATTGAAGAGAAAGTAAGTTGAACAAGAAAAAAATAAATAAATAAATAAAGAGGATGTTTTATATACATATATACATATATAGCTACATTTAGAGGTTATCTATTAAATTTTAACGTCTTTTTTTTTTTTTTTTTTTTTTTTTGCCTTTATGATGATGAAAGAGATTACATTCAGCAGCTAAAGATATGCTTCACCTATTTGAAATATGGCTTAGTACTCATGGTCATCCTGGTGCGACAAAGGCAAGAGTTAGATTTGTGGATGCTTGGAATAATTATAATATCTTGTTTGAAACTTGGAAATCAAAAGATTGTGAACAATTGACGAGCCATATGATTCAATACTATCTTGAACTTTCAACCCTTCGTCAAACAGTAATTGCACAGAACGATGGAGAACAAGTAGGTGATCAATTGCATCAACAACTTGATGAAATCAAACATAAATTAGAGAAAATAGGAGGAACACATGCTCTTGAACGTCTACAAAGAGCAATGGAAGCGTCTTCTTCTTTTAAATCAATGAATCAACAACAACAAGAAAGTAGTAATAGTAGTAGCAGGAGCACACCTCGATCACCTACTACATTTGATGGAATGGAATATCATTGTGAATTACAAGAGGATACAAATCCTGATGAACAGCTTGCTGAACTCCTGGGCAACCATTTGCAATATGATTTTTTTACAAATGAACAGTTAGCGCATGAACTGATTGTGGATCCAGAATTCAAATTTAAACGATATGAGCCTACAAGTGATCTAGAAAGACGAGTCAAGATGATGGCTGAGAGGGCATTCTTTGATAAACTTGTAGAGGAAATAGAACAAGGAAAATCAGACAAGTCGATTATTTCATTTATAAAGGAAATCAAAATGGTACAGTAGATAAATAGATACATATATACATGTATATACATATAGATATACACATATAGATATATACATGTATATACATAAAATGTCAATAGTTTCCTTCATCTTTATAAATTCCTATCCATTTATCTTATTTATTTTATATATAGCGTCTATTATCACTTGTTCGTTCTGACACGACTCTTTATCATAAAATCAATGATACCTTGGATATGATTGAACAGCAAACGAAACAAACTACATTTGATTTACAAGCCATGATAGATTCTATCTTACATGTTATGTCAAAGTTATGTGCACCTGTTCGAGATGAAGAAATTAAAAGTGTACAAAACGATTCAAATGGTAACATGATTGAACAGTTTAAACGCATCTTTGATATCTTGGAAGACATGACCTTAGATCTTGCCAACTTTAGATTGAGATCCTTACGTCCTCATCTAATGTCAATCGCAGTTGAATATGAACGTGATAAATTTGCAAAGATGTTGATGGATGGAACTATTCAATTAGTTCGTACCAAGTCTTGGTTAACTCAATCTACGCATAAATTATGTCAAGTAGCCGCTGAACGTGATGGTGGAGGTGATGGCATAGAACAACCTACAAGCAACTATCGTCCCTCCTTTGATGCTATATTTGAAGAAGCATTTATTTCTCTAATTCATCAGCCAGAAAAAAATTTAGTATCTGCAGAAGATCTACCAGAGACCTTGAGATTAGATATTAAACGAATGGCTTATTTTCAAAATCAACTCAAGACTATCTCTATCGTTGCTGCCTTATTAATGTTAGCAAGGAATTTTGGTTCTACTTATCCTCCTTCTCCTCATCAGACAGGATCCTTGGGAGCATTATCCAAGCGATTGTTCATCATGTTGGAAGATGACGCAACGACGATGGATAATTTGGTAGCAGAGATTGAAGGAAGAGTGAAGGTAAAAGGTGAACAAAGAGAGATGATACGGACGATGGTAGAGAAGACGATAAGTCATCATGATACAGTCTATTCTTTACTTTCACGACGAGTTGCTTCTGTCATCAAGAGTACCATTCAAAACAATAAATTCGTTACAGATGCAGTCCTCTCAAGTAATGGTTTAGAATATGTGAGAGATCAACTTGAAATGACTTCAATTCAAATACAAAGATTAGTGTATCATCATAAAAAGGTGTATTCTCCTTGGTATCATTCCATAATGAAGGAAGCACTTTATGGGAACATCTAGCGACTGAATTCTATAAATGAATAATCAGTCAGTCAGTCAGTCAGTCATGTGCATGTATTAACACACATTATCATTATGAATGTATTAAATTTTATTTTTCTATAAATATAAATATGTATGTTTGTATGTATGTATGTATATGTATATGCAAAGTATATATAATACTTCTTTCTTTCTCTTTCTCTCTCTCTCTCTTTTTCTCTCTTTCTTTCTTTAATATGCTATACATAAAAGAGGGAAGAAATACAATGCATCATACTATCTTATTTTTTTTTTAATTTTTTAATGAAATCAAGTCAGGACCTTTCCATAAATTAATAAAAAGAGCAGTAGCCAAGATGATGGCATATCGACACCAACGAAGTAATGAACGAATTAAATAACGAATTTGAAATAAAATAAGATTTAATAACCCTTTTTTGGGCTGTTCTTTCTCAGTGTCTGTAGTAGTAGTAGTAGTAGTTGCTGCTGTTGAAAAATACGTTGGATATAAATTATTTTCTGCAAAGTCAACATCATCATTTTGAGGTTCAAACAAGTCATCAACATTATAATTAGAAGAAGAAGATGATGATGATTTAAAAAACCGTTCTGCTTCATCAAGAATAGAACGATTATCGATTCCTATTGAAGAAAGGAATTTTTCTAATGCATAATCAGCTGGTGCATTACAAAATGAGGTAACATTACGTTCTGTCAAGTGGGCAAGGTCACATAGTCTGTTTGTTGAAAATAAAGACGCATGATGATGATGATGATTATAATTAGATTTTAAATTCTCTTGATTCTTGGCCCAAGCATCCTCTAATTCACCCATTAAATTTTGTTTCAAAGTGCCTGCGGAAAATACAGATGGATCTCCATTGGTTGATAGACTAGGCACAGTATCGTCTGAATAATGCGATAATAAAGCTTTATCGCGTAGTCGTGATAAAACAAGTCGATGTTCTTCTAAACTATCATTTAATTCTTGAATATGAATTCTTTGTTTCTCAAAGGCTTCTTGTAATGCCAAATAACTTTCCTGAGTCAAATTAAAATTTTCAAAGTCTTTTCTCAACATGTCCAAGTCATGTAAGGAATGAATCAATTTTTCTTCTACCAACTTTTTAGAAGCTTGTAAATGTTTATTATCGACATAAAGGTCTTGTAATTGATTGGTGAGTTGTTCTAATAGTTCTTCATCTTCTATTCTTTGTTTTTCAAGCCTTTTACGATCATCTAATTGTTTTCGTCTTGTCTGTTGTACATGTCTTTCTTCTTCTAGTTCCTGAACTTGAGCTGCAGCCATATCAAGGTTGTCCTTTAATATTTCAATTTCAGATTCTAATTTTCTTTGCCTTTGTAAATGAGTTTGATTTGTTGATTCAGCCTGTTTTTGAGTCTGTTCTAATACAGCCTCTATTTCAGCATTTTTACGTTCCAATGATTCAATAACATGATCATAGGTCCTTTTGTTAGATGATATAAATCGCATGTCGTTATCATAACTTTCTTTTTCAGTCTGGCAATTTCTAATATTCTCTAATAGTTTATCATAATCTGCTCTTAGGACCTGATTATGTTCTAATAATCCTTTTCCAAGTTCTGCTGCCATATATAAATCTAAAGCAAAAAAAAGAAAAAAAAAAGAAAATAAATAAATAAATAAATAAATTCATTTATATACTGCACTTACTTTTCTCTTTTTCTTTTAATAATTTATATGTATTTTTTAAAAGACTACCAAGTTCAGAAGCAGATTTTTCAGCAATTCCTGAAATAGAAGAAAGAAAAGAAGATGTAGAGGAGGCAGCTGGTGAATAAGGTGGATCTTCTTGTTGCTGATAACTACTATTATTTGTTGGTGTTGATTGTGAATATTTTGTAGCAATAACTGTAAGATTAGGATTTCTTCTCTTCATATTTGATGCAAGCATTCTTTCTATCTATTATTAGTAGAAAAAAAAAAGGAAAAGAAAAGAAAAGAGAAAGAAAGAAAGAAAGAAAGAGAGAGAGAGAGAGAGAGAGAGAGAAAAGAATTAAAATATATGTGTATATATAAATATATGAATAGACTATAAATATAGAAATATGTATATAAATCGGAGTTATCCTATATACACCCCCTCCTTCCCCTTTATACTTAAAAAAAAAGGGGTAAAAAGGAAGGGGAGAAAGAAAAAGAAGTTTGTTATTCTATGCTTACACACACGTACATACACACACACACACCTGCTGACTCTTTTTTTACTAGAAAATAATTACAAATGTTTGGGGGAGAGAATGAGATCGTGTAAGGTAATACAATGGTTTATCATTGCTATAAATGGAAGATATACATTTATATACAAATATAAAAGACATTAATCAAGGTAAATATATTCTGGTGAATGCTTTTCTATTTCTTGAAGTTTTCTCTTTTTCTTATTATTAGAAGATACAAGGAAACTAACTTCAATTTTTCTATTGGAGGCTCTTAATAAATTTCTACCAAGTTGTCCGACGATGATATACCTTGTAGAATTAGAATAGTTAATATACAACTCTATTTTAAGTAAAATAGGTCAACTTACGTAATAGTAGAATAAGCAGTAACTAAAAAGTCTTCATTCAAGTATCCTTCAGCAAGTAAATGGGCTATCATTCGTTCAATATCCTATTATAGATAAAATAAATAAATAAATACATACATACATATATGGATCAACTACTCTTACATATTCATTATAGTCACGATCAATAGGAATTTTAATTTGTGGATGATTTAATACATGAGTCTTCACAATACCTAATTCTCTACCTTGAACCATTTGAACCAGCTTTTTCATAGTCACTCTTATATTGTGATCTTTCAGCATGATACATAATCGGATGATAGATTCAGCTATCTGACGTATATCAGTTACCCTAATTTGATCTTTGGGTCTTGTACAGTTATCACAAATACCACAGGGTATATCAGGTGTAATTTTATTTACTAAGCCTTCTTCTGATGAAGATTCCAAATAAAAATACTTTTCAAATAAAACCTTACGACAAGTAACATTATCTTGAGCATACTTAGTGATCTCGTATACTAAAATAGATGTATATATAAATAGATGTATATACATATATAATATGAGTTGTATATTTGAATAAAGAATACTAAATGAGCTACTTTACATCCATTCATTCCACTCACTTCACCTACTACAAGTGAGGATAAACGCATTACTAAAATATATGTATATAAGAGAGTCGAGATAGACGAGATAGACAGACAAATGTAAATAATGACTACAGGCTTTTCCTATATATATATATATATACATTTATATAACTTACCATCTGTGCCACGATAGTAAATGATACATTCTGCAGGTTTACCATCACGTCCTGCTCTCCCACTTTCTTGATAATAACCTTCAATTGATTTTGACATACAATGATGTATAATAAATCTCGTTTCTAAATGATTAATACCCATTCCAAAAGCAATAGTGGCTATAATCACTTGAACGCGTCCATTTCTCCATTGTTGATGAATTAACTCTTTATCTTCCTATCTTGATTCAGTTTATATCAATACAAAAGATAATCATGAATAAGATAGATTACCTCATCCATATCAGCATGATATGAACCACATCGAATCTTTCCTCGACTTTCTGTAAATATACTCTGAGCAACAACTTCAGTATCTTTCTTACTAAGACAATAAATGATACCAGATTCATTAGGATGATGTGTAAGGATCCAATCAACAATATGTCGGATTGTTTCTTCCGCTGAATCCGGTCGTTGTACTACTCTATAAGCAAGGTTTGGACCTTTTTTTTTTTTAATGATTAGTATACAAATACAAGTCATGTCTATTTTTGCTGCTTACGATGAAGAGGTGCACTAAATACAAGTGTACCCTCTTTTACTTGAGGCTGTTTCATATTTAAAATCTTCATTACATCCTTCATGACTGACCATGGACAAGTAGCTGTTAATGCCATAATCTTTGTTTTAGGAAAGATGGTCTATATGATATACATGTATTAAAACTAAATACTTGTTCTTTTCTTTTCTTTTCTTTACTCTTAAAATATTTAATTGTTTGTAATCAGGTCTTTTAAGAAAATAAAATAAAATAAAATAAAATTATTTAGCTGTACAAAGGACTATATAACTTAAAATATACCTAAAATCATGTCCTTGTTGAGAACAACAATGGGCCTCATCAATCACAATTCTCGTCAACATACCAGCATCATAAGCTTTATTTAATCTAGCCATAAATCTTTTACTCTTTGCAATTTTTTCAGGTGTAACATATAATAATTTAAAGGGGGTGGATTCATTTTTATTTTTAGGAACCATATCACGTTGAATGGTATTGACTTCTTCTTTTGTAGATGAAGCAGTTAAATAAACAGAAGGTACATTCGCTTCCTGAAGATGATAAACTTGATCTTTAATAAGTGATACTAAAGGTGATACAACTAATGTAAATCCTTCTTCTAATACAGCAGGTAATTGATAACACAATGATTTTCCACCACCCGTTGGCAACAGAACAAAGAGATCACGTTCTTGATCAAGTGCAGCATTTAAAATAGGCAATTGTAAATGACGAAATTGATCCACTTTAAAATACTCTTTAGCTGCCTTTCTCAAATCTTTAGACCAAGGAAATTTCTCTTCTTCATATTGTGATGCTTCCACTTGACGTTTATTCTGAATAGCATCTTGTGCTAAAAGATCTAATAATTGATTTCTCCTTGAAAGTAATTCATTTCTATTTTCTTCAAGAATTGCTATTGATGTCTCAATGGAATCAATCTCTCGATTAATGTCCTTTAATTCTGTTTGATAGTTCATTAATGACAAAAAAGAAAAGAAAAAGAAAACGAAAAGCATTCATATTACTTGTAACTAAAATAGTGACGTGAAATCAAAGTTGTCATAATTTTTTTTTTTTTATTTTTTTTATTTTTTTTTTTACTGAGCGAACTTTGTTTATCTATAATATTCAACATGATGCTCAATTATAAGCTATTCACACAAAATAGATTTATAAAGGCGAAACTGTAATTAATGATTAAAAATATACTTTTTTTTTTTTTCTTTAGACTTGAAGAGATGGCATATAATTATCATGATTGGTAATAAAGTCATGATGAAATGTTCCTTTGTAATATACAATTTTAAGAATGTAAACAAAAAAAAAACAACATCTTAAATAAATAAGGTTAGAACTGGTTTATAAGAATTTATTTTAAAATAATATGCATTTTTAATCAATTTTGCGGATAAACACAAAACAAGTAAGCACTGCCCAGATTATTTAAGCACTTTCAGATTGACCTTACTATTCTACTATTACATGATATAATACTTTTATGGTCTTTGCCATCTAATCTATAAATCTTGAAATAAAAAATCCTTGTCTTTTAGTATTCAACTTTGCAGTCGTGTTATCTTATACATTTAAAAGATTCCCTCAATAGTTCTGATATATTGATCAGAATGTAAGTCATTATTTGAATATTCTATAGCTGATAATATCCCAATGATACTTGTTATCTCTGTGTCCAACTATCTGAAAGGATAATTGAAAGCTCTAAAAAGTTATTTTCATTTAAATAGTGCATATAAATCCCAAGTATAGAACTGTGACGCTTATTTTACTAGAACAAAGCTTTGATCCCTTATTAACATGCACTTTATTTGAACAGGAATCATTCACAACAAAAAGGTTTTTATCTTGTAGTTTGTAGCAGAAAAAAAAAAGACAACAAGATGATTAAAACAGCAGAATGTATTTTAGACACACATTAATTTTTTCATAATCAGTAGTCGCGTCAGTCTGCTACTTTTAATGTAGATCATTTATAAATTTTTGTAGTGTAGCTCCATGTTGTTGTAGATTCAACTTTGATCTGAAATTAAAAATGATTTATCTCGATTTGAAGTAATTACCAAAACTGGAAATTAATATATGAATTAAATCTCCACATATTATAATCAAAAAAAAACCCCCCCTTTCTTTTTTCTCTCTCTCTTTCTCTCCTACCTTTTCTTTATAACCTATTCACACACACACCCCCCCCCTTTTTTTTTTCTTACAAGCTAAAACGACTATTAACTTTTCCACTCCTTTTATTTCTAAGAACAATAAAATTACATTCCTTTAAATATACACGTTTCGTTTCGTTTCTTTTTATTTATTTATTTATTTATTTTTCCTTTCATTTATTTATTTATTTTAAAATAAAATGGCTACTATCACAGTTCCAAATACTCAACAACGTCAATCTTCTGAGGATTCAAAGAAAAGGACTCGTGTTACACCATCTCAACTTACAATCTTGGAAGAAACATTTACTATTAGCTCTACACCGGATTCAAAGATGAGAAAACAATTATCTTATAGATTGCAAATGCCTGAAAGATCTATTCAAATATGGTTTCAAAATAGAAGAGCTAAAGTTAAAATGTTACAAAAAAGAGCTTTATTACGTCAAGAACAAGAAGCTACAAGAGCAAGGTTGTGTGCTCAAGTCAATTCACCTTATGGTTATCCATATTGGTATTTACAACAACAACATTGTATACCACAAAAATTACCTGCTCACAGAGCTTGGAGTACTGATTTAGTTGTAGGTCCCACAAACCAGTTTATACCTCCTCCTCCTCATCCTCCTCCTCATCCTCCTTTTTCTCAGTTACTTCAATATGATTCTCCTTCTAATCATGAAGATATCTATAGTTTAACTATTTCACCTTCACCAACCCCACAATCTTTTACTGCACCACGAAGATTAGGTAATAATTAAACGGGGAATTTTTTTTTTTAATTTTATTTGTAAAATAACAACTCAATATAATGTATGTCTATTTTTAGAAAGTGAACCTTTACATAATACAACAACTACAACATTACCAAGTGGTGTAATTACAGCTACTTCAGTCACTATTGGATCTTGGCACAGAATGAAAATTAGTCAACAAGATTTGATGTGTTATTATAAATTAAATGAAAGATCCTTTTCTTGGCATATTCGAGATAGTAATTATCATTTCAAAATGATGATGTCATTTGATAGTATTACATCTATTGAACTTAATGTACTTGAAGATCATATTTCAGCTCAAATTGATATTGACTTGATTGAGCCTCCCATCTTTTTTATGGAAAAAGAGAATGCAAATTGGATTCAATGTAGTGATTTTACTGAAGGTATTCAAGCTTCCGTTGTTTTGCGTCATACAATTCGTGGTTTAGCTTCTGATCTTCGACAAGAATTACTTGGTATAGCTAGTACAGATGAAAGATTATGTCAACTTACACGTTTCCCAGCGGCAATTGATCTTTTAATGACACCTTCAATAGATCAAGCTCTTTTAATAAATCAACAACAAAACTGGAGACATCAAAGTGTACCCATTTCCTCATCTTCTCCTATTACTAAAGATTGTTGGATTCCACCTTCATATCCCAATTAGATTTTTTTTTTTTTTTTAATTCTAATTTATTTTTTTTTTAATACTATTTATTTTTAATACAAGAACAAAGAAAATATATTTAAGTTGCATATTATTATTATTATGAAACAAAAGAAGAAGGAAATTTTTTACTTCTTTTTTACAATCGGTATTTCCACATTTAGTATTGACATGATTTAACAAAAGTGAATATTTATTTTATTGTATAACGTCTTTTTTCCCTTTTCCTTTTCCTTTTACTCTTCCTTACAGAATAATGGATTCAATTTTATTATGGTCTTCCTTTTGGATAGTATGGATAACGTTATCTTTTGTCGTTTATACGAAAAGAAAGTCTATTCAATATCGATTCTTGGTCTTTATCAGAAATAGATTCCAATTCATTTCTATTGATGAATTCTATGTGTCACTAACAGAAGCAAGAAATGATCATTGTCGTTTAATCATTCATATTACGGGTATTCAACTAAAATTAGTATCTCTTCTTAAACAGCACCAAAAGAAAAGTTCTTATTTAACTACGGTCATTCAATGGTTTATATTCATACCGTGGATAAAAAGATGTTTACTGTTTATTACTAATTATGTTGCTTTACAAATGAATGATTTGTCTATTCACTATGACAACCATTTTATATTGTTTATTGACCACCTTTATCTAAAGTCTACAACTGCTACCATAACAACTACTACTACTACAATACAGCAACAACAAGCTCTCATTCAATTTCAATTAGGCTCTATTCAACTTAAAGATACTACATCATTACTTTTTGAAACAACGACAACAAGTCTTCTATCTCTCTCCTTTCTTACAAGAACGTCTTGTTGGGACTTATTAAATATTCAATTAGGTAAAATAAATGTGTATGATATTACATCTTTGAACCAATACTACAAAGAGCGTCAATCCAGCAAGAGACCTTCCACGTCTAGTAATAATACAACTCTTTTGCACTATTTTACTAGAATCTATGTCTCCCTTGAACATATTCATTTTATCATTGAAAAGGAACAAGTCGACATGTCAATTGAATTGAACACTATCTCTTTTACTTTTAGTAGACATGATGATGTAGCACCTTCTTCATTTAAATTGGCTATAGGGAAAATGATATGTCACATGGCAGATCAATGTCTTTTCCTTATTCTATCTATGGAAATAAGGGTGACTCTTTTATTAATAGATGAGAATCAATCTTTAGTAAATAAACCTTACTACTACTATAGATTTTTTAATGATACTACACAACAACAACAACAACAACCATTCTCTTCTTTGTTAAACATCACTTGGACTCTACACAAACCTATTTTAACTGTACCTATTTTGAATGAAAAATTTAAAGTCATCCTATCTTATCTGTCAAGACTTATGACAAAGGAAAAGCAGCAGCAGCAGCAACAACAGCAACAACAACAGGATAAGAAAGTGGTTTTTACCAATGTACCACTATTTGCTTTTACTATGGTTTTGAATTCACCTCAATTATCGTTATTATTATTGGACAATCAAGAAGGTCTCCTGTCAAGTAAAAAATTAATGATTCGTTTCCATGGAGAGTACATGTCAGACCAAACCAGACCATCCGAGGATAGCAGTTTAGAATTATTATTTGCACAAGAAGATTATAAATGGTTATCATCCTCACGATTGAATATGCGTCATTCCATTTATCATGACTATCACCCTACTACTACTACACACCCATTAGATGAAAGGAAGCGTCTATCACTTCATCGATGGACAGAAAAACTCATTCGTCATGTCATTTCCTATTCTCAAAGCAAGAACCAATGGACCCATTATCGAGTCTCTGCGAGAATAATACTACAACGGGCGAATGTAGAAGGTGGTTCTGATCACGAGAAAAAATTTTTAAAAGTGAAAAGGTTGATACTTACCTCTAAATACGATATGAATGTAATCCATGTTCCCTTCTCCTTGTCCAGTCATTCTTCTATTATCCATCATCGACTTGATCTCGTCTTTCCTCAAAATAATAATAATAGCAGTATTCAGTTGGATGCCTCTATTGATAAACCTATCATTTACTTGTGGGAAGAGGATAATGATTTAATGTCGTCAGCTAGTATTTTCTGGTTATCTTCTATGCCTAAAAGTCTTTTATCATTTCTAGAGAAAGAGCAAACGACGATGACGACGACGACGACGACGACGACGACGACAACTAATAATAATAAGCATTGGATAAAATTATTTACAAAAGGGATAACTTTTAGTCTAGATATAACTCATGGTTCAATTGTTGTCATGTGTATGGATAGACCTCATACAAGTAGGACCTATCATCGTCATCATCCTCTTCCTTCAGGATTCATTCATAATACACCAAGGGACACAATTTACGCTCGTATCGTATTTCGTACAGAAAAGGTTACCTTTGTATGTCATGAAGAAAACTATCGAAAAAGTGTTAGTAGCATAACAGAAGAAACGTCCATATGGAATCTTCGTTTTCATATAGAGAAAATCTATATGTATCAGTCTTCTTCTTCTTCTTCGACAAGATATGACATTAATTTTCTTATCAAGGATGAAAATCAGCATCTTATTCTCTGGATCCCTCAGCTTCACTTTTCTTTAAAATATCACAACAAGATAAACTCAAGGGAACTATTTGCTACCATCAAGATTAAAAAGTATGGAGTCGCTTATTCAATTCGAAATCATTACATCTGCCTTTTATTAGTTCATTCCTTACTCTCTATGAAACGCATCTTATCAGATGGTCAAAAGAGTGAAAAGAAACAAGGAATCCCGATAGGTACTCATCTAAGTATAACTATAGGTAGAGGTGATCATCATCTAGATCTTCCTTTAAACAATACAGCACTTTATTTAAGAATGGACAAAATCGTTATCAAACACTCAACAACTGCTCATACAACCAAGCAAGTTCATATTCGTAATTTTATGTTGCTTGGTTTGTCCAGTTTATATAAGGATCCAAAATGGGAACAGTTGATAGAGGTTGACAACTTGAACATTGTTCTTTTAGAGCAAGAAGAAGGGATTGAATTGAATGCTGGAAAAATAGTGGCAACCATTCCTTATAGATACATCCTTTCAAAGGTTATTGATAGTATAGTTGGTTTGATAAAAGCCATAAAGGAACTTCATGCAAGAATTCTTAATAATCAGCAGTTTACTTATTTTGGTCCTAAAGTGAATAATCAACCTATCTTGATTCCTTGCATTAAGATAAGGACTCATGTATTCACAATTCATTTTGATGATGACCCGTTTGAAGCAAAGCTTAGAAAAATCTTCAGAACAGGTCTTGTAGAACAAGAAAAGAGACTAGCTTATCAAGATGCAATGGAGCACAAGATACAAGACTTACTATCGAATTTTACTTCTGCAGAGTCATCACCATCCCTATCTTCATCCAAATTCACGCAGCAACCCACTGAATCAACTACTACTACTACTACTACTACTACTAATGATCCTTCTCCTCTTTCTCCATCCGACTCACTTGAAAGTCAGATTAAGGAAGCAGAAGAAGGCCTATTAGAATATTTCTCCTCTTCATGGATCAAGTACATCACGAAAGCAAAAAGGGAGGAGTCTGATTTCTTTGAGAAACTTTATATACAAACACATTATCGAAACTCAACTACAGCATCCCATTTAGATCAGAGATTAGATGACACGACGAGCGGAGGAGATGATTATCTTTGGTCGTTATCAAGTGTCTTTCATATCGATATCCTTCCACGTCCTCTTCACCCTCCTTTAGCCAATTTCACGGCTCAGCATACACACATTTGCTTTAGGCCCGCTGATTTCCCGTTAAGCGAAACCAAGTCCTTTATTCACGTTGCGGGCGGTGGTGTACCATTGGATAGTGACTATGCCATCATCATTCCTTTTCATTTATCTATTCAAGCAGGTATGACTTGGATTAAAGTTCGTGACTATCCTTTACCACTTTTATATGTCCCACCACCTTCTGATACGTTGAAAGGAAAGGAGAATAAGGATATCTCTTGGATACTGGAAGGAAATTATGTAGCAGCAGACGAGCTTGGAGACTCAAGTGGAAGTAGAGTGATACCTATCTGTATTCTATCTGATCCTTCTTCACTTAAACCCCCTGCTGGTTACTCTCTTTCCATCGTCCGTACCACCTCTCCTCTCAAATTTTATTCCACCATTCGCTATCAAATTCTAACGGAGAGGTTGTCGATGATCTGTTGGTCCATCTCCTACAGTCCTGCAATACAAGATATACTTCGTGTCCTCGATACCCTAACACCTTCGCCCGTAGATCCTTCTCCTCGAATTCGTTTTTGGGATAAAGTTCGATTTATGATTCACTCCAAGATAACGATTGATTTTAAAGGTGAGTTAGGGTTCATTATAAAGGGCACAAGGGATCCATATCAATTATCTGGGGATGGTGCAGGGATCGCAAAGATATGGAGCGATCATGTCGTTTGGCTTCTTGGATATAAAAGGCCCCCTCAAAATGAATTTATGCAAATCATGAGTCGAAGCTATACGTTGGGTGTACCGGATCTGGTACGTGGTGGTTATGTACCCTCATTTCCTGATTCTTTACCCTTAAATGAAAGAATTCGCTCGAGTATAGAACATCACAAGTTTTTAAAGATCGTTGTGAAATTAACAGATGGTGGTATACGAATGGGTATTGGTCTTAGTTTTGAAAGGCTCTCTTGCAATCACAGAGACAGTCATCAAGTCTCTTGCTCATGCTCTGTTGATACATCTAACCCTAATCATGTACATTGCATTCATCAATGTCGGACATCAACATTTTCTCCTCATTACAAAGTTCTTTATCGATCCCTTCAGCACGTTGAAAGACATTACGATTTGGTAAAAAAAAAAAAAAAAAAAAAAAAAAAAAAAAAAAAAAAAAAATTAAATAAAATAGACAACTACATACATATATATTTATACAACACAACTTATTTAGAATACATATGATGCATTCAAAGGGTTTCGTTCAGATTTTATTCATCTCTCCTTTAGTATAGTTAAACTAGAAGATGAAGCATCAATAAATAATATAAATTCGCCAGTAGAATTATCATCTTCCTATGTGGATAATACAGAGGATATACCACAGAATTCAATGTATATAAGTCCTTGTTTTATTGAACACTTTATAAAATGGTACCGTCTATTTGGAAGTCCTATCTCAATACCAATTCGTCGTCAAGGGAACCTCTTCCCTAAGGAGGAGGCGCCCTTGAGGGCATCAAAATCTTTTAGTGAATTGCTTGATACCATCAAATATAAATTGCTAGTAGATCCTTTAGCAATTGGGTTCTTTTGTAGTACAGAAGAGAGTCATTTATTAGGCCATGAGTTCGTGGGTCTGAAGGCAAGGGTGCATTCATTTAGGGCCGATTTACATCAACGGAAGGAAGTGATTGAGACCAACAAGACTGTTCGGAACTTTCATGAGGCAGAGATGGAACTGACAGACATCGATCTACGAATCATTAGAGGTCATCGACGTCAACCAAGTACGGTGGTCACACCATCATCAGGGAAATCGTTTGCATCTGGTGGGTCCGTCTATACGACTAGTACTAGTGCTACTAGTACTACTACTACTACTACTACTAGTTCAACAAATTATAGTCATTATAACGAAACTATCTTTTCTATGGATGATCAAAAGAGCTATCACTTTCAATGGGTAGATGCTAAAGATTTCGTTGCCTTAGGCTCCCAACATTCATCATCATCATCCCATTTGAATATAGACATGTTCCCCTTTGCTTTCTCTCCATTGTTTTATTTTGTTCGTCAAGATGATGAAGAAGGATCTGGTAAAAGAGAATATCTAAGACAAACTCATGACTGTACATTCAGAAAAGGAATAGGTAAATAACGTATATAATTGATAACATATACATATATATATATATATGTATATACTCATTTTATTATGTGTGAAGGCATAGATGCACATGAATTTCAGAAAGAATATTTATATAGGCGTGCAGGTCAACTTGATAAAGTAATTGAAGAGCATGATAAACAATTAGATATAGTGATACATGCTATGAATATGAATCAATATGTAAAAGAAGATTTAAGAAAAGAGGTACATATATATATATATATATATATATACAAACTATGAAACATTGAAGACCCTACATATATATATATATATGCATATATGTGTACATATATATGTATATATTATCTTTATAATTTATATTTATATTTATATACATATGTAGTATAATATACTCAAGAAAAAGATAGACACATTGCGTTTTAAACGACATACACTTCACACTTATATCGGACAACTCATCTTGGAAACAGAATTAAATATAACAAATGTGAATGATAGACCTGATAGATCACCTACAGCAACCATGACATCCTCAATGAGTCGCCAAGTACAGAATGAACTACTCTCACGTTGGGAGACACTCATGGGTCGCTTTAAAGTACATTGTTATGTACATAACCCTCAAATTATTTTAAATAATTCTATCATCGAGGGTCTCACTTTATGGAGAGAGATTCGTACTCATCGTAGTGTCCAACAGTATAATTTATCTTCTCAATGTCTAAAGTTTTTAGAAGACCTGATGATAGATCAACAACAACAACAACAACAACAACAACAACAACAGCTACAAAAGGATCCCAATATAACCAGTGATGATGAAAAGATGCATAAAACAACGCATGTATCTGAAAATGAAATAAACAAGGTAGAATCACTTATCAACAAGTTACTTTCAGATCGATCCAGTAGTTTTGTTGCCTATGATGAGGGCAAGAGACCTTCTTTACAGCCTTTTACAAATCACGATCATTCATTTGAGGGGAATGTGAATGATCCAGATCATCAATACCAAAGCATTCCAAACTTTTACGAAATGAAAAGTGAATCCTTATTCCATTTGATTAATCCACAGGTTCTATTTCAAAGTGATACAGTACCAAATCACTTGGTCCTCTTGACAACTGAGAGAATCTTGATGAAAAAGTTCAATATCAATGATAAATCAGGTGATTTAGTGAAGAAACGAATCGTGACTAGTTTTGATTCTGCAGAACTTTTGATAGCAGAGAAGATACCAGAGGTCGCCTCCTTCAGTCCACTTTTACAAGACTGTTATGGTCAATTTCAAGGTCGACATCATTGGGCTGTATGGATTCAGCTGGAGGAGTTATGGTATTATCGAGGTAGATCCTCCTTTGATAATTTCCAACGTGTTGCCACGCATCTATCAGGTACCATGCAACATGATTTGTATAATCATGTTAGGATTAAAGGGCAGCAACCCATGATGACAGATCCGTTTGAAAATCGGATTCATACGATTCATTTTCATTTCCCTCAACTCAAACTCACCCTTAGTTCTCTACAGTCTCATTTATTGTTTTATACCCTCTCTAGTCTCGTACCACGGAATGGTAGGACCATCAAGGCAAGGCAAGGACTAGATAAAGCTCGTGAGGTCCTGTTGGCAGCTGAAAGAAGTGATCTGGCAGAGACGATAGCTCAAGTCAAAGTCCTTCAAAACAGATCTCGCATTTTACTTGACATGCATAAACGATTTATTCAAGAGCTCTCTTCTTTAGATACATTAGGTTTATTAGAATTCAGAAGAAATAAGAAAAGGATGCATAATGACTTGGAAAAGCTATTCTATATTATGGAAGCGATTCGATCGATACAAACAACTCAACGTGGCGATAGGCGACATCTTGGTGATCGAGATAATCATGCTAAACAATACATCTTCACATCAAATGAAATTATCTATGAGGCCACTCAAGATGACCCACAAAGTCCACTCTGTGATTGGACATTACAGAATACAAAATTCACATTTTTAGATAAAGCAAATGGATCTAGTAAGAGAACGATGGAGGTAGATAGGATGCATGTAAAGAATAGAATGGACTCACCTGTTTTTATTGATGTGTTGGATGCTTATCTTGACCCACATAGTACTTCTTTAAAATCAGCTTATGATTTCTCTCGACATAAAATGGTGAGATGCGTCCTGGAGTCATTACCACCTGTAGGAGGTATTCCTGTTATTCAACATTTGGAAATCCATTTAAAGCCTTTGCGTCTTCAAATAAGTACGGCTTTTGCTTCAGCTATTCAAAATTATTTTACATTAGAAGATGCTGGTCTTGGCATTATCACTAATAACAATGGTGAAATACCTTCCGATAGTGATGAAGAGAACAATGAAATAGGACAAGAAGAGGAAGAGGAAGAGGAAGAAGAAGAAGAAGAAGAAGAAATAGAGAATAATAAAATAAATACAGATCAAATGAGCTTTGTCTCTATTAGCAAAGGAAGCTTTAAGAGTTTTGAGATGATAACTAAAAAAGTGAAAGAAACAGTTTTAGGAAAACAAAAAATCAAAGCAGATGAATTAACAGTTATGAAAACAAGATCTTTAATGAATTGTACATTTATCTTTGTACGAATTCCTTCTACAAGGCATTGCTTAAGTCTTCAGGGTCCATCTCACAATACAATTTATAATCTATATGATTTTCCTTTTAAACAACCTGAAATTGAATATCGAAACAAGACGTGGTCTATCAATGAGATGGTGACAGATATTCAGAAACGTAAGTCATGTTACTAATTGATTTTTTTTTCTTGAATTATTTTATAACCTATAAATATATAAATGATATAGAATTTAAAAGAGCTATTCTCTATCATGGCCCCAAGTTAATTAAAAGAAAACTATTACTAAAGAAAAATGATCAGCATTTAGCAACTATTTCGTCAAGTAAGAAAAACAAAGATAAATCGACAACTCTACTTGCAGAAACAATCAATATGGAATTAAATCGAGTATTTGCCTCCTCAGGAATAAATTCTATGAATAATGTTTATGTCTATAATGACAGGAATGAAGAAGCAGCCACTACTAATAACGAAGAAAGAGGTTTATCATCTTATTATTACTCTGAAGAAGAAGATGAAGATAAGACTAAAAATGATGATATTAAATCTGTATACTCTAATGACTCAGAAGACAACATGAACCAAGATAATAGTATGCTGAATGTGTATATGAAAACATATACGACAGATCAAGGCAGAAAGAAGGATGAAATATTAAAAAAGGGTAAAATTTTGTTTGGCCAACAATTTAGACTGGAATTGAAGCGCGTCTAAAGAAAAAAAAAACATAATAATTTACGCGTATTTACGTTTGTAACTTAAAAAGCAATTTTTTTTTTTTTTTTTAGAAAAAAAATAAAATAAAATAAAATAAAATCGTAATAGTAAATGGCATTGAATTCAAGATTAAAAGTAAAAAGATTCATTTATAATATTTTCACAAAAAAATATGGGTTACATGTGCAAACAGATGCTACAAAATATCTTGAATCTTTATTAGAGAATGAAACTGATCTAATCGATGCCATTGAAAAGATTGTGAAAGCATATAAGAAACGACATAGTGGTAAAAAATAAGGATCTTGTTCTATATATATATATATATATATGTATGTATATACTCTTCTTTAAACTTACGCATCAAATAGAGGAAAGACTTGTCATTGTCGATGAAAATACGATACGAGAAGTGATAACGACTATGCAAAGTTCTGCAGCTATAGCAGCTACGTTGACACCATTTCAAAGAGTTGAAGAAGAAATTAACGATTCATTACAGGAAATGTCAATCGATGATGCTCCAACAGAAGTTGTTGATGTTACTCAACATTTCCATGTTGTTAGTGCTTTTAATCTGCCAAAATTAACTTATGATGAGCATTCAAGAGCATTTACAAAGTATACAAAAAGAGAAACAGAGAGAGAAAGTTAAAAGTTGTTGACATCCTTTCCTCCTCCTCCTCCTCCCTTTTTTTTTAGAGTAAAAGAACTTCCTTCATTAATACCAGAAGCTTGCGAGAAGGGTGATATGTATAGAGAAAGATACAAGCTTGTCAAACAACGAATTTTAAGAAATGAAAATTTTTGTCCAGCATCTATGAGCATGACAGATAATCCTGATTTCGTTAAAGTAAGTGTTCATAAATAAATAAAACTTATGTAGACCTAAGCCTATAACAATAGATCACACCTATTAAAGCACTCATTGGTCAAGATGGTAAAAACTTTGTATTATTTGGTATGCTAACACAGTTAGAGGAAGGAAAGATACATTTGGAAGATGAAGATGCACATATAGAATTAGTGTTAGATAAGGCTGTGAGTGTCATGATGGATATATAAAGCAAGCAAATACTAATAGAAAGATACTGTGTCTAGATTTATTCATATGGTTTGTTCACGGATGGTTGCTTTGTAATTGTAGAAGGCAAATATGGTGATGATCATAAGTTTCATGTTACTGAGATTAATTTACCACCTGCTGAACCTCGAGATATGTCAGAGTAGGTAAATCAAATTGCTTCTTCTAATAGCAATTTGCACTAAAATGATTATTCACTTAATTTATAGTGCGCTATTTAGTCATGTAGACTTTATGGGATTACCAAGACCACTTGTTGATGAGGTAAATCATGTTAACTAAAAACGTATATAAATATAGACATATATACTTACACTATCTAATTTTCAGAAATTATTGAAAATCGAAGAAACAAAAATGGAAGATATTATGTTTGTTGTGTTATCAGATGTACATTTAGACCAGCCTAAAGTATGAGTAGAGTAGTTGTGGGGGGTTTATACTACACAATTTAACTAAAGACACAAATATAGGTCATGCAAGCGTTAAATACGATATTTGAAGGATATTCAAATGGACAAGTTCCTTTAGCATTTATTTTTATTGGAAACTTTTCTAGTAAACCATTTGTGTATGCAGGCTCTGATGCAGAAGAATATAAAGATAATTTCTCAGCATTAGCAGATTTAATTGGTGAATATCATAATTTAGCTACTCATTCAAATTTTGTATTTGTTCCAGGACCAAAAGATCCTTGGTCAGGTAAAACCTTACCTCAACAACCTATTTTACCCAGTTTCGTTACTCGTTTGAAACAGAAAGCAAGAAAGGTCACATTCACGACTAATCCATGTCGTATTCGTTATTGTACTCAAGATATTGTTATTTTCAGAGAAGATTGGTTACAGAAACTATGGAGAAATACATTGTTAACTACAAACCAAGAGGTCGATACTGATCCTGTCAAACATGTAAGTTTTAGCATATTTCCCCTTCCTTTTTTTTTTTTTTTTTTTTTTATAAAAAAAAGGAATTAATACAATTTTATTCATAGTTTGTACATACAATAATTGATCAAGGACATCTTTGTCCTTTACCTTTGCCTATAAAACCTGTATCTTGGGCATTTGATAATGCTTTAAGATTATATCCATTACCGCATACTGTAAAGTATTAGAATTAAAGTATCCACCTATTCTAGTATTAACTTCTTTATAAATATACGATAGTTAATTATTGCAGACAAATGTGAAAGTTATAAAATTACTTATGAAGGAACCCATTGCTTTAATCCCGGAAGTTTTCCTAATTCTGATTTTACATGGAGTGTTTATTATCCTAGCTTAAAAGTATCTGAAAAATGGTAAGTATCTTTATATACCCTTTTTAAGAAAAAAAAATCGAGTTCTATTATTCATATTTCTTTCTAGTTCACTTGCAAATCATTAGTAAATATGTAAAGATTATATTAGAATAAAATGTTAAGATTCTCTTTTTGTTTTAAGAAATGAACTTATTGCACCATTAAAGAAATAAAAAAAGTTAAATAGGTAAAGTATTGTTGTAATATTAAATTAATAACCTTTTAACAGTCGTGGTTGCTTTTAATTCATATATTTTGTGATATTCTATTGATGCAGTGATAGTTCATATAGAACGGGCAAAGTAATATATGTGAATGAAGTTACTGTTTCCTAGTATAACGTCATATAGAGACACGATTTAATATACAATAAAATGGCAGATTTTAAACCTTAATTAACGCATAACGATTAAACATTTTATTTTATTTTATTTTTTTTTTTTTTTTTTTTTTTTTTTTTTTTTTTTTTTTTTTTTTTTTTTTTTTTTGTTATTTTTATAAATTAAAATTTATAAAGCGACCTATGAGCACATAATATCTTTGTTATATTGGATTGCCCAGGTCAGTTCAGATTATACGAAGAAAAAGTATCTAAAGACTCTCTTAGGGGACAAGAGATAAAAAGGTAAAGGAAAGGAAGAAGAGAAGGTGAGAAAGAAAGGGGGAATATTGCTAACAAGTTTAAAGGGACAACTAGTTGAGTCTTTTCCTGTCTGGATCAAGAAGTGGAGGGGGATAGTTTGTCGTGTAGTAAGTAATCCATTTTCTGTAGAATGGTGCATATAAGTGACCAACGATAGAGCCAGGCAGAAACATCCTGAGAATTTCGGTACTTATGCTGAGGGAGATGATTTAAAAGAAAGGAAAGAGGATCTGCGATTGATCGTGGCAAGAATAAACGAGTGCGCATGTGCAAGCATTCAGTAGCGTGTGACCAACTAAAGTGTACATAAGGATGATATGGGCAGGCTTTAGATATTCCTTCGGGTAGCCAACCAAGACGCCATCGAATAGTTCGATTACGCTCACTGTGTGCCATAGGTAACCAGAGTATCGGGTCAATAATCAGTTTGGGACGGCAAGCAGACAGCAAAATTGTTGTTTTTACACAAAAACAATCGATAATTGATTGATGACGCCAGTATAAATTTATCAGCTACGACATTAACAAAAATGTGGACGCGGACAAATGTGTTCAGCATTTTTTTACAACTCTTCAAACTAATGTCAGAGTATCAAGGAAAACAAGGTAAATCAATAAAATGCTTGCCTGTGAATCGTAATATACTAATCAAAAGTTTACTTTTTTTTTGCAGCGTTACAGAACTATATAAAGAATAACAGAGTTCCTTATTTCAATGATTTCATCACAGAGAACAAATTGGATCTCATCCAATGGCTGGAGTACAAGCAGCAGATAGAGCCAAAGACCCTTTGTGCAATATGGCGAAGCCGATTTGTAATGGCTCTACGAAATCATAAAAAGTTGGATAAGATAGTAAAAGGGTAAGTAGCTTAATTACTTTGATTGATGTAATAATCTGTTAATGAAATGTACGATTTACATAAAAAAAGAGGCATGTATAACAAGACATTTTGGGAGGATATTTTGAAAGGGGCAAAGGTACTTGTAAGTTGCAAATAATTCACAATTCTCCATATCTTAATATTAACCTCTAAACAAAACAAATAACACTTAGTATGATGCGAGAGTTACCTCTACGGTCAATGCAATTGGGGCCGTTGTGTTGGCTACTGCTGCCGCCACTACTGTGCTAGCCGAGTTCTTTACTACCACTGATAAGGAACTTATTGCTGGTTCTACCACTGCCACAGGTAAAGATAGTACAACAAGAATCGCTGCTGAAACTGCCTCTCAAAGCTATGAAGCAACCAGCACTAGTGCTATTATTCCCATCACTGGCAATGACACTATTGCTTCTGCATATCTTATCTGGGATATGATACCAGCAGATAATCATGAATTGCACTTTCATTATTTGGCCCATAAAGGAGGTCATCCTATCACAGATAGTGTGTGTTTGCTTTTTTTTTATTAACAGTATTCTCCAAGTGCGCTTTTAAATGAAGAAGAGAAGATATATTTAAGTGATTACAAAAGTAATGGCTCTCTCAGGGCGGGGCTATTATTTATTTGCGCACCTCCACTTTTGCAAGAAGAACTTACGTATGAAGAGGATGCAATGCTCGAGTAAGTAATATAAATAAAAATACGTCTTGCCCTTTTTAATGATAAATGTATGCAGATTGAGCCTTTCTGGGATTTACAATTATTTAAATCCATATATGAAGAAAGTCTACCAAGAGGAGTTGGATAGATCATTGTCCTCCTCAAGCTCCGTTGCTGAAGCCATGATAGGCGTTCGTAGTTTACTCGACAGCGAGAAAGATATGATTGATATGTTGTACAAAGTGCAGTTGGAAAAAGCTAGACTTGTCAAAGAGAAGATGGGACATAGTGACATGTACAAGGCACTAGCAATTCTGGAAAAAATGTAAGTAGAACAATACATGGAAATTTTGAACATTCTATTGACAACAGCCAACTATCATTAACAGGATTGAAGATACGCAATTGTGGAGCGAAGCGGGCGACAAGCAGGAGATGGCCTTCTACCGACGCTTCGCTAGCTATCTGGACACACTGCTGATTAAAACTGGCTGCTCTAGCAGCAAAATTGCAATTGAAACTAACAAACAGTTATTCCACGCCGAAGATTTATCAGCAACGTATGTACGCAAAATAGATTTGATACTGAGATACAATGATCGCAAGAGTATAGATCTATGTAGTAATGAGTGGAAGAGGTCGAAGGTGACTTCTGAATTAAAATTAAAGCAGCAATCAAAAAATTTGCGCGTAAATGCTTCCATCATGAACAGCCTGCATTCATTTGGTGCCTCTCCCTCATCTCTTTTAACAATGGATATGATAGGTAATGATATTGTGATTAACCATAGCGGGAAATTATTGACAAAATCATATTCTATAGGTTTACACGGCTACATCTACCAGTTGACAAAAGTAGATGACTACTTCATTGCAACCCCTTACTCAGTTCTTGTAATACCAAGACGTTTTTCAGATATTGCTTATATTGAAAATACACTCCTAGCTCTTTTCAAATTCAAGGTAAATGTCTTTTTCGTTTACAAGCGCACAGCCGCGTTGAATTGACATCAACATTTAATAGAATTTTTATACATCATTGATTCCTGCATTAAGAAAGAGAATTGTTACAAATATGTACAGTAGTATTGGAAGCGTTTGTGAGATAGATGTCGCTGTCTCTGATAGTACTCATGTCAATCAAAATTTTATATTTTTTAAGTCTAAAAAAGAAAAGCGTGGTATCCCTGAGTCTGAAGAAGATAATTAGATACTCCCTCGTATGAATATTTATTTTTATTACATTATTTTTTTTTTATCAATAAATTAGTACCGTAGTATACCCTTTGCAGTTAATAATTGTCATAAAAATTTCATTTATGTATAGCTATAATGTGATATATTGACGTGAAATCTAGAGTTAAAGATAGATTTGATCTATCATAGTCATTGACATCAATAATAATCTTTGAAGCAAAATAAAATAATAAACCTTATAATTGAAGCTTTATTTCCTCAAGTAAAAAAAAAAAAAAAAAAATGAAGAGGCATTATTTAAACTCCGTTTTTTTTTTTTTTATACATATAAACTTTTGACTATCACTTCTTTTTTATTTTTTACAAGTGTATTCATCATCATAATTATAGAAGCGCGTTATAAATAGACAATGTCTGCAATACCAGCTATTGAAAGAACACCTGAATATGAAAAATTCATTGCAGATCTAAAAGCTTTCCATGAAAGAAAAGGGTATTTGTTTTGATTTTGAAGCAAATTGTGAATTGATTAATCTATTTTTTTTTTGTATTGATCGCTTTTTTTTCTTTTTAATTTATATCAATTTAGAACACTTTTGCAAACAGAGCCTATATTAGGTGGAAAAAAATTAGATTTATTAAGAATCTATAAAACCGTTCTTGAAGCTGGTGGTTATGAACAGGTAATGATGAACAATGATGATATATAAAGACATGTTTTATAATTTTAAATCATTATTTTATTAGGTTACTATCAATCGTGGATGGAAACAAGTTGGCGATCCTTTTAATTTTCCAGCAACGTGTACAAATAGTGCATACATTTTAAAAGCAGTCTATACAAAATATTTGGTAAAGTAATCTAATGTGTTTAGATCAGTTTATATATATGAATATATTTTACTCATTAAACTCCATTATAGTTGGGTTGGGAAGAAGAAACTTATTGGAAACGGCCTTGGAATCCACCACCAGAGTTATTAGTCAACTATCAAAAGGCTTCTTCACCTATGCCATCCATGCTCAATAGAAATAATACGAATAGACAGATTGGAACAGCATTTACACAGCCTTCCCTTAGACCAGCATATCAACATCAAACACAACCCCAATTAGGATATCAACCAGGTAATATAGACAGATAGGACAGATATAGACCGATGGATATACTAAAGAATCTATTTAGCTATATTTAGAGATCAAGAGTTTCGAACACGTATACTTTTATCACTTCAATCTAATCTTCCAAATGAAATTGATTGGGCGTTCAATACACTTGTTAAATTCTCATATGCCTCTGAAAATTTTAGTTTAGATTTTATGCCAACATTGATTGATTTACTGTTAGATTTTACGAAACCATTTTTTAAAGAACATATAGATGGAGAGAATTTAAGAGTAGATTTATTTTCCAGCAAAACTCAACAAGAAACATATGAACGTGTTTTACAAGTGTTTCATATTATTCGTAATTTCAGTTTCTTGGAAATGAATATTCGTCGACTTGCAATGCATGAACGACTGTTTAGTTTACTTATCAAATCCATTACCACCTTATCACCTGGATCACAGTTTGGTGAACTAAGTCGACATTGTCTTGATATTCTCGAAAATATTGCTCCACAAGTCATATTAACAAATCGAGAAGATCCTTATTTAAAAACAATGACCAAGTTATTATTCACGAATGATCGTGCCTTTATTTTAGGTGCTATACGCGCTTTAACACGTGTGGCAGTGACAGAAACGAATGAACGTATTTTAAGTTTTGCAGAACAGAATGTAGTTGAAAGAATGGCCCAATTTCTGATGATTGATGATGAAGAATTAGAAGCAGCTACATTAGAATATCTTTATCAATATTCTAGTTTACGGGGTAATTTTTCGACTCAATTACTTAAATGTTATCCAGGTAATTTGATTGGACTCTTAACAGGATTCTTATCCTACAAGTCAACCTTAGCCCCTCCATCATCTTCTGCTATTCATACACTTTACAGTATACCTGCAGCACAATTAATTAAAAGAACAGAACCTTCTATTCAAGAACCACCTTCCATTCCTGATTTAACTAATTATGCATATCTTGATGAACCTTATAGATGTCTAGGATGGTAAAATATATATAAATATATGAATATATGTATGTATGTATTAAATTCATCATTTAGGCTTAAAGATCAATTAATGAATGGAACTGAAGATGATAAGATTCTTTTAAAGGAAATATTTAATGCATATCAAAAGTTATTTGGAACAGAGAAACCTTTAGGAATGAAAGAATTTTATACAGTCTTAAAGATTGCTTTCCCTCAACCTTCTATTGTAGAAGAATTCTTTTCAAGTAGTCCTGCACCTTTAGAAACTGTACTCCAAAATGTGAAATATTCCCCAACAAGAAGAAGGGATGGTAAGGATTCTATATTTTATATACACCAGGTAATTCTAATTCTTTTTTTTTTCTCTTTTCACTTTAAAGGCCCTATTTGTCATTGGATGGATTGTAATGAAAGTTTCGACAATACAATCGAACTTCACAAGCATATCATTAAACACCATTTGAATCAACAATCGAGTTGTCACTGGATGAAATGTACTAAACCCTTAAAAGATAAATCACATGCAATTCAACATATGCGTACACATTTTGCAGGCAAAATAAAGAAACAATTACCATTGAAAAAGACATTTATCGTTCCAAAGATTCCTGTAGATGATTCAGAAGTGTCAGGTATACCCTTGACATCAGCTTTATTATTACGAAATTTAGCAAGATATAAACAGCATCATGTGTTTTATTTACCTTATGAAAGTGAACTAACGCTTATAGCCATTCAAAGACCTAAAGTGTCTAAATACATTTTAACAGTTTTAAATGAACTAAAAAGCTAATGAATAAAAAAAAAAAATATATACATATATATATATACTCAATATAAATATTTATATTATATTATTTGACAGCAAGCATACTATTACTTATTTTTATTATTATAACAAATAGATTATGTATATGTATAACAATAATGTATTTACAAATAGGGTAAGGGAAGGGAAAGTAGTGGATTGCATAGAGAATTAAGAGTTCCAACTCTTTTGAGCTTCACCCTTATTTTTCTGGATCTTATTTTCAGCCTCTGAGCCAGTATTTCCGACAAGAGAATTGTAAGCACCCTTTACAGCACCAGAGACTTGGTCAGCTGCACCTTGGACATAACCTTGAATGTTGGCCATTGTCTCTTGAGCATTACCAGCACTATGTTGAGCCTTTCCTCTAGATTCTAAGGATTCATTACCTACAGCAGATCCAACGTTCTCCTTGACGTTACCAACGAATTTATCTTTCTTAGCATCAGTTCTTGAAGTATCCATTTTTAGTTTTAGTTTTGTATAATAAGTAAAATATGATTTTTTATTTTTTTAATAATTCTTGTTGTATTTATATACGTTTTGTTACTAATGACGACAAAATTGACGTCATGCTTAAATTTTATTCAATATGAACGTCATTTTATGAATTCTAAACCACTACGTTAAACTTTCATCATTATAACTATTTATGGCAAATTATAAGTAAAATAACAAACTCCAATTGATGATGACACCAAGTATATAAGCATATTATGCTACTACCACTACTACTATTAGTGGTTCGTTCATTCTATTATAGAACTTTTTTCTTTTTTCTCACAGTAATAATAAATGGTACAAGACCCATTTCCTTATAAGAATAACTATATGATAAAAACAATAAGCAAGTTATTACTCTACTCTTCTTTATTACTCTTGAATCCGCTCTCATATAAACATGAATTGTAAATAAGACTATTCTAATAAGCATTACTCTTCAAGCCAATTCATTTTAGCTAACTATGCTGTTCTACTAAATTACATTCTAACGTAGAATAAGTCCTTTTCTTTAAAAGATCTATTCTTCAATACATTCGTCTTTAAATTGACATTCTTTCAACGAGATTATATCATCTTTTTTGGTCGTAATCGTATTGTCTAGAAATTCCTTATTTGCTTGTAGATTGTCTATTATCTTGATTGGATATCCTTTTTTTTCCCCTTTTTCATGAAACATTTTGTTTTCAGGAAGATATATTTCTTTACCTACTACTTTTTATACTTTCCCTATCTTTTATTTTCTATTGTATTTTCCTTGAAAGTTAATTATGTTCTCATAGAGTTAATAATAGTAGTAATAATAACCAGATTTGATTCTTAAAAGAGTAGCATGTCTTTTTTCTTTAACAAAAAAAAAGAAAAAATAAAGGCTCATAAGCTTAATTGTCTATCCTACTTCTTGTAGCAATAGAATAGAGATCTGCCTTTTTTTTTTAATTTTATCCCTTGGTAAAGACTCTTTAATGTACATATTTCTGCTTTTTTACCCTTGCTTCCAAAAAAGGGGGGATTTTTTTTTTTTTTATTCTGTAGCCATCCAATCTATTCCTTGATCCGACCCGGGCCAAAATTTAGTGCATTTCTTCACCACCACTACTACCTTATGCCTATTGAGGTCATTAAATTTTTTATGAATAATTTATTTAAACGTACATTTTTTTGTTTTTTTTTTTTTTTTTTTTTTTCCTGATATAAAATCATAAAGCACAAAGAAAGAAAGAAAAAAAAGGGAAAAAAGGAGTACATAAAGAAGAAAAAAAAAAAAAAAAGAAAAAGATACAAAATAATTAAAACGTAGTAAAAATCAGTCTATGTTTAACACTTTTAAATCTAATAAAAGAATACAATTAAAATATAAAGCTGGACAATGTCATTTGACAGAGAGAAAGAATCGGCTATTATAAACGGAAACATGTTTCCCTCTCTTCATCAGCAACAACAATTTTACAATAATACCATATCTCAGAATAACTCAGGAGCTTCATCTCCTTCAATGAACCAATTCCAAGCTTTATCATCTTATACTGGTCATGGCTATAATCGTTACCCTCAACAACAGCAAATACAACAACAACAACAACAGCAGCAGCAACAGCAGCAGCAACAACAACAGCAACAGCAGCAGCAACAACAACAGCAACAGCAGCAGCAGCAGCAGCAGCACCAGAAAATATTGAATAGTAGTTCATTATTATCTGATCCAACTGTTAGTTCTGTTCATGTCACTCGTCAACTTGCTTATGCTCAAAAATCACGTCAAGCTTCTTCACCTCATCATCATGCACGCACTGCTGCTGCTATGGCTCGTTCAGCACCTGTGCCTTCTACAGTTACTATTACAGATCCAAATAATCCTAACAAAATTTTTAATCGTATTACAAATAGCAACAGTGGTGGTAAGAATACGAATACTACAACATTGATATCCGCAATGAATAACAACATGCCATCAGAAGACGTCTGGTCTACGCTTGATATTGGTGGTATAGGATTAAAGAACATTGCACCTGTACTTTGGACATATGATTTCTTGACCGTTTTATATTTGAATCATAATAATCTAACTCATTTAACAAGTGATGTTGCTAAACTTGTGAATTTGAAAACACTTGATGTTTCTGGTAACAAACTCAAATCAGTGCCACCTGAAATAGGCATGTTGGTTAAATTACATGAATTGTTATTATTTGATAATAACATTACAACTTTGCCTAATGAGTTGGGAACTTTATGTGAATTAGAGATGCTTGGTTTAGAGGGAAATCCTATTCAACCTGAAATTAAAAGTTTATTATTAAGGGAAGGTACACAAGCTGTTATTATATCTTTAAGAGAAAATGCCCCAGGTAATCATCATCATCATAAATGTCAATATTTTCTAACAAATTTTGGTTCTTTTATTTTATGTGTATGTGTGTGTGTGTGTGTGTGTGTGTGTGTGTGTGTGGGGAAACAATATATAGTTGGTATGCCACCACCTCAACGAGAATGGATTACGATTGAAAACAATATACTAGAAGATGATAATGGTAAGTTTATAGAGAGAGAGAGAGAGGCGTAGTTGAGTATAAATGAAAAGGAAAATAACACACAGTTCATATTATAGATAAATTTTCTGTACTTTGTTATAATATTCTTTGTCCGAAATACGCTACCTCTCAAGCATATGGATATACACCTTCTTGGGCTTTGAATTGGGATTATCGTAAAGAACATATTATTTCAGAAGTTCTCAGTTATAATTCAGATATTATCTGTTTACAAGAAGTAGCTATAAAGGATTATGAAGGCAAAATAGGAGATGCATTAAAAGAACATGGAGATTATGATAGTGTTTTCTTTCCAAAATCTCGCGTAAAAACAATGACTGGAAAAGAAAGAAAAGAAGTAGATGGTTGTGCTATCTTTTACAAAGCTTCAAAGTAAGTTTAAAGTTTATTTTTTATATATAGAAAAAGGGACGAGAGAAGAAGATTCTGATAGTATTCTTTGGTGGTTAGATATAATTTAATTGAGCATCACTTATTGGAATACCATCAAAAAGCAATTCAGCGTCCTGATTTTAAACATAGTGATGATATTTATAATCGTGTGATGACAAAGGATAATATTGCAGTCATGATTATTTTGGAACATAAAGAAAGCTTACGTCGACTGTTAGTAGTGAATTCACATATCTTTTGGGATCCACAATATGCAGATGTCAAGTTAGTTCAAGTAGGTATGATGATGGATGAGATTGAAAGTTTTGCAGCAAAGCATCTATCTCCACCTTCTACTTCACCTAATGGCCCAACCTATGCCTCTACAAAATTGTTACCGACAATTATATGCGGTGATTTTAATTCTGTTCCTGAATCAGGCGTATATGAATTCTTATCAAAGAGTTCACTATCACCTCATCATCCTGAATTTGGTGGTCATTCATATGGTAGTTACACGACAGAAGGATTAACACATCATTTATCTGTTAAAAGCTGTTATAGTCACATTGGTGAATTAGATATCACTAATTATACACCTGAATTTAAGGGAACTTTAGATTATATTTGGTATACTAATAATACACTAGAAGTGATAACCTTACTTGGAGGCATTAGACAAGATTATTTAGATAAAGTAGTTGGCTTTCCAAATCCACATTTTCCTTCTGAGTAAGTCCATTTATACATGCATAGATAGTGTTATTCATTACTTTTTTTTTATATGTATTTATTTAGTCATATTCCATTAATGGCAGAAATTAGAATTAAACTTCCTCTTCGTGAACAGAATGAACCAAACTCTGGCTTTACAAATAATAATAGTGCTTCACGTAAAAAATGATAATTTAATTTATTAATATTGTTATTCCAGATGTACATTTCTTTATATATAACTTCTTTTTTTCTTTTCCCTCCTCCAAAAATACACACATCATATACACTCTTTTTTCTTTTCTTTTCTTTTAATAAAACAGTATTTTTTTCTTCTTCTATCTTATTTTGTGTGACCAGAGCTCATCCAGTATTCATGAATTTGGACAAGTTCGGTGATAATTTTACTTTCAATTTCAATATTACTTTCCAATTGTTCTGGAGTAAGTGACAATACCTTTTCACTTTCTCTTGTAATTAATGTGACAGTTTGTTTACGTGTCTTTAACATATTTCCAATAACAACTTGATGACCATAACGTGTCAATGCTTGTCGAGCTTTAGGAACTAATAGAGCCGTGTCTGTTTCAAGCTATCAAAATAATGAATATCATTAAACACTAAAAAAAGAAAAAAAAAAAAAGAAAAAGAAATCCGCCCGCCACCACTACCATCACCGTTGCCCCACACACACATGCAAACTTTCCTCTTCCTTTTTCTTACCTTGAATGATACAATTAAGCCTTTTGACGCCCAATTACTGACTAAGGGTTTTAAAAATTTGGGTACTTGATCGAGCGTTAAAGTTAAACCACCTTCACGAGATTGAATCTTATGTTCTACCATTTTCTGAGATGGAATAAAGAAATCACTGACAGCAGCAGCAAGATAATACATAGCTCTTTCTCCTAATCGTGATAAAATTTTTGTACCTGCTTGAAGTTTAAACAAATAATCGGATAGAGTAACAAAATCAAGCATTAAAAGTCGATTACTCTTCTTGGCTTCACTGTATTTTAGTAATACCTTGCGCATTTTATCAGCATATTGAGGACATGCTATTATCTATATTAGATCGTTCTTCATATATATATATCAATAAGCTTACCTTGAACGGAACCATCTTCTTTAGCTTCAAAATAATCAAGAAAACCAAGGTGTGAATGAGTAAAATGACGATGATAAGGTTGAATACTATTTTGACGATGCATAAATACAACTGCATAACCTGCTTCTAAGAAATATTCAGCAGAAGTTGCACCACGAGTGCCATTACTAAAGTTGTCAATGAAACGAACTGTCTGATTCTCGAGAGGTACTGTTGTTCCACCACTCTATTTTTTTTTTTTTTTTTTTACATAAGTTAGTCTCGTGATAATCTAATAAAAAAACACACATACACACACACGTACACGCACACACACACATACATACCGTAATCAAAACTACTTTATTTCCTTGTTCTTTGTGAAGGTCAACAAACGCGCTTAATTTAGTTTCAAATTCGGATAAATTGGCTGGTGGTTGGTTAATTTGAAAATAAACATCGGGATCAATCACGCCTTGACCGTTGTCAAGAATAGAATTATCCGAAGCTGGAACAGAAACAGTAATGGAAGACATTGATTATAAACAAAACAATAAGAGAGAAAAAAAAAAAAAAAAGGAATGTGAATTGCTTCTTTATTTTAGTGGCATAATAAATAATAGAGTTTTAATTAAGACGTCACAATAAAGAGGAGGAATAATAAAGACTTTATTATTACTATAAAAGAGCGCGCCTAAAGAAGAGTCTTTTTACTGATTCAAAGTTTATTATTGAGCCTTAGTTAACCATGCATAAATAAATATGATAACGATAACTTCAAATAGAAAGGAGAAATTCCTGTTATCAGCGAATTGAATATAAATATGTATATAAGATCTTGTTTTTGTTTATGTACTACATTGCTCTCTATCAAACCAATATACTAACGTATACTTTTAAATAAATACACATATATTCACGATATACAAGCATGTATGTATACTGTTATCCCTGAGATCCGCAATATTATGTAATATGCAAGGATTAGAGCCTTGTCAGATCTTTGTCAGTTGTATGTGACTAGGTGTATTAAATAACATAAAATTATTTACATGGAGTATGTTTCTGTTATCTATTAAAACTTGATAAATGATATAAATATAATTTCTCAGTTGTTTATATGCTATGGATATAAATGTAGTATGTATATGATTATCAAATTTTATTATGTTACATCAGTTTGTTACTATGTTGAAGAATAAATAATGATAACTGCATTTATTGGATATGTTAATTAGTTATAGCTGCTTCTTTAACGAAGCATATCTGCTCTAATATCTCATTTGTGCTTAATACAATTAAAGCGTATATACGCATATGTATGAACTTTTTATTTAAAATAAAACTGGTATACGCTGTATTATCCATCAAACTAACTAACTAACTAAAAAAAAAGATAGGACATTATAGCTATTCTAGGAATTTTAAAGGGGGGGAGTTTGTTTGTTTTTCTCCCAAAGAAAGACAGAGGTTAAAGAATCAAGTCAAGTACTTTATCCATCATTTACAGGTTGCTAAATTATCTCAGGGACAAGCCTTTACGGTTCAAGGGATTACATGTACTATTATTATCAAAAAAATCGTCTTTTTGATACTATGATCAAACCTTCTCGATAGGTGAGTATGATGGAAGGTAAATATACCTCTTTCTCCCTCAATAAGCTTATTTAAAGTCGGTTCAACTACTTTTAACCAAACTCTGGTGGCGCTTATCTCTTCTATCTGCTCTAAAGTGGTTGGCTCAGAACCATCAACAAGCTTCAAGATGAACAATATGCACACTACCACCATTAATACTTTGTTGATTATATCTCTGGTAGGTTATCAGTGATAGTAGGAAAGAAAAAGACAAATAAATAGTATGTTAGAGAATTTTTTTTTTTTTTTGAAAGTCAAGTTCAAACTCAAAACTACTTTTAGAAATAAATACCAGATCAGATCCCTTTATTTGGCTTTTTGATAAGAATCTTTTACCGATATCTCTGGAATGTTTGAACTGAAGGACACGATTGTAGTTTATCTAAATTAAATATCTAAGGCACAGCTTTAATCCCGCTAAATTAAATTCCAGCGTACAATGTTATTTGGTATGTTTGTTTCAATCTGGCAATATTTGTCCTAAAAAAAAAAAAATTCTTCAACTTTTTAAAACTTCTCGCGTCAAAGAAGACAACGTTCATACAAAAATAGTAAAACAACACAGAACTAATTAGTCATCATTATTATTTAAACGTGAACAATTGTAATATATTTACTTTTTTCTTTTCTTTTCCTTTCTTTTTAGTTCTTTAGATTTGTACCTATCTTTATTTAAGCCTTTGAAAACATTATTATCATTAGTCAACATGCAAAACAACAACCAAAAATACAGATGCTATTGTACAAAATGTGCTCAACATGGCAGAGATTATGATGAAGTCTCTAGATCGACTTATTTTAAACATTTAAAGGACATGGCTGTACCTCATTTAGGTATTTATGTATAAATAAAACTTGATTTTAAAGTTAATACTCATCATTATTTTTACTGTAATTTTAAATTAATGACATTATAAAATTATAAATAATAAAGAGGAGCCTATGGACCTTGATGCTGAAAGAGCAGATGCCAGATGTATGTTAATTATGATCATTATTATAACACTACATATACGAATAGTTATTTATATAATAATATATTTTTCAATTTCTAGTTACTTCATGTGATTCTGATTCAAATGAAGAAATTTTTGAAGAAGGTAATAATTTCTAGTAGAATCTAATTAACTCATATATATTAATTGTATGTATTTAAATAAATAGACTTGCCATTTTGCACTGAAGGGCAGAAAGTTCACCTTTGTGGCAGACTATTATGCAACAAAAGACAGAGTAACCTTCCTGATAATCCATTCAAACGCGATTATATTGACTTCAATGACACATTGTGGATACGACGTTCTGAAGCTTCTCATCGCAATAACGCGCGTAAGTGGTTGGAAACTCAGACCAAAGACAGCCGCAGTAACTTGGAGAAAAGTACTGGTGCTCGTTGGAGTTCCGCTTCTTCGTTTGCCTTACTTTGATCCTATTCGCTTTGCACCCGTGGATTTAATGCATAATTGTTTCCTTGGTGTTGCAAAGCGGGTTATGTGCACTGTTTGGAGGGATGAATCCAGATCCGTTGCTGGTGGTCGAGAGGCTTTAATCACTAGAAGTCAGTTGGCCGAGATGTCAAAGGCGTCTGAGACTCTTGTGCTTCCTCTAGGTTACGATGGTACATCCATCATCAGAAAAATGAATACTGGTGAAAATGGATTCAGTAACATGACGGCTGATGAATGGAGGGTATGGATTACAGCAATGTCTCCATACTTGTTATCCATGAGGTTGAGTACCACGTACCTTAACAACTGGATGTATTTTGTTAAAGCTGTTCGATTGTTATGTATGACGAGCATAACGTATGAAGAACTAGAAGAAGCACACTATTTTTTGCAAAAGTTTTTAAACGAATTCGTTAGTATATATGGTGATGCTGGATATCTAACCATCAATTTTCACAACTTACTGCATATTAAGGAAGGTATACTCGACTTTGGCCCTGCAATGACCCACTGGGTTTTTAATTTTGAAAGATATAACCGCGATTTGAAGAATATCAACATCAACAACAAAGGAGATGTCGAATATACAATTATAAAAAAATATTTATATTTAATTCATGCTCAAGATTATTTTGATATTTTTTTTCTTAAACTAGATGGTTTCGACGCAGTCATATCCAGCTTGATTCTTACAATGAACATAGCAACATGGAGGTGTGGTCAAATGAATTTGAACCTGTTTCGGCAATGTCAATCGTACCAATAATGCGCATACATTCGCCTATTACTATAAAGTTCAACCATGTATATAATGTCAACATTATTACACATTTAAACCAACACATCATATAACTAGAAAAAAAAAAAATAAAAAAAATAAAAAAATTCATCATTAAGAACAATTATAATAGCTTTTTATATTATTTACATTTATTTTTCAATGTGTAATGAGTCATGAGCAATTGTGTGTTTATGATGTCAATCATGAATAAAAGTCATTTACATTTGTTAAACCGATTAACATGAGGATGTCTACTTTTTTTTCCCATATAGTATATTATTATTGGACTGATAACTTATTACAATAAGATTACAGCTTGTAGAAAACAAGCCATTATATCTCTATACTAAAGTTGACGCATCATATTGTTTTTAACTGAGATTTTGTGTTCACTTTTAGGGAAGATAGAAATAAGTAAGGACTTGAATATGATAAGTTGTAATGGTTAGTTTTGACTATGATTGTGTGAGTTGGGCAAAAATGCTCCATATTTGATCTATTATATAAGTTGTTGAATAATAAGGATTAGATAAAGCATATATAACGGAATCGTTTAATCGCTCTTCTTTTTCTATATTTATGGTTATCAAGCAATAAAAGAAGATTCAATTTAGGATAAAGGTTTTAACTGCCCAATTTCGTTTTCAATTTATTTATTTCTTTTTGAATACACTATATAAATTTAATCTAGTAATAATATATATAAAAGGTAACATATAATCCAAGACATTTTCTTTGTGCCGGCAAATCCATCGTCGTCAACACTAATGCACCCTTCACTAACTGATCTTCCTCGTCTCTAACCTTCATTTGCACACCATCTTGTAAGAGCAAGAACTCATCAACTAAAGGATCCAAATAATTATTTATTTCAAAAGTTGATGGCTCTGATGGGCCAGGTAACAATCCAACTAAAATAACATTCTCTCGTAGATTTCTTATTTCTCTTGGTAAATTAAGAATTGTTAAATAGACTGCACCGCAAGAATACTGGCTATTGGTGTACAATTGAAGCCAATCTACATTTAATGAAAACATTAAATTAAATCTTGAACTTTCAACAAAAGCTTCTTCATCGCCAGGATTTAGTTTGAAGCTCTTCCAAATTCTTCCATCATACACATCAAACAAACGACCAGGAACGATTGTTCGATTCTTCCAACTACTAATGTTTTTAACAAATTTTTCCCGAAGGAAAAATTTACGTAAAGTGTTGATAACTGAATTGTAGAAAAAGGAGCGAACAGGATTCAAACTAACTTGATCAAACAACTCAGCACCACATCTAGAAGCAAATGGGAGATTATCTTCGCGAGCACGACATTTCTTGCCAATGATCCTGGCTTTCTCTTCAGCAGTTGCAAATGGATAGATTGCATGACAATCTTCACAGCTTACATATTCTTTTATGCCATCATGGCAAATTTCACCAAGTTGGCTCCAAGAGTAGAATGTGCTGGCACTCGAAGGAAATCTGTACTCACTAGTAGTATGTTCTAATGAAATGTTTAAGAAGCGCATCATCAACTCGAGGGCTTGATTAGTAACTTGATTGCCCTGGATAAGCATAACAAGCATCATGAACATATTCATAGCAATAGGATCCTTGGGGAATTTTCCATTATTGAAAAAACCAGCGTATGAATCTGTTAGATATTAAATAGGATATTATATTTAGACATTTAAATAGAAAGAAATATTAATTTTTTTTTATTTACTTTCTTCACTAATCTCTTCAGCATCATTGCTAATGTTCATGTCTTGATCAATGTCAGCATCATCAGCAAAGTAATCGTCAATGTCTATATTTGTAATTTGAGGGAACCAAATATTTGTGTAAGTATTTTGTCATGCAAAAAAAAAAAAAAAAAAAAAAAAAAAAAAAAAAAAAAAAAAAAATACCATCTTCATTATCAACTTCCATTAAATCTTCTTGCATATTTTCTTTAGCTAGATATCATATATTAGTGGTTAATTAAACAGTTTGATCGAAAAAAAAAGGCTTTATTTATATATAAATAAGAATAATATATACCTGCACGAACTTCATCGTCTTTTTTATGCTCTGCTCTAGTAGTTCTAGAAACAAGGCGAAAAGGGCGAGAATCAGTCTTGCATTGAGAACAATAGCACTTTACTCTGATTTTAATAGATTGAGACATTTTTAAATATAATAGGATGCTTTGTAATGAATAAATAAAATAATAGATTGATAAAAGAAACTAAGATCAATAAGTTAAAGCAAATGCATTTATTATATACTATTTGGGTTTAAACTTAATTTTTTCTATGATCATATACTATGTTTTTCTATGGATCCTATAAATCCATATTTGGAAAAAAAATATTTTTTCTATGATCATATGTTTTCTTATAGATGCATTTTTGGAAAAAAAGTATTTTTTTTTCTCTCATTTCACGATGTAAATAATGTGATTACTTTTCCTTTTTTTTCTAATTTCACAATGCAAATAGTGTGATTTCTTTTTTTTTTTCTCTAATCTCACGATGTAAATAGGAAAATTACTTTTTTTCTCTCAACTCGAAAATGTAAATAATATAATTTTTTTTTCTCTTCAATAATGTTATTTATTAAATGTTTTAATATTCGTTTGGCATTTCAACTTAATTGCCACCAACATTTCGAAATGTCAGTTTCAATGTTATAATGGAAATGAAGATTACTTTTATAATTAATTGTTTCGAACATTTTTTTTAATTTAAATTGTATTCACTTTTAAATAAAAGACAAAATAATTTTATATTTGTGTACATAATAAAATAATGTATTTTATTTTGAATTAAACATAAATACATAATCATGTTGATTTTTTTTTTTTTTTTTGCATGGCTGAAAAAATAATGCATGTGTAAATTTTGCCTCAAGGGAAAAAAATACAATGAAAAATTAAAAGTACTTTTAAAATTCCGCAAAATAATAAATTTTAGAAATTCTATTGGCTAATTTTTTTATTTGGAAAATTTTACCCTGTAAAAAAACACAGCCAAAATAGCTGTAAAATTTAAACATTAAAAAAATAATGAATATTAGCAGTAGACATGTCGTTTTTTTTGGATATATTTATTCTATGATAGTATATTAAACATAATATATTTTTTATTTGGAAGTTTTATATTAAAAATTAGTAGAAATAAACAATTTAAAAAATCGGTGCTTAAATTGTGGCGTACGACGTATAGTACTTTAATACGTCGTACGCCAACTTTTTGCAGTGTGGATGTATTTGACGATTTTTTATTTTTTAGCAAATTTTTACAAAAAATAAAAAATGCCTTCTTGGCTCAGTTGGCAGAGCGTCTGCCTAGTAAGCAGAAGGTCGCCAGTTCGATTCTGGCAGAAGGCAATTTTTATTAATCGCTTTTTATATCTTTATTTTTGATTCGGTTTGTATATTTTTTATTTATCTGTTGTGCTATATTTTATTTTTATGTTTATAGAAAAGACAATACACATTAATAACATTGTAATTTGTAGAGTTTAGCTTATTAACTACCTGCCTTGATAGGTAACTAAAATTCATGATGAAGATGCATAAAATAATAATAGCTAAGCAAATAACAATTTATCATATCAATATTGTCTATCATATAAGCTATTAGACAAAAGGCTTTTTATTACATTTGATATGTTTATATTTACAAGAAAAAAAAATTTTTTTTTGTTTTGTTTTTAATAAATACATTATGAGCAGCAAAAAAATGAGTTTGATATTCAATTCTCATCTTTGACTACGTCAATTATAGCTGTAGTATCGCTCATAATTAAGCGTTCAAACTGAATACAAGCATCGGACGCTGACCGTTTATCTAATTTACCATGCTTAAAATAAAGCAATTCATCCCAATTTATAAACCCATTCACTTCTACATCTTTTGTTACATCTCGTGGCTTTTTCTTGATATTAGGATTGAATTCACGAATTTCACTAAATAAAAAACAATATTGTTTTAGTTAAACATACAAAGAAGGCCCCCCTTTTTTTTTCTTCTTTTAAATTTTACACAACTACTTACTCATCAGGTATATCATACAATTCAACTAATAAATTTTTTATATATAATAAAATACACATAGCTATTGCTAGTTTTGATGCTACGGTAAAGTCAGAATCTATTTCATTATCCTCATTTTCTTGTATAAATGTTTCAGGAGCAGAAGAAACAACCCCTTGCTTCTTTAAGAAGTGAACATATTGCAATAAATCAGCACCTAGTGTCATTAATATACGGTCCATTATATACACCATATGAAGCACTTCTTCAGTATTAGCTAAATCTAGAGTAAGAATGTTTTCAGCTAGGTATCTAAGGTAGCCAATATCAATTTCATCAGATGTTGTATTCTTTAAATCAAACTCAAAAGGCTTCACGAGAGCAGATAAGAAGTCCATTTTAGGCTTTCTTTTTTCCTTCAAAACTGAATAAGTAATTCCAAGTACTGAATCAACCTTAGCGTCACCTCCTCTCTTGCCATAACCTATTAAAGACGATTGTTTTTTTTTTCAATAACAGGAATTTGACAAGAAAATTAAATAAATGTATACATTTATATTTACCTGAAATATAACTGCTGCCAAGCAAAATCTTCTGGTATTGATAGGACGTCGATAAATATTCATTTATTTGTATATAGAGCAAATTGCCATATTTGTCATGAGCAAATCGATGCAAATAATAAGCTTTGTTTCGAAGGATAATGTCAGGACTAGTTTCAGCAGCAACGATAACTGGCATACAAAGCACAGGGTGAGCCAATCCTTGATGAATAACAGCAGAGACAACTTCAAATGCAGCATATCGAAGTTCATTAGATTCAGCTAAAGCGCATCTTAAAATCTTACGTAAGTATCGTTGCATTAATGATCCATTTACACCCAATTCTGCATATTCTTCTGTATTCCCTAAAAGAGTATCTATATCTATATCTTTTGTATAAAGTGATTCCCCTGCAATTTGTTCACGTTTCCCAAGTCTTTTTTCTTCTGCTGATAAAAACTCTTGAAAGACACGCATAAGTTGTATTTTCAGCTCATTCGACGAACCTTCTTCAAAAATTTTATCCATCAAGTTGGTGCTAGTGGGTGATATCATAAATGTTGGATGTGAAGCATAAAAATAACCCAAGCCTTGCAGGGCTGTCATACGCATTGTCATACCATCTTTTTTTAATTCATCCATTGATTCACTTGTGAAGAATTGTAAAAGATCAAATACTAATGTACAAATATTTCCTTTATATACTAAATTTAAAGCCTCCATTTGCTCCGGCTCTTCTTCACGCTTTTTATCAAATTCAAAATGCTGACATAATAAGCCACAAATCATTAGCATCTTTAAAACACCAGAGTATGTTTTAGCTTCAGGATCATTTCCATTAGAGATAATGAATCGTACTTGTTGAAGCTTAGTTATACAAGATCCAAGCATTTTGATAAGAATATTATATTTATGTGAAATAAGATCGATTATGACGCACAAACAAGAGACACCATCCGTGATTAAATTTAAGGGACAGTGACTAAGCAATTGCATCAATAAACGTTCAACTGATTGAATAAATTCTGGAGCATGATATTTCATATAAGGTAATACATCTCTATAAATTGTAAGGACATAATGCGCTTTTGTCCAATCACCAGCTTCTGATGCACTAAGATAGGGTTGCAACATAGATATATGAGACTCACGGAGTAAATGAGGACATATTTTTGTAAATGAATATACAGTGGCTAAACAGTTAATAAACTCTACCGAGTTGTCTTCTTCATCAAGTAATATCATACGATCGAATAACGAATCAACAATCCATTGAAATACTTTTCCATACCAAAGCATCATCTTTTCATCAGCATTGTCTATAGTCTTTTGAATAATTTGTGAAAGCGCTGCATTCTGTGTACTAGTAGATGGATCAATTTTGGAAACGGCACCTGTAATAATCTGAGTCAAACTAGTAATTTTTTGTTTGCGGCTCTTGGGTGAATTTGCATAAGAATAACCAAAGTAATCATTTCCATCCTTTTCAATTTCTCTAAAAGGTGAGAACAAAATTTCTTGTGTTGCTTTTAATGATAACTGGCTAATTGTAACTTCGTTATCGCTAATTCGTAAAATAAGTTTTGATGCAATATCAATCTTGATATCAATATCTGTAAATTTAAAATATAATCCTTGTAATAGCTTAACTAGACGTTTTCGAACATTAACAGCAGTATCCTATTATTATTATTATTATTATTATTATTTTTTTGACAGGAAAAAAAATAAGCATTTAGAATTAATTGTCTAATAGATTATATCGCTTATTTATATGCTTTACCATAATTCTTCCATTAACAATTTCATATAGTTTAATTGGTATTGTTTCTAAACGGCCCAAATATTTGGCCACCACATCAACAGCAGCATCTCTCACTGAAGGCGAACTGTCATGAATTCTTTGAACAACTGAAGTTCGAATTTGTTTCTATTTTTTTTTATAGAAGAAAAGGAGTAAATAAGTTAAAATTAATAATTATAAATATATACTTATATATTTGTATTTGCATATATACTTTACATCTTCCATGATTTCAGGTACTTCGGCTGCAATTTTCCCAATCGCTTTTAAAGCTTTTGTTCTATAAATGACAGCATCCTTTTCTAAACAAGTCAATAGTTCTGATAAGATAAAGTTAAAGCTAGTATAGAGCGTTTGTCGAGATGTTAATAGCTCGGTTAACAGAAAAAAATCAGACCTAGACATTTCTGGAAATTCGTGTTTCATTTTTGATTTAGGGAAAGGGTGTTCAATACCCAAACATGTTAGCCAATAATATTTACAAGTATCTTCTAATAACAGTGCGACCTCTTTAGGCCATTTGACTTCATCCTCAGTCATTAATATATCTGTATTTTTTGTAGTTGTAACCATAAGTGTGTTATCTTCATCCATTTCTTCATTATTATCCTCTTTGATTTTATCCATCTGTTTATTGTCACTATCCGTAGAAGCCTTAGACTTTCCTATTGGTTTCTTTTCCTCAATTTCCCATCCTTTATTGGCTTTAGTCCAAAGAACAGATTCTATAAATCCCCAATTACAAAGATAGAATTCATTTACACTTGTATTTACTTTTTCTTCTGTAATGTAATCATATATTTTTTTACGACATTGATCCAAAAGGGCAATGGAAGTTATTGGTGTATTGTTGTCTATTTTGATTGGTAGAGAACTATTTAGTTCATACATCCACTCAGGTGTGTACATATTATGCATCCCAGATAATCTGTTATAGCCAGTTTTGATTTTACAACATATAATTCCAAGCCATTCAATGGCTAATGATTTGAGAAACTGATCTGAATGATTTTCTTCAAGTAAAGATAACTATGCAATTTATAAAATGGGTTGGGTTGGGTTGGGGCGGCTATACTAAATAATATTATTGTTAAAATATTTGAATTCTTACCAATATACGACTAAAGACTCTCATAATTAACTCTGCAACTGGCCATTCAGGATCATTAAAGACCGTCATAATATCATTCAGTGTTTGATTCAAAATTTGTCTATATTCATATAAAGAATAGGAATCCTTTTTTCTAGATTTACATCTATAAATATAGTATGATTTAGTTTAGTTTACATAGCTTATGATTATATCTCGATTAAACACTCTACTTTGACATTAAAAATTCGAGGAAAAATGAAGCGCTATTAGTAGCAGCTTCAGCACCCAATCTCCAGGCAGTAGTAGCACGACGAACTAATTTATCATCTAACATTTTGATTTGATCCTCATCTTGTCCTTTAATCGCTTTTTGATATTTGATATTCCATTTCATAAACCAATTTTTATGCGATACCTTATCACTAAGTGAAGAACAGCATTGAACAAGTTGCATAAACAGGGCACTAATGACATGAATTGACCTATTATCACGTAATCGGTATTTCCTTGCTTCTTCCATCGTAGTTAACGATCCGATACTAGTCAAGATTTCTTCAAATATCCATCTTCTATGCTTTGGGTATTTACTAAAGATATGTTTCAAAATATCAAGTGCAACAAACTTAAGTTGCTCATAAGGATTAAATGATAAATTTTCATAATTGTCTGTGACAAGTAAGATAGATTTGTGAGACTCTGAATAATCATGAAAGAAGGGGCCCATACTAATATAGGCAACAATCACAAGTACATCATCATCTAAATCTTCAGAAAGAATAAAAGTAAATGCGCGACGAAAGAAGCGAGTAATTAATGGCACAAATGTACTGAGTAAATGTCTTTCTTTTGAGGATGATTCTATAAGACAGAAAAATGCATGAGCGCTTGTAGTTACTAAACATGAATAAATAAATATACATGTATTAAGAGTCTAATTAGTAATGCTTTTTTTTTTTTTTTTTTTTTTTTTTTTTTTTTTTTTTTTAATAGAATATTTCTAACAACAAACGTACAGGAAGTTGCTTCATCTTCAAAATGACTTAAATCAATAAGCGGGTATATAGTAAAATCTAACTGATTCTTGATAAAATGAAGGCAATTTGTGATTAAATTTCTTGAAAGGAATTGCTTATCTAAATTACAAGTTGTCAATATTTCAAAGATCATAAAGCAAGCCTCTAAACCATCGCTTATGAGAGTTAATAGTTTTAATATTGATTCTTTATTATTATCCTCTGTTGGATTCTTTCCACAAAGCTCAATGATATCAATATCAGTTGCAATAATAACTGTATTTTCCATTAATCTGATAATTTTTCCAAATTTAACCATATCGATTAGCTCAAGATTCTTGTATTGTTTAATTATACTTGATACAAGTGAAGTAATCTTCCTCATGATAGTAATATCTAGGGTAGGTAAATCATCTGTATCCCTAAATGTGAGTAAAGAATCTGCCATTTTCTGCTTGTTTTCGTTATATTGATCCAAATCATCACATATGCAGTTAATATAATGTGTTAAACGGCTTGTGGCTACTATTTAATTAAAATAATATATCAGCCAATAATCCCTATATATATACATATATTTATATGCTTACATTCATTTTGTTGTGGTTTGGTAAAAATAGTGTTTGGCGCTTTAAATTCAGGAACTGGGGAAAGATCCATGGATGTCTTTAGATTATCATCGGGTGTTGGTGCTATAGGTGTCTTGAAACCATCATCAGGTGTTGTAGGTAAAGGAGCCTTAAAATCATTATTAGAAAATGGTTTAACGCTATTATCTGAAGAAGACGTATTAGATGCTTCAACATGATTAAAGGAGTGTGACATAGGCGCCTTAAAATTATTGCTTGAAGATGGTTTATCAGACTTTCTGGAAGGAGGCATAAGCGATTTAAAACTTCCGAAAGTAGGAGGATTTGTAGGTACTTTAAATTTATTATTAGAAGACGGCATTGTTGATATTGTCCTGGAAAAGTTCTTTAATGGAAGTTTTGGTGTTGTAACTTTCGTTGTTTCTGAAGAAGAACTATTGCTTTTACGATCAATATGTAATAATCGTATTGAATCGTTCGTCTCGTCTACAAAACGTGATGAGCTGCCTTTTACATTCTTCAATTTGCGGTTTGTATGTTTGATCAGCACTTTGGGTTCTTTAATCATGCTCTTTACTTCATTAGAAATAGTTAAATGATTATTATCATTTTTATATGAATCATTTCGAGCTTTCGAGGTTAGATCAAATATCTTTTTATGAGAAGTTTTCAATTGATGATCACTAGTAAGCTTTATTTTTTTAGTGGGATTCATTACGGGGGTTTTCAACTGATTGAGAGCTTTTCTTTCATTTAAGGGTATATCATCTTCATCTTCACTTTCTTCACTACTACTATCATCAATAATAATTCGTTTGGATTTTTTTATTCGCCTTGGTATACTTAATTCAAGAACTTCATTATCTTCTTCCATTTCGGCATCATTATCCCTTGGAATTGAAGTCCTTGACTTCATTGTTTAAATCCTTTTTTTTAGTATAATATTAAAAGAAGGGGGAAAAATTGTATACAATTGAATAAACTTTTTTTTTTTTTTTGGAACTGGCCAGAGCAATACAGCATAAATAATCGTACTGCGAATAAATTATGAACAACGCGTAAAATTGAGACTTTTTGGGTTTTTTTTAAATCAAGCGCGAATTATTACGCGTATACAAAATTCTTTGATCTTATTTATTTAATGTTGAAACAAGTAGTAAACGATCCCAATCTAATTATTTTTTATTTCTTTCCTGCTTGCTGCTTTATCTTGGTCCTATCTAACACGTTCTTTATATAAAATTCTAATAATTCAATACATACGCTCGCATCTTCAAGCGAATCATGGCCATCAGAACCCGTCTGGATAAATCTTTTTAAATGTGCAGAAGTTAAGAATCGAAGACTGTATCTATAAGGCAATCCATTTTTATGAGGAAAAAGCTGTATACATATAGTAAATATCATTAGTCTTTTTTTCTTTTTTTTCCCCCCAATATATAACTTTTCTTCACTTTACAGCAGCTGTGTCAATCACATTTGTATGAACAATTCTTAATGCATTAAGATCATTTTCTAAACCATGACCTACAATAATTGTTTCCTCATCTACATACTTGAACAACTCTTTTCTAAGCCCGTCCAAATCATATTTCACACCTTCAAGTGTTTTAACACCACTGTAATGGGTATTCAAGTCAATAACCATACTTGAAGGTAATACCAGTTCATCTATAAGGACATTCATATCTTTATCTACTACTGTTAATCGAATCAATTCCATGCCTGCTGTAGTATAACCCATCTCACAGTCTAAAGCTACTAAATCTTGAATCGTTTCTGACCTATTTGCTGAGTTACGAGGTGGCAGCTTGATAAAAGGAATTTTATGGTGTAATACAGTCAAATCAGTATCTTTATAAACATGAGAACCTCGAATACATCCTTCACTTCCAATAGGATCTTTGCAGCAACCATATATTTTTTCCTTTTGACCATTCACTAATTCTATATATGGACGTACAGGATGATATACACAGGCCTCTATATCATCTTTATCCAAGACAGCTTTGACTATGTATTCCTTTTTGCAACGATCACATGTTTGAATTGTACCAACCCTATCTTCCATTTCTGTAGATGATACCGGTATATTCAAAAGGTCAGGTAAAGGGTATTGCAGTTGTTTTAATTCTTCTAATGAAGCTATGCATTCTTTGGCCCTTGCAAATACCAAAGCCTTTTCAGCTGCTGCCTTTTCAGAATCAACCCATTCACCATCCAAGCCAATATCTTGATTATCTTTACTCTCTGGTCTTTTTTTTAAATTCATCAAGGTTGACATAGCCATCTGTTTGTAACCAGCTACATTCGTTGTTGCTGCCAAAATTTTTTCCTCCTGTTGCTTTGCATGGTCTGTTGCTAATGTTGGATTATTATTCAATATTGGTTTATAAATACGTGAAAATGCTTCAAATAACTTGTTTGCAATCAACTTAAAAATGAAAATGAGATTTCGTGCATGTGCTATTGTTGAAAAAAATATCGTACCTGTCTAATTTTAAGTGGTATCTTTGCTCTAGTATCTGGCAAAATAATAGGTGGTCCAGTAGGCTTATTATTGTACTATATAAAGAGATGAGTCCCTTCTTATCTATTTTATCAATTATACGAATAATTTACCGTCACTTTATGCGCTGCTCTCTTCCTAGGATCAGAAATAATTATCTTATCATTTGTTGTAGTGGTTTTTTGAGTAGTTTCTAATTTTGTTGACATTGCTGCTATCTTTTTCTTATGAACAATTGCAGGTACTGATGCTGAGTGTTTTGGTAAAGTAACGGATTCTAATAATATTTAATTAGCTTACAATTAATAATAATAAAAAAAAAGGCAAAACTAAGTTGCTATAGTGTCCATTTACTACTAACTGGAATAAGTGATGGAACTATTGGTTCAGTTCTTTTTGATTTTTCTATCGCTATTTGTGTCGTTATTACTTTCCTCTCCATCATGGAGGGAGTGTCTTTTTTCTGACGTTTAACAGTTTCAATAGGACGATCTATATAAAAGGAAGCTATAATCAATGAAACTTTTTATAGAAACTTTTTAAAATATTAACCTTCAATTGTCGAAGATCTTTGTAGTGCATGCGAAAAAAAGCAAGGATTTCTTGTGCAATTAGGGTATAAAGGGCAAGGTTCGGATTTGAATAATCCTAATGAAGGAAGCATTTTATTTATATATGTATAAAAGTTTTCGACAAGTGCTGAATATAGTTAATTTATTTTAAAGTAAGTTTGACGTTAATATTTTGATTCTTAAAAAAAGCTGATTATAAAGTCAATAATTCTTAATGAAAATATAATGAAAAAAAAAAAAAAAAAAACCACTAATTAGAATCAACTACAATAAAGTATAAAGTATGTAAACAGAATTCAATCATGACTTTACTTAACAGTTATAAAACATATCTCTACTCCGGTAAATACGCGTCACAACGAAGCATGGATTCTATCCAAACCAAAAAAAAAAAAAAAAAAAAAAAAAATTTCCTTTTTCCTTCTTTATTTAAGTCTTAATTATAAAGTGAGACGCAATGTCTACACCAAATAATCAACAAGGACCTAATAATGGTCAGCAGCAATCACCTCAAACTCCACAAACACCAACACAACAATCGCAATTACATCAATTACAACCACAACCACAACCACAACCACAACCACAGCCTCAGCCTCAGCAACAACCACAACCTCAGCAACAACCACAACCTCAGCAACAACCACAGCCTCAGCAACAAGTGCAACCTCCTCAACAAGTACAACCTCAACATCAAGTGCAACCTCCTCAACAAGTGCAACCTCAACAACAACAAGCTGCTGCTGCTGCCGCTGCTGCTGCCGCTGCTGCCGCTCCTAATGGAATACACACACCAGCTGACATTGATAAAATGGTCGCGTCTTATCTTCAAAAAAAAGGTTATAGAGCAACTGAAGCCATTTTTACACGCGAGTCAAAAGGAGAAACAATTTCACTTGGAAAACTGTTAGATGACCCAACTGATGAAAAAGGAAAGAAAACAGAAAAAACATCAAATGATAATTCAGTAAAGTCCAAGAACACACATGTTGTAGAACAGACAAAAGAAGAAGAGAAAGAAGATCCTGATATATATGATGTCAGTTATAAAAGTTTAAGACAATGGATTGAAAATTCTCTTGATTGGTATAAGGTAAAAAAGAAAAGAAAAAGACACATGGTAACAGCAATAAAGACATTAAATAAGCATTCTCTTAGCCTGAACTACGATCTGTTTTATTTCCAATTTTTGTTCATTCCTATCTTGATCTTGTTAGTAAAAATATACCTGAAAAAGGTAAATTTTACTTGAATATTACATGTTCAAAAACTAATTCTTTCTTTAGCAAAATACTTTATGGATACCTATAGAAAAGATCATGTTGAATTACATACTTTGGATTTAAATACTTTTGAAACAATTACTGAACCTCAACATGTCCGCGAAAATGAATTAGCACGAATGTATAGAAGTAATAAATACAATTTACGCATGTCAGGTGTCCCTTTTGAATTATTTTTGAATTACTTGCAGGATAATAAGTTCATGATATTGCTTCGAATTGTAAATCAATATCTCAATATTCAAGGTAAATATATATATGAATGTGTTTTATGAATACGAATATTGTTTGATTAATTACATGACTTTAGTGGTACATGGTAAATTATTAAAATCCGCAGGCGGATTAGAAATGGACGATGTGATTGGTATCATTGGACATCAAGCACAGCAAATTGAAGAGTTTAATAAACAGAAGGTGCAACTTGGATTGCCTCAATTAGATCAGTCATTTAAAGAAGAAGTAGAACAGGCTATTAAAGAACAAGAAGATGAAAGTCAACAAGATGATAATATATCTTTACTTGAAACTTTCAAAAGAGTCACTCAAGAAAATACAGCGGATGGTCCTGCATTTGGTGATATACCACTCCCGCCATAGTAAGTTAAATATTTTCTCCAAGTAATGCTTTTATGTTTATAGTATAAAATAGTAGAGGAACTGATATTACTACACAAATCGAATCATTAAAAAACTTGACTCATACAATCCCTCTAAATGAATCTTCACTACCTAGCATATGCTGTTATACGTTTCATAATACACACGACAGGTAAATGACAGTTAATTCTAGGAAATATGGCATTTACTAAAAAAAAAAAAAAAATTATACTTTCTAGTCTAAATTGTGTGACGATAACTAAAGATGCTACTTTAATAGCTGGGGGATTTTCTGAATCCTATATAAAGATTTGGAGTTTAAAAGGAGAAAAGTTAAGATCACTTAGAAATACGATTAATCCTGCTTTGGTTAATGATTGTAGGTATCTTATATATATAAATATGTATATTAGCTTATAAATTAAAAAATATATTATATAGATAATGATTTAAATCGTCAAAAAGAAAGATATGGACATGAATATAAGAAATTAATAGGACATTCAGGTCCTGTGTTTGGCCTTAGTTTTAGCCCGGATAATAAGTATTTAGTTTCTTGTTCAGAAGATAAGACAGCGAGATTATGGAGTACACAAACATTTACCAACTTAGTAATTTATAAAGGTCATAATAGTCCTGTATGGGATGTTGATTTTGGACCATTTGGATTTTATTTTGCTACTGGATCTCATGATAGAACAGCTCGTCTTTGGAGTTGCGATCATATTAATCCTCTTCGAATTTTTGCAGGTCATTTATCAGATGTAGATGTAAAGTATATATTGTATATTGTATATATATTTGTGTATACTGACTATTATGATCGTTAGACTGTTAAATTTCATCCTAATTCAAAATATCTAGTTACTGGTTCAAGTGATCGTACATCACGACTTTGGGATATACAAAAAGGTACCTGTGTACGTGTATTTACAGGTCATACAGGTGCAATCAAGACAGTCGCTGTTTCTCCTAATGGCCGTTTAATGGCATCTGCTGGTGAAGATAAATCAATTATGCTTTGGGATATTGGATCTGGTAAATGTATTAAGAAATTAACGGGACATACAGGCTTTATCTATTCATTGAAGTTTAGTGCAGATAATGGTGTACTGGTATCTGGAGGTGCAGATAATACAGTTTGTGTTTGGGATGTTAATACTGATTTAACTTCAGCTACTGTTACTTATATGGATACTGATCATGATATGAATGGTACGAAAAGATTAAAAATAGATAATGATAAAAAACGCAAAGCTGTTGTTCATGAAAGGTAAGCTTATTATAAGTTTTAGGGAGGGTTTTTTTTTCCTATTGTATTCATATTATTATTTTATAGCCGTGAACGTCTTGCTGTATTCCCTACTAAACAAACTCCCATTTATGATATTCAGTTTACAGACCGTAATTTATGCCTTGTTGCAGGTGCATTTACTCAACAAAAAACTACATGATTTTAAAAAAATAATAAACCATTTCCCCTTTTTTATTAAATTATTTAAATATAAAATAAACATTCTATTGTTATTACAGTGCTTTATTGATTTAAGAAAAAAAAAAAAAAAAAAGTAATGATCGTACAACAAGTCACAGGAAGCATAACTGAAAAAAAAAGAAAAAAAAAAAAAACTTGACGCGATCATACGTGATTAAGGCTTTTTTTTTTTAAGTGCAGAGATCGTTTACACACTCATGTCTAATTCAAAAAGGCCATCGCAACAAAGTTCTTTATTATCATTTTTCAGTAAAAAACCTTCTGTATCAACGAATGGAAGTACAGCTCAAGAAGCTACCACATCGATTCCGATAACAGAAAAAAAGCCAACAGAAGAGCCTACCAAAACACTAGCTGTCAAAGAACGATCATCAACGCATTCTAAGAAAGATATAGAAGAAAATGAAATGGATGTTGATCAATCAAGTGATGAGGATGAAATCCCAATAATGTCATCATTGGTAGTCTTTTTTTTTTTTTTTTTTTTTTTTTTTTTTTTTTTTTTTTTTTGCGTTAGCTGTAAATATGTTAAAAGAAATATAACTCATATTTTTTTTTTTTATTATTATTTTTTTTAATTTTAGGGACGTACACGTAAAAGAGTAAATTACAAAGAGTCTGACAACAGTGATGTAGAAGATTCACCAGAAAGTAAACCTACAGGTAAAATATACACATATTTGGCGGCATTTTAACGCATTAAAACTAAATAAATAAAACGTGAATTTCAATAGGAAAAAAGAAAAGGCTTGTTCGTAGAATTGCTGACGATGATAGTGATGATGATTTTAAACCTACAAAGGAAGATAATGTCGTCGATGAAGATGAGGATGAATTTATGGACGACATTCCAGAAGAGGATATTATACAGGCAGAAAAGAATATCCTTAAAAAACCACCAATGACACCTTTAGCTGAAAAATTCAAACATATCTCTGTTGAATCACCTTCAAGAAATATCAAAAGAACACCATTTGTAAATGCATTTTCTAGAATAACATCTAAATCTGAAAAAAGCCAGGATAGAATGCAAAAATTTAAAGAGAAAAATGAAGAAAGATATTATTGGTTACAAGATATAAAAGATGTAGATGGTAATCGTATTGGTACGGCAGAGTATGATCCTAGAACATTATATATTCCCAAATCTGCTTGGGACAAGTTTACCCCTTTCGAAAGACAATATTGGGAAGTGAAGCATAAACATTGGGATACAGTTGTCTTTTTCAAAAAGGGAAAATTTTATGAGCTTTATGAAAAGGACGCAGATATTGGTCATACGCAATTTGATTTAAAAATGACAGATAGAGTTAATATGCGAATGGTTGGTGTACCTGAAATGTCATTTGATTACTGGGCTGCACAATTTATTGCAAAGGGGTACGTATATACTCTATAAAAAAAAAATATAGACCAAGCAAATAACATGCTTCGCTACCCTTCTTTTCTTTAAAGTTATAAAGTAGCTAAAGTGGATCAAATGGAGACAGCTATTGGTAAATCAATGCGTGAAAAGAGTGATGGCAAGACCAGTAAAGCAGATAAAGTGATTCGCCGTGAATTAACTTCAGTCTTAACAGCCGGTACTCTGGTTGATGCTGGTTTACTTACAAATGAATTAGGTACCTATTGTATGTCTATTAAAGAACAGTGCGATATGGATGATAAAATTCCTCCCAAGTTTGGTATTTGCTTTGTTGATACCTCAACCGCAGAATTTAATCTTGTTCATTTTGAAGATGATATTCATCGTACTAAATTTGAAACCCTTATTATGCAAATTAAACCTCGCGAACTAGTAACCGAAAAAGGTGGCCTTTCTAAAGCTACGACTCGTATGTTGAAATCTATTTTAAATGAACCTCTTTGGAATAAATTACAGCCTGAAACTGAGTTTTGGGATGCCCGTATTACAGAAGATGAAATTAATATTAATGGATATTTTGATATAAAAGAGAGTAATGAACATCTGACTATTGCAATGAAAGAAGCTCGACAGGACCCTTTACTCATGTCTGCTTTTGGTGGCTTAATTTGGTATCTTCGTACTGTAAGTCTTTTTATTTATCCGCTCCCTCTCTCCCTTTTTTTTTTTTTTTATTTTTAGAATAAGCTAATCCTCTATAATTTAGCTTAAATTAGATAAAGAATTATTATCAGCTAAAAATATTCTAATGTATGATCCAATCCGACAAAGTACATCTTTAGTACTTGACGGTCAAACATTAGCTAATCTTGAAATCTTTCAAAACTCATCTGATGGTAGTACTGATGGTACTGTTTTTAAGTTATTAGCAAACAGTATTACGCCTTTTGGTAAACGATTGTTTAAACAATGGTTATGTCATCCTTTACGCCGTATTGAAGAAATTAATGCTCGTCTGGATGCTGTTGAAGATTTGATGCGTTTAAGAGGATTGCATGATACTATATCAAAAGAAATGGCATCTATACCCGATTTAGAGCGTCTTATATCTCGTATTCATTCAGGAAGGATTAGAGTAAAGGAGTTCTTAGCTGCTCTACAAGGTTTTAAGACTACAGGAGAAATCATTCGTACAATGACCGAAAATCGTTCCCAGTATACATCAGCATTACTGGGTAGATTGATTGATCAGTTTCCTCAAATAGGTGAAAAATTAGACAGTATATTGAAGTCGTTTATTATAGCAGAGGTTGATATTGACTGTAAGTAATGATACTATAATATCATAGACTATTTTATTTATTCAAAATAGATGGAAAGTCAAGAACAATAATACCTAACAGTGGTATGAACAATGAATGGGATACTATTAATCAACAAATTAAAGATATGGAAGAAGAGTTTAATCGTCATTTATTTAAAGTCAAGAAACAATTAAAGTAGGATTATATACATACATGCATACATACATATATATATATATATATATATATATATAAAGTAAAAATTCATATAATACAGTTTAACTAAATATGCTTAAATTAGATGCTCTACTATTACATATAAAGATCTTGGTAAGGATATTTATCAACTTGAAGTGCCTAAAAACATTTCTGTACCACGTGATTGGGATCAACTTTCCACTACTAGTGTAAGCATACTATCTATATGAAATTGTGCTTTTAAATAGACAAGCTAACGGGTTTATCATGAATAGAAAGTATCGCGCTATTGGGATAGTACAATCAAACGTATGGTGATAGAATATAAAGAACTTTTAGAAACTAAAAATGCATTTGTGAAAAAGTTTGTGTTACAAGTGTATGCTTCATTTGATGAATCGTATGACATGTGGTTAAATGCTGTTCAAAGTATTGCACAGTTGGATGCATTAATGGGCTTAGCAAAAGGATCTTTGAATATGGGAGGTAAGATGTATACGCATATATGACTATAGACAGAGTATATTTAAAATTATAATATAATTTTATATTTTAGAACCTGCTTGTAGACCTATTCTTTTGGATCAAGAAAAAAGTGTTATTGAATTTGAAGAACTTCGTCATCCATGCGTGGTGCCAGGGTAATGAGTAACAAACAAAGATCTAGAAATTCAATTATAGTAGTAAATCCATTTAATTAATTATGTATATATATATATGTATTTAGCGTTGCTACAGACTTTATCCCAAATGATGTCGGTTTAGGTGGTGATCAAGCAAGTGTTATTGTTTTAACTGGTCCTAATATGGGTGGTAAGTCTACGCTATTAAGACAAACATGTGTAGCCATTATTCTCGCGCAATTAGGAGGTTATGTTCCTGCTCGCTCCTGTAGATTGACGCCATGTGATCGAATCTATACCCGTATAGGCGCAAATGATAATATCATGGCAGGACAGTCAACGTTTATGGTTGAATTAGCAGAGACATCAAAGATTTTGAAAGAAGCCACTTCACGTTCAATGGTCATTTTAGATGAGCTTGGAAGAGGAACATCTACCTATGACGGATATGCAATTGCTTATTCAGTTTTACATCATCTTTCAACACACATTGGATGTCTGGGTATGTTTGCAACTCACTATCATACATTATGTAAAGAATTTGAAAGGAATCCAGAAATTAATAATATGCACATGTAAAGTATTATCTATATAATTAATATATGGAAACAGTTTATTTATTTTATTTTATTTTATCTAATTAGGAGCTACATGGTAGGCGAAGATAATCATAGTATTACATTTTTGTACAAGTTAACACCCGGTATATGTGAGAAATCCTTTGGTATGAATGTAGCTATGATGGCAGGTATACCTATGTCTATTGTAGAAAGAGCTACTGAAATAGCTGAAGAAACAGAGAAGGTGCATCATTCGAAAGATACCACTTATGCCAATATAAAGGATGATAATGTAAATATTACTCCTGCTATTATTGCTGATTTACAATATATCTGGTCCAACAAAAGAGAAAAGTTACCTACCCAGCGTATTCTTTCCAGTTTCCAAAACATACATGTGTAACCAAGATATTTATTGTACATATTTCGAAAGCATTTATTATAGATAATAAAACTGTTTCTTTTTTCTTTATATACTATAGTTTTTTTTTTAATGTATAGGATATGTTGATTAAAAAGAAAAAAAGAAAAGGAATACAAGTATTTTATCTTTGTATGTACCATAATAAATGGGGATTTTTATAGCTAGCTATGCAATAAGATTGACAAAAAAAAAAATATATATATATATATATATTGCTATAGTAATTAATTTATTTATTCATTTTAAAACGCTGCTATTTATGTTCCTTTGTAAACTCCACTAGCAGGGATCTATATTTTCATTTTCTAGTAACGAGAAGAGAAGGAAAATAAAATTATATCCTTTCATTTGAGCAGTACTCTTCCAAAAAAAAAATCTTATTATAGATGATTACAAATGAGTACATAATAGTGAATTATAATACGGAATTAGCCTACTTTATTATTATATATGACAGGCAAAAAAAAAAAAAAAAAAAAAAAAAAAAAAAAAAAAAAAAAAAAAAAAAAAAGATTTGTATAAAATAGGGTAGTTCAACAAATTTATTATACTACTGGAGTTTGTATCAAATTAGCAGTAAGATGAAGACACAGTTTACTAGCCATTTATAGTATATCCTTTATTTAGTTATATAGTAAGATGGGTTAGATTCATGTCAAATAAATTTCATTGGATATATCGTAAAAGAAATATATACATATATATATTTATCTATAATACCGGTATACATGTATATTCCTAATAACCAAACCAAAACTCGGAAGAACAGTTTAATTTAATAATATATAATGACCTGTTACTAAATATACACTTAGTACAGAGCACAGTGACAGATAAGGATGAAACATACGTTTACAAAGAAAAGAGCACATGAGCACCTTGTTAAATCTATTTAAACAGTTATACTTACTTGATGACCTCAAAGAATAGGTCGAGACATTCCCTCCTTCCCTCTTTTTTTTTTTTTTTTTTTTTTTTTTTTTTTTTTAATTATGTCTATACAAAGACCTAATGATAGTAGTATACTAGTAATTATAAATATGAGTTAGTAAACTATTATTAGTGCGAAAAATAAATGAACGTGTCATGAGCAAAAAAATAAAATAAGATAATAATAATTTCTGTTTGAATAATAGCAAATCAAGAATTAAACTATAATTTATGCATTATTACAAATTTAGATATTACTAACTACTACAGCTGCTATCCAAGTATCACTCTTTCTCTTGTCAAATCAAGTAATCTCCTATTTTATTTTCATTTATTACATAGTAGCCAAATAGATGAATCTATTTCGTATTTAATGTGAATTTAGACTTTACATATTTGGAGGAAATTATGTTCTCCTGTTATTGGTAAGTTTAATGATACTACTGAGTTAGAATGTATGTGACTTGTAGCAATGAAAAAAAAAAAAAAAAAAGCAAATCATGTACTATTTAAATAAGTTATATTAAACTCAATGTTCTAGTTTCTCTCACACACACATCCCTTTTTTTTTTCCTTCTTTTCTTTCTATTATTATTTTTATTGCAAACATGATATCTTCAACACCAACTATGATATCTTCTCCCATTATAAAGAATATGGAAGGCAAGGATAATGAAAAGAATAAATATACACCAATTCCACATTTCCCTGCTTGTCTAGGTGGTGAATGGAAAAATCTTGTAAAGACGCCTTATTTAAAAACAACGATGAGATTTAGTGCTGGAAAATCACTGGTAATATTTGGGTTTTTTCTTTTTCTTTTTTTACCCTAATTTTATATATAAAGCCACCACATCATTTTCCTTCCATGGCACATATTACTGTACTTTCTGGCTCAATTCAAATCGATGATTTACAATCAAATCAAGCTTATATCTTGCAAGCAAATCATGACTGTATGATACCAGCATTATTAGTTCATGAAATTCAGTTTCTAGAAGACGTAGAATTCGAATTTGAATTAAATTCCAATGATATGATCATTTATTGGGATTTGGAAGAACGTTAAAAAAATGATAATTTAAACATAGCACATTTAATAATAATACAACGCCATTTAATTTAAACAAATTTGTTTTTTAACAAATTTAGGGGTTTTTATTTGGAGGTGATAGTGGTGGTGGAGGTAGTTGGAGGGGGGAGGGAAACAATGTGGAAGGAGAAGTTTATGATATGAAACATGATTATGCAGAGCTTTGTGAGAAAAAGTATCAACAAGAATATGCCTTAACCAAACAAACTGCATGTAACAAGTCTATTTTATCAATAGTGATTAAAACAAGTTTTTTTTTTTTTTTTTTTTTTTTTTTTTTTTTTTTTTTGATCTAATCTTAAAACCGTCATAAGGCTTGTTTCATTTTAAACAAAAAAAAAAAAAAGAACTTGCCAAAATTTATGCCGGATAAAAGGTAAACATTATTGTCGTTGATAATGCTATGCTGCTGTCAATAGTGGGCAACTATTGAAAAGTGTTATACAAGTCTTTATTGGTTGAATTTTACTTCTCTGACTATCTCCTCCATCTCCTGATCTAAATAAACAAAAAGGTCTAATTTTTTGTTTCGAAATACCTAATGGTAGCTTCATTTTTTTTAAAAAAAAAGACGCTATGTTAAAAAATGTCCTTTCCCAACTTATTTACACAATCCTTCATTTAAAATTTGTTCTTATTATCTACTTTTGTAAAAGAATATCATACTCATTTATTACTTAAACACAATTAAAAAGAAACAGAACAGTTTAGAGTATGAAAGAAAGTAAGATTCAGCCAATTGGAACTTCTCACTGTAGTGATGTTTCTCGTAATACGAAAATTGTGAAGAATATTAGAATCAAAAATAATCACTCTTCAATGAAATACGCTGATGAATATAAAACACTAAAAGTGGAACTATCACTTTTAGTGCAGCTCATGCCATGAAGTAATAAGTCCTTACCACCCATTTTAACTTTTAAGCCAATGGGAAATAGTTCCAAAATGTATCTTTTAGTATAGCGGGTTTTCTGATCCTAGTCAGCTTATATACTATTTATTATAACTAGTCTTTATCGTAGTATTAAAGATGATTTCCTTTCTCTTCTTTTACAAAATGTTTCACGTATATGTAGAGGAGGAGGAATATAATCCATAATGAAAATAGTTTCGTGTAAACTTTTTTTTTTTTTGTCCGAAAAAATATAGTTTTTAGCAAATTTTCACTAAAAAAAAAATGAAGAAAAAATATTACTGCTAAATTTGCATAGTTATTTCTATATATTTATATATAAAGGAATTGTTTATATGGTCAGCAAAGCTTTAAAGCTTTATCTAAAGCGTGATCGTAATTTACATTTTTTGAACCCACCAAAATATTCTGATGCTGTTGGTAAAAAAAGAGCTGAAAAGTATTTTCACTTGAATTTTACAGATGCCCAAGAATTAAAAAGAATCCATTTATTACATGTTACTGGAAAAGCTCTATCCAATGTACGAATAGGACATGGAAAAGGTTGCATGTAAAAACAAAAAAAAAAAAAGGAAATCGCATATAATTCTCATCGCCAATATTCAATAGAGCTTACATTTTTACGAAAATTACCAAAAGGCTATTACGTTAGTTTCGAAGCAAATAACCAATTAGTTATTTATGGTCATCCAAGTGGGATAGCTTTTAAAGATGAAAGTAAGTAATGTATAACTGTTATGATTAAGTAACAACATTAACCATTGTATATAAGTGAGCTTTATTCCTCATTTACTTTGGTTAGAAGAGCAAGGTAGCCGAAGACAATCTAAAAAATTGTGTAAATGTAGAATATGCATTCAACTTAGAAAACCAACAGAACTTAAGAAAAAAGCCATTCATTTATCTTCACTCGCTATAGTAAAAAATAAAATGAATACAAAATTAACAACAAGGACAATGGATAATAAGGACATGGAAAAGATATATAAATGCTATAAAGTAACTAAAGTCTGCATTAAACCGCCATCTTCAAATATAGTCCGTTGTCCAAAATCAATCAAAATACCTTTACCCAAAATTTTGCAGCCTGATCTTAGCATCCTACGTTTTGATCATAAAGACGAAAAGAAGAAGAATAGTCAAAAGTAAATAGAATTTGACATTATTCCTGTTTATTAAAAAAATATACTCCTGTAGTGAATATTTAGCTTTGTTTTTAAATAAAAATATTTGTGTTTTTATTACAGTCAAAGAAACTAGGTTGGGCCAATGAAAAAAAAAAAATTGGTCAATTCCAAATTAAATTGGGACAGAGTTGCAAAGTTGGGACACCAGTAAGAAAATGGGACAGTGATACGGAAACGGGACATATTGAGATACTTTTAGCTTTTTGGACGAATGGAGGCATTTCTTCAATGGGCTAACTTACCTGTAAATATGGGATGTCCCGCTGTTATTCTTTGTGTATTTCAATATGTACATCCAACATACCTTTTTCTTGGTCTAGGATCCCCAGATTCTTTGTTCCCAGAAGGATTTAAAAATAAATATTATGACATATGCTATATAGCTATACATCAATCATAATATTTACCTAATTTTCTTTTTGGAGGCATTTTTGTACACTTGAAAAAAAAATAGAATGAAGATTGCATTAAAAGTCCAAAATCTCTATATCTATATGTTTAGTGTTTAATTCCATCAAGTGGGAAACTTGTAATACAGTTGATGAATTCATTGCAAATTGTGAACTTGATTTTTCATGTATTTGAAACACTCACTTTCATTATTGAGAGAAGGAAACGACTTTGGTTGCCTTTATCTCACTTTTTTTGATTTACTTGAGATTTATTTTACCGGAATTATGATCCTTTATTGATAGTCTACATATTACATTATTCGAAAGTACAAAAACAAATTAGTTGTAAGAAGAGAACCGCCAATAATCGATACGTATCAGCATAAATTATAAAATATAAAAGAATTGACAGACTCAAAATAAAGTAAAAAAGACACAAAAACAGTGGGCTAATCTAGTTACTTGTGTGATTGCAAACTGAAAGAAGAAACTCTATGGATCTAGAATAATCTCATATATATATATATATATCATGTACCTATCGCTGTTTGATTAACATCATATGAAATTGCTGTTTTTCTGATGCGCTATTATTGTACTAAGCTTAACATTATAGAGTATAAACAGTGATTAGAACCAAGACCTGATGTCTACCCCCTTTTTTTTTTCCTATTAAATATAAGAGCCTTAGGCTTTCCGTAATTTAATCACTTTACTTGGCTTTATTATTTCGCAAACGATAGTTATATGAAAAATAAATAATGATTCTTGAGAGATTTATCACCTTTGAGGGCAAAGTGGGGCCAACTATGATTAATTTAGAAACAACATCTAATAAAATTGTTCTGACCATTGCTAATAAAATAGGAAAAAGTTATCAAAAATATTACTTGCTCTTTCTTTCTATTTATTTTTTTTTCAAAAAAAGTATGCGTAGGTAATTATATCCAAAAGTCGAAGCCTTGATTAAACTAAAGAAACAACGCAAGTATGATGAACAACAGGAAGTAGCAAAAAACCAAATAAAACAACCAACAGCAAAGCGAGGTAAAGTAAATTACTCATTGAACAATTTATCAGAAAAACTAACGCTCTTTACAAGGCGTCAAGCGTAAAGATACGTTTGAAGAGAAAAAACTCAAAAAGGACGCAAAAATTGCGCGTGAGGCTGTATCATCTACGCAAGGTGTGATATGCAAATCATGCGGCAAGACAGGGCATGCTTCCGCAAGAAGTAAGCAGTGCATGAACTACAATTTAACCTTACCAGAATTGATTCAGCAAAAACTGGGTCCTTCAAATGAAAAATATACAGTGTCGTTGCCCTTAAGATCATTCATACGAACGTCTGATAATAATACTTTTAACGCAATTCTAGAAAGAATACAAAGTCTGTCTCTGTTCCTGAGGGAAGTTGTCTTCAAAGCCCAATTATTTGTGAATTATTACATTTTGAAACACCCACAAGGTTTGACTAATGAATTCTTTTAGCAAAATATTTGGTATTCTGTGTGTCGGCTAATCAATGGAAATATGGAGATTAGAGAATTCGCTCAAAAATACTTCCAACATATCCCCCACCTGCATGAAACATGGGATGAGTTGAATAATTTTAACAATATAGACTTGCTAGTAGAAACTCAAGGCATAAAAAATTATGGTCAAGTTTTATTGACTGCCTGTGAAGCAATTGCAACATGTTATAACAATTACTATATTGAAAATTTCGAAAATATAATATCCAATTATTTCATTTATAAGCTGCGCTCTTCTTTTGACGTAAGTTATGTATAGTCAAACGCGTGTCTAACTTTTTTTGCTAATGAAACCAATAATATTTATGAATAGAACCTAAAGATGCCAGAAGTAAAGTACACTGTGTACAATCATGTAATAGAAACATTATTCTCCTCTGGTCAGACAACTATTACCGCTGAAAACATAGCAAGTTCGTTAAATGAGCAAATGAAAGCAAGAATTTGTGCGTTCCTAAACCCTTTAATATTGCAAATAAGGAACAGGTTACCTGCTATCCCCTTAACAAAAGATACATTGAACAAAGCTCCCTTTGACATATTGCCGGCTTTGAGGTATATACTTGAGAATTATGAGTCAACAATTGCCGACAATCAGCAACCATAAAGAGAAGTAGCCCGGCAAGAGCAACAAACTGTACAAGTGGCAGAGTCATCAAACCAGCGAAGGAGAAGGCCAAAGAAGAAAAAGAAGTTAAAAAAGCGTAATTCATCAACAGAAAAAGACAACAGCAAGAACCGATTGCAGCCACCAAAATTTCAGCCACCAAGGCTGTTCAACTTATTTCCCAATCCTGGTTTTAAATGGCGTCTTATAAAAGTAGATGGTCAAAACATAGCTAGTATTTTCGGAAAATGTATTCCAAAAAAACCTGAAGAGACGATATTTAACTTTGCTCAAAGATGCTTCTATGACAATTTTGATTTTAAAAAATTTAAAATCTATAGGTGAGCTGAAATCATTTTATGATTAATTGATACAAACAGCATACTCACATTCATCTTACATATACAGCTTTAAAGGTTTACAACAACTATCACAAAGAAAAGAAAAAATGTTCCTAAACAGTATGTACACGGACGGATACACATGTAGGGTCTCATTCTGCAGGAAGGTTCACCCCATCTCACCCAATGATAAAGTATTCCTGGAGGTAGACGATTTCACTAGTGAAGAGGTAGATCTTTACTTCCGTCCTTGCACTGTTGATCCAAATAGGTCTGACGTCTTCGTATCCTATCATGATGAAAACGATTTGAGACGCTTGTCAACTGCCGAGTATTACAACATGAATAGGACTGTCAACCGACGAAAGTTAGAGCAAGATAGAAAGAGAAGGTCGAATATAGAGCAAATTGAAACCCACTTACCTTCACCTAAAACTACAAATGTCCAACAATATACAGAATATATTATATATACCCTTCGACATTTTCAAGCATTAACAGATTTTTATGGCTTTAACACTGCTAGAATCAAATGGTGTAACTACATAGGCTCTCAGCAAGCGATTGAAAATGCAATCAATATTCTCATTGATGGGTCAAAAAAATATAACAAAAAGAAAAGAAAGGATACTAAAAGGAATAAGCGGAAGAGGCGCAAGATCGCAAGCAGTTATCAATACGGTCATCATGGTAGTTATCGACCAAATACAGGGAAAAGAAGGTCAAGGTACAGTTCATATTTCTTTTATTCTTCTTCTTAAAGCATTGATCTTAATAAATTTAATGCAGAGGATACAAGGAGAAGTTTGAAGAAGGTGATCGCAGTAAAATGCCATTAATTGTTTTTGGAGATGGTTTGAAAAATAAGTCTCATGTCAAGTTTAAAAGTTTGCGTCATGGCGTGGTTGAAAAGCTGTACAGGCAATTAAGAATACGTGAGAAACGTGGAGAGTTACTGCTTCTGGATATAGACGAATATAAAACTTCCAAGGTATATAATGTTTACGTGATCATAATCCGAATATTGACACCTTTGTATTATATAGACTTGCAATTCGTGCCTCGAAAATAATTTGGAACATATTACATACGGAAGTGGTACTGATAAACGTAAAATCTATCAAGTATTCGTCCGCAAAAACTGTAATATTTTCTGGAATCGTGACGTTATGGCTTCAAAAAATATGTTCACCATTGCTGGATCTATTTGGAACGGCTAAGGATACCCTACTGTGTTTACCCAACAAAGCGCCACCTCCAATGTGGTGCCTGAATTTTAATTAACGAAGGCTTAAGGATATCTACAGGTAAGAGGTCTTCTTGAAAATAAATCCTTTCATTTTCTAACTCTCATCAATAGGTAAACAATTTTTTAAATTATATTTACGTCCAAAAAACTAACATCTCCTTTCTGATTCGGCCGAAAAAGATACTAACATTTCTTGTCAAATTTCCTTTTTAACTTTGTCCAAAAAAAGGTAAACTAAAATTTCTAAAAATTAATTTTGATTTATCTGAAGAAATTAACATTGTCTCGTCCCATATTTGTATTCATGTCCCATTTTCTTACTGGTGTCCCAAACTTGCAACTCTGTCCCAATTTAATTTGGAATTGACCAAATTTTTTTGATGACCCAACCTAGTTTCAACGACTGTACACGAGGAACTTCCGCTTGCCGCCCCAATCTGATTATTGATCTGATACTCTGGTTACCCATGACATACAGTGAGCGTAGTCGAACTATTCGATGACGTCTTGGTTGGTTACCCGGAGGAATACCTAAAGCCTGCCCATATCATCCTCATGTACACTTTAGTCGGTCACACGCCACTGAATGCTTGCATATGCACACCCGTTTATTCTTGCCACGATCAATAGCAGATCCCCTTTCCTTTCTTTTAAATCATCTCCCTCAGCATAAGTACCGAAGTTCTCAGGATATTTCTGCCTGGCTCTATCGCTGGCCAGTTATGTATACTATTCTACAGGAAATAGATTACTTAATGCACGATAAATTACCCCCTCTACTTCTTGATCCAGGCAGGAAATTACTCAACTGGTTGTCTCTTTAAAATTGTTAGCAATATTCCCCTTTCTTTCTCACCTTCTATTCTTCCTTTCCTTTCCTTTACCTTTTTACCTCTTGTCCCATAAGAGGGTTTTTAGATACTTTTTTTCACATAACTCGAACTGACCTGGGCAATCCAATATAATAAAGATATTATGTACCCATAGGTCGCTTTATAAATTTTAATTTATAAAAATAAAAAAAAAATGTTTAATCGTACACGAGGAATTTAAACTATAAGCGCCTATAATTTTTATTATTTTATTTCCCTCTCCCCCTTTTTTTATTCACAAGAAAAAAAAAATGACCATATATAATCTTTACATTTTCGATCGACACTGCCAATGCATTTACTTTCAAAAATGGACTCATAATAATAAAACATCTAATAATACAAATTTTTCTTCGTCTAATAGTAATGCAAATAGTCAGCTTGGTCATTCTGGCCACCGTTTAGGTGGTTTAACTACTTCATCTTCTCGATTTTCTATGTCCAGTGCAACTTCTTCCCTTACTGATCATAATTCAACAAATAATTTGACGCGTAATGGTGAAGACAATAGTCAGCTTCAAACTAGTATTACACAGCAAAGTGGTTTAGCTGCTGGTAGTGTTATTTCTATTGAAGAGGAAGCTAAATTAGTTTATGGTGTTATTTTATCTTTACGTAATTTTGTTCGCAAATTAAGTGGAAGGTAAAAATTAGATTGTTGTTGTTATTGTTATTTTTGTAACTACTGACATGAAACTCATAAACATACAGTCAAGACGGATTTATTTCTTATAAAACTTCAACCTATCGTTTACATTATTACGAGACACCAACAGGTCTTAAATTTGTTATGAATTCTGACCCAAATACAGAAAATTTAAGAATTGTTCTCAAACAAATCTATATTCAACTTTATGTTGAATTTGTAGTTAAAAATGGTTTAATGCGATTCACCGATACCCGTTGGGAAGTTAGTCAGGGATTTTTACAGAATGCTCAATCAACAACAAACACACAAGATGAAATTACAACAAATACTACACATACTTCTTCAAGTACTTCACCCTCACCACCTGGCAATATCTCTAATGAATTATTTAGAATTGCTGTAGACCGTTTTATTCGTAGTTTAAGATCATTTGAATAATAAAATAAGGGTATATCAATTATCTTGGAATGGAGACAGGTTCTTTATTAGCTTCATTCATTACTTGCTCTGCATCATAAAATCCAAGCTGCTGTATTAATTTTGCTTCATAACTCTTGTCTGATTCCTTCATTTTCATTTCTAGCAATTTATCCTCTTCTAATTCTTTTTCTGCTTCTATTTCTAAATCTTTTTCTATTATAAAGTTTTCTTCATTGACAGAGCTATCACTTTCATCATCATCATTATAGCTAACATTAGATTCATCATTTGAGCTATTATTTTCTTCATGAGCAGAGTCTTCACTTTCGTCTATTTGCATCCTTTTTTCTCTAATATTTACCAAATCTTTATTCTTTTGATTTATACCAATTTCGTTTTCAAAAAGTCTTGTTGAATTTAACTTTGATTGAATAAATCGAAAATTTTCATGCTCATAGACCATATGATATGAAGGCGGTAATTTGTCCTGGACATCAAATGGTTGAAGCATATCGTCACCTGTATCATTATCTTTATTCATCCAACCTTTCCTTCGTCTTTTAGCTAAATAACTTGCAGTCTTATTTTGTGCATATTGTTCATGTAAATCTTTACGTTTGTCCAGTATAGACATTATATCTAAATCTTTTAAGCGTCTGTCGCTTTCTTCATTTATGTCTGTCCAAATCCTTTGTCTTTTAGCAATAACAAAATTCATTAAAGCACGACTTATAGTTTTATCTTTTTTATCCAGTAATTCAGTATGAACATGTGCCAGGATATCAATGATAAAGGTCTTTAAAAGCTCATAAAAGTGAACAATTGTACTTGATAAGAGGGTCATATCTTTGAAATCCGAAAAACTACATGAAGGTAAGTTAAATAAAAAAAAAAGCCCTATATTATAGTATGTATCAATATAGCTTACAAATGAGTAAGAGAAGACATGTTCCAAACTTCAAACAATTCCATCGCTTTCTCCAAGGTAGGGTTATTATCCTGAATTAATCTTTGATGTCTATCATAATTCTCTATTTCAATCTTCTCTTCTAACAATGTTGCCATTCGAGTTTCTTGCATCATAAATAAGGGTGACATTTCTTTAGCAGAATATTGAATTTTGTAACTTTCATCTGGATCATTTCCAATACAATTCGAAGCTGCATCTAATAAATTCAAATAAGCTGCCACCTCATTGACCGTCTTGGTCGGTCCTACGCGTCGAGCAATCTCAACCACATCGCCTCGAGTACATCGCTCCACTGCTAAAAAGAATCTCTTCTTTTCTGCTGGTGTCCAACAAGAGCCATCCACTATTGAAAGCTCATATTCTTCATCATCGAGCGGTCCATTTTTCATTTCATGTTCTTCAAGAGCTAGATACATGTAATAATTTCGTATATTCTTATCTAATGCACCAAGTCCTGTCCTTTTATCATTTACTATAAACTTTTTATATCGATCTTGCAACTGTGATAGATATTTTTGGTTATCGCATGAAACCATTGAATCATCTCGTTTTTTAGAATTAGGTTGTAAATGATGTTGAAGATGTGCAAAATTAGGAACACCATTATCATCATGAAGCTGATCTTTAAATTCTTCCATCTGAACGGCTCTTAGAAGAGGATCAATCAAAGATTTTACAGGTTTCGGTATTGTAGGATGTCGATGTTTTATTCTTTTTATTTTTAAATTAGGTTCTTTAGCTATTATATACAAACGTTGCAGTTCATCATAAAGTAATTGATAGGCTTTTGGACTGTTAAGATTCCATAATCGATAAAGACCTTGAAGGACAATTTCTTGTTTAAGATCAGATGCATAGATTGGACCTTGATTGCTTTCATCTTCTTCACTATCACTCCGTAGTCGTTTTCTAATAGTGTTATTCATTATTATTAAAATATACGTCTCTAATTAACTCAAATGTAATTATAAAGCATACATGTGTGTATATGCTTTAGGTATTATTTGTGAAGAAAACACACACACACACAAAAAAAAAGTTTTAATTCTATAAACTGTTGTTACTAAATTTTTTTTTTTTTTGTTCCGAAACTTTTTTTTTTTTTTTTTTTTTTTTTTTTTTTTTTTTGTTTGTTTGTTTGTTTGTTTGTTTGTTTGTTTGTTTGTTTGTTTGTTTGTTTGTTTGTTTGTTTGTTTGTTTGTTTGTTTATTATGAATAGCATTTATAATATGAATATATAAAAGTTAAATAGGAGTTAGGGTTGAGGCATAACGAATCCGCCTATCTTTGATTGTAAACGTTGAAAATAACTATTGTCATCATTTCTTCCTTGCTGTTGTTGATAATGGAAAGGAATCTGTGATTGCTTTTGTTGCTGATAAAGATCATTTAATATTTGTTTTTTATCTTGATGAAATAAATGATATCCAGCTTGTCCAAATACAAGTTTAGGTACATCCACAAGGTAACCCATCGTTCCTTTTACGCCTACTTCCTTTTCAGCTTGAATCCAAAAGTTAACTTTACCTGTCTTTTCATCGTAATATCCTGCACAATAGTTTCTCATTCCCATTAATTTTTTATTTTGTCGCTATATTATTATAGATGATGAAAATGATGTTGTATTTTATTATCATTTAGAGCAGTACTTACTGTATTTCCATTAGGAGACTTTTTAAATAGGTTATACATGCGTTCTTCTGTATTACCATTAAATGTGATATAGCCAGAATTTTGATTAAGCACTGTTAAGAGAGCTTGGGGAGGTGGTACATTGACGATGGCACTGGAAATAATTTGGACCATGAAATAAGGATCGCCCTCTTCTTTTTCCTTCATATCTTTTGAGTATAATTTTCCAGCTCCACAACAATGCACATCACCACCTAAGAATGATACACGAATTGACCTTTCACGAGCATAAGATTGAAGTCGTTCAATAAATATCTTTCTTTCTTGTTCATGATTACCTGCAGTCCAGTCTATATGAATATATTATTATTATTATTATTAAATTCGACATATATATATATATGCTTACGATCGTTCATATCGTCTAATAATTCAGGATCGCCATTCCAAACATTCAATTGACCACCGATAATGTCACCTAATGCACCTGTCTTACCCGCAATAGTAGCCAGGTTAAATCCAGCTGCACCATCCATTAAATTTTCAAATAAAGTTAACCGAGGATAAATGAGGGGCACACCCGTAAGAATAAAAAGATGTTTAACAGTAGGTGGGATAACAGCTGTTGAACTAAGATGTCGAAAGAGAGTATCATAGGAGGATGCTTGACAGACTTCCATCTTTGTACGTTCTCCTCGACAGTCAACAGCAATGAAGCCAATATCGGGTCCAAGTGTCGAAATGATATGATTACAGGTAGGCAAAGAACCTCGAATCATTCCATGTTGTGTGGCTAGTTCTATAGTAGTATGATGCTGGAATAAATAATAAAATCGACTTGCATTTGCAAAGAGTACTATTTATCAGAGAGGAGGAAAAAAGAGCTTTTAAAATCAAGTTAATCATCATAACTCATTATTATACCTTGAAAACATTCTGCACGCTGCATCTCTGTCGGATATGAACCATAGCCATCAATAATATCCTAATAAAAAGCTATTAAAAAAAAATAAAAAAAAATAAAAAAAATAGGCTTCAAATGTAAACAGAAATAAAAGTATTATTACATGATCATCCCACATATTAATAGAAGGAATTGTAGCAAAGGCTTTAGCTACCACTGGATTCTCTTTAAACCTAAATATAAAACAAATCTGTATTATGTCTTTTTTTTTTTCCTATTATTCCTCTTTACCCAAAATTTTTACAATAGTTTGAAAAATAAAACTCTTCAAATCCATCTTTCATTTCAGGACTCAATTTCATAGCTAATCGCCTTACAGGGTCTTTCTCAGCAACCCAAGGCTTCATAAAATCTTCTTTGATTAAGCGATCTTGATAAAGTTGATCCCCACCCCCCAACAAGACATGGAAAGGCATTACTTCATGACGATCCAACACATCTTGCCAAAGCGGAGCCTCCTTTTCACCAAATTTATCTTTCACTTCCTGGGGAATATCTGAGAACCCATTACAAGAGTAAAACATGAACCGCATCGTTTCAAAATAAGCTGGTAAATGGACTTCAAATTGGGGTTGAGCCCAGTTTTGATGAGGTGTGGAATAGATCAAACGTTGTGGTTGATCTGTGAGTTTTAAACGAAGGTCATAACGCCAGAAATGATATATTTGGCGGAAACTATCGAGTTTTTCAACACGGGTTTCGATAGTCGTACTTTGACCTGTAGTGAGTGCAATCAACTGAACTTGGATAGGTGGTGGAGATGGATCACTAGAGACGATAAGAATCGATCCTCTCCATTGACGTGTTGTATAATTAATATCAATATACTTTAATAAGGGCCCACAGATTACTTCCCCGGGCGCATGTTGTTGATGATGATGAGATCCTTTCTCTTGTGACCAAGGTCGATGTAAATGAGATTGAAATTGATTCCAACGATCACCTACATTAAGCTGATTAAAACCTTGAGCTAGGTTATCAAAGTGGCTTTGATGTTGCTGCTCATAACCTTGATGACCCTGATTCCCATAATTATTCATTTTTTTTTCTTTATTTATTTTTGATAAATAACTTTTTTTGAAAAAAAAATATAAATAAATAAAATATAATTCTTAATATTAGCGTATAACATAAATATTTATAAATTGTGCCTTAACGTTGTACAGTAGTTTTGATCCAACAAATAAAACGAAGTTTCCTCCGCTATTTTTAATCTCTCGGCGTTGATATTAACCGATACGTATATTACGCACAAACAGCTAATAAAGATTATTCTTGCGGATTTTGTATTTTCTGCTTTGTATTTTTTTATTTTTTTTTTTTAGTCATAAAAATACACATGAAAAAGTAAAGGCTAAAATAAAATACATAATAGGACTTGATGAGTACTTGTATACATACACATATATACATTGGGCAGTATCTTTTATCTAAAAAAATATATATATATATTTATATACATTAAATATGTATTCAACTCCTTTGTACATGTACAATTATTAAAATCTTGAAGACCCACTCTACTTTGTTAAGGGCAGCGCTCTTTTCCCTTCCTAGAAGAAGCTACCTTTACATAGATATTAAACTAGCAATAAAAGATAAATCATTTGTTTTTGTTTTTTACTTTAAAGAAAAATGAAAAAAAAAAACTTACACGAAATAAATCGATAGACACAGTCTTTAATGGTACCAAATGCTTCCAATTTTGTTCCAAATTATCCTCAGGTACCCAGTCAGTATTTCTATCTAAATCAGGATAACCTCCTTCAAATCTTTCAATCGATAAAGAAAAAGTTCTAGGCTCCTTTTTTATTACTGATGAAGATTCATATGTTCTAATCTTTATTAAACAGGTTCTTAGATATTGTTCTATATCTTCTATTGAATAAGTAGATTCGCTTTTAAGTAGTGTATTTAAAGGTAAACTAGTAGACTGCTTTAAAGCAGTTGAATTGATTTCAAATACAAACTTCTCTACTATTGCTTTACTGTCACCATTTTCTTCTATCAGATTTAATGATATAGATTTGACATCGCCCTTTTTTAATATAGAGGATTTAAAAAAAGTTATAAATTATAAAACACCTGATACTGAATCTAAATATACCTTTTCTAATTGAGAATGACACGATTGTATAAAAAGACTTAAATAATTTTGAACATCTGGATGAACTGCTATATGAACTGGGACTTCAAACTTCTTTTGAAGTTTGAATATTGTTTTAGGATAGAGCTCACATTGATATAAAATTTGATGAAGCCAAGTCTCTACTATATAAACATACATTGTTTAAATCAGATTTAGGGAAAAAAAAAAGAATTATGCATAATAATAATAATATAAAAAAATAAATGTGTATTTACAGAATTCACAAGTGAGATCTATAATGTCTAAGAACAAAAGCATTGATTACCGCCATGGTTACTTTTTTTTTTTAATAAAAAGAAATGATGATTCTACCTTTTCGGATGATCTTCGATTGTGGATGAATGTTCATTCCAATTTACTGAAATTGTAACTAAATAAAATAAGTGTTAAATATATCCGAGTCGGATCAAGGAATGAAAATGAGAAGATTTTTTTTTTTTTTTTTAAAAAAAAAAAAAGATTATTAAAAAAAGAGATTATCTATAAAATCCCATTTACTTAAGCTTCTTCAGTGCACATCATTAGAAGGTGGTGCTATTATGCTAGAAATTCCTTTGACGAAAAAATAAAAAAATAAAAGGCATGATTGAATGAATGCAAAACCATGAATTAATAGAACTAAAGTTTATTATTTTACTTTATTTTCTTTGACCCAATGTGGAACATACAGTATGAAAGATATTGCCTAGGCCAATTCGATATTATAGATTAGGAAACTAAAGCGAATGATGAGAGGCCTTAGGGACGAAATATAAGGTAAGAGCAAGCACAAAGGGAGTGTATCTGTAATACTAGCATTAGTTGTCAACACAAAGCCTGAGAAAGAAACTTTGAACAAAGGTAAGATGCGATATCGGAGAAGTCTTTTATTATGAAATGGATAATTGAATTCAAATAACCGGTCATCGTATATTCCAAGAGAAAGTAGATGAGAGATAGCAGAGTGTTGCTCTCTTCGTTTCACTTTGTTTGAGTAGAAATGAAACTGGATCCTCAATAGTAGTAAGCATTTGTAGTTGTCGATACACATATAGGCATATATATTTGCATCTATTCGAGAGATCAACTAATATTTAAATGATAGATACAAAGTTTCTGTAGGCCACAAGACAGTTGGCTCAGACACTACTTAACTCATCAGCTACGTTCAGCATGATTCATAGGTCAATATAGTATTTCCACTTGAAATAAGACAATCAAAGCTAAGTTTTAGTACGACCTATAATGGAGTAAGAAAACTAACTAGCAATTTATGTACTTGTCAGTAAACTTCTTCTAACCAGAAAAGACAATAGCAAATAAATATTATTATCAGTATGTATGCGAGGGGGGGGGGAGAAAGGAGGGTCAACTTGTATGGCCACAAAAAGCTATTAAACATATCTAAAAGTCAAGGAAACGCTAATGATAATTGTAATATTTTGATTAGAAACCTCTACGTTTTCTAACCAATCATAAGCGACGACACATAGTAATCTCTAATGATTTTATTCCTATTCTTTAAAATATCCATAAATTTAATAATATCTTGGGCTATAGCGTCTTCACTTTGCAATTCCAAACGTGTAGTTTCTTTTAATATTTAGGAAAAAATGTTTTTCACAAAAATGAAATAGAATAATAGTAATCTTCTGTTGTTGAATAGGTGGCCATGTTAAGTTACACTTGAAAACATACTGCAACTATTTGTTAATACCGACTGAGTATTAAATATAGTGTTATTAAATATATAAAAAATTTGTGGCTTTTTGTGACTGTATAAACTTACAATTATTTCGAGAAAAAAAAAATTAGACTCAGTCAAAAGTATAAAAAAGCAAAATTTTTTTTCGAACTGTATATGATAAATTCTTTACTATTCACACACATGAAAAAAAAAAAAGGTAAATATTGGACTATATACATTATACTGCTAAAAGAGAGGAAGTAAAGAAAAGGAAAGCTTAAAATGATTAGACCGCTTATGGCATAGTTCAACAGACGCGGGTCTTACTAACCTATTGAATGTTGACTCAAAAAAGTTCTTTCGCTCCTATATGATTTAAAGCTTTAATTTACTTCTCTCTTTTTTTTTTTCAACTTTTATTTATCGAGCATAAACTAATTTTTTTTTCATATTAGGTAAAATAGATAGAGCGCTTCCATTTGCTTTCTATGTGTTTATCTTTTTTTTTTTTATATAATATACAAATTTATGTATTTTTATTTTTTAAATAAAGATTTTTAAGTTGACCATTATAAGTTTTAATCCTTTATAATGATGTGTTAAAATAACTGTAATACAACTGAAGAAATTAGTTTGCGCCAGGAAAAAAAAATTTTTTTGGCCAAGAAAAAAAAAATTTTGGGCCACTTGAAAATATTTGGGATAGCTAAGGGAAAGTAGGGTCACTTGGCTGAAAATGGGACACTCGATTAAAAGTGACAACAAAATGAAGGTTCCATTTTCATGATATTGTACTATAAATAATACAAGGTTTATTTTGATTTTGATAAAATAAAAATAGAGAGAAGAATGATATGATATCTTTGAGGAAGCTAGAGTGTGAATAGTAATAAAAGGATCAAGAATAATTATGAAGAACAGGTGAGATGATAAGTCACTCGTTTCTTTTTAACAGTTGTTTATTGTTTCTTTGGAAGATGCACCATCCTTTTCCTTACTGGCCTTCTTTTGTTCAGCACTTACGGTTACATATCTTTCTGCAAAAAGAAGTGGCACACTTAAAAATTACATATGGCACACTAATTCAAATTGAGTTGTCACAAAAGGAATTTAATATGGCACACTTTGGTAAATTTTTTTGGTACACTTCTCTTTTATTTATAAAAATAATTATTCTATTTGTAATATTAAGTATGTCTTTTAAAGTTTATTTTGAAGAAGGCAAAGGAAATGCCATGAATGAAGATGGTTTAGAGCCTGTACAAAAGGAAGTAGACGATGATTCACATTTGAACCTGAAGCCAACTGAAAAAACTAAAAAAGAGCCAAAAGTTGTTAAGAAAACTGCAGTTTCAAGGGACCCAAGTAAAGAGGATACCAGGAGAATACACCGTGGAAATGATACCAAGGAGATGTTCTTTTTTTTTATATTTATGAAAAAGACTTGACTGCAGGTAAAGCAGCGAGTTTGATGAACATCCCTCACAAAACTGACTACAATTGGCTTCAGGATGACCAAAATAAGCTCGTTGATAGACTAAAGGGAAAGGCCAGAGAAGCGAGGTCAAAAGTCACTACTAAACGCGGATCATAAAGAATATCTTGAGAAAACATTTGGCGAAAATGCTTCAGCAACGATAGCTCAAGCTATGGATAACTTGACTGATCGATTTGAGGGTCTGAAAGTTAGTTAAAAAAAAACTGTCCGTAGCTTCATAGTAGATAAATGTGCATTATCCTTCAAAAAAGCTTATTTCTATCCCCACGGAGAGAGAAATTCTCCTGAAAAGATTCAGCAAAGATATGGGTGGGTTATTAACTGGTCAAAAACAGATCTAAACTACCAGAGTAATTGTGTTTTTATTGATGAAGCAGCATTTCATGTCAACCTTAAAAGGACAATGGGTTGAGCAAAAAAAGGAGAAAGAACCATCATAGAGACGCCTACAACGAGGGCTATATCGCCCCCATGGAATTATTAATGTGAAAGTAAAAAGACCTTATCAATCTGTCTCAAAGAAACGAAAATTACATAGCACATCATCTAAAACCGCTGGATCTGCTGCAATCAAAACAACGGGTACTGTTACTGGCGATTATTTCAATTTCATTGCTAGTACTCTTGATATTTTGGACAAACACGAGCAATTTAATGGCTTTTACCTTGCCATGGATAATGTTCCAATCCACAAAAACCTTGATATCGAAAGGTATATAATCAACCGCGGATACGGCTGTGTTGATCTTCCTACCTTATTCATCTGAACTGAACCCGATCGAACAACTTTGGTCAGTTGTCAAAAGTATACCGAAGAGAGAAAAACCTTTAGAAAAGGAAACGCTAACTTTAGGAATAACCGATGCTTACAACAGTATTCTTTTGAGTGATTTACAAGGCTTTTGTCGGTATTCTGAATCAAAATGGCAAGCTTGTCTTGACAAACTTCCACTTTGATTTTGGCACACTTTATGCCAAAAATGTTGTGCTATCAATAAAATAAAATGTGCTATAACAAATTTGTCACTGGGGTCAATTATTTTTGCAAAAGGTGTACAACTTCTTCTGATAGTACAACATCAGTTAGTACGGACAGTAACGAAGTAATGCAAATGATTGAATCTAACATAGTTCGTATCAACGATGCAAATATCCTTCAACTATCCCGTAACTTTCAAAACTCGCTTGGAACTAGCCCTTTAACATATAAAAGCCATATTTGCCATATTTTATCGACATCGGGCATACTATTAGTTAAAGACCATCAACATCCTGATTTGGCAAAGTTTATTGACAGCAATACAACCCACATAATGTTAAAAGATATCCATGAACAAATTGGTATACACAGCCAACAATTTTCCATAGATATACTTATCAAACTAATGGAAATTGTTCAACAATGCGTTGCCAAACAAATTACAATCCAACGATTATTGGCATTAATTGATGAAGAGAGCAACGCTTACCAAGACAAAGCCATATTATGCTTCAAGATCCTAATCGAACAATTACCAAATGATTCTTTTGACGCAAAAGAATTCGAATTAACTATACGGTTAATTCAACCAATATTACTACTGCTGTTTGAAGACAGAGAAGAAAACATTTATCTCCGGCGGACTGATGCACAAACAGAAGAGGACAAGTCCAATTGTTCTAACAAACGACCTGATGGTTGTATAACACTAAAGACATATGAAAAGATAGATGTGGGCTTCATTGAAGTCAAAGAAGAGAAGTACTGAAATGACAAAACTAAATTGAACAAAGACCTGTACAAACTGGGTGTGTTTTCTAAACAGACAACTGATCAAAATCACCTCCATAGAGTGTTAGATTTTCAAATTGTCGGTAATTTTTATAGAATACACAAATAGGCATAAATTATTCACTAATAATGAACATTAACAGGCAAATCTATTTGTTTTTACTTGATCCAGCAATAATGCAAAGGGTTTTATACAATGACCGAAATCGATCATCTCAACGTACCAAAAGACTTGAAAGAGCTTCCACAGCTTATTGGATTTGTAGACAGCTTGTGTAATATTTTACACGTATTTAAAACAAGTTGTCGTTAACAATAAGTAGCTGCTTACTATCATGTTTACGCTTATTTATAGTTTTGTTTGCGTTTTATAATAATAAATTTCTTTAAAATATTTATTTGTAACAAGTACCAAGGGATTGAATATATAACAAATAAATGTAAAAATGAACAAGTCAGTGAGACTCCCTTAGGGTTTAAAATACTTAAATTCACAAATATGTATACAAATATGTCACTTTAAGTTTTAAGTTTTACAGTTTGTTTGAGTCCTTTTTTTTTCTATGACCTATGACAGGAGTTACGATAACACTATTAGTGATGGCCAAGTAATGTCTGTTGTTGCTCAATCCTACATGAGTTGAGAAAGATATGTAACTGTAAGTGCTGAACAAAAGAAACAACTGTTAAAAAGAAACGAGTGACTTATCATCTCACCTGTTCTTCATAATTATTCTTGATCCTTTTATTACTATTCACACTCTAGCTTCCTCAAAGATATCATATCATTCTTCTCTCTATTTTTATTTTATCAAAATCAAAATAAACCTTGTATTATTTATAGTACAATATCATGAAAATGGAACCTTCATTTTGTTGTCACTTTTAATCGAGTGTCCCATTTTCAGCCAAGTGACCCTACTTTCCCTTAGCTATCCCAAATATTTTCAAGTGGCCCAAAATTTTTTTTTTCTTGGCCAAAAAAAATTTTTTTTTCCTGGCGCAAACTAATTTCTTCAGCTGTAATGGTTAGTATTTTTTAAAATAAAACAAGTTGGTTTTTCCTATTTTAAGGGATTGTCAAAAAAAAAAAAAAAGTTTGTAAACTTACCTTACATTTTTGTAATGACTCTGCTACTATTCTGTCCTCATTTTTTTTTTTATGTAAAAACTATTCATCACTGGTTATCTTTAAAAGAAGAGTTGAACTTATTACAGAATGATATATAATGAGAGAAAAAAAAAAAAAAAGCAGTGAATCATCATTTATTAAAAGCGGATCATTTTCCTTAAACGTAACTGAAGCCGTTTCTTTAAAACTCTTCAAGTCCCCCCAAAAAAAGATATTAAATTAAATCCGACATTATCCGAATCCTTTTTAGGCTCATGTTTGTGGAGGACTTTCTTATATGAAGTATAAGCTCCTCGGTTACTGTACTATTGTTAAAACCAGTATACATATATGTCTTTATATAAATATAAAAACCTGCTTATATAATTCATTCCTTTTTTCTCTTTCTCCTTTCTCTTTTGCTTTTTTTTTATCAAGTATATCATTAAATGCTGCCAACAGCTGAGATCCCTTTAAAAAATAATTCATTTACAACAACTGTCTTTAAACAAAATGGAAGTCACCAATTTTACTGTCGATGGTCAATAGAAGAAGATGTATTGTTATCTAAAGCAGTTGCAAAGTATGGACCACATAAATGGACTTCAATATCAAAATTAATTCCTGGTAGAACAGCAGTACAATGTTCCACTCGATGGTATGGTGCTTTAAAGTAAGTTATATTTATTTACATTAAAAGAGAAAGTCAAGTTGAATGATATATATGCATATATATGTATCCAATAGCTCTAATGTACACAAAGGGAGATGGTCAAAGGATGAAGATGAAGCACTCATAAAAGCTGTACATCAATATCAGCAACAAATAGTAATACAAAAGACAACAAATTTGCCATGGAATCAAATTGCAGAACATATTCCGCATCGAACAGGAATTCAATGTCAGGCGAGATGGACTGAAGCATTAGATCCTTCTATTCGTAAAGGCAGATGGCAAGTAGATGAAGATAAATTATTAAAGGATGCAGTATCTAAATATGGTTGTTGCTGGATACGTGTTGCTAGCATGATTCCTACTCGTACTCAAAGACAATGTCGTACTCGATGGAATCAAATTCATTATCATTCACAAGTAGAAAAGAAGAAGAAGAAGAAGAAGAAGGAAAAGAAGAAGCAGGAACAAGAAGTTGACATGCTTCCAGATAAATCAGATTGTGTAAAAGAGAATAACGATGAATTCACATCTATTGTAAATACTGATAAGGTAACACCCATATCTTCACCATGCTCTTTGATAAGCCATCAATCATCTTCTACGCCTTGTTCCCCACTATCTTATCCAAACTTACCAGTTACTCCAATACATGATAAACTGATACAGCATAAAGAGGAACAACAAAATTTGGAAGATCTCTTCTTCTTTCCTTTATCTAATACTCAGGATTTTATTACATTACCAAGTAGTTTTGATAATATTGACAACTATAGACTATTTTATAATAATAACTGCATATCTTCATTTTTACCTTCTACTATTGACGATTTTGATTTTTTACTCTAATTATATACATATACATATAAACTTAATAAAATGTATTTATTATATATGTTGGCAACAAAAGATGTATGTAAATAAGTATCAAGAATAGGAATGTATGTAAAATTTTATTACATTGTAAACTACATATTCTTCTGTTCTTAAACAAACCGAGGTAATAATCGATCAAATGAATAAATAATGGGTTGAATATCACTTAGTTTTATTGCATACAGCAAACAGTTTTTTGCATCTTGAATATGTTCTTGTTCTTTATAAACTTGGCTAAGTAAATACCTAATATCATGTTAATTTTTTTTTAACATATTTAAAAATAAATAATCTACACAATTACCATGCTTTGGGTTGATTCCAACCTAATCCATGAGTCACATTCTGTAACAAGTCTTCTGCTAAATCAAATTCTTTCATACTTAAATAAAGAGATGCTAATGAGATATGAGTAGCTATATGATTAGGATCAATTGATAAAGCCTTTTTAAATGCTTCTAATGCCATTTTATCATCATTCTTTAATAAACCAACTTGATGCCATACATCTGCATCATGACCATAAGTAAGTTGCTCCGCTTCTTCAATGGCTTTGAATGCTTCTTCAAATTGTTGTAAATTTTGGTAGCTATTACAGACCATGATCCAGATTCGAACAAGGATTGAACGCCATCTTGACTCATGTTGTCTATCATAACCATGTTTGAATGTTGCTTTATTTTTTTGGACATCTAAGCTTATTTGAGACGATAAACTACTTGATTTCTGGTTTGTTAGTAGAGTAGATGATAATTGCTTATTAGTAGTTTTAAGTAAACTTGACGAAGAGTAGTTTCCATTATGAACGCGTTGTTCTATAAATATATGTATATTAACTTTCTCTCCTTTCTTTCTCTCTCTCTCTCTCTCTCTCTTTCTCTTTAATTGTATAAAGAACTTTACCATTATTCATATCATTGCAATCGATATTGGCATTGCTATTATCATTATTATTAGTATTTAAAGCAGCAACAGCAGCAGCAGCAGCAGCAGCAGCAGCAGTAGTAGTTGTTGTTGTTGTTACAGTAGCTGTTGTGCCTATCAAAGGATGGCTGATGCTATTACGAAATGAAGTTTTAAAACTCAAGAAATGTGATTTTCTCCTATTATCACTACTACTATTTATTGATTCCTTTCTTTCCTTTTTTATTCTAGTTGATATAGGGAAACTCAATAAAGGATCATCTATAAGTTGTCGAGATGTATGTTTTTTATTGCTTTTTGCTGTTGAATTATTATCATTATTCACGTTTTCTATTTGATTTTGTAACATTGTGAAATAGGATATTTCTTGTTGTGTAGTATTACTATGATCATTTTCGTTAACTACAGCTAATATTGGGTTTTGGCTATGTAAGCTATATTGAGATAAGCTCAAACTTTGAACATCATCATCATCATCATCATTACGTGTTATTCTGCTTATAGTAGCTGAATATGAACGAGGACGTGAAATGGATGACCTTCTACTGTTATCATTTCGGTCCCTAGAGGCAATGGATCTTTGTCGATATTTCTCCCTCTCCTCCTCCTTCCCTTCCCCTTCCTCTTCCTCTTCCTTCTTTTTTTTAGCTATTATTAATAAGTTGTTCTTACTGATGGGAAGATTCATTTTTTTAGATAACTTGGCATACAGATTAAATAAATCTAAATAGGCATCTAAAACAGCTTCTGAACCCTCCAGGATCTCCAAGATAGTGACTTGTGTCATTTGCATTTTTATATAACTCTCAGCTCTCTCAAAGAATTCTTGTCCTTCCTCTGTATCTAATGTCATCACTTTCTCCATATCAAATAATCTTTTATAATGGTCATTATGACATTGCTGAATAAGTTCCAAGGACTTTGGTAAAGCATATAATTGACGAGAAGAGTATAAGAGTGCCAAGAGGTGCCAACTAGGAATGAAATCTTCTTTGAGCTTGATGGATCGTTGAATAGACGTAATAGCAGACGTGATATCTCCCATGATAGTTTGCTGTAAACCTAATTCATAAAATGTTTGCCATGATCGGGTGTCTAGCTCAGAAGCATTCTTTAAAGACGATATAGATTGTGTTAAATATTTGAAGCGTGGCTTTTCAATTTGACCTAATATATAAAGTATAGGTATAATATATATATATATATGTATATATGTATATATATATTATTTACATTGTGAAGCATATAATCCATAAGCAACTCCATTCATCCTTTTGCTTTGTGCCATCAGTATCTTCCATTGTCCCGGTTTTTTCTTTTTTAAATGCACAGACCCCTCTAAAATGGCTACTGCTAATTGAGTTTGCATGCTTGATTCATATCCTCCCTTATCGTGTTGACCATAAATTTGCTGTGAGGCAATCAACAAGAGTCGTACAACATCAAACTCTGAATCATTTTCAAATGATCCTATAGGTGGTTTCCTTACAGAAGAGAAGAGTTCATCGCTCTCTGGATAATCCATCATCCATGAGGAGAGGAATGACTCTAGCTTGGATACATTTTTATTAGCTGTCTTTAATGATTGCTGAATAAGCTTGTTTAATTTGTTTCGTATAGATTCTACCCTATTTTCCATACAATCATCATCATCATCATCATCCTGCTGTTGATAATGATTAGGTAGAGGTATTCCCAACAATTTTGAATAATGTATAAATGCTAATTTAGCTTCTTCCATCCTATTCTTTAATCGAACAAGGATACAGAACCTATGTCTTGTCATGCATAAACTATCTGTTTGAATCCATTTTTGAGACCGATGAAAGAACTGGCCAAGACGATGAAGATAGAGTTCATCTTTCCCCCATCCTATAGCTTCATGTGCAGTCACTAGAAGATTCGATAACTCTAAGGTTCGATGATGTAAATCCATTGGATTTGATGTCTGTAAAAGTGGAACAAAAACATTTGACAAAAGGGAACGAAATTGATTTAAGAGTGTCATTATTTCATGAAGGGCAGAATTTGAACTTTCACTTAAATTATCTTTTGTGAGTCTTGATGAGGTACCGACTGTATCAGATCTATGTAGAGTGGACATAAGGAAAAAAGGTTTTTTTTTTTTTTTTTTTTTTTTTTTTTCAATAACGAAATAAAACCATTATATGCACACACACACACACACACTCTCTCTCTCTCTTTTTCTCTCTCTTTCTCTCTCTTTCTCTCTCTTCATTTATTCTTACATTGTGTATTCATCGTTGGGACTTTCAGGTACATAAAGACCCTTTTGATAAGCTCTTGTTAAATAACGTATATAATGACGAAATATAACCCACCGTTTATAACTACGCCAATCTGCTAACCATTGTGTTTGGCAATAATTTAGATAAGTTCGCATAAGTTTTAATGTTTGTTTGACAGGCCCTCTATGATGATGCATAAAAAAAAAAAAAAGGTAAGTAAACCCTAAACTCGTCTCTCTAATATCTACCTAAAAACTTACTTTTTACGTAATTGTAACAAAATAGATCGATAAAGACAGTCTTCTAACCAAAAGAACAAAGCATTATTTTTCTCTTCAGGATGCTGTTCAGCTACTTTGAGGGCATTTGAATAAGAATCTAAAGCATCTGAATAATTTTCTTGTAACTCAAAACAGACACCTATTATATATATGTATATGTATATATAAAGGGATGTATACATTAAATATATGTATTTATTTACCTTTAATAAATCTTGCTTGAATTAATAAAACAAGACCATAACCAGATTCAACATCTTCTAACTTTAAAGCTATATGTTGTAACCATTCAAAAGCCTTCTCATAACGGCCTGTTTCAAAAAAGATTCGAGCCAAAATGATTTTGGAAAACTTTTATTCAATCAAAAAGTATGAACATTACATATAGATATATATATATATATATATGCATATGTATATACATGTATAATCAACATATGTATGTATGCGTATGTGTGTTTGCTTATTATATATATATATATATATACCTGTATCTGCCAATCATCAGACGTTTCTAATAATTCACCTGCTTTGATCTGCCTTTGTATAACATCTAATAACCTTACAAGAATAAGTTGTGCTTGAGAAGGTTGAGTTTTTGGTGGAAGAGAGATATGATTTGGGTCATCTAATTGATACCAACAATCTATCTCTCTTTTAAAAGCAAGAGTAGTAGGATATGTTATATTATCATTAGACTCATCATGATGACTGCTTCCATTATCTATCATGCCATAACGAATTTGTCTGGTTAATACTATAAACTCAGCTTCCATTCTTGCCGTAAATTCAAGTACTTTAGGGGAGAGAAAAGTTATATATTAGAATAATGTTTCAAATATAACAAGTTGTCCATTTTTATGTACCTGATTCATTTGGATGATATTTTTTATATCGTTTTGCTAATTCGGGGATAATCGACCATGTTTCATTACATCTAGCATTATCAAGGTCAATGAATGCCTGACGTGCTTTAGGATTGTTATTATCCATTCTTATATATATGTTTTTTAAAAAAAAATAGAATAAAATGAAAAAGAATAAAAGAAAATGTCTTTTTTTTTTTTTTTTTTTTTTTTTGTTAAAATCAAATATAGTATCTGACAGTGGAAGTACAAACTAATTATGTGTGATGATTTTTTATTTTGGTTTTTAAAACACGTGCTTTTTATAGTATTTTTGTTGCTCTTGTTGGCACAACACTACAATCTATTACTATTACTACTACTACTACTACTTTTTAGAATATCGAGATATTATCAGTAAAATAAATCTAAGAAGAATACATTTCAAATCCAATCATATTCAGCTGTTGTATTTTTATATTTGTGACTACTTGGCAACCATTAATCTCTCTCTTTTTTTTTTTTTTTTTTTTTTTTTTTTTTTTTTTTTTTTTTTTTTTTTTTTTTTCCTTTCTTTATTTCTTCATATATAAAGTATGGGGTATAGGTAAAGTATATTTTATTATTATTCATCTTTTGATATACAGTGACTTATTTATTAATAATATGTTATTTTAGTACACCTTCCCATAAACAAATATGTGTTCCGGAAACACTTTTAAAAAAGAGAAAGACGATAGAAAAGACAGATGCACAAAAGGCACAAGACGCATCACAGGCGGCAAAAGAAAAACGAGACATTCGTAAGATCATCTTTAAGAAAGCGGATACCTATATAAAGGAATATAGGCAACGAGAGAATGATGATATTCGATTACGCCGACAAGCAAAGAACAAGGGTCATTTTTATATACCAGCTCAACCTAAACTTTTATTTGTTATCCGTATCAGTGGTGTGAATGACTTGAACCCTAAAGTGAAAAAGGTATTACAGCTATTTCGATTGTTACAGACGAATAATGGTGTCTTTGTTCGTGTCAATAAAGCTACAATGGAGATGTTGCAGATAGTTGAACCGTATGTTACTTATGGTTCACCCAACTTGAAGACAGTACGTGAATTAATATATAAAAGAGGATATGCAAAAGTAAAAGGCCAAAGATTAGCCATTTCGGATAATCAGATCATTAGTGATAATTTGAAACAGTTTGGTATCATCTGCATTGAGGACGTTATTCATGAAATATTTACAGTGGGTGAACATTTCAAACAAGTAAATAACTTTCTTTGGCCTTTTAAACTGAGTAATCCTAATGGGCATAAAAAGGTCAGTTGGAAGCCAAGAAAATCTAAACATTATGTTGAAGGTGGTGATGCTGGTGATCGTGAATTTGATATTAATAAATTAATTCAATCCATGAATTGATGTGGATACCCCTCCTTTTCTTTTTTTTTTTTCTTTTTTCTTAATTGTATATAGTAATAAAATAATAATAATAATAATAATAATAATAGCATGATGCAATGTATACTATTATCAGTAGTGAAAGGGAATAATAGAAGAAATTTAATTGGAGGAGAGTAGTAAGCAGCTAAAGTTTGTATAATTTATTTGATATTTGTTGTAAACATTCCCTTTTTTTTTTATCAAAATTTTCAAAACTTTATTCAAAAGAATGACGAGCGTAAAAGACCCTGAATTTATAAAGTCATTAAGAGGGCTTGTGAAAGATCCATATAAATTTCAACGTTATTGTCATCAAAAATATTTACTCATTAACGATTTAGAAATGAAACGAAGAGGAAATATGTTATATAGACAAGAAAAAGCGAAAAGAAACGAAACATTAAATCGATATTATAATATTTTACCTTTTGACAAAAATCGAGTCGTCTTGTCCGATCCTCGATTAGGGCCAGCAGGGAATAGTAGCTGTAATGACGCTGATGATGAGGATGAGGATGAGGAGGATGGATATATTAATGCAAGCTGGATATTAGCACCTTATGAGATTCCCCGAATCTATATAGCTACTCAGGGACCTACTATGGCCACGTTGATTGATTTTTGGCGTATGGTAGTTGAGCAACGCGTGCCAGTTATCGTTTGTTTGACTCCGATCTCAGAGGATGGATTTGAAAAATGTGCACGTTATTGGCCCTTGGGGGATGAGATAATGCATATTAGGCACAACGATAATAAAGAAATCAACGTGAAAATTTCTAATATTAAAAAGGAAAAAAAGGATTCGGAAGCGGATTCGATTGTAAGGACAATTTTGATTCAGTTCTATCGTAACGAAGAGTTAATTGAACAAGCAAGGGTAACTCAGTTGCAATTCTTAGGTTGGCCTGATCACGGAGTACCTAAAGAGACATCGAAAGTGATAAATTTGATACGCTTGACGAGACAATTACAAGAAGTGGATAAACCTGTTTTAGTTCATTGTAGTGCAGGATGTGGTAGAACAGGTACATTTTGTGTCATTGATTCAGCAGAGATACTTTTAAAGATGCATGATAATTTAGCAATAGATCCTATATTTCTATTAATAGACGAATTTCGTAAACAACGTACTACCATGGTTCAATCTTTATCTCAATATAGCTTTTGTTATAAAGCCCTTTTAGATTTTATTGATCAAGAAGAATAAATTATATTTCTATCATGTTCTTTTGTGTATCCCTTTATCTATTTTCTCCCTTTTAAAACTATTCTATAATTAAAGTAGTAAAAACAAGGGAGAAGGTAGTAGTAGGAGTTATATATAAGTTAAAGTTTACAATATATAAAATGACAAAGAAAGGGAACAAATATTTATATTGAATCCCTTTTATATATGAATATATATTAATATATTGTATGACTCCCTTCTAATATAAGAATTTTCATTATATATTTTATATAAGGAACATTATGATTAAGGAGGAATTCTGATTCGACTTCATTGTATACGATAAATGAAATGGAATGCTAATAAGCTCTTAAAGTGTGTGTGTGTGTACAAGTATGTATGCGTATATACATGTTGTCATTTATATAAATATGTGTATATAAACTTTCAGGAGCTACATTCCATATAATAACAATAAAGTGATATACATACACAGGGAAGAAGTTGTGTACATATAATAAAGTGATATACAAAGGAAACGAAGTTGTATTATACATTTCAAGGCTTTTTTGTAATATCTTTTTTTTTTCTTGAAGATTGATTGACATTATATATTTCCTCCTTTTAAAGAAAAGGGAAAAATAAATATAAATAAATAAATATACATATATACATATATATACAAACACATACACACACACACACACAGACACACACACATATATACACACACACATACACACATACACACACACACACATACATGCTTGTTTAACCTTTTATATACATTTATATATTTATACATATACATCTTTCCCCTTATATGGTATTCTATATTTAAATACTCGCTTCTTGTTAATTATTATTTTCTTTCTTTCTTTCTTTATTATATTTAATATGTCATATCAACATCAGTTAACTTATATTGATAACTCAATACCTGTAATGAAAGAACCAATCAACAATTTTGCTAATTCTACCACAGCAGCTTATTTGGCATATCATTCATTTCATCCTATGTTTTTAGCAAATTATATTATTGGAGAAGAGCTTGGATCAGGTGGATTTGGATTTGTTGTATCTGCTCGTGAAAGAAAGACTGGTATCGAAAGAGCTGTCAAATTCATCTTTCGAGACAAGGTCCCCCCTCATAGTTGGGTTAGGGATAGAGGACTCGGTCAATTAATTCCAATGGAAATTTATATTTTAAAAAACATTCGTCACTCAAATATCATAGGTTATGTTGATTTCTATCAGGACCCTACATTCTGTTATCTTGTTATGGAATTACACGGTACTCAATGGTCTACTACCAACACAACTACCATCTCTCGATCCCCTGCCCTCTCAGAGACATCCTCTTGTAACAGTTCAGTTGTACTTGATTCTCCTGTAAATGAAGATATTCCATTCTTTGATGAAAATCCTCGAGTCATCAAAAGACGTACTTCATGTGATTTATTTGAATGTATTGAACGACATAATTATTTTGAAGAACCTATTGCTAAAATGGTTTTTAAACAAATTATTTCTTGTATTGCTTATCTTGATTTACTTGGTGTATGCCATCGTGATATCAAAGATGAAAATATTGTTATTGACGATCAATTTCAGGTACAAAAATAGATAGATAGATTTTTTTTATTTTTTCAAGTCAAATATTAATTGTATTTTTTTTTTTTTTAGGTCAAATTAATAGACTTTGGATCTGCTGTTTTATTACCTCATCACTTTGGAGAAAGGAATAAAAGTTATTCATTTACTCAATTCTTTGGTACAGTGAATTTTGCATCACCCGAAATCTTAATGAATAAACCTTATCGAGCTGAACCAGCAGAGATTTGGTCCTTAGGTGTTCTACTGTATACTATTTTATTTGGTGAAGTTCCCTTCCATGATTCTAATATGGCAATTGCTGGTCAGTTTGTTCAGCCTAAAATAAAAGTAACTTTAGAATGTTATTCCTTAATCTCTTGGATGTTAACTCGTTCACCAGAACAAAGACCTACAATTCATCAAGTTTTAATGCATCCTTGGTTCAAACAATTATAAATACTACAGTGACCTCCAAAAAAGAAAAAAAAAAGTATATTACAGCCTAATAATAATTACTACTACTACTACACACAATCTATAATTTTGCATGAATTTTTAAGCATTTATTTCATATACTTCTTATTTACTCCTTATATTAATATATTATACCCTTTTCCCCCCTTTTAATTATATTTCTTTCCACATGCTTTATATTATTTTATTTTATTTTATTCTTCAAGCAAACAAAAATATTTACACGCACACATATACAAAAAAAAAGTTTATACCATTTTTTATGCCATTAATACCTATGACAATTATTTTCCTTTTTTTATTTACTGTACATAATTCATTATTAATAATAATAATAAAGAAAATTACATATTCATTAAAATAATTTCATTGTAAAATAGAATCTCTTTTTTTTTTGTAGTACATAATGAACCTACTGTAATTTTTTTTTTAAAGAGCTTGATGATAAAAAGGTCCTTTATGTATATAGAATATTATGCTTTATAGTTTCCATTAAATGATATTCTTTAATACATATTAACTGGCAAGGTGACGATAGTATGAGAAAAGATATTATGATGATGTAAGATTCTCGAGTAACTAATAGTAACACTGTCTACAGTAAATAATTAGAAAAAGGCGGATATTTAATCAGATTTATTAAACAGTTAACAGTTACAAAAGATGGGAAAACAAGGGTGGTGGGGGTGATTGACGTATATAATATGATGTAGCTTTTTTTTTTTTTCTTTTCTTTTTTTTTTCTTTTTTTTTTTGTATATACATGTATATATATATACATGAGTAAAGAACAAGGCAATTTGAAACAAGCCTTGGTTGCTGGTGCTTGTGCTGGAACTGCTGTGGATACAGCCTTATTCCCTTTAGGTAATCTCATGATTTCTTAGTAATCACTTTATTTGATTTTGACATGATGAACATAGATACAATCAAAACTAGATTACAATCACAACATGGATTTATGGCTTCAGGCGGATTTCGTGGAATTTATTCAGGTTTATTAACAGCCGTGATTGGAAGTGCACCTGGAGGTATTTTTTTTTCTTTTCTTCTTTTATATATGTATACATCTATGATGACGGCTCTGTTTGTGTGATATTTAAATAATTTTTGTATCTATATATATATATATATATATATAAAGCTTCGTTATTTTTTGTCACTTATGAAGCTACAAAACGCGTAATGGGAGCTACTGTGGATAAAAGCCAGTATGCACCATTGATTCATATGGTAGCAGCCTCATGTGGTGAAACAGTAGCCTGTACAGTACGTGTCCCTACAGAAGTGATTAAACAGCGTATGCAGACAAAGCAGTTTAAAAAGACATCCGCTGCAGTTTCAAACGTACTACGAACAGAGGGTATTTTGGGTTTATATCGTGGATTTTTATCAACAGTGGCTAGAGAGATTCCATTTACATGTATTCAGTTCCCACTTTACGAATACTTTAAACGTCGTTATGCAGTTTTTAAAGGACGTCGTACTGAACCTTATGAAGCAGCTTTAATGGGATCTTTAGCAGGTGCTATTGCAGCAGCGTCAACTACTCCCTTAGATGTATGTAAAACACGAATTATGTTGTCTTCAAAGAATACAAATCAATATCATAAAAAGCATTATGATGGTATTATCTCCACTATGAAACGTATCGCTTCAGAAGAAGGTACTCGTGCATTATTTTCAGGTATTGGACCTCGTGTCATGTGGATCTCTATTGGTGGTAGCATCTTTTTAGGTGTATATGAAAAGGCATTAAAGACATTTGTACAGCTTCATGTTTTGGATGAAGGATTTTGAGGGGGAAAGAAAAAAATAGTCACATAATAGACGCGCATATCATCCTAAATTTAGATAGATTTTTATATATACACATATATTTATATATATAGATACGCATATTTGTATATACCTTTCTTCTCTGTTTTTATTTTTTTGTATGAAACATCAAGAAATACTTGTTAAAACTATAATTGAATATACAAATCTTTTAAAAACAACAAAGACAAAAGACATATCTAATTGGAACGTTGAATTTATTAAACAGTGTACAAATTGGTGTATTTATCTTGAAACAGAACTAAGTGTATTAACAGAAGAAGAACGTGAAAGGATAAGGCAATTAGCAGTAGCTAGTAAAGAGCAGGAAGAAATTCCTTCCATTTCAGTTCTACTGAACGCAATGCATGAATTTTACTATTTATTAATACAAAGCATCTTTTTAAGTAATTCTGTTTATTTATATGTGATGAAGCATTATAGATTCTTGACAAATACTAAAGAAACTGACATTCTATCAAAGGATTTAACTCAACTTTCAAGGAAAGCAGCGACACATAATGTCTTGGGTCAAATATTAAAAGAAATAGATCATAATTAAGAATACCTATACAAATGCTTATTTATATTTATTTATAATAAAAGAAATGCATTATATCATTTTAAGCCTTTTTTTTTAATACATATAAAATAAAGAGGTATTTTGTGCAAAACTTATTTAGTGACTGTACAAGGGTTTAAAAAAAAAAAAAAAAAAAAAAATAGTCATTAATCATCAATTCATTATTTAAATAGTCTAAAACAAAACTTACCACCAATAACACCACAAGCTAAACGATCACCGGCATTACCAGTAGAGGCAGAAAGTTCATGACCACCAAGACCAAGATCGTCTTCGTCAGCATGAACAATAATTGTACGGCTAGTATATACATGTGTATATAAAACAGTTAATAACTTGTATATACAAATATACATGTATGAATTTATTTTACCCAATGACAGAGTAAGGACCAATCAACTTGACTTGAGAATCTTCAATCTTCAAGTTAGCTTCTCCCTTCTCATTAGCTACAATATTTCCCAAATCACCAGCATGACGAACTTCAGTTTCGGGGGCACCATGAGTCTTACCGTGTGGATTATAATGAGGACCAGCGGAAATACAACCTAAAAATTTTCATATTAGTAATCCAATAAGAAAAAAAAAAAATAAAAAAATACGCGATATATTATGTCAAATAGTCATTGACTGACCCTCCCACCACCCTCGCTCTTGACTTTTTTTTTTTTTTTTTTTTTTTTTTTACAAACACACGCTAACTATGGCTTCTTTCCTCTCTCTTTTTTTTTTCGAAAATTAAATACAAAGTTATTTTCTCGATATTTACCATTGGTATTATCACCAAATTCATGGATATGGAAACCATGCTTTCCGGGCTTCAAACCAGTGAAAGAAGCCTCAATAATAGTCTTGGCATCTTCTGAAGCTTGGGAGAATTTAACAACACCAGAAACTTCGTTACCTTTAAGAACTGCTACAGCGTTAACCATTTTTTTTAAAAAAAGAAGAAGAAAATATAAAAAAAGAAAAAGAAAAGAGAACTAAAAAAAAAATGCGTTTCTTTTATAAAATATTATTCATGTGGGGTGTATTGTTGTTGTTGTTCTTCTTCTTTCCACCCACTCTTTCGTGACATGACTAAACTTTGATTTTATCCAATCAAATAGGAGTGATTGTTATTACGGACTCTAAATTGATTTGTGTATTTTATTAAAATAACAGTAACAATTTGTCAAAGAAAATATTTTTTTTTTAATACACACACACACACACAGAGCAAATCAAGATTTATTATTCATTCTTCTGCAGACATTTGATATATTTATTTAAATGCATAATCTTACACATATTCAATATTTATTCCTTTTAAAGGAACTGAAAAAGAGAAATAAATAAATACATATAATATCTTTTCTCTTTAACTTCTAGTAAAAGAACCAAAGGACAATTGTTGCTGTTGTTGTGTAATACTCGGTGATTGTTGTTGTGTTGCAGATGAATTATTAGTTGTTGACTTGTTGACTTGAGCAGTAGAAGAAGTGGCAGCAGTTGTATTAGATGTCATTTGATATAAAAGTTGTGCTAAAGTAGGATTACCATTGGCTGCTGTACTTAATAATGCTGCCATACTTGGTGATGGTTGCTGTTCATTTATCTTGTTTGTTTGTTGTTGTTGTTGTTGTACGGGAGGAGTAGATACTTGATTTGTAGTAGGGGCTGTATTCATATTATTATTCATATTTAATCCACTCACTAAAGTAGCCAATAACTGTTGTACTGAAGGCTGAGGAGTAGGAGTAGGAGTAGTGGTAGTAGGGGCTACTTGAGTTGTAGTAGTAGAATTATAAGCAGAAGTAGGAGGAACAGGAATTGTATTTTTGGCTTGAATCATATTATAAATAGTCGAAAGGGTATTAAGATCCAAATTTAATGGTTGCTGCTGCTGTTGTTGTTGTTGAGGTGGTACATATTGCTGTTGTTGAAGAGGATAGGGCTGTTGATATTGTTGTGTATAGGGTTGTTGATATTGTTGTTGAGGAATATAAGATGGAGTATTATTATAGACTTGTGGTTGTATTTGAGGATGAGAACGCTGAATGATAGTAACTGCCTCATTAGGTGTAACACTATCATATTCTAGACATTCATTTTTTTATGTTAGTAGCAGGTTTAAATATACAGGGGTTTTTTTTTTATTTTAATTTATTTTTTACCATCATATCTTACGCCTCCACCTTGATTATTTGCAGAAAATACTTGAAGATAAACTTTTCTTTTAGACTCATTAAAACGATCAATAATAATAATAGCCTTAACTCCTTCAAGTACCATTTGTTTTACTATTTCATCTTTAGATGATTGAGAATAGTGTAATATAGCAGAAGAGGTACGAATATGATATTGTGCAAATACGCTTTCAACATAATTCATGAAATTACGAAAATTTTCACTCCAAGAAATAATCTGAACAGTAGGAACTTCATGGCTATTACGTGTAGGGAGTAATTGTGTAGGATTATATGCTAATTCTCCAAAACGAGTATCTCTTCTTACGTTATTACGTCTTCCATAATTATCATTATACTCCCATTGTTGTACTTGTCGATTTCTTTGGTTATTATTCATCGGCCCAGAATTACGACTAGGAATCATAGTTCTTGAATTACTATTTCTTCTCTTACGACGAGGAGGAGGAGACCTACTACGACTATTACGTTTATTATTCGGATTTGAAAAATCACGCATATGAGGAGGAGATGTTTCTCGACGAGATGCCATCGCCTGTTCCTCAAGAACACGAGCGAAATAAGGCTTTTTCTTACAAATCTCCAAATCTATATTCAAATAAATTTCAGTTAAAAAAAAAATCCCTATTTTATTTAAATTATAAATTATTTATTTACCTAAAATAACACCATTAAAGATTTTCCCATTTTCAGCTTTTACAGCACGAGCACAAATTTCAGGGTTTTCAAAATGAACAAAACCAAAAGAATTTTTTTGTACAACTTCAATTACTTCACCATACTTGCTAAAGTAATCCATGATTTCTTGCTTATCAACAAATTTAGGTAATTGACGTACCAACATACGAGACTCAGGGCTAACAGTACTCCAGTCTATATCTCTTTTCGATAATATTTGGGCTGGTGCATCACCTCCTGGGTATCTTGAATGAGATGACGAACGACGAGAAGGATTTGCTTGTTCACTACGTCGTCTACTACTAAGTAGAGAGTACTCATCAAACTCATCTAATACTTTTGTTTCCGAGGCTGTCTCATTAATGGGGGAATTCGTTTGTTGTTCTTCAGAATTATTTTCATCAGGTCCATTCTTATTTTCAGAAGTTAATGACGACGGTGTTGTATTAGTAGTAGTGGTCGAAGTAGAAGTAGTTTCATAACTACTTGTACCTTGACCACTTCCTTTATTAGCAAATAATGCCGAGAAAAAGTCATCTACGACTGAGGATTTATTTTCACTAGTAGTTTTTGGTTCTGTCATCTCCTTAGAATATTAAAATAAAACCTTATATATATAATGTTGCGAAGTTCTATATATAAGAATAAAGAAAGAAGGAAAAAAAAAAAGATAATTCGATGGATATTTATATAAATATATGAATGTATGTATGTATATACAAGTATATTATGTTATAGTGTTTTTATAGTTCAATAGAAAAGGATAACTGGTTATATGTTATAAGTCTAATAAATAACCTTAGATATACTACTTTCTTTCTTTTTCTTTTTTGTTTTTAACAACAAGAGAAAAGCTGTATAATGATAATAAAAAGAAAAAAGGAAAAATTTAAAAAAAAAACAATAAAAAATTCTTTTTTTTTTTAGTCGTCGCCACGTCATCATTATTATCATCAACCAGATATCATTTGCTGCGTATTTTTTTTTTTTTTTTTTTTTTTTTTTTTTGCACTGAGAAATTTTGAAACTCCAATCACTCAAATATATTTGCAAGAAAAAAAAAATAGTTAAGCTTTTCAACACAAAAATATGGATGATATTGAAAAGTTAGAGCATTTATCACTTGTACAAAAAGTGGTTAGTGAACTCTATAATCATACAGGTCTTCATGAACAGGTTTTAGGTAAATAGAAAGCTTTCATAATTCCAATATTTTTATATATCAAGGGGGGAAGAGAGAAACTATGTATTTAATACATGTACTAATTTATTATTAGCCGAATTTATTATTCACTTGCATGATGAAGCAAAAGGCTCATTACCAACATTCAAAAAACTTATAAAAGAAGCAGATGCTGATTTCCCTGATTCTTTTATAGAAAACTTGGATCGTATTATCAATACACTTAAGCCTAAAAGAAAAGTCCACAGAGAAGAAGGGGTGAATGAAAAAGAACAGACTTTTCCCGGATTAGCTGTTAAAGATGATCCTGATTGGCAAAAGAAACGATTAGAGGATATGAAGGTAGCAGATGATATGTTGGCTGAATTAGAAGGACTTGAATCAACAGCTCCTACAAAATCTTCAAACAAGCGTCGACATGAGAGTCCCTCACCTGATAGAAGACATAGTAGACGTCATCGCTCTCGTTCACCTTCTCGTCGTCGTAGTCCTCCAAAACGTTATGAATTAGATGATACTCCTGTGATCTACAAGATCTATAACGGTACTATCACAAACATTAAAGAATTTGGTGCATTTGTAAGATTAGAAGGATTAAAACATCGTGTGGAAGGATTAGTTCACGTTGGTTCCTTGATCCAAGGTCGAGTGAATCATCCTCGTGAAGTTGTAAAAACAGGTCAATCAGTAAAAGTCAAAATTATGTCTGTTGCTGGTTCTCGTATAAGTTTATCTATGAAAGATGTCGATCAACGAACAGGAGAAGATTTAACACCTCATTTACGTGCACGATCAAGAGAAGAAATTGAAGCAATGACTTCTCGTAATCCAGATCGTCCATCTTATATAATAGACTCTAAAAGTTCTGGCATAAGTTCTAAATTAATAGACGATACACCTTCTCGAATGATCAAACGTATGTCTTCACCTGAACGTTGGGAATTAAAACAATTAATTGCTTCCGGTGTTGTTGATCCAGCTGATTATCCAGAATTAAATGAAGATAATGATTTTGCTACAAATATGGAAGCAGAAGAAGAGATTGATGTTGAAGTACGTGAAGAAGAACCACCTTTCTTGAAAGGACAGACGACAAAGACATTAGATCTTAGTCCTGTAAAAGTGGTAAAAATTCCTGATGGTACCTTAAATCGATCTGCTTTAGCAGGTGCATCCTTAGCTAAAGAACGTCGAGAATTGCGACAACAGCAACAACAGCAAGAACTTGATGCAGTGCCACAAGATGTGAATACACCTTGGTTAGATCCTATGGCTGGTCCTAGTGGAAGACAGTTTGCTCAAGATGCTAGAGGTACTGCAGCTGGTTCTAAAACTGATCAAATACCTGAATGGAAGAGGGCTACTTTCAACAATGCCACTACATTTGGTAAAGTGACTAGTTTATCAATTCAAGAACAACGTGAATCTCTCCCTATTTATAAACTTAGAAATTCTTTAATCAATGCTATTCGTGAGGTAAGAAAAAAAATTATTTTATTTTTTTTTTTATGTTTGCTTAACTGGAGAAAAATATATCATAATTCTATTTTAGAATCAATTCTTGATTGTTGTTGGAGATACAGGTTCAGGAAAGACTACACAAATGACACAATATTTGGCAGAGGAAGGATTTGCGAATACTGGTAGAATTGGCTGTACTCAACCACGTCGTGTGGCTGCGATGTCAGTAGCTAAACGTGTTGCTGAAGAAGTAGGTTGTCGTGTAGGTCAAGAGGTTGGTTATACTATTCGTTTTGAAGATTGTACTAGTCCTGAAACACGTATTAAATATATGACGGATGGTATGCTTCTAAGAGAATGTCTTATTGATCCTGAAATGAGTCAATATTCTATTCTTATTCTTGATGAGGCTCACGAAAGAACAATATCTACTGATGTTCTTTTTGGTTTACTCAAGAGAGCTGCTAAAAGGCGTCCCGATTTGAAATTGATTATTACGTCTGCCACTTTAGATGCTGATAAATTTGCTACCTATTTTAATAACTGCCCAATTTTCACTATTCCTGGTAGAACCTATCCTGTTGAAGTTTTGTACACAAAGGATCCTGAATCAGATTATTTAGATGCTGCATTGATCACTGTTATGCAAATTCATCTTTCTGAACCTCCAGGAGATATTTTATTATTCTTGACAGGTCAAGAGGAGATTGATACAGCATGCGAAATTTTATTTGAACGTATGAAAGCATTAGGTAATGATGTGCCGGAGTTGATTATTTTACCTGTTTATAGTGCTTTACCGTCAGAAATGCAATCACGTATTTTTGATCCAGCCCCTCCTGGTAGTCGTAAGGTAGTTATTGCTACCAATATCGCTGAGACTTCGATTACTATTGATGGTATTTATTATGTTGTGGATCCTGGTTTTGTCAAACAAAACAAATGGGATGCTAAGCTTGGTATGGATTCATTGGTTGTTGTGCCTATCTCTCAAGCTGCAGCAAGACAACGTTCCGGTCGTGCTGGTCGTACAGGTCCTGGTAAATGCTATCGTCTTTATACCGAAGCTGCCTATCGTAATGAAATGTTACCAAACACTATTCCTGAAATCCAATTGCTAAATTTGTCTATGACCGTTTTAACATTAAAGGCTATGGGTATTAATGACTTGCTTCATTTTGATTTTATGGATCCACCACCTGAAAACAACTTGATTCAAGCTTTAGAGCAATTATATGCCCTTCAAGCCTTGGATGATGAAGGCCTCTTGACACGTTTGGGCCGTAAAATGGCTGAATTTCCACTTGAACCCCAGCTTTCTAAAATGTTAATTCAATCAGTTGACTTGGGCTGCTCAGAAGAAATCTTAACGATCGTTGCTATGTTGACTGCTCAAAATGTTTTTTATCGACCCAAGGAGAAGCAAACACAAGCAGATCAAAAGAAGGCCAAATTTCATCAACCTGAGGGCGATCATTTGACACTGTTAACCGTATATAATGGATGGAAAGCAAGTAAATATTCAAATGCATGGTGTTTTGATAATTATATCCAAGGTCGTAGTATGAAGCGTGCACAAGATGTTAGAAAACAATTACTTGGTATTATGGATAGGTAAATATATGTGGATGCGTATTAAAGGTTAAAGCTAACCATATTTATTTATTTTTTATTTTATTTTATTTGTTAGATATCGACATGATATTGTATCTTGTGGTCGTAATTATACAAGAGTTTGCAAAGCTTTAGTTTCTGGTTATTTTAGAAATGCAGCTAAAAAGGATCCACAAGAAGGTTACAAGACTTTACTAGAAGGTACACCTGTTTATATTCATCCTTCGAGTGCGTTATTCAATAAGGGTCCAGAATGGTAAATTTAAATAAATCAATACACAACAAAATGGCCTTATATATATATATATATTATATGTTTATTTTGTAGGGTTATTTATCACGAAATTGTGTTTACATCAAAAGAATATATGCGTGAAGTAACAGCAATTGATCCTAAATGGTTAACAGAAGCAGCACCTACCTTCTTCCGTATCGCGGATGCCAATAAGATTTCTAAGCGTAAGAAGCAGGAGAAGATTGAACCATTGTATAATCGTTATGAAAAGCCTAATGAATGGCGTCTTAGTAGAGTCAAGCGTGGTGGAAGAATTAGCCAGACATTTGGTTAAATTATATATTCATATCCATATTTCGAACTAAAATACGTATATATTCATAATGTAATAAAAGAATTGTATTTTTTTTTTCTTTTTTCTTTTTATGAGGATATAATACTTATTCGTATGTAATTTTATTATACAATCATTTCTTTACGATTAATATAAAGATGATAATAAATAGCTGGAGTTCTTGGTTTATCGTTTGATTGAGGTAAGTATTTTAATACATGAAGGGTTTTGGTCCATTACTAACTATGTTTTGTCCAAATAATTAAATGCTTCTACTACTGCCGATTAGTATACCATGAGTACTCCCAAGCAAAGTATGTGATCATCATAGCATATTTTATTAGATACGGGAACTAGCCCTGTGTGAGACAATCGATTGATAGTATTCATGGCTCTGCTTTCGGGCTCTTCTCGTTCTTTTTTTTTTTTTTTTTTTACAAGTTTGCAAATAAAATAAACCCGTCTACTTGAAAAGACTGTGCATTCTCTTCATCTCCTTTTTACCTTGTGTGTCTCTTAAAAGGGGTTTTTAGTTATTATCTTATTGAGCTGGTCTGTGCAATCTAGTATCATTTAGATACTATCTGCTCACATAGATTGAAGAAAAAAAAAAGTTAAATATGTAATACACTTTTTATTTAATCATATTAAAACGAATACAGCCTCTCCTGGGCTCATCCGTTGGCCATCAACATGCTCGATATTGCATGAAATGGACTATCTAATCCTCCAATGCTGTTTATCTCTTAACTGAGTGATTAGCTTAGTCTACCTCTTCTGGATTTTACATATTTTCTTTCTAATCTACATTTGTGTAGATATATTTCTCCCTAACTTTAGCCTTTATTTCTTTACATCTCGTCTCGAAAAGGACTTTTCAGTTTCCATTCGTTTTTCTTTTTGAACTAACTACTAGGGCAAAACAGTTTTTACAGCTTCGTGCTCATTGGTCACAATAATAATAATAATACTTTATCATTGTTTTTCATTAGTAAAATAACATTAGATATACGATTCCAAATATACTAGTACTTAAAGCTATTATATAAATGCTATTTATTTTTCTTTTTTGAATTGAACTTCAATATTGCTTATACCAACAGGCTCACCAGACTAAAAAGTAACATTAATATACATGCAAATAATACACTTTTTTAATTACTACCTTTTCGTCATATTCGGCCCATTCACCTTCTGTAAGATCAATATCTTCAAAAATAGTATCAGATTCAGCACCTTTTGCAGTCCAAGATTCCTATACATGTACATGATTAGTTTTCCATTTCGTACAAGTTTATAGTTGTTATAATACTCTAGGTTGGAAATCAACTAATTCTAGACCACGACAATCAAACTGAGCAATCTGTTGGAATTCTCCATTTTTTTCAATTTCGTAACCTTTGACTTTAAAAGAAGGCTCAAATTCTATTTAAATTCTATTTAAATTATATATTTCTTTACGTCTCGTTTTTTTTTTTTTTTAAAGAAAAAAAAAAGGAAAAAAGCTTACGTGCAGACATATCACGTTTACAGAACTTGCAACGCATAACCAAATTAGCAGAACCACGGGAAGAATTCATTTCATATTCATCCTAACAAAAAAAAAAAAAAAAAAAAAAAAAAAAAAAAAAAAGTAAATGACTGAAGAAAAGAAAAAAATAACAAATTTCCATGTACCTGTTGATTAAAAGAAATCCAAGATTCATCAACTTCGTGACAACTAGTACATTCAATCTAACATATAATAAACATTATATATATGAATCATTAGAATGCCAATATACATATATAAATGTTCTCCTATTTACTTTAAAGTGCCATTCATAATTGTCAACTGGAGATAAACCAGTAACGTTCTCGAGATCTGCTTTAAGATATAAACCTAATTTCTACAATAATAATTATAAAAGCCCGAGTAAATAAAATAAAAGCCTTATGACTAAAAAAAAACACTATATACATACAACCATATTGTTTTAATTATTATTAATAAATGTTACTATTACTATTGTTCAAGAATTTGTAATAAATGCTTGATAGTCAAAAAAAAAAAAAAAAAAAAAAAAAAAAAAAAAAAATCTAACGATTTGAACCTTTAATAGTGCTTGTCGTTCGAGACAGTAGGACAAACTTTATGTGACTGCTTGACAACAGCCTTTCAAGCTACGATGACCTGTGGTGATGGCGTTCTTATAACTTATCAAATCAAGGTGTATTCCACTATAAAACTTTCTATAAATATGCATTTGTTTAAATAAAATACATCTTTTCGTCTGATAATCGTCATCAGAAGAAGGATAGCTGTTGAAAAAAAGAAAAAAAAAAACTACACAAAGTAGAAGTCCAAAAAAACCCTCGTATAGAAAAGCTTTATCACTTTTAAAATAAATAGTTTATGGACATTTAATCTGATTGTATTTGAGTCTTACATTAAGTATTCATTTATTTCTGTATTATTTGTATTATATAAGAATACATAATCAAAAGAATAAATATTAATTTTATGATAAAGAATAAAAGATAAAAAAAAAGGGAGAAAGAAGACGAAAAAGAAGTATAGTTTGAGACTTGTTTATTCAATGTAAAAAGAATGATATAAAGACTATTTCGTGTCTACACAACCACTTATATTTATACTAATGAATCCTGAATCAAAGAAGTAAAAATAACTATAAAAGAACAAGAGCCATGAAACAATGTTAATATTCAAATAGATACGTCTTGTTGATTCAAAAGACTGATCTATGGATTATCTACTGGGTGTTATAATAATCTGATTTAAGATTTTAATTGTTTGATCTGAGTATATAGATTCCTGATGTCTTTTTATATTTTTGTCTTATTAGGTCATAGACGATCTGAAGAATCTTTCATCAAAGTTATAAAAATAAATATTTAGAACTGATACGATATCATATTTAGTTGACATATTTAGATGATTGGATGTCAATAGAGTTTATATTATATTACTTATAAAATGTTATATACAGGAAGATATGATGCCTTTTATTATATACTCGGGCTCATAATTTATCCTTTATTATGAAATTCATCTTTTATAATATTACTTGTGCTTAAATTCAGAGCTTGCTCTATAATAAATATCATAAAAAGGTTCATATATACTATAACCCAACCGATATAACAAAGTATATCATTTGATGTTCCAATATAACTTATTTATAATGATAATAATAGTAAGTGTTACTAATAAAAGAAGTAGTTTTTTTTTTCTGTTCATACATATATATTATAGACTGTTCCATAATCCAACGATAAGGGTTACAAAAAAAAATGAAAGCAAATCAAAGTAGTAGTAGTGGTAGTAAGTAACACTGGTATTGTGTAGTGATTATTAACATTAGTAAGGATGTGTTGGTAGTAGTATTGTAGTTATAAGTATAAATAGAGGTGGTGGTATAAGTGAGGTGCCTATAGTAAATATAGCCCTATGTGTATCCTCTATTTCTGATGAAAGTAAGACGGGTGTTTGGAGAGTGACTAGAATTCGCAGCATATTTAGCCCAAGCCTAGGCTGTGGAATCGAATCACTTCAAGGGTTCCCCACCAAATCAAATGAACCCTTAATTTTTTTAATTATTCTTGTTTTTTGTACTACACCAATAACTCCTTTTTTTTTTTTACAGCAGCAGCATGAATAATGACGATGATGAAGAAGGATGATATATTATAGCTTCATTCTACCAAGCAATGGTAGTGGGTACAGGAGGAACAGTAGTAATTACAAATTTTCTATTATTACTTGATACTATTATAGTCAGATTATATATCAGAAATAAATTCTTACACATGAATGTATACTATGTACCTTGGTATCATTATGGTCTTCAAGCCATAGAAAGATAATAGAGTGTCTAAAAAGCCTTATTTTAAGCATATACAGATATAAATCTATAGTTGCTGTGTTTGATCATAATGTACATCTCAGGAAATAATCATAAGTAAACGTAATATGCAGACTCTTTTAATTGATTAACAGCAAGCTTCTCTAGCTAATAATACATTATGTTATGGCTTACTTAGGAACAAAGACTATAAAAAAAAAAGCTCTACCAAAAATATTGTAATAACAATCAATATCTCTCTATAAACTAGTGTAAAGAAGAATGTTCTCGATTACTTCAAAAAAAGAAGATATTGACAAATATAACAATTCTGTCACTGTAACAGTAATAAATGCAAGGATATTTCTTTTCCAGAAATATTCAACATTTTTTTTTTTTTTTTTTTTTTACTTTATTTTACTGAGACGTTATCTAGATATTGTATAAACAAAATGAATAATCTCAACTCTTCCTTTATCCAATTTTACATCTAAAGTTAATATTTTGCCTCATAAAAAAAAAAAAAGTTGAAATGAATTACCTAATAAATCCCTTGTTCCGTGTAGTATATTATCAAATACTTGTCAATGCCTACAAACCTGAAGGCTAAAAGAGGTTAAGGATAATATTTCAAAAGCTGTAAATTATACAATGAAGACAGCAGTAATATGAACATTATTGCTATGGATTATTATTATTTTTTTTTTTAAGGAAGAAATAGGCATCATCAGAACAAATTATTCTAATTGATATCTTTGTTACAAAAAAGAGATATTTATACTGTTCCTCGTTTATATTTGGTATATTGTAACATATTATATATCATTCTTCTTATCTCCCTTTTAGTCTTTATAAGATTCCTTTACAGCCATTATAATCATTGGAATAGAACCGATTCATTTCAATGTACGTTAAATAAAATAAAATAATAATAATTATTTTACAGTAAATCTAAAGTGTCTTGATTATGATATGATCTGTATCTTTTTGTGAACCTAATTTGAATGTATGGCTTCCCGCTTTATAGAAACCTTGACATGTATAAAAGTTAATAGCTGAAGGGTTATACTCCCAAACACCTAACTACACCACATTATTTGTTTGTCTAATTGATGGGCTTTTTCAAGACTTGATATCATGAGCTGATTAAACAAGCGGATCAAGGAATTCATTATTTATAACATATCTTTGTATTTAAAAGGGGTGGAAAATATTACTGTGAATGCAAGTCAAAGATACTTAAACTGGTTTTCATAGCATACATCAAAGAATTTAAAATCGTTAATCTTTACAACATCATTTTGGCAAACGATGTATGTGAGTAAAAAAATGCTTTTAGGCACAACATAAGGGAGACTAAATGAGATGCATATTAGTTGCCTAATTAGGAAAAAGAAAGTTTATGAGAATATAAACAAAAAAGTGAAAACAAAAGACATTTATTTTACTTACTTTTCTTTTCTTTAACATAAACACATTTCATATAGTCATAAAGAAGATACAAAATTGACAACATTTTACTATTCTACACATTGTTACTTTTTATAAGAAAGAAAGAAAGAAAATTAAATAATGTAACTGTGTGTGTGTGTGTATTAAATGTGGGGTAACACATATTCCTATGGATTTCATATGATTGTGACTGTAATTTACAACAACGACCTCCTTGTTCTTATAAAAAAGTAGATATTCAAAGTTATTTTTTCTTCTTTTTCTTCTTTATTATTACTATTTCTTCTGTAGGTAAGTCATTAAATAATACTATTTTATTCTTCTTCTTCTTCCCTGCCCTAGGAGGAAATTCTTTTTCTCATGGTTACCGCTTATGTAACGCCTTCTGAATCAACAAGACACCCTATCTTGCCCTCCTTGAATTAGGAGGACATTGTAGGGTATCTTGTTGATTCAGAGGGCGTTACATATTGTGATAGCTATGGGTTTTTTCTAACCTCCTAGTAAAAATAAAAAATACAAGAACAAAGAAGGTGCAACGAATCCTAGCCTCCACGCGGCCACCTTTGGACTGCAGTAATTATTACTGTTGACGAATTGGGGATTCACTTTTTTTATATATGAAATAAAAATGAAAATAAAATACAATAAATAAATATCTCTTTTTTTTACGCGTCTTTTAATAATCTTGTGCCTTCTTTAACTATTGCTTGTATAATAAAATATCTTTTTGCTCCAAATTGACTTTAAGAAGTATAAAAACAAGTAGAGAAGTTATAAAATAATTGACTTAAATAATATAGGAGATATAAGATGTAATGTAGTAGTGATTATGTAAACTATTGACTAATATTTTATCAGAGAAACTATCATGATTGTTATTCTTCCTTTACAATCAAATTTTTTTTTTTGAAATCCCATTCATATAAAGCTTTTAAATGATTTAATAATGAGTGGTTTCTTTGGTTCTAGTGAAACTACTTCAAAATGGGAGTAGATATTTAAGCAAGCTATTTCTAATGTAGAAACAACTTTTGATTCTTTTCTCGAGCAACCTATTTCTCAACGACAGTCATCAGCAAACGAAGGTAAATGATGTTCTAATGTCCCTTATTAATCTTCTTCTTTCTTTCTTTGTTATGATAACGAACACTACTTTGCACTAGTTTTCTACTGAAAAAAAAAAGTATGAGTATATTAACACCATTAGGATTATAAAAAAAAAAAAGAATCTACATAGTAAATTGTTAAACGACTTTAATACCATTACTGAAATACAGTGTACATAAAAGAAAGGGAGAAAGAGAACACTACAACAAGAGTACTTTAAAGAATATGTATTTGATATACCTAATAATAATGTAACTTTGACGTGCCAAAGAATTTAAGTGAGTTTCACATTTCTGCTATACTCTCTAAGAAAAAGTAAGCAAACATAATAAGTAGCCCATTACATGTACATATATACACATATACTTTTCGGTGATGACTATATGAACCTTTCTTTTTTTATCTACTTTTCTGACAAGCATATGAAGTACGTTTGATCCAAACAATATGACAGAAATCAACGTGCTATACTTAAGCTGATAAGATGACTAATCATTGTATGAAATGGACGCATGAAGTTAGCCAACTAGCAAATATCGTTCTGGGTAATCCTTTTGAGAGAATAGACCCTTTCAACAGCGGTAATGTACACCTTGTTTCTTTCTTTTAAAAAAAAATAAAAAATAAAAAATAAAAAATAATCTGCATTTACACATTTTGCCATGAGCTGACTTATAATGTCATGTACCTTGATTAAACAAGCGGATCAAGGAATTCTATCTAGATTCCCTTGAAAAACTCTCTTGGTCCACTACATCAAATAATATTAAAACCTCTAACACTTCATTATCTACAACATATCTTATTCGGTAGTAACTAACACTTTTCTGATTCACATCTTATGTCAGACTTCTTTAACAATTCTTATAAATAGCTAAATAAAAACTATTGACCTTAGAACTATTGTTCGCTCTCATTGACTCTTTTTGTCTTAATGTTATTTTTTTATTTTTTAATATTTTTTATTTGATATTCTAGAAGAAATATCACATTTACACTATGTTTTGCTTATCATTGTCTCGTAACGTCAATATCTATTATTATATTATTTTTCTCATCACAAGAATGTCTTGTATACCGAACTCAAATAATAGTGTATGCATGTATGCATAAAGTGCATTACTGATAACTATAACATCATTCGGTCCTTCATGACTCTGACCTATATATATTATAAGATATTATGTAATACATCATCATATACATAACGATATTACAAGCCAAATACATAACTAGAACACTACAACTAACCTGATGAAACTTTGATACAAAAACTACTGCCTTATTCACACACAGCTTCAAGCCGCTCACAATGGTATAAATTAGTCTCCAACTCTCTTTGATAAAAAAAATGTGAACTTGTGCTGGAAACATTGGACCGTCGTGTTTTTAAATCGCTGAAACAACAATTGTTACAAGAAAGTAATGACACTCTCTGTAATGGTCCAAATGCCCAAACGATCTCTACTTGTCGTCCAACCTTGGTGATTGATCCTATTTTATGGCTCCCAATGACGCGTATGGAGCGTAACCAGGTACTTCACTGGCGTCTTGGTTGGCTTCCTGGTGGAAAACCTCGTCCCTATCTTTTCCATCCTGCAGTTAATATTTCTCGTATCCATGCTACTGAATGTCTGCACATACACCGTCGTCTACAAATGCCCAGATCCATCAAAGACCCTCTTTCTTTCTTACTAAAAATTTTTCCATCTATCTCTTTCTGGTCTGTACGTTGGCCTGAAATTTTCCTGATCCTACATGAATTGGATCATATTTTTCATAGTGAAGATCTTCCTCCTCTTCCAACTGATATAGATGCTAATTTGGTGAAATGGTTGCAATGATAAAAATGCTAGTTTCTCTGTCTTGTTTCTGATTTTTTTTTCTTTTTATCTATCTTTCTTTCCTTTTACTTTCCTCTTTATTATTTTTTCTTTATTCTTCAATACTTTTTTCATTTTCCCTCTTGACTCTTAGGAGGTTTTTTTTTGTTTTTTTTTTTACTCTTAATCTTATTAACTAATGCGGGCAATGCATATATTAAAATTATTGTGCGCATTATGGTCACTTTTTCTTTTCCTTTCATTTAATCGTACCAAGAAAAAAAAAAAGCTACATTTGATTACCGATCCCCTTTATTAAAAAAACCAGAAACCTATTTACAATATGTTGTTAAGTGTTTATTTCCCATTACTATCGCTATGACTACTCAAAAGCCAACTCATTTTATAGATACGTTCCATTCTGAGGCATACGAAAAGCTCTTTTTCCCAGGTAAAATGTCTTGATTTTCATCTTGATGATTTACATGCTCATTATTTCTTTGTAGAATTTTTTATAGCAGAAGAGCCCCGCAAATGCTTATCTTATGCAACTTTTACAAAAAATTCCTACAATTACCACTCGAAATGGAAATAAAGCTCTCACAAAAGATACAAAAATAATGCAAGCTTATGTTATTCCTGGTACAATAGCAGATACAGTGTTACGTCAAATGGAAGGTGCTTTAAAAGTAAGAATAGGTATAAAGAAAAAATCGTAGAGAAGAGCTAATAATAAAGTTTGTTTAGTCTGCAAAAGGAAAAGCGATTATTAATGAGTTCTGGAAAAACTCTAGTGCTATTGCTTCAACCTCCATTAGTTATGAAAAATCGAAGGTAAGCTACATTATTCTCTTAGTTCACTATTAAAAAAAATTTTTTTTTAATTTAAAATGTCTTTATAGTACCAATTACGAGGACAAATGGCCGAAGAAGTTGCCGATGAAGGCGAAAGTAGAAGTAGGAAGAGACAACGAGTACGAATTATGCGATTGTTCAAGAGCAACGAAGTAGAAGGCGAAGAAGATGAAGGTGAAACTCAAGACATTCCCAACAATAGTGGCGAAGAAGAAGACGAAAATGATATTGATGGTATTTGGGAATCCTGGAAAAGATTATTAAAGAGTATAAGAGAATCCACTGTTTTACCTGCCTTAAGGTAATATAATAACTTTGCATTATTTAATAATTAATAATTAAAACCTGGTTTGATTTTTAGTCCTGAATCACACAATGTAATTTGGTGTGGTAAAAAAGTTCTTCGTAGACCAGTGCTCCCTGTAGAGCTTTTCCAAGAACTGAACAAGCAGGTTCCAAATATCAAAATGCAATGGGTTGATCATATTTTTAAACAATTGTTATTGGAGGCACTTGATACAGTAAGTTGAAAAAAAAAAACACATTTAAATGTGGAGAATAACACTACTTATATTCAAAATGATAACAGGGTAACAAAGAAGAATGGTTTGATAAAGTTAAGATGTTTCGAAATTGCAGTAGTACAGTCGATTTAATTGCTAAAAGAGATTTAATGACATGCATCTTTAATATATTGTAAGTTGCATCAAAATTTAAGTTTTCATAACACCAAAAAAAAAATAAATAAATAAATAAAAATAAATAAAAAATAACCATTTTTGTAGTTCAAATCTTTTTGATGGTGCCTCAGAAACGTTATCTTCTTCTGAAAGTTGCTTGCGATATTATGTTATTGATCCTTTATTGCAAGCATGTAACAAATATCTCAAGGATAATGGTCATAATGTCACCTTTTATCCAGGTGAAATAGAACTTAAAGCCATGACAGTTCAACTCAAAGATCAAGGCATTACAGATAAACGTCTCAGATACAATGCAGATGGAACGATTTTATGTAATAGCATTGCAACTGAAGTCTTATTGTCTGAAGTATCTTCAGCATTTGCTGAAAACAATAAAGGAAAAACTAGCTTTGACCATTACAAAGCGATGTTCGGTCTATTAATGATGCTTCGTACTCTTGCTAGAAAATATAAATATGCTAGTTTTAATAGTTTTAAGAACTTGAAAGTTCACTTTATTCACACTCATAGTAAGTAAAATTGACAAACACATTACATGTTTGCTAAATACCTTATACATATAGATCATGCAATCCGACATTGGAGTATGTCCACTCCTTCCCCCGGATTGTATCTTATGAACAAAGAACAAAGGGTGGATATTATCAAGGATTTCGAAAGAAAATCTGAAGGTGTTATTCCTTTCATAAATTTTACTATTAGTTTAGGGGTATATGCATCTTTATTTTTTTTTATTTGTCAAGTATATTGAGAAAACGACTAACTTGAAAATCGCACTAGGTATCTTTGGACGAAACAATGAACGCTTTGTCAGTTTTGAGTAAAGAGCATGACAAAGTATTGAGGGAGACCTACTTTGGAACCGATGACAATACCCGTGTCTCTTTACTTGACTTTGTCAATCCTGTTCTTGTTCGATTAAATGAGAACAAGCATAAAGATGAAGTGGCCGAAGAAGGCCCACAAAGCCCTAGCTCCTAGTTTTAGTATTATTATTTTTTTTTTTTAATATAGTAGTAACAAATTATTAAAGTTTATTAACAAAGTTGTAAAAGATAATGTTTTATTTTATTAATAATGTTAAACTATTGAAAGAGAATTTAAGTCATGTACACCAAACAATACAGAAATGCTTGTGGTAAATAGAAAGAATGAAGTTTACAGCTAATGCGTTTTAAAGCGTAGTATATATCACAGTTACTCAGCTAGAGTTTACAACTGAAGTGTGAAAAGAGATAAAAGGTAAAATAGCAGCGACACAAATCAGTTGCATATAACTGGCTAGAAGTTATGCTATGAGTTTGTGTAAAATAAAAACAGTGTTTATCAAATAAAAGTTCGCTTAGAAAGCATAGGTAGTTTTGAATTATTAGATTACTAGAAGTTTTCTCTTGTTAAACACCAATTAGACAATAATAGAAGATTCAGATCCAGACATAATGAAACATCTTCATCTAGAAAAAAAATATAGTGTAGCATCTAACAAATCAGTTGCACATTTACCATTTAGTTTTTTTTTTTTAACGCAAAGTAAAAGAGAAAGATGACAACTTCCCACTCCCAGCTGGGGACAACTACTAGAGTCATCAAGCAGCCGGCGAATTTCTCCGGCGAAGGGCAGGGTTCAACTGTGCCATCTTCCCACAAAGACCAGTACGGCTCCCACTCCCAGCTGGGGACAACTACAAGAGTCATCAAGCAGCCGGCGAATTTCTCCGGCGAAGGGCAGGGTTCATGTGTACAAGATCAATGTGTTTCTTTTACTTGCGTGGTTACCTTCACAGATTCATTAAAGATTTTGAGATGGAAGAAGAAATAAAATAAAAATAAAATAAAAAAATTAAATGATAAACGCGTACGTTATCGGGTTTTAAAAGTAGGGGTTGGAGTTAACTATAAATCCAATACGATTAAATAAGAAATTTATTTAAAATTAAAAAATGACCAGTGAGCACATTGCATTTATATATGACCTGGTCAGATTACTATGGAAAAAAAAGGAAAGAAAACCCCTTTGGGAATGAAAGGGAAAATGTTGGTGAAAAAAAAGGAGTCATTATCCCCCCTTATCCCTAATTTAATTAGTATAAATATATGCCAAACTGAACGACCTTTTTCTTAGTCTTTTGTGTCGTTCAGTTAGTGAACAAACAATAAAAATTTACTGCAGGATTTTAGTCTTAGCTGGTACGGTTGATTTATTTTTTTTGGTACGACTTCAAAATAAATTCGGCACACCTTTTTTTTTTTTGGAAAACGTGTAATAAACTTTTGGTACAAAGTGAATTTTTATTTTGTATGAAATACGTAAGAAAAGATAACATATAGTAGTAACATTTACCTTAAGCCTAGTTCTTTATTAATGCACCTATCCCAGAAGGTCTCAGCATGTCTAACCCAACCTTGGCAGTCCTGAACAGTAACTGATCCGCAAGCTACAAGAAGGCAAAATGTCAAAGTATCTGCTTTATCAAGTGGGTTTCTCTTGATGTTGCTCTTTATTTTTGACCAGAATTCTTCGATCGGGTTTAAAAAAGGAGAGTAAGAAGGCATGACCAAAGGTTTATACCCTCTCTTATTGATAACATCAACAACAAATGCAGAATGGTGAATTCTGCAGTTATCTATTACTATTGTTGTGTATATGATGATGTATTACATAATATCTTATAATATACAGATCAGAGTCATGAAGGACCGAATGATATTATAGTTATTAGTAGTACACTTTATGCATACAATGTTATTTGTTTTCTGTTTATAAGACATTCTTATAACGAGAAAAATAATATAATAATAAATATTGACGTTACGAGATAATGATAAGCCAAACATGGTGTAAACAGTTATTAATGATAAAGATATATGAATTATAAATAGTACCTATTAGTTATATATCCACGTTATTATCTAATACACTAATTTATAAATATAATCATATACTATCCTATCTATACACTATACAATATAATGAAATTCATACAAGTAGTACATTGAGGAATAAAAATAATACAAAGGAATCTATATTAAAAGTATCTTCCCTATATCATTTACAAGTATGAACAAAGGAGATTTCATTATTTTGTTTTAATCAGGGCAAAGACTAGATAGCTCAAATAAACTAACTTTAATAATTTTATGGGAAATATTCTTCTTTCAAGATATCTTCATTCTGTTCCTGTCGCGAAGTAACCCGTTCTCCACAAGATATAAAATAAGGATCCATTTTGCATCATTATTCAATCATCTATTTCTTTTTTTCGAATTGCCTAACATTAATATTATTAATATCTATTGTAAAAAAACAGTAATTTATTTTTATTCAAGAACCAAAAGCACTTTATTGTGAAATGAAAAAAATTGAAGTCGATAGTTAAAGCGATGCTTCCTAACGGGGGGTTTTTTTTACAAGTATTACATACACACCACACCACAGTTTTGTAGTGCCCGTCGTAAGAAAATCTTCGGGTTTATATATTTTTGGGTTTTGCTATTTGCACATACTTATTTTCACACGTGAAAATTTTTACTCCACTGGAGATAAAGTACTGCTATCACTATCGTAAAATGTTGATGAATGTACCACATTCAACGTGTAGTATCAGCTAAAAACGATGTCAAATGGAATTGTTTGTGATGATTATCTAGCTGTTGTTGTGGCTCGCTATCATCGATGTCCATATAACAACTATTGCTTGAATCTACTTTAAAAATATCACCAGGAAGAAGAAGTTTTAGAATATTTATCATGATTGAATTATTCTTGATAATATCTGGTAATAGTTGTAGATAGTCTTGTAAATGTACATGTTGAAGATATCTTTCCATGTACGTGAATTCAAGACCTTCCTTAAAGTTAATATCAATTTTTTTGATATCACCATTTGCTCTTTCAAAACTGTAGAGCCAAGTTAAGTAAATAGGGCCAAAGTCAAGGATAGTTTGTTTAAGATGAAGGTGTAAATGCATATTAGGAGTAATAAAATTATCTCCATATAACTCAACATTCTTCTTAACAAACTCAACAAGCAAATTGTGAGCAACATCTATTTCTTTTCTTGTTATAGAAGGAGCAGACAAAAGGTGATTTGCCTGAACAAATCTCATCCAGTTGGCCATATGTTCATCAACAAGTCTTCCTTTCAACAAAATAGCCGAGTATACGATGGTCCAGGACCTATACTCATCTCCTTTCAGACCAGAAAAGTTGGCTGCTATTTTTGACCCTAGTGTTGTATACTGAGGGGGTACGACAATCTTTTTCGCTTCAACAGTACCCATCTCAAAAAGATCCTTGCTTGTGATGAAGTTATTCGTTGTCTTCCAATAATCCATCATAAACTTTGCAGTACCAAGATATAAGTTGTGCAATCCATCAATAATTGTACATCGTACAATATCAAAATACTGCAATCTATGGAGCTCACTCCATCTGACACCGTACTCTTGCTCAATCTTCTTACGTTCTGTGGTGGTCTGAGCATTCTTCCATAACTTTGCTTGTTGAAAATTGGTTTCTTTATTACGTGGAGTCCAGCTGGAGCAGTCAACATTGCTAAAGCAACGTCTAACTGGATTTCCTCTTTGTGCAGGAAACTTATCAGCACATTTGTGGCAAGGCACAAAAGAATTAAACGCTGTAAAGCCGCACACCTTCTTTGCTGCAGGGATATCGCAGTTTACAGACGCCAAAGCGCAACGAACAAACTTACCACGAGGATTTGTAGTAGTACGAATTATAACACCTTCATATAATTCTATGAGCTCATCTACCATAGGACGTAAAAAATGATTTACATCGGATAATGATGGCTCATTTGGACCAGGCATTAAACCAACAAGAATTAGGTTGTGCTGTTTATATCTTTCAGCACGCGGAAGATTATTGATAACCAAATTTATGACACCAACATGATAGTTCATTGACTTTGTTGGTTGAAACCAGTCAACATTCAAAGAAAGCATCAAAGAACAATCTTTATTAATGAAAGGCTCATCTTCACCTTCTTTTTTAAAATCTTTAAAAAAGTGACCATCATAAATATCGAACATGAATCCTGGTACAGAGGTTCTTATTTTCCATTCTTCAATTTGCTTCTCGAAAGTCTTGCGCATAAAAAATTTTTCCAGTGTTGCTTTTACTGAGTTGTAAACATAACGTTTTTTAGGCTTTATGATATTACTGCTATTTTTTACAACCAAAGGATGATTACAGCATTTAACGATTCCAGCATGAGAAGGAAGCAATAATTTGGTGCATTTTTTAATAATTGCTGATCCATCAATAATCTCATCAAAGTCATAAGTAGTATTGTACTTGGCACATACTATGAGTTTTTTCAACCCTGTTGCATTCATATGAAATAAATAATACATGAGCAAAAAGCATAAATAAAAAAATAAAAAATAAATAAAAAAAATAAAATAAAAATAACAGTACCATAGATTGCGAAAGCAGCTTTGATTTTTCTTTTAATGGTACTCAGTCTCAAAGGAAGCTGGTAAATAGCCCCAAGTAAAGACAATACAACACTCATAAACTTAAACATAAGTTCCTGCAGGTTAAATTTCCAGTTGACCGTTCTTGATACTGCCCCTTGTGAGAGCTCTTGAAACTCGAAACTTGGACGTGGGTTTCTAGATTGCTTTAAGCCAACCACCCCTTTTTTTTTAATACAGGGTAGTTTAAAAATAATTATTGCTCTAGCTAAACTGCTTATTAATTTAACTTTTAATAATTGCTATGAGACACAATATAAATACCATCTATAGCTAAAAGAAAAGTATAAATAGCCAGATAATTTGTACAAGAAGAATAGATAGTCTTTTTTATATATAATTGTTTTTTTCTAATAAAAATTATTCTTGCTTGCGCCTGTGTTTCATGATTTATTTTGTCTTCTTAATATTCTTAAATCATAAATCAAGAATTAGCATTTTTACATAATTCTTTATAACGTTAGTATTTATTTGTTGTTAATATCATATTTCTATTATTATTACTTACCTTGTAAAGACATATAAATAACCTTCTTCATTTTTCATATTATTTTTTTCCTGGAACAATTTTTGTATTATTAATTCTTAATAAACTATACGATGTTTTAACAAACTGGTTCCTTGGTTTATCTTTTTACCACTCAAAACATCGTACTATTTTATCTTTATGTATGAGTAGTAGTCGTATAACATATCAATATAATAATGACCTGATAGTCACAATAGAATACAGGAAAAATGAAGTCTAAAGCTCTATTTATGGAGGGCTTATTAAATCATAATTTTTATCTAGAAAAAAAAACAATTGATTAATATTTATTGGACAGGCCCTGGATACGAGCATAAGCAATATTATAGTAGATGAATTATATAAAAAAGGATAAAGTATAAGCCTGAATATAAAATAAAACTCTGTACATAACATCTTGTAAATAATATAAAACTTATTGACACCCAATAGCCTAGATGTATCAATTATAAGACATCGTATCATTTCTACATATTTATTTTTATAACCCTGACAAAGGATTTAGGTCGTCTTTGATCCACTAAAATAGATATCAGGAACCTATATACCCAGATCAAACGATTTAAATCTGAAATCAGATTATTACAGCGCTCAATATATAATCCATAAATCAGTCTCTTGAATCAGCAGAATGTATATCTGAATACTAACACTGTTTCATGATTTGTCTTTTTTATAGTTCTATTTACTTCTTTGATTTAGGATTCATTAGTATAAATACAGGTAGTTGTGTAGACACGAAATAGACCTTATATCATTCTTTTTGTATTGATAAACAAGTCCCAAACTATACTTCCTTCTGTTCTCTTTCTTTTCTTCTTTCTCTTTGCTCTTCTTTAAGCCATAACATCATATTTACCATGCACATTGTTTGAACCCACACTACTGTTATAATTTCTGTCAATTATCCTCATATATGCGATAAACGACTTTAATGACTTCACTCAATAAAGTAAAGGATGATCCATATCAATTACATCCATTATACGTATTTTAGTTTCGTGCTGATTGGAGACTAGCAATTAAGAACTTATCAAAAGCTTCAGCATCCGACATATTAGAGATACTCAATTTTAATTTTTAGAGACTTATGTGTACATTAATCAGAAATGAATGATATTTGCTTTAACGTTAGAATTCGTTCTGAAAACATCAAAAATAAAAATTGCCTTTTTTTTTTGACTTAAAATACGCCCATGATTCTCATTTTAACGATATATAGCCTCAATCCATAGGTTCTTTGTCTTGCAGAATTCACTAAGGAAGTACCAAATTTGCCTGTTTGATCATTGTCATAACTCCTAAAGTTTTTATAGCTCTCTACATATCTTACCCAACTACCAATGTTAAAAGGATTCATATATCTTCTATCATTTTTATCAGCTTTG